CTTGCCTTCCTCTCTTAATTTTGTGGATAGCAAACTCGATGGGGGAGCGGGAAGAGTCCCTCCCTAATGTTTTCATTTTGCGCATTAAGGCCTTCTTCTTTGGTACCCGGTTAAATTTAATATCTTGAGGCAAGATTCTATATGTTGTTTTTTCTTCATACAGCAGGGCAGCTTGTTAGGGGAACGGAGGGTTGGCGGCTGAGGGATGTAGAAGTCCCGGCCTCTTGTCAACTTCTTTTTTTCCCTCATATCTAATGACGATTGTACGGAAAACTACCTAAACTTCTTTTTTTGACGATAATGTCAGCCCCTGCATGTACTCTAGTGGTAATTAATGCATTATATCCCCCTTTTTTCTTCTTCTATTTACTTGATCTACAATGAGATTTTCTTTACGACGAACGTGAATCGATTTTCTGCAGTGCATTTGAGTGTTTTTAACGTAGCATTTTGTAAAATATTATTGCTTGACACTGAAATCTACAGAAGACATAAGACTAGATGTGGCGCTCGCTTCCTTGTCCTCCTTCTTGGCGGTGAGGTGAAACTGAGCTACACGGGATGACGGCGGCTCGATGCAGGAACTGCAACCTGTTTGATAAGCTGACGCAAGGGGGGGCCGATTTTTTTTTTTTTTTTTTGTTTTTGTCTTGTTCATTTATCTTCGGATCGTAAGCCGAGAAACAAGGCTAAAAAGCTAGCAAACTGCAGTGGTTCCCCTCGTGTTTTAAAGCTCGTGTTCGATCCGATTGAGTTTTTGGGGATACGAGGCGCGCGCGCGATCGATTGCGTGGGACCTCTGCTCTGAAAAGGGGAGGAGGAGAAAATCGGAGGTTTTTTTTTTCGCCCGGGTTAGATTTTGGGATTGGGGCCTTGCTTGTGTCGTATCCCTGCAAGGGGGGGGATTTTTGTCACATACCGTAGCAGTACAGCTCTGGAGTCGGAAGAGAAAATGTCGGATGAGATTTTGGGCTGATGTGAGGAGATTGGGCGTCAATCGGTTTGTTCACATTAGATAGATAGAGGCCTGATTTCTTTTGAAGTGATTGTGATGGTGGGTTTCACGAGTTGCGTTGTGTTACACAAGGAAGAATGACGGCTTTGGGCGGGAAGCATAGAGAGCAGAGCACAATTGATGATGGGGTCAATGATGTTGGGTTGAAGTATGTAGGTAGGTGTTGATACTGCTATGTTGTGTGATGTGATCTACCTATCTCAGTCTCTAAGCTAATGCTCAATCTATAGAAATACATGTGTATGGTCTCGGGGTAAAAAGGGGCCTCTCTGGCGCCATATTCTGGTTCGTGGGAATCGCGTTTTCTTTATTTTGTCAATTGATATCCTCCGGGGTTCAACAAAAGAAAGCAAATAAAACAGAAAATAATAAAGCAGCAGCCTTGACTCATGTCGGACGATGGCCGATAATCGTTGACTTAGCTAAGCATAAGGCATGAAAGGAAAAAGCGTTCTAGGGAAAAAAATTACAGGGGAAAGAAGCAGAGAGGAAAGACCGGTGTGCAAATCGCAAGTCGCCGACCGGCATTCTCATCACCGCTTCTTCATTCTCGTTTCTTGTCTTTGATCTCAGTCTCATTCTCATTCTTTTTTTTTGGTTTCGATATTTGTTTTGGAAGACGTTTTGTCATGGTCTTTCTGGGGCTCACGTCGATGAGACTGTTTCAGAGCATGTCTGTGGCATTGGAGTCGGTATAGCTTCGGCTGTTGAGGTTGATATATGTTGAGTGACCTCGTTGTAGGTATGCTCGTCTCATCGTCCGACTCGATTGTTTTCGAATTGGTTATTCCTGGTTCATCTTACTGACGTTCTTCCTTGACCCAGGATCCCATATGAATGAAAGCGTCACCTGTCTTGCTGTCTGGGCTTCCTGGATGTTGGTTCTCTGGCTGCTGGCTTGAAACTGCCGTATCGGCGGTGCTCGTCACGTCCACGTTGACGTAAGTAGTTGGAAAACCGCTTGCCTTGTGAGCATTCGAGACTAAGCCGCTGTCAAATGCATTGAAGGCATCGACGTTTGTTTTGGAGAGACCGCTCTGGGCGTGGCCGGCGGTGTTGTTGAACGCAGATGCATCGACAATAGAGCCAGTAGTCTGGCTGCCAACAGTCTCGGGGCCAGCTTTGCTTTCACAGGGAATACATTCCCAGCCGCTTCCCGGGAGAAAGGGATCGTGGAGAGCATTCAGCAGCGTCTTGGAAGGATCACGAATAGGTCCAGCCGTCTTCCGAGTGTTGGGTGCTTGTGGGCTTCGAGAGGCATTGGTTGCCTGGGACAGATCGACAGACTGTGGATAGGAAGCCATCGCGGTAATGAGAGGATGATGGACGCTTGGTAGTTGTTGAATTACGTTGACGTGGGTTGAAGGAACGGCGAGTGCGCGTATTGCAAGAAAGGAGCGTGTGTTGTCTGCTGTGAAGAGGTCAGGATGGTAAGAGAGAAAGAGGGGGAGAGCGGTGGGATTTTATACCTGCGTTCTCACGCGACAACGAAGCGAAAGCACCTGAAGCACGAAAGCAACTGGCCTGATCGGCTCGATCTAGTGCGAAAAGAAGAACACTCTGAAGTGAAGTGGCATGCGGTTATTGGTCGTGTCGATGGCGGCCGCCCTGAAGAGGGCTTGCGACGACCCCTGTGAAGTTGAGAGGCCCGGGCTACTAGGATTGGGATGGAACGGATACGTACTCCAAGTACCGGTGACTTGCCAACAACAGCTGGGGCCACTATATGCACCTTGGGGACGACTCTTCCAAAGGTACTTTAGCCAGCAGATCATGAGAATTGACCGGGGCAGCTACCCAGACCGAGAATGCGAGTCTGAGGTCTTGCAGACTTCTGAGCTTCGTGCCAAGAGTTAGGCAAAGGGCTGATGAGTTTGAACAACGCAGCAACGTTCAATGGTGGTGTGCAAGAGGCAGTGCATCTGTCTAGAGACGGCTTACTTTCCAACGACCAACGCAACAGCCCTGCTCAGTCAGGCGTTCTGCCAGCGAATTCATCTCAAACAGGGGGCGTCTCTCACCGGTTCTCGCAGAGAGTGTGCGCATGACTGCAACTCTTTGCAGCTATCCTTGCGGAAGAGCGAATGTCGCTGAAGCTAGCCATCTTCCTTGCGGCCAATCTGATGTTTGGCTTTCGAGAGTACTGGTATTGTTTTGGCTTTACCGTTAACAGGACAAGGCTTTAGACCTGCAGCTTCCAGATCATTGCTACCTCGGCGTTCTATGTCGGCCCTTGCGGAAACCGATAGCCTGCTCTGTCGCTAGGCAGCTATGGTGTCTATTTTGGTCCCCTCTCGACAAACTGAGGAGCTGTTCGAAGTGCCCTTGCATGGCAGAAAGAAAGAAAGAAAGAAAGAATGAGCGAATTAGTTTTCTTCGCCCCAAGCTGCTTGGACAGAGCCGCACCCCCTCATCCTGTATCTGGTTTCTGCAGAATATGCACTGCAGTGAGTGTGCATGCGTTAATGAGAGCGAGAGCATGCAGCCTCATCTGAAAAGGTACCTGGCTGCAGGGGGGGCATGAGGGGAAGGACGGGTCACTATTGTCTTCACCCGAGCAGTGTACCATCCTACCATTCAAAATAACCGGGCTTCAACAATCGGTGATAACCGTGGCGGGATTGCACTCAGCTGGTCAGGGCTCACCGCAGTTTTGGAGTCGTTGCAATCGTGTGTAACATGAGCAAAAAGTCGGGTTCCCTTATGCACAACGCCTTGCTTGATCATCACTGATGCAATCGCCGCTTGTATTCTATTCTCAGTACCCAATTGAAATCTGCACCTGCGATTTGCATTTACACCTAGCATACTGCGACAATTTGTCATAACCAAGCCCTCGGACTTCCTTTTGGAGCAGAGATACATGCAAGCGCTTGCTGGTTTCAGCTGATGGGCAGACACCCATGCAAGGATAGCCAAAGATGAAAAAAAAAAATGACAGCTCTTCACACCCAATGCATCGGACCACAGCTGCCCTTTTCTCACGCTTCTATCTCATGCAATAGACCCGGATGGCGCACTTCCCGTTTGGTCAAACAAAGCCGGCATTGATGATTCGAGATCCTGCGCGCCAGTCGGCACAATGGCCGAGGCAACCTCGCGGGCGAAATATCGTCCCTGGCTTACTATCCCGTAGGTCTCGAGCGATCTAGCCTTTGAATCTAGATACTTTCCGGACCCTAACGGCCACCATAATTGAATCAGTGAGCTGGCAAACGTTAGTTTATTAGTAGGCGTATACGAGTCTGCAACAGCAGGGGCTGTCGAGCGCCATTTATTTAGAATTCTAGGATTCCAAGGCGATGCCAGGGATAACTTCCATGTCCATTGCCTGCATGACGTTAGAAGTACGCGGCCAAGGACGACCTATCACGGTAGAGCGTGAACGCCAGCGATTGTAGTACAGGCCAATAGCCTGGCGTATGATCGCCCGCCTACTTTTGGCAGGCCAATACGTCAAGGATTGAGGCCGCTGGCCAGCCATGCGACATTCTTCGAGAAAGATTCATTTCCTTCTAGCGCGCCGCGAAGCATCCTTGTCCGATGTGTTCACTGCCTGGGCGAATAGAACACGGCTGATTACACAGGCATCCCTGGTTCAATCGCGAGCGGGCGGCCGAGAGTCTCTCTTTTTGGCCACTCATCTGTCCGGAGCAGACCATCCATGAAGGAGGCTTTCCTAATGGTCGATCTAGATGTCTTTTACGTGAAACGAACTCACCCGAATCAAGATTTGATAGCATTGCTTCGGCTCGCCTGAGAGCGAAAGATGTACATATGAGTGCTTTTTTATTGTTTTCTCTTCCTTAGCCTCTCTATCTGCTGCGCGTTCTCTTTTTCCGGCTAGCCACTAGGCTGGAACCAATCATTTGTTGTTTACCCAGTACGCCTTGCAGCTTGTTTATGTATTCCTATTCGCACGAATGTACATGAGTACGCGTGTGCCTGTCCTTTACTTCATTGCCTTGGATGGTATCCCGGGTGTTCATGACTCGTTGTCCAAAGCGGCCAGAGCTTGGTCCAACGTCTTGCCCGTTAGCCTATTGTTTTGTTAATTGGTGGTCAGCATTTGGCTTGCTCCTAACCCCCTAGGCGGGTGAGTTATGATAGGAGCTGTAGTGAGTGGGACCTACTTCTCGAACACGTCCTGGTACTTGGCCGCAGTCTCTTTGACGACGGCTTCGGGAAGCTCGACCTAGGACGAGGAGCGCCAACAGATTAGTCATATATGGGTACAACGAGGGGGAGGAGGAAGCGCGAGTCAAGACATGGAGTTTTCGGTACGGGATTACCATCGGGCTGTTTCACTCAATGCGGGGAGGGAGTGGTAGGGCTTGGTGAATTAGGTGCCCCGGAGGGGGCGTGTGCGACTTACATCCGGCTTGCCCTTGAGGCCATTGCTTGTGAGATAGTCCCGAACATACTGCTTGTCGTACGATGGGGCTTCGACGCCGGCTTTCCACTCGGCGGCATTCCAGAACCTTGAGCTGTCACTATTGAGGAGAGTCAGTATACATCTAGGACTTTTTGACAATTACGATAGGGCTTGGCACAGCCGGTGAGAGGATTCTTTGACCGGATTGACGTACGGGGTCAGGACTTCATCGACCTGTGAAACGTTAGTCCTATGTCTATGACTATTTTTTGGGGGAGATGATAGGAGTGGTCGCTCCTAAAAGTGGGGAGGCGCCTCACCAGAACAACTTCATCGGTTGCCTCGTCCAGGGCGAACTCGCTAAGGATTCATTGTTAGCGTATGAGGACGAACACCGAGATGTGATTCAGCACGTGAGGGACATTGCATCTCCAGGGATTGCGAGCTATGTAGCAGCACTACTTGCTGGGGCTGCCGCAATGGATATCCGTGCGTGCATAAAAGAGAGAGAGGCTAGGAGGTGACAAGTTACAACTCACAACTTGGTATCAGCCACAATGATGCCGCGTTCACGGGCGTAAGCGGCGGCGGCGCTGTACACCGAGAGACTCAGCTCTGCGATTCGAGCGGCGTACTTCTCGCCGACAATCTTGACGGCCTGCTCAGGGGAGATGTTCTCATCCTTCTCTCCAGCGGGGGCCTTGGTAGAAGGAGTGTACTGCTTTGGGCATTAGCTTGTGGCTTTTTCCTGTGCCTCGTATGGACATGAAGCGCCCTGCTGGTGGCGTCGAGCTGCGTGGCAGGGCATAGTAGACAGGAAGCTATGTGATTTGTGATACTCATAGATTGGGAGCAACAGGGGCAAAGAGACGTTAATTTGGGTGTGGTAGCACGGTAACTTACGATAGGCCCGTTCGGGAACGCGCCACATTTCTCTAGCCCAGCCGGCTGAGGGATGCCATGGACAGTGCCGTGGGCGACGCTGGAAGCCGTGACTTGTCAGCTCGTCTCTTCTTCTTCTTCTTTTGGTTGGGTCACATCGGGAGATGGCTGATTGCCGAAATTTGCGATCCCGGTACGAGATGCCAAGATGAGAGGGAGGTTGAAGGCTGGGTGTGGGTTCGCCCATCAACTTACTACTCGCTCCATGCGCTGCCGGTGATGTAGCCTCTCACAATAGCTTCCTAATGGAGCGAATATTAGAAATCTATCATTTCCTTTGGACAGCTTACAGAGCAGGGAAATGGGGGGCCTGGAAGCAAACCCGGCTTTTGGCTTACAATGGGGAACACCTTGAGCTTGCGGCAGGTCATGGTTCGTCCGCGCAGCAGGCTGCGTTCCTCAGGCGTCAACGGAGCTGAGGCCGGGGCCGACAGGGATAGCAGGTGGTGTTTCAGGCCGGGCACCTTCTGCTCGAGCACGGAGAACCAATGGGCCGAGATCTGGGTGAGGAGGAGGCCCTTTTGGGGCACGCCATTGGCGAGGACGACGTCGTAGGCTGAGATGCGGTCGGTGGCCGTGAAGAGGAGGGTGCTGGCGTCGAGGTCGAAGAGGTCGCGGACTTTGCCCTGGGAGAGCTTGGGGAGGGATTGGAGGGAGATGGAGGTGATTGCTTGGGGGGAGGACATGGTGGACTGGCTGTTGTCTGTCTGTCTTATATTTTAAGTTGAGATTTTTGCTTGGATGTGGGAGTATTGGATATTCCAACGGAGGAAAGTGAGGTAGTTGATGAGTGAGTGGATAGGTGAGCTGAGGTTGAGTGACTAAGAGTGTAAGTGGTGATAAATTTTGCGATGTGGGGACGTTGGGCGATCAGCTAGTCGCCGATTGTGGCGCTTGAACCAGAGCTCTATCCGCACGTGCAGGAGACTCTGCGCGATGGCTACGATAACAGCTCTTTGAAGCCTGCTGTTGGTTGTCTAACTGTAAAATCATTGAAATAGTAAAAGACGGAATATGGTATTGCTTTTGTGTTGGACAGTGTATCCCTTTGATCCAAGACAAATGGCTCTATGCTGCGTCATATGGAACCAGCGGAGCTTGGCCCGGCCGTGGGGATTCCGGTTCGGCATCTCCACTCCAGCGCCGTTTGATCTCGTTGCGTTGGTAAGCTGACATTGGCTGGGACTGATAAAGCTTTCGCTTGAGATGCGATCACAGAAATTCGCGAGCATTACTTTAGTTGCAACTGAACTGTGTTTCGTTATTTTGAATGCACTGTTCTTGCACCTTGTCGAGTTGGCGCAAATTCCACAGTCTGTGCTGTGGTTGTGCTCTAAGTAGTCTTAGTTGCCTATATTAACAGTGTTAACACTTCGCTGCGGTTGCTGACGAAGATATTGACCTCAGGCGCGAGACAATCTGGTAATATGCTACGCGCGGAATCATCTTGCAGTTATAATCCTGCGAAACCGGCTGAGCCATATCAATATCTGCACCGTTATCAAGCAACACTTGAACTAAATTATGATGTTCTAGCTCCAACGCTAATTGAATCGGCCTCCCACAGCTTACATCTGCGCGCCAAAGGCCAGGTAGATCTGACTCTTTCAGACCGTGAAAGCCAATGTTGACATCTGCACCATAAACGAGTAGTAACCGTACCAGATCCTTATCACCTACAATGACAGCTCTGACAAGAGGAGGCAAATATTCCACAGATTCATAGTCAACGTCCCAAGTCATATTCCATGTATCAAGCGGAATCCCCCCCTCATAATCACGAGACATGGGCGATAACTGTCGATCTGAGTCTTCAAAGTCGCATCTTACACCATTAGCAAGTAGAATGTCGATGATGGGGAGATCACGCTTGGTTATGGCATGACCAAGCGCTCTTGTGCAATGCACTCGATCTGTCTTTTGAATCAACATCTCAACAAGCTGATGGTTTCCTTGTCGCACTGCATATAATAACGCCGGCCCCGGTAAGCGCCCGCCATGCTTTGAAGTGAAATTAGCGTCAGCACCGTTTTCAAGGAATAGTTCCACTATATTGACATCTTCTAGCTCCGTAGCGTATTCCAATGGCGTCTTTCGAGGAGAAAAGTTGAGATCGAAGTTTAGATTAACGACATAATTTTTAAGAAGCTCCGGCACAAGATGAAAATATTTCATCTTCAGCACTTCATCGAGTGCACTCTGTTTTTGTGCTTCATCTGGCAGTTCATGAATGTTGGCATCGGAACTTTCATTTTTATCGGCTTCTTCATCTTGGTGCCCACTTAAAATAGCCTGTGAGGGCTTCGTGGGCGGCATGTGCTTCTGCTGTGGAGCGGCGATTAGTTCTTCGGCACTCGTGGAGCGATTAAAGAAATAGAACATTTGGTCTTTAACGCGCCAGACAAGCTCCCAATCTTCTTTTCTCTCGACGTCAACGTTACTAGGTTGAACTGTGGTGGGATGAGATTCTTTGGTAGCCGGCACAACTGCAGGTTGAACGGGTTCGGCGGTGAGTAGCAGGGCCGTAGGCCTTTCAGGTCTTTCCCACTCGAAATCTTTGAATTCCTCCATTAATCTAGCCTGTATTTCTTCCATTGTATGTTGTCTGCAATGCGCGAAGGACATAATCAGTTCAGGGGGGTTGAAGGCAGGCTCATACTCCCGTCGTAAAACTTTAGTCCAGTCGATATCGCCAAAGAAAGGATGAGATTTAATCTCAGAAGGCCCGTTTGATCCTAGTCGCTCATTGGGATTGCGGATCAGGAGCTTGGCAATTAGGTCTTGGGCATATGCTGGTAATAAATTATTCATCTCGAGAGGTTTGGAGAGAATATTGCGGCGTCTCTCTTGCACATCCTCACTATAAAATGGAGGTAGCCCTGTTAACATCTCATATAGGAGAGCACCCAATGTCCACCATTTTGATGCTGTGGTAGTAGTACTTGTAGATTCATTGTCGGAAAGTAGTTCAGGAGCTATGCAGTCTTCGGTAATGTCTGACTTAACCTTCGAATAACCTATGTTCAAATGGAGAAGATGGGGATCGCAGAGAACAACATGGCCAATAGAATCCAGAAATAAATCGCTTGGATTAAGACTATAGGAAGGTTCTTGAGCGTGCAGACACTCGAGTGCAACTAGAATTTCTGCAGCATAAAATCTTGCTCTATCAATCTGAAAATGCCGCGCCATTTGCAGATGATAGAGAAGGTATCCACCAGATATAAACGGCCAAAACAAACATAATTTTCTTTCTGCTTGTGCTGCGAATTTGAGGGGCGCAATGAAAGGATTGTTATTAACTGGTGAAATGAGTGCCTGTACTACATCGCCGTGCGAGAAGTCAACAGACTTCTGAATATTGATAGATGCGTAACAGCCGCGGCTGTCCCACTTCCAAACCCGGCTAATAGAATCAGTCCAGCGATCTCTATAGCATTTGGCTGGTTTCGTAGTCCGAATTTGCAATGTCTTATTCTTGGCGTATTCAACCTTGACATGCAATTCTCCAGTGCCCAGTTGTAGCCACTTCGTTTGAGATGTAGATTCGGGCTCAAAAACAGGAGTAATTGTTGCCGCACCGAGGAATATATGCTGGTTTCCAGAGCGAGCGTGCAGATGCTTTATGTAGAGTCGTATCGTCAAGTCGCTGGCTCTGAAGACATCAAACTTCTGCTTCCCCGGCAAGATACTGCCTCTTTCTTTGTTCCAAACGGGGCTTTCGGTTGTTCCCGAAACAGCTTTGATGTGAATTTGGGAATTGTCAAACTCTAGCACTGCATGTGGCAACTTTTGATAATTGGCATTTTGAAGTATAGAGTCTCTGGCTTGAGTTTTGGCAGCCGTCCCTGGTAAAAGATTCGGCTCATACTCTTCATATTCGGACGGAGCCGTAAAGCCAAGACCTTCATAGATTGTCACTGACAGTATACCGGGCCCGTGAAAGTTCTGCGACTCGATTGGAATGATCTCAGGTGCTTTCCAGTTACACATTAGCTGGAGTTACGAGTCGATAGCGGCACATACTGTATGGATTGTCGTCGTAGAGGATGAGGCCTTCTGATTTGGTCTTTGCCGAATCAGCCTTCTCTAACGACGCATCAAACGAATCAACGTTAGGCATCTTGCAAATATCCAGGGTAGAGTCACTTCAAGATGAAAAACGTTTGGCATAGTAGTATAAAAAGGGTAGAGATTGTTTATATAGTAGGTCGATTTAATGACGCCACTTACCCCACATTGGCGATTAGTAATATTTACGAGGCGAGGTCTACGTATGTGTACAAAGGAGCCATGAAGGGAACTACCCATGATAAGCCCCATACGCTCACTCTACATACAGGCGGGATAGTCTGTCTGGATGCTGTAAGATCTTCGTCGGATAACATCTCAGCTCATGAGTCATTGGATACCGAAGAGTAAGAATGATATAATTCTACGCGTGCGCTTAGCTCATCTGGCAGATATCAGCTGCTTCTAATAACTATCTTATATCTTCTTACCTACATGTGAATTTGCTGTGAATTTGCTAGACTTGACAACTGGCTACAGGCTGGGCCTGGATATTAGGCCATAGCCGGATATTTGGCTATAAAAGGCCTCACTCTAGCAACATCTGCTATAAACAATTTCCTGAACTGAATTATCAACATTTGAGTTTAGCACTGGGCTTTGGATTGCTGAAGCTGATTGAACAAAGTATAACGTCTTTGAGTTTACGAGCCAATTCTACTTTGGCCAAACTCTTGAGCTTGGATTTAATTCATCAAGTTAACTGTATTCGTAGCAGGATAGCACTTCGTGGCAAAAGTAAATTCGTAGGTTCTCAAAAAGCAATGAGCCGGACAAATTGCAAAAACAGGTTTTAATCTCGTGTGAAAAATTAACGTTCTTCACTGAAATTGTACATAACTACCCGTATGTATGTTGGCCTACTCAACTGCATACCTTTTCTCATTGCCAAATTTCTAAGATGGATCAGGCTTGGTCCAGTCCTGCGGAGTATATTTGTACGATCGGTCAGTATTGTTTCCATAAACAATCTGCAGCGTCCGCAGCTTTTGACTTGTTAGAGGGGGCACAGGTGGCGCCGCTGCGATCGAAGAATTCGAATTAGGTGACCTCTTTCTGACAGGAAACTCGTCACCTTGTCCTTGGCAGGACAGGCTTGGGCCTCCAGCAGATTTGACGGCGCGCTCCACACAACCTGCTTTAAGGACGACTGGAAGGTCGAAATACACGTACGCCGCGTCTGTCGACGTGGCATCATTCCATGTCCAAAATGTGAGGGCACCACAGCCATCTTCCTGCTTATGAAGTGCGGCTCCTCCGTCCGTTGACCAACCGGCAATGTTGAAAATTTCGAATTGGAAAGCAACGAAATCCTCATCTTGGGGGTTAAAAAAATAAACAGTTAGTGTATTGGACGGCTCAAGAAAGCAGGAACATCAAACACAAAGATACAAGAAAAGATAAAAAGAAACAGAGGGCCGGCATATTTGCCTCAAATATGTAAGTGGTCTATTTTACTTACCCCAAAAATAGCAATCGGCCGTTGGTGTTGGGGGCGGAGGTGGAGCTGTTGATGTAGAAGATGGGGGGGCTTGGGTGGTGGTGGTGGTGGTGGTAGTAGTGACGCCAAATGGGTCGCCGGGGTTTTCTGTATTCCACATTGAGATCATGAGAGATCCAAGAGACTATAAAAAGTACTAGGGTTAGACATATGTTGCATTGAAGAAGTTTAGATGATAAAGAAAGGGCTGATAACGCGGCCATGAACTGCCAGTCCCCGTATCGGAGGGCCTCAATGCCAAATAGAGAATGAGAAGGTGCTACTTACAGCAACATCCGATGATGCGAGGACACCCGTAGGAAACGCGTCGCCTGAGACAACCTCCTCGAGAACAGTTGTGATAGCTGTCTCGGTCGTGGTTGTGGTAGATGTGTTGTCATCGTCATCGCCGTCGTCGCCACCATCGCCATCCGGATTGCCAAAGACACCCGGTGGGCAAAATGGACAGTCTGGATCGCAGAATAACTCACCTATTATTTATGTTGTTATTAGTCTATGGAAATGACTTCGATTGGTCAACAGTTTCGAGAAGTCTCAACTTACAGGTTTTACCACACCCATCGCAGCCCGGCGTGGAGGTAGGTCCAGGCGTGTCACCCGACTTCCATGAGGTGGTGCGCGTATTTAACTCTGGGTCTTTGGTCGTTTGTGTCTGCGTGGGATGGGGATTTGGTGTGACAGTAATCGTCTTTGGAGACAAGGTGATGCCGCCGATAATTGTTGTGGTGCCTCCTATCGTTTCGGTCTCCGGGGGTAATACTTCAGTTTGATCTCCCCAGATAAAGACTCCTCCCAGGCTGGTAGATGTAGCAGTTGCGCTGATAATAGACGTTGTGGCATTAATAACCCTAGATATTGTTAGAACCGCAGAAAATCATCTCACAAAGGCCCCTTGGTTATCCCAAAGCGATTGCATAAGGGTGAATTATGACTTACGGCGTAACAGTCACCGGAAAGGTTCTGGCTGCACGGAACTCGTCAGATAAATGACGCCATTTGTTGAACTCGAGTCGAGAGATACTCCCCAGATGGGAATCTCTGTAGTAGTAACTAGTGATATGACAAATCAATACGCAGAATTCACATGGAAAGTTGTTTAACATCAGAAACAGGCCAATTCTCACCTGGGGGTATTGTTATTACAGTGGGGATTGGAACGTAATAATACCACGGATATGTTGACGTCGCACCATTTGACAAAGTGCTTGTCAACGTTGTCAAGTAAGAGTATGAGACGGTTGTAGTCCATGGCGGAAACGTGATGGTGGTAGGAGTAGCTAGAGGTTTAGGCGGCCAGATGAGTGTTACACCTGGCAGAGCAGTGATTTCGGCAGACGCAGAGCTCCAGATGCCAGGGTCAATATAAACGATGTTGTCTCCCGATCCCGATGACCCTGATGAACTTGACCCAGAATCTGAACCAAACTCAACTTGCAAGTCAACTGCCCAGTCAGAAGATCCGAGGAAGCTAAGGGCACCATAAATAACTTCGCGAGTCTGCTTGTTGGTATCATTCATGTAGGCGGCCCATTGCGTATTGTTATACACCAAGATATTAGAGTATGAATCTTGGTCCCAGTACTGCTCAGCCGTGGGATTCTCTGTAATTACCAGATTCAGCTCGTAATTAGCAAGATAGCCGGCTGTATTTGTGCATTGACCTGCAAGAGCGCCGGAATCCGGCCCCATATAAGGGCACATTTCCGTCCAACAACCGGGAGTGATCATGCCAAAGGAGCGAGCGTAGCTCGAGACACCCACGACGACTTTATTGGAAGCAACACCGGCTTTGGTAATCATGGATAAAGCATTTACCGTTTCGGTCATGTTTACATGCGAACGCAAACAATCCCCAGCGGGACATCCCGTATCAGAGTAGGCCCTTCCATAATCCCACTGCCCGTGGAGATCATACGTCATATACACGATGTAGTCCACAACGGTACTCAACGCCATAATTGGAAAATGTTGCAGGTACCAGTATGACGCAGGAGCTGTAATTGAAATGGTTTTACCGAAAGCCAGCAAGGCAAAACTCTGTTTCAATTCGTCAAGAAGTAGAAACAGCCCAGTGCTGTCGTCATCAGTGCCTGCCGGGATGCCTGGAATGTCAGGTTCATCAAGATATTCCCAGTCAATGTCCACACCATCTAAATCATTGTCGTTTACAAAGTTGACGATGTTGCTGATAAGTGCAGAGCGACTTGATTCAGAAGCAACGGCGTTCCGAAAGATCATGTAGGTGCTAGGATCTGTGGAGAAAGCCCAGCCGCCAAAGGATAAGATTTTCTTTACTCCTCTGAGGTCTTGAAAAAATGGGAATTCCGGATCAATTGTGCTCATGTTGATAGTCCAATCTGGATTGATGCCGGCAAAACCAAAATGTACATGGGTGTAGGCCGAAGTATTCAGGTGTTGAAGACCCGCGTTTAAACAAGGCCTTTGCCAGTTAAACCCTTCCCAGTATGCGATTTTAAATTGTTCTGATGGTGCACTTGAGGATATTTGCTATATTTGCTATATTTGCTATATTTGCTATATTTGCTATATTTGCTAAATTTGCTAAATTTGCTAGATTTGCTAGATTTGCTAGATGATATGCCCAGATCTAGCTACATGTGCTTGACTCAATTAGATGGGCTTGATCATCTTGTCCCTGGAAACACCCTACTAAGCAAAAAGTGGACGTCATATGCAAAAGCCTAAATTGCCAGATATAGATAGAATAGCAACACGCCATGATTCAAATTAATTTACCTATGTATGGCTAGATGCACTCCCAGGTACAATCATAGTAAATTACCGCATGATTTGTTATTCTGTAAACAATAGTAAAATCGATCGATTTAGGTCGTCGTATCTCACATTCTTGCCAAGGAGTGGCCGTCCATATCCATGTCCAAGCCATATCAGATATCCCAGTAGCACTACCGATGTTAATAAGCACTCAGTAGGTTTGCATTGTTATGACACGTATTCTCCATATATACGACGATACTATTTTTCTGGATAAAACAAGTTTTCGAATTGGACGCTCTTCAAGATTTCCTGGTCATTTTTCATAATGTTCAGACCTACAACACGACTATGCGTGATTGAACATAAGATTAGTAGAATTCGATAGTATAGAAGGCTCGCTAAGCTTTGTAGTGTTTTTCTACGTATGGTAAAAAGGAGTAGGGTCATCGCTTCGCCTGGCATTGGCATTACAGATCGTCACATAAGCAGTACTATGCATTTAGCATCGTCAAATATGTACTCTTTCCAATATTATTACGTACCTCTGGTCAGCGGTGTAGCTCTCTTGAATATCCAGGAGTAGAAAGATCAGCTCTATACCTGGAAATTCACTTGGAATTATTTCAGATTAAGATCGGCGAGCTGCCTTGTTGAGTAAGTAGCTTTCCGAATACATAGATTCCTGACGTCACGAATATTGGTCCTAGCTTACTTGCTCTCTCGTGTAAACGTTAGTAATAACCTTACAAGTAAGTATTAAGCTTGCGAGAGCTGGGGTTGGCTATATAGGGATCTTGGCGTCAGCACTAGAATTCTACAGCTCGAAGACAACGATATAGTCGGAAGATAGTATTTAGCCGAGTCCAACAGTATTCTCAATTGAGATAAAGTAGGAAATTTAATCTGGTAGGATATCACTGAATACGAGGTTTCGCCGTCATATCTTGATTCTGCATGGAAAGCTCCTGGTTCTTCGGTTTGGGGTCATTGGCTAAGTTGACCACATCAAGAACTTCGAATAGATATATAAATCATCTCATCCCCTCATTCAATCTTATCCTAGTACAATAGCATCGAACAAAGACAATCGATATCTTCTAATCATATTCTTCACTTCTTCACGAATCAAATATGCTCGTCCTTCAAGCCATTACGTCCGCTCTCCTCTTTGTCGGAGCAGCTTCAGCTTCCGCTATCGATTTCTCCAAGAGAGACGAAGCCGTGAGCCTTGCAAAGAGAGACCAGAAGCTCACTGTTTCTCACTGCACCGGATGTATCGCCGGCCCTGGAGGGGGTTCCAGCTGCGTCAACAACTGGTATGTCCATTGGGGTGATGACCAGCTCGGTTCATGGTAAGTTTATGGTCCATAGGCATGAACTGTTATATCCTATCTGCTTGTACAAAGGGGGAAGAAACTGTACTAATTGAGAGATTGTAGCAACGACAGTAGCTTCCTGTACGACGATTCATCCTGTACTGGCCAAATGCCTACGCCGTCCGGTACTGGTGACTTCTCAGCCAGCAACTGTGGCGCAGGACAAGATCAAGTGTTTGCAACTGTAAATGCTGGCGGGAACACCTACACTTGCTATAAAGCTGCTGGTGATTTTAGCAACTTTTGTGGCGAAAACTATGCGTGCGATGTTTATGCGAGCTGCTACGGCCCATAAATGAATGTGGATGTGGATATTGCTTTAGCCAGATGAGGAGACTTTGTATTTATGACCTTCTTACTATTCACGGTAGAAGGAAAATAAGCAGTATATGGAACAGGGATCCATGTCTGATTCGTCTACGCATGTATATGATGTGCACATGTAACTTAGCTTACATCAACCAAGTTTTCAAGTTATAAGATTTTACAGTTTTAAAGGGAAGAGCCATCCAGCTCCCGAATTCGATTGTCTAACATTCTAATTGTAGCTATAATAGGTAATTAGTCTACATGTAAGTTAACTATATATATTTAGAGTAATAGCATTCATAGTGTTGGCAACAGTAGAAGCAGTAGCCTTTGCTATATTGAGGTAAAGTGCTGGATATTGTGACTAGTGTGATAGATAATTTTCCCAAATCATATTGCAAGTATGTAATACAAGGATACCGACGACTTGCAATGAGAAAGGCTCAATCGATGGGCATTAAGATCTAGTTTCACTTCTCTCGGCGAGTGGAAGCTCAAGCCGCTGAAGAATTCCACAACCACCTGCAGCTCAATTTTCTTGTATGGCGGAGCTAAAACCGTTGGTATGGTGAAATTGTAAGTAGTAAGATACTTCGTGCTCTTTGTCAAAGCATCGGCTGCGGCTGCAGTTAACTTTCTATTATTGGCCCCTGGCAGCATGTAACCCTTTTTGATCTCTGGTAAGCGACAAAGGCGTATTACTACAATACAAGTGCGTATTATCAAGGTACTTGGAAGCCTATGCAGCTTATTTTTGAAGAAATTGAGAACTAACAAGCGAGGTACTTGCGGACTTTCAGCTGCGGACCTGGTCAAAGAAGCTGGCGATGCTGCTAGGCTACGCACAACAACCAGCGGAGTTTCAGGGCAATTGTACGCAAAAAACTGATTTGCAATCATGTGGAGCAGACTTGTCCGATCTCATTTATAAAGTGCGGAATCCTTCAACGGAGATCAATTGGCTAGCCAATAGCAGAACATTTTGTTATTGCCTATTTGTTGCTAGTGCAAGCTTGTGGCCTCTAGTTGCTTTATTTCTGTAGCCTGGAGTCTTCTGTGTAGGAAGCCAAGCCATATAGACTAGGTACGCGTAGTTACGACGCTGGTTGGCAATACTTACACACCTCATACGTCAACTCTGTTTCCCTCAATCGCCTTATAAAATCCTCTGTCGCAGTTCATACAGAAGCAATGCGCTGGCTATTCAGTCCATTATCTACAAATTCTTACATCATTGCATTTAGTTGAAGCACTTTTTCTTATTTAAGCTTGGCTGGACTCTCATTCCTCTCTCCAACGCCATGGGCCAACCACGTATTCCTCCAACGCCTGCCGAGACCAATCTCAGTGGCAAGACCATCATCATCACAGGCGGCAATGCTGGTTTGGGGTATGAAGCAGCAAGACAATACCTTACTCTGGGTGCAAATCGTTTGATCCTTGCTTGTCGCTCTGTTGCCAAGGGTGAGGTGGCTGCTGCTTCTCTGCGTGCAGATCCCACTGTCAAAAGGTCAAATCCCGATGCTTCAATCGAAGTGTTTGAGCTCGATCTCGACGACTATCAATCTGGGCTTCGCTTTTCCAACAAGGTGAAAAATGAAGTCAAAGAGCTCGATATCCTTCTGAACAATGGCGGGCAAGTTGCATTGGACTACACAAAAAGCAAAAGTAATCACGAGCGAAATATGCAAGGTAAAGGAAATAGAAGCCATGACCGAACTGTTCTATCAATTACTAATTATTATGTTCGCGAATCAAGTAAACTGCTATACTCATCTTCTCATCTCCCTCGAGTTATTTCCGCTCTTACGTTCTACTGCCGCGATTCGAGGGTTGCCGTCACGCATTACATTCACGGGTTCCGGAACTCAGATTACGCAAAATACTTTGACCAAGAAGCCCATCTCACCTGACAGCACTGTTCTCGGCCATTTCGATGATGAAGCCAACTACAATAAATATTTCCGCTACGCTGATACCAAAACTGTTGTCAACGCTTACGTTCGGCGCTTGGCTGCCTTGGCGCCCTCTGAAGTCATTGCCAACAACCCCTGCCCCGGGCTTGTGCAAACGGGCTTTGACAAGAATCTTCCCTTCTATCTCCGGCTCCCTATGGTGCTTGTTCGTAAGGCCATGGGCCGTACGGTAGAGGAGGGCGCTCGAACATTGGTCTATGCTTCTGCCGTTGCGGGACCCGAGATCAATGGCAAGTTTCTGCAGCATAATAAGGTCGATCCGTGAGTGTGACAAGAAGCTCTCCTAGCCAAGTGATTGTTTACTGACCATATCCACCAGAGGTGCTGCATTTCTTAATGAGCCTGAAGGAGAAACTTTTATGAATAAGCTCTGGAAAGAAAGTGTGCAAGACATTGCCGCTGTAGACCCCAGTCTGAGTTCTTATGCTTGAACCGACTACTTGAACCCGGAAATGGTGTGTGTAATGGATTGAGATATATTACGTATGAGGAAATACCATGGTAGAAGGAGAACCAAGAATTAGCAGTGGAGAACTCTGTATAACAGGCCCATGCTAAGGCCGCTTCCGCTTTTGGTTTACTTTCAAAGCTCATACCTTGCCCGTTTCTCCTTTGCCTGCTCTTTCTTCTCTTCTTCTACGCTTTTTCTATGTTACACATACGGATAGAAACAATTACAGACGCTTTAATATTTGAATAGCGTGACTACACAGAGTCTTTAGTTTCTTCACACCTCTTTCTAAATCTTCAAAAGACCAAATACGAGGGAGCCAATCACGACCCATGCTATGTAAAACAAGATAAGCAAGAAATCTTTATCGCTTTATTGCACATTGTACGCTACATAGCCAAAGTCCATAGTTAAGGCTGGCATGATAACATGGATATCTCAGTGCAGGCCCTTTAAAATCTCTACCATAATTGTTGGTAGTTGTACTGTTGTTGCCATGATGAATCCCGGCCACATTACCAGTGTTGTGAGGTGCCGAAACATTGACGTAGGTACCGCTCTCATCAGACGCATTTTTGAGCTTTTTCCACCGCATCCTTTAACCACGGGTAGCAATCTCGTTGAGGTCTTCTAGTTTCGGTCGGCTCATGTCTTTACATTCCTCGTTGCTTAGATCACGATGTTGCTGCTTCTGATCTTCAGGGGAGAAATCCTCTAGATTTGAAATGAGTCAAGACATGGCTGTCACAAACGAGTCAAACTTTTCTTTCTTGTAACAAGCTCAATTTTCGCTGTCAGTCACCTTCATGAGTTGAGTTTCTCGCTGGCGAAGAGACGCTCGAAATCTCTGGCGGATCCTATTCATGCCACGGGATAGATGCAAGTCCGCATCAAGTATCTGCCTGCTGTTCGCATCGATGGAAGGGTCGTCTCTCCCGGCCTCACGGTGGGCCCGTTCAAGAGTATCTCCGATCGTTTCAAGAATGTCTTTGATTCTACTCTTGTACCCATCTTTAGCTACGGCCTCATGTGGTGCATCCAGATATCTTTGTGCGCCAGCTCTGTCGCCGGTAATTCTAGCAATCTGACCCCAACGAGAGAGACGAAGCTGCAAAACATCGAGTTTTGACTGGTTCATTGCGAAATCCTTTTCAAATCCCCGAGCTTGCGGGGGCAAGTTGAGAGAGTGGAAGCGACTACTCGAGCAGGGCTCGCAGATTTCTCGACCATCGTCCTTAGTTGTGAGTCGCTTCTTCCAACTTGGCTTGCTTAGATCTGATGGACGGCGACGTTGGTGCATCTCAAGAAGCAATTAAGCTTCTTGTCAGTGAGGCTAGTCTGTCTTCTGTCAAAGATGTGTCGGATCGACATATTCTTACTGTTCTAACCAGCGGGCCAAGTAGAGGCTTATGGACTACAGAGGTCAACCCACTCTTTCAACTCATAACTCACTCACATGTTGTCGACTCTGCCCTCTTGGAGCAATTGGTTGCAGCAATGTTCAACTTTCTTCTCGGGGTAGGCGGCGCTCGTATTACGAGGCTCTTTAACTATGTAACCCAGCTGGTACAATACTGGCCAGCTACTACGATAGGCATCTCGCGAATGGAAACAGCGGAATTGTCTCTGGCGGTATTACCTAAAATCTTGGATTGCAACACTACCAATATTGTCGACGACAATTTTTGTCGTTCGTTTCTTAGAATGTCTAGACGAGGCATCGCAAGTAGGAGAAAACTTTTCTCGTTTGCAGGCTTTAAAGCATCTTTATTACTCACATCCGACAATGACTTAAAGTGGGAGATAACATAGCTGCTGCGTAAAATAACGCTATAGTCTTTATGCCTCTGGAGTCCTTTTTGTTTTAAAGAGATCTTCCTGGGCATATGTCTGCAGAAGGCCCACGCTATGATAACGACTATAAAGAGATTCCGAAGATTCTGATCCTGCCTACATACAAGGAAATAATATCACCGCGTGAAGAATATTTACAGACGAACGACTGCTCTTAATAGCACATCCACGGTATCTGTGGATGTATAGACAGTGAATTCCGCCTCTTAAGAGAGGACACTGTCGGCCAACTTCGGGATACAGTCCGTGAGATGCTCGAGCACATTTAACACTCCAGTGACAGACAGCCCTGCCGCTCTAAGCACATACGAATATTTATATACGATTTTCCTATACCCACCGATGTCGAATTCGACAGATTGAGCGGTTTGGAGCTAGTTGTCCGTTGTAACCTACCCCCTGCAGTCCGAAAACTGAGCCCCAAACAGCGAAGAGACTGGTGGCTATAAAGCAAACGGCTACAGGTGGGAGCCTTAGTCTGCATTATTGATGCAGCTGGATTAGTATTATTCTGCGGTGTTTTAGACTCGATAATGGGTGTTTGAAGATTGGAGATGTATGTGGGATGCAGCATCTGGAAGAATGTTGCAAATTCGAGTGGCAAGTCCTGAGCAAATGCTATTTGCAAGAAGGCAACTATTTAGACCGATGGCATATTGAATATCTACCATTACACACTTGCTTATGTCGGGTATAGCTCCATCTTCTAGGTCCAACAGACCGCTATAAGGCTAACGAGTGATAAAAGTTCTGAGAAAGCGCTCTAACATATAGCAATCACGAGTTTTACTACTTGCAAAAAAGCAAGATTATAGAATCAATATATCTGAAGGTTGGATTCAAGACAGATACCAGTAGAAAAAATACAGTAATAGATTAAATCCTACTGGTGGTTTAATGTTACGTGCAATGAAGGATTCTGTTACTGTACCAAATCTAACCATTTTTGCTTTTCCGTTTGATGGATGGGATGACCTTGGACAAGGTGCCACGCTGCTCACTATGCCCAAGAAGGGAAGATTGTTTGCCAACGGTGACTGTCCTCGCAACTCAATAAAGAGGCGTCTTATTATGCTAGAAGGGAGTTAGTCCTCAGTGCGAGATGGCCTGACCGAGAGAGGCCGGTGGTAGTTTGGGCCAATTAACGAAACTTGAAAAACATAAGCATGATATGACGCCGTAAACTACAATATGGCAAATCTCCCTTCTATATTTACTAGTAGTCAACAATATAAATTCCCGCTCGGAACTGATTCCACTTCGATGACATGACCAAGTATCTCTACTCCCTGAGACGGATGATCATGATATACTTACCTAAGTTTTGAAGTAACAAGCTAAACTTTGACAGTCAGTAAAACTGTGTCCTCTTTCACTCTCTGTAGAGCGTATAGCACAGACCATGCACAGGTGAAAGCTACTACGAATACAAACAAGTATGCAGCCTCTCTGCCATACCTTCACCTGCTGCTCAGTCGCCCAGAACTGACAATTGGAGCATTATGAAGATTTATATCACTGCTTAATAACATGAAGAATGAAGCCCATTAAACAGAGCGTAGAGATAGAGATGGTATGCGGCATTAGCGACACAATAGTAGGTGCAGCTAGACATCAGGATGACATACCGGACAGTTTTCGCTTATTGAGAGAAAGCCTTTGTGTATTTGGAATCTTCGCAAAATCATTGTCTTTGTTCCAGCCCTTGCATATATAATATCGAGACAGATTCAAGTGGAATATGGAACAGGTGTGCGCGGGTTAAGGAGATATTCCGGGCCGCAACCTTGAGTCGTTCAATTGCGGCCCGCATCCGGCCTTCAATCCGCAGAAATCGTTGCGACCGGGTTGGTATGTCGACGTTCTCCGCACATTTCCTTTCTCATAATGATAAAAACACTATATCTTAGCACATATATCTCAGTTAATGATGTGAGCTATAAAACACTCGCAGCTCCCCTCCGTACAGCAGAATACTTTTCACCTTCGCACCACATCCACAATACCACCTCCGCAACGCCCAAGATTTCTCACAACGAAACGTGACACGATTCCAACTCAACTAAAATGGCTAGTAAGAAGCTCATCGTGGTCATCGGTGCAACTGGAAACCAAGGTGGCTCCGTAGTCGATGCGTTTCACACGGATCCGTCATGGAAGATTAGAGCACTTACACGTAACCCTTCCAGCGCCAAGGCGACAGCGCTCGCAGCTCGCGATGTGGAAGTGGTGAAAGCCGATATGGATGATCCTTCTAGCTTACCTGCGGCCTTTAAAGATGCCAATGCCATCTTCGTTGTTAGCGACTTCTGGGGCCTGTACGGTTCATTTGCTCAGCAGGGGGTTGATACCGGCGGAAAGCCGCTGAACCTCTTCGCAGGTGAGCATGAGCTGCAGCAGTTGAAAGCAGCCATCGACGCCGCCGCAAAGGTGCCTACCTTGGAACGATTCATTCTCTCCACACTCTCCGCTGCAACAAAGTGGTCCAAGGGAAAGTACACCCATGTGTACCACTTTGATATCAAAGCCCAAGCCTCCGCATACGTGAAAGAGGCGCAGCCAGAGCTTTGGACCAAGACAAGTCTTTTCCAGCCAGGTTTCTTCTTGAGCGGCTATGTGCTTAACCCAAACCTTAGGCCACGAAAGGTATGTTTTCATTTTTCTCAGCGAGAGTATACTTCTCCATGCAGCTGACCATTTCCAGAATGCAGACGGGGTTGCCCAGTTCTTCAACACGATGAGAGGCGACTTTAAGACCCCCTGGCTGGCCCCCGAAGAAGATTCAGGTGCTTTCGTTAAAGCGCTCATTGTCGACGAAGCTCCGGGTAAAAATCTCATTGCATACCGCGAGTGGGCTACTTTGCGAGAGATGGTGCAAGCATTCGAGAAGGCCAGTGGAGTGAAGAGCGAGGTCGTCGAAGTGCCAGTCGATGCGCCTAACGAGCATCTCCCACTCGAATTGAAGATTGAGCTTGATGAGGGCTATAGCTATTGGGAAGAATTTGGCTACGAAGCGAGAGACGATCCTACTGTCATACATCCCAAGGATGTAAGTCTTGTTACACAGAGATGCTGTATATGAATGGCTTGTGCTAATATTCTTATACTAGTTGAAACACCCTCCAAAGTTGGAGACGATGGAGCAATTTTACCGAAAGCAGGACTTCAGCAAAATCTTTGGAGCATAGTTGCTATATTAGAGACTGAATAGCATAAATTCTGTTTAAATGGACATGATGGGCCATTGTTAGGGCTATCTACTCAAACAGTTGCATCGTTAAACCCTACTTGCGTCTTTCTTGTAATCTTGCGTTCCGTAGCCTACGCAAACATACCGCCGCATAGCCTCAGTAGTATTTGCATTCCGTATCCAGCTGCGATTTGAAGCCCAACCGAGTCCCGAGTTTTCCATGTAGCGCCATATTTTCGTTTATCCAGGAAATGCTCCCAACCCCTCTCCAGCAGACTTCAATAAGAATCGTAGCTGTTATGGGATACTAAAATGTGATAACACGTAACCCCACCGGATTTAATACTAAGTGTGTCCGCTGCTCGGAGCTGGATCCAGTTGTCTGCTAGCTGTGAACCGCAGTAGTCTTGATGGAGCAGATGCATTTGTCAGATTTCTGCTGAATCTACCCGAAGTCCGACTGTATTACCATGCGTTTCGTGATATATCTCATATTATGGAACTTGCCAATAACAGGATAGTATCGAGCCGAATGCGTGGCCTAAACCGTTGCGTTGTTTTAGCAAAGATGACGGTATATAGATAGACTCGACCACAAGACAAACAAGCCATCGCTTTCTAAATCAACAAAATTTCTAAAAAGTATTTTCCCCCTTCTTTCTGCATAATATAGTTGCTCTCGCAATTGTCATGGAGGCCACGTACGAGACTCTTAACCTGATCAAGGATGGCAGCATTCTCATCGTCACTATCAACAACACCAGGAGCGAGGTCAACTTATTCCGCCAGCAGACTGCTGTCGAGCTGAACATATTGATTACTTCTCTGCAGAATGACACCTCCACCAAAGTTGTCATCTTCAAGAGCGGCAACCCGAAATTCTTCATTGCTCATTTTGATGTCATCCCCGTGCCAGGTAAGTTCCTGTCGCCCTTCTGCGTACAGAGTCACAGAAATGCTAACTTGAAGATCCCCAAAGGTGAGCCGGATCCTACGGCAATAGACGCTGCAGCCTTCAATGGGAGAGTCTTTCAGGCGATGAGCAACCTCCCACAGCCAGTCATCGCAATGATCGACGGCCCTGCTCGTGGCGCGGGAAACGAGTTCCTCGTGGCTTGCGATATGCGTTTTGCGTCCAAGGGAGCCCGGTTCAGCAACTTTGAGGGAACTCTCGGACTACACCCTGGGTCTGGCGGGGCTGCGTGGATGCCCCTACACATCGGACGAGGCCGCTCTATGGAGTTTCTCCTTTCTGGAGAGGATATAGATGCAGAGACTGCGGAACGCTACGGCTACGTGAACAAGGCCTTTGAGACATCAGAAGAGATGCACGAGTACGTCATGAAGCTGGCCAAACGCATTGCCCTCTTTCCGCTTAATGGGCTGGCCAGTATTAAGAAGACAGTCACTACACTAATTCAGCCAAGTGCCGAGCTGATGGCTTCCGAAGCTGTTGAATGGAACCGGTTGTTGGCTGAGCCGGAACAGGCAGGACTCGTTGGAGAGTTTATCAAGAAGAGCGGAAATTTGACAAGCGTGGAGTTCGAATTGCATGTTCCGGATGAAGTGGCCAAGCTATATGGTAAGTGATATAGTAGTACCTACGTACCTGTATAGTAGGTAGTCACATCAATGTCATTTTACGCTCAAGTCCCACGGCATGTTCCAAGGTACATGTACGGAGCATACCAAAGTTACTCGAGTTAAAACGAGCCGCGAACAGCAAAGACTAATGGCTGGCGATATGCAAAATCCGCACGGCATGTATCGAGTGGTACGTTTGGAAGCGTGCGCTGCGTGCTTCTCTTCAGCCGGCCTTCGGGACTTTTAACGTCTTGCGGCCCGCAATATCAAACGTTAGTGTGCGGCCCGCTAATGGCTTGATTTACCTCTATTATCACTACAGTATGAATCTAAGTTTGGCGACTTGTGGGGAGCTCATTCAATGAGGCGCGCGTAAAGGAGCATTCAGCCGGCCAGCGGCCAACTTTGATCCCCATGTGCCATACCCTCCAGATTGTCTTCCCCCCATCGTTTCACATGGACTTGTCCGTTGTCATCAATCATTAGAGGCAAGGTCTGGCCCTTGTTCGGCTCGTCCAAACGCCTCAGACGCCGCCAAAGCTTGCTTAGATTGCAGCAAGCGTGCATAAATATCTGGTTTCATCCATTAGCAAAGCGGTCTTGGTGGTTAGGATCTCGAGCTTGCCTGCAAGACGCCAGGTCCTACGCAACAGCTGAAGGACGTCCATAATAACTTCTAATCGCGCTTCCATTACAGCATCAGAGAGGCCGTACTGTTCTGCCTGGATATTGAAGCACGCAATTTGATAGACGACCTGCGTCACAAAGAGTGGAATTCGCAGCGGCTGTGATCGGAGGCAGTTGTCGCGGAATGATGGTGCCATGGCAGCCAGTCGATCCAAGACACAGCGAGACTCGGCACTGAGAACTCTAGTTTGTTCTAGGGGTTGGGTAGGATTCGGGTACCGCCAGCTATGCTCCTCCAGAATCAATATAGTACTGCCGCCTCGTTATTGTCTGTTTAGATCTCAAACAGGTAGGTAGTTGGCTGATTTACCTTATGCACACTGAGACCTGTGGGCAAAACTGCAACCCTCGAAGTTTGGATTCGCTATCGGACAAGTGGATCAAAGCAAGCACCGTCCGGCGAAGCTGAGCAACTTCCTCGACCCCGGCAGCGGAACCCTCTACATCTGTTTGCGTTTTGATGACTTTGAGAGCCTCACCAAGAAGATATGTAGATTGTGCTAGTCTTGAAAAGAGCCCCGTTTTCAGAGAAAAAGACGTGGAAATACTCACGGCAGACGATGGTCCAGAACTCTTTTGCGATATATGTCAGCCTCGAACAATGGGGCGGAGAATCACAGATGTTTCGTTTGTACTGACCCCGTCTTCCCATGCATGATCGTCCACCGGCAGATACGTCTCAAAGGTTGGATCATCCGTCAAGAGCCGTCTCAGGGGGTTATGAATGCTGATGATACTAAAAGATGCAATGAAAAACATCAGCACGGTGATTTAGCGTGATGCAAGGAGAAGCAGTTTCTAGGCACGACTTCTTACCGATCTAGGATTACAACTGCCCACCATGCTCGCCTTCGTTCTTCAATCTCTTCCCAAGATCCGTGTTGGGCGTCCTCGCCAGTCAAGCCCAAGTCAAATTTGTCGATGCCAAGGATGTGGCTGTATTGCACACACTGACCAAGGGTAAAATATGCAGAGGGATAAATAGCTTGCCCCATCTCGTATATGACTATTAAGATTCCGGCCTGTAGCACGTGGGTCGACAACATTCCAGAGGACATGACCTCGAGGAGGAACTGTCTTCCTGCATGATACAAAGCAGCAGTGACCCCCAAAGAAGGCTCACAGACCAGTTTCATGCATAATGCAAGGAGGCTCAGCTCTGCCCGGCGTTTCGCGAGAGGATTGAATACTTGTGTCAAGAACGCCTTCTTGTACACGATGGGAAACCAGGTGTGTATGGAGCGAAAGAATTCCGTCGTGACGCTCCGAAGAATCGTCGCATGGCTGATATGCTTGGCAATATCCGGCGGGACGGGGATCTCAAGCCGCGGAAGGTCGAGGTGGGCCTCGTTGAACACATCCGGAGCGATGTAGTAGATTGCTGCGGCCTCGAATGCGGTGCTTAGATATCTACTGCGACTGTCCGTGTCGATATGCTGGGAGCTCTGAGGCATGCCACGTTCTGATCCAGCGGCCGGCAGCGCTTCCGCACGCTTGATCCTGCGGCCGGGGCGGTGCGGGCCCGATGATCTAGGCCGTGTTGAAGGATAGGTGCAGTCGATGGCCTTCTTGATACAAAGTGCACAACGAGGAACGGCGCCATCGCAGCGTCTTTTGCACTGCCGGCAAGGGAGACAAGCTTTGTCCACTCGGTTGGCCATTTGATTTTGAATCGTTGTTTCTGCTGAATTAGAGGTTGCAAGGACACGAAGGAGAGCGGGAGTGGCAATGCCGCAGATTCAAGTAGTAGCAATGCTGCGGATGAATGCGGAACGGATGGCGGATGTCTCACTGCGGCCCGCAGCTACGTTGCGGGCCGCAGCCAGGATACAGGATTCAACGTTTCATGATGGAAACAATTATCAACGGTGGGGATTTAAAGAGTATGGGTGCATTATTAGACTGCAAGTTGACATGTACTAGTAGGTAGTAGCATTCATTTGAGGATTTGAGGATCTTGCAAATAGGACGACCCAAGGTGGGAAGAGAAGCGCAATCCAGCAATCAATGGTATCATTTCTGCATCACGTCTAACACACGGGACAAGGCTGGATTCCAGGTCACCTTCGCATATACGACATCTTAGTATTATCAAAGCAACTTTGTTTATTTTTTCTTTTTCCTTCTCGAATTCTATCTCATGAAGCTATGGTCTATGAACTCGAAAGCCTCATCTTGATGAGCCAGTGAAATCAGCTACATCTATTTCGCTTCCAGGAGCTGAGTGAGCGTGTCTGTGATCGTAGTTGCCACTGGAGTCAGAGCACGACCCAACAGTCCCTCGACCTGAGTCTTGTCAAGCGTATACGTTTCCAGCTCCTTGCCGGCACCCGGCGTTCCCTTTGGCAGCCGGTCTCGGAGAGAGACAATGGTCTCTCTGGCGATGTCAACTGCGTCTTGATAGGTAAACTTGCTTCCGATCAGAAAGCGTTTGCCGGCGGCATCCGCCTTCTCTATGGCGGCTATGTGCGCAGCCGCGACATCTCGCACATCCGCACAGCTGAGGAAGTCGGGGGGAGGCACTTCAGGGCTGTCAACGAGGCGCCACAGCATACCCGTCGACACGTTGAGGTTAGCCAGAGGTGGCGGGCCGCCCTGGTGCGGTCCAAACACCCAGGGAGGGTTGATAGTCGTCAATGTAAACGCCACCTGCTCCTTTTCAACAAATTCCCACATGGCCTTTTCTGCCAGTGCCTTGGATGCGCCATATGCTGGCACAATGTCCGCATCTTTGGCAAATTCGTAGGTAAATGGGGCCCAGTCCTTGTCTGTATAAGTGTAACCGGGTCGGAGGCCTTGCGTCAAATCTGCCACGCCAGCAAAGGATGAAGTAGACACCACATGGCGCACACTACCACCGTATTGCTTCACAGCCTTGAGTATAGCAGTGGATCCCTCAATGGCTGGTTTCAGCAGATCGGTCTCGTTATCCTTTATGGCGAACGTGAAAGGGGAGGCAGTATGGATGACTGCAGTGACTGGAGCTGAGGCAGACGCGAAGGCGGATTCATACAGCTCCGGCTTTTTGATATCGGCAACGATGCTGATGCGCAACTGGGATTGGTACTTGTCAAAGGCCTTACGGACCTTGTTGGCGGCTTCTTCAGATCTGACGGTGCCGGAGACTTTGTAGCCCTTGGCTAGAGCTTGGGCGACGATGTGTCCTGCAATGAAGCTGTTGGCTCCAGTAACCAGGATGGTCTGATCTCCCTTGGTGGCCATTTTGAAGTGAATTTATGACGTGATTTGATCTTTGTTCTTAGGTGTTGATCTAGTTAATTGTTGAACTCCTTTGAGTGTCTAGATGTGTAGAGGCTGAGGCCGTTCTTTATACCACTCTCACTATACGGAGGCTCTCGTCAAACTTAGCAGAGTGGATATATCTCTGTTTGATCATTGATTTGATTTATAATATTATTCGGAGACGGACGAATTCTCCCATTGTCTTAATAATTACAAGTTGTAACACATGGTAACGAAGATACGCCGATGCTGTACGATTAGTGAGTGGAGTAACGCCTGCAAGGCACCGGATTGTGATAATTTATCTCCGGTATTCATGATTGAAGAAGATATTATGTCCGTAGACTCCGTAACAATCTTCAGTTCTTTCACTTAGCGGTTCTTGTCCGGTGATCACACGACGAGGATAGAGCTATCTTATTCAGAGTCAAGCTTGATATGCGGGCCGAGGCTTGGTTGAGGCATGATATCGAACAAGATTTGCGCCGTGCTTTTAGGCGACAGGAACCGATTTGGAAGATAACCCTGTCTATTTTGATTCTATTGATATTCACGCCTAGAGCCTTGTAGGCAAGCATTGCGCGAATGAAGGAAGCCCCTGCTCTTAGTCAAGCAGCCTCAACTTACAGTTGATACTCGTGCCCACCAAATTGACAGACGAACTGCGACCTGCGGCTCTGTGAACATGCCGCCGGTAGCGGGACAAAAGATAAAACGACCCATCAAAGCTAGGTAATGATTCCTGCCGACTGTTCCTGCCAGGTTATGAATAGTTTGTCATCTTTCGAACACGCGTAGCGATTAGCTCGGACGTTGTTGGAGTGGTTGTGAAATTTCCTGAAGAGCTTTTTCTTTGTCTCAAACAAACATCAGAACTGGCCACAAAAAATATGAATCCTCATTGCAGCCTTCGTTTGGGCGCGATAGTGTGGACGGGCGCTTCCCTCGAGTGCTGGATCGATTGACCCAGGCCGTGGTGAGAATTTTGGAGCACGCAATCTTCAATGGCCGTCCAGAGGTGATTCGACTATTTCGGACACGTGGGTTGAAACACACGAAACACTCTTTTGGTACGCGATGAATCTGGAGAACTTCTTGAAAGCGTGGTGGAAAGCCGAGTGGCTGAGCTTAAAGAAACACCTCAGCAACTCGAAGCTGTCACCAGACCAAAGATTTAAGGAAGCTGAAGGCCTGGTTTGCGTTGGCGTTGAATTATTATTTACAGCTGCTAGACAAGAAGAACAGTATAAGCAGTTGGCTTTCATCCTCTCTAAGATGTGGGCGTCGGCGCTCGAAAGTGTCGAGGGCTTTAGAGAAGAGGGACAGGGCCCTATAAGAAAATTGATTCCGGTTTTGATCCAGGAATTCACAGATACTATAAGAAATGATGATCGAAACGAATGTCAAGATATGGCAGCGAGTGAGCATAGAAATATTGAGAGGGGCAGCCTTGCAGCCTAGAAAGGAGAGCAATGGCCAAAGTCAGTGGAGATTTGACGAAACAAGAAATGAAAATGGAAGACTTAGTCAAAGAGATGCTTGAAACAAAATTACAAGAGTGTAAAGACTGCATAGAGAAGAGAAGATGAGAAAACATGAAGCCCTTGAGTTGGTTCTTGCAATTTTGGAATTGATCCGGGTGGCCATCGAGCAGGGGGATACTTCGGTTCTCATTGGTCTCCTGCCTTATTTGAAGAAGGGTGTTGGTTGGACCATGACAGTCGGGAAGAATAGCAACAGACCAGCAGAGGATCCTAACAGCCTTCTGGCAGTCGAAAGATAAAGGCCTAGATACCTGTACTAAGCTCATTTTCGACTTTGCTGCCCGCTTGTTTCATACAGCTGAGCAGTATCAAGCAAGTCGCGTGCATATCCAAGACCTGGCCTCATTTATCACGGAGTGTCTCGAATCTGTGTTAGACGATGACCTGCAGCCTCTTATCAATATAGGTCACCGGCGTATCGAGAGAATACAGAAAGAAGCTTATTACGACGCAGATTTAGTGACATCAATATTGCAGGTCGCCCGTGCGGCTATTCACATTCTAAATGATGCAAAGCACCGAGGCGCGGAGAGAAGTGGAACGCAGTCGGTATGTTGACAGAGTCAATGAAGCGTTAGTGAATATCGATGGAATGGGAATTTTAATCAGTATAAGGGGTTCTTGTCTTGTCTGATGATCATGCATAACTTCGGCAAGTGAACAGTTCATTTTATTTCATAACAGAGGATGAAATGTAGACGAGTACCATAAAGTAGAGGAAGCGATCACTTAATGAACCTGATAATGTCATGACATATATCCTATTCCGAAATAGTTATTGAGTAGTTCGATCTATAAGAACTAAAACATGAATCTTCCTTAATACCCCAATTCTGTTACCCAGCCCTCTGGCTACATGCCAATTGAGGTAGGCTGCTACTGCTGCTACTTTTATATATATAGAATAGTTAAAGAGGTATTTTGTACATAGACTAAGTATCTTTCTGATCTATAGCTGGGGCGTTGGATAATTTTTCTCAATAAATATTATGTGTTTGTGTCGCTTGACTCTTTAAAAGTTCGCTCCACCGCATTGGATTGACCGGGCGTTGTGGAACCAGTAACCCGGGAAATCGGCTTTCCTTGGTTCGTACCACTGGCGGATATCTGCCAGGCCTGAAGGGAATATTGTTTGGGATCGGAAGTTGCCGACATCATCTTGGCAGTCACCGGGCTTTACGGTGAATGAGCAGACAACGTCTTCGTAGAGAGAAAAAGTTAGCAATCTTCAGAATGGTTGTCTCATTGCGGTACTTACTATCGGGCAACCAGATAGATCCAATGGTATCCCAGTTAATTGCATGGCATTCATTGACGGTATTATAAGTGAGGCTTTGGCTTGGGCCGGTATAGTTCCTTTGACGGTTTAGCAGTTGTTTTACGATATCTTCATCAGGCGTAGGCACAACTTACGGGCCAGCCCATATCCATATAGTGTTGGGCGCACGACGGGCAAGCTATAACGGCTATTAGAAATGACTATGGAGTAATGAGAACACGTTAAAGCACAAACCTCTGGGATGGGAGGCTCAGCTTGGCCTGTTGGCGAGCTGCTGCCGATCTGAGCAAGAGCAGCGATAGAGAGCAACACGGCGTTCTTAATGCCAATCATGATGAATTATGGTGCAATGCTGAATTAAGATATTGATGTTTAAGAACGTTAAGTTATAGAAGAATGATTCTAGAATTGGCAGACGTTCACTGGCTTATATATGTTTATTTTGGTGTGGAGATTAAGCACTTGTTTCGGAGTACAAGCGGCTCCATATACTTCCTATCTTTCAGGGTAATTATAAGATATTCCTCGATAGAATATCTTCACAGGCGCCAACAAAAGTCCTATCCAGGCGGTCAACAAGGTCATACCGATTGACTTCTTGCACTGCCACGAGCGGTGAGAATACTTCCACCAATGCTGTTCCTAGCAGGCCAGACAAAAGACCAAGCTAGTGCGTAGTTTAAGGTAATTGCATACTTAGATCGAGTAAAGGTCTCACGTCAGAACCGCACTTCAAATTATAGTGCCAAGTTCCACTTACATTGACATTAGCTGAGCAAGAGGGATCCATTTGAGTGTGGTGTAACCTCCTTTGTGGACTGGTTTCCGGGAACATGAAGCGGCATTGAGCGCTAAATCATGATTCGCTAGCCAGGCACAAAACACATGCGGCAGGGCTGAGTTAAAAATAAGTCTAAACAAGTGCCCGGGAGTGAGTAGGAATGCCGTTGTATTGAAACACGCTCAACGCTTTTTTTCGGCTCCGTGTAGTAAAAAGCTCGGAATACCTAGTTCCACTAGAACAAGTACATATCTCACTCTCTTAATTTCTACTTGACGTGCATCGTATGGCAGAAATAGGTTGGCAGGCTATATTGATAAGAGGTTATGCCAGCGTAATTAGCGAATTACACAATTCCACCCGTATCTATCTAGCCAACCAATCGTCATTATGTAGCAAGCAATGTGAGTCAGTCAATTTCGTAGATTTACTGCTACAGCAACTCTTGCTGATGAGCTCGCTCTAGATACGTGAATAGGTGATCAAATTGGCAACTTCGGGCATAATAGCGGAGTCTCCCTTACCAGCTTACTCAAAGCGTGTCTACTTGTGGAGATGAACGCAAGCGTCTCGACAATAGCGCCAGACATGGGACGACTCGTCCAACGCTACTATGAATACGATATTCAATGCTGGGTTATGAAAGTAGTGATAGAAGGCATGAAAATGATGAAGCAAAGCATAGAATCACTTCAAGAGATGGGGATATGGAACAAGACATCAGCAGCTGTCTGGAAGAGAGTAGAAAACACTTAGAGAAGATAGCAGCATCAACTGTTGTTGGGTCTCAAGCGTTCAGCTCGTTGACCATGCATCCTAGCGTTGTTTTAGAGGCCGGATCCTATTTCGCCGTCTCCAAAGGCGGCATCCAAAAACGGGCGATGCCCTTGGCATAAGCACAGAGCCCCAGCCGAGGCACTTCTTAAATGTATCTCCTTATTGCTTTCTCGGCTTTCAAGATAAATTATAAATAACAGAAGATCGGAAAGTCCGTTTTCGCAAGACTATTGATAAAGCCATTTATCCATTTTCTGCATTGGGCCGTTCAAGAAAGAACTTGCTACTACACCATTCGCTAAGTATCTCACTAGCCAATCTTCCAAGAAAACAAGCTTCGCACTCCAATACGGCCGACTTCGTATTTGAACATGAGCTAACTGTGTCATGGTGACCAAGTTTCCCAAACGGAATCCTAATGAGATAAACGAGCACTTCAGTATGTTAACCGTATCGGAGCTCTAATCGACCGCCCATGTGAAAATACCCCCGGTATGAACACCATGAGGGCCATTGTCTCGGTAAGAATGCTGGCAACCGAACATGGGCCCATGCTTCTTGAGAATCTTCCATAGCGACAAGTGCGCTGAGATTTTGTTCATCGACCTATAAGGTTACCAGTTTCCCCGCGTCATCGAAATGACAATACTTGCAATTGCAGTATCAGTCAAGTTATTTGTACCATCAAGTTTTGTTCAATACCAAGCCATTAGTATCTAATTCCCTGAGAGGCAACTGTTCCCCAGCTGTTCAAGACACTTGATGCGCTTCATTCTTATAGAATGGTACTCACTAGAGCGGAGTGTGTGACACTTTTAGTTATCACAATGAGCCACTCCAAATCGCTCAGTTTGTTGTACTCCTCGAGAGCTTCAAGTCTTTATAGGCTTTCCCTTAGGTGTCTATGAATCCTGCTCTTTTCCTTTCCCTCTTCATTTTCCAATCCAGTTACATAGACTGACTGGAGAAAAATTTCAACAGATCTAAATAAATACAATTACCATGGACACACGGGGAGTAAAATGAGGCAACGAAACGTGTGCGAAATTGGCAAGTCTTTTGTTGAACTCGGGGATAAGCTAAGCGCATCAGCGCGCATCTTTCTCGGCAATAGTTGGGCAAATCATCGCAAACTCTTTCCAATATACAGAGGTGATTTACATGTCGGGATTCCCTCAGTTGACGGCTGTCGAGGTTGAACAACATTGGTAGGCGTCAACTGAAGGGTTTTGTGTCGACTATTTGTGCCTTATGTTCAAGCGACTGAGTAGTAGAAGCCGCGTTCTGAGCTCGCGATGTATTGCAGAGGTCATTCGCGCATTGATAGCCCGTCGGCGCGGTTCATCGGGCACGAATAGTGGATTGCGGTCGGGAGATAGAGGACGCGACATTGTCTCTACCCTTGCACTTATCAGGTTGCTGACTGGCTGCTGGTACGACTTCTCACTTTACTAGGAGTTTTAGAGTTACTAGCTGAATACAGGCATGTGCCCTATTTTCTAGCATTAGCTCCGCAACCTTCAACTGCCATGTTTTCGCAAACTCGATCTCGCTGACGGCCAATACAGGAAAGAAAATTAGTTGTCGGCTGCGGAGTTAAAGAATCATGAAAATGCTAAACTCTCTGAGCTGCATCATAGCTGTTGTGTCAAGTAGCATTCTGCAAGCTCAGCCTAGATGTAACTATTCCACGTGGATAGTACCGTTAGGTAAATGTTGGTTCGTATTTATTTCCACATTCCGGTGACTACTAGTATAACGGTATCGTAAGTTGAGCAGGGAGTATAATAGCCTGAATGGCCTAACTTGGGCAGAGTCGACGCGGCCCAGCTTATGCTGAGCACTAAATATATCCTCGCTTCTGGCTCTGCTAGGAGTTTCCAGCTTTATAACCCTGCGCTCACCCCGCCAGCTGACCTACAATTGGTGCTCATGCAATCCTGCAGAATCCTTCAAGTTTCAATTCCAGGGGCTTACCGCTTGACTATTGAATGATGAGGCTCATGGCAGTGAAAAGGGCGTGGCCTAGTCTGCCTCGTGGTCGCAGGAGGATTAATTAATTTTTATCCACTCAAACGTGGCGTCCTATTCTAAACTCCAAAGTTCTTCTCCCGCCTGCCAACCACACGCTTTAACTGTGATGAGCACGACACTCAATCATGATAGTGAGGGTTTGGAGGTGGTACCGGGATCTGATAACAATGTCGAAGGACTCGAGGTAGCGCATAACCATGGTTTTGACGGGTTAGAGGCATCTCCCAAAGTTCAGACTGCGTACGGACTGGAAGCCGTGAGCAAGGACGGATCGAGCAACATGGACAACATCGAGGGCGCGAGATGGAGTAAAAGCCAGAACCCGCGAAGAAAGAGATTATGGCTCATCATAGCCGCTGTCGTTCTCGTGCTGGTGATCGTGGGAGCTGTGGTGGGCGGCGTTGTTGGATCACGAAGCAATCATAAGGCCCTCGCAACACCAAGCTCTTCTTCAACTCCATCACCAAGCACAAGTGCGCCATCTTCTTCAACTACAGCTTCTTCCATTGACGCCAGTTCGGGTATTGGAGTAACGGGTTGGTGGTCATCTGATTCAGACTTTAGCATTCGCCTGGCCTACCAGGGAGACGATAGCTATCTACACATGATGCAGTACAACTCGGGCGATGACGACTGGTCGACGATGACTATCCTGACAAATCTAGATGTCAAACAGGGCAGTCCGATTGCGCTGTCTTGCTTCAACAATCCTGTATTCTCCAACTCAGATCCGAACAGTGATAACGTGAGCAATACCCTCTTGGCTTTGCGCGACACACATGTCGTAACTAACGAGTGGCGATACAGAACTACACGCAAATCGAGATCTTCTACATCAGCGACAGAGGTTATGTAGCGGAGTGGTGGATCCGAGAGCAACAAGTGCCCGAGCAGCGAACATTGAACGGGAATGGTTCTATGTCTCCGAACGCCTGGAAAGCAGGAGTGGGCTCCAGATTCACTTCATACTGGCCGAGTGTCATTGTTCAAGATGACACGAGCCAGTTACAAGAGATATACTATAACGGCAGTTGGTCACAAAAAGATTTAGGCCTTGCTTGCCAGAATCATTCAGCGTTTGCGGAAATTCCCGTTTCCATTAAAGGAGGATTGATAGGAGCTGAGAACTTCATTTACCAGCGTGATGATCAGAAGCTGTTCGTTGAGGGAAGAAAAGATTCCACCGCCAGCGCGAGTACTGGTAAGTGTAAAACCATTTCTTTAATGCCGTTGAGTCCTTCGAATCTAACATTTGGACAAAGTAACTATACCCGCCATCACTATGCCGGCTGAAGCAGCGATTGGAGCGTTTGCTATCCCACGCTCTTCGGCGAGCAATGCCGCTATGAACAATTATATCTTATGGCAAAACGCCACAGGTGCTATCCAAATGACATGGGAGGATGATAACACCGGATGGCGGACCTCGTCGACTCCAGAGTCACTTGGCACCCCTGACAAGGGCACAGGCATAACGTGTCTCACGCCCACCCTCTGGGCCGTAGGTTCTTTGCAGCCAGGATACAGCATGGCCCGCTGTTACTATTTAGTCGATGGACGAATAAGAGAGATACAATACGATGGCTCAAACTGGTCTGTGGTTGGAAATGTAATCTGAGCTGACGCTTGGGGGGACTCTGTGCGGAGTGTTGGATAATACGAAAATTTTGGGGGTAAATGTGTACATTAATCAGATTTCAGCGGAAAGTTTTGGAGATCTTCGGATCTTGGCAGCGCACTAATACCATTTGATCAGAATTAAAGCAATTTTTATTTGAAACCTTTAAGCTGTGAATACATGCGAATAAAGCTATTTTGCCTTCTTGTTGTGTTTCTCTCGGAACCTGCAGCCTCTTAACAGCCGCTTCTTTACCCAGTACCCTACAAATCCACACGAAATGATAGCCATGTTATCTTGATCACTCTATGTTCAATTCCCAGATACAGTCCATCCTCAATGATAATTTTTTGCAAACTATGAGCAGCTAGAATGCCGCTTCGTGGGTCTGCATTTGGAAATTTAAGCCAACTAGCGCGCAGTTATCACAATTACTTTCTTCAGCTCTATCACACAAAACAGTATTAGAATCGCCTTAATTAATAATATTCTACGAATTGATGTCGACTTGCGGACGTTTGTGATGATTTGCGCTCTGAGCCAGACATGTAGTGTGTGTCTCTTTCTCAAGGATGCTTTTCGTCTACGACCCGTCTATGTTCAGCCCACGTTCGGATGGCATCAAAGTTCTTGCACACGTGCGTTGCTCCCGTTCCATCTGTACCATTCAAGGGACTGTTAGGAATATGTCCTTCCAGAGTGGTATCTCCGCAACAGGTGACAGATTGCCGCAAATATCGGAAACAGTGCTGAACATGCTCTTGAGCATCTGAGTCGAAAGCGAATTTTTTGGGATCCGTGCGATATTCGGAGGTTGGATCGAGAAGGTTGTTATACATATCCATGACAATATACTAAAATATACTTGTGAGAAGTCTGCGAGTACCATACTAGGAGTAGATGAAATACCAAGCAGTGCAACTGATGGAATACAGCGATCGAGTAGGTATTATTTCCATAATACACAATAGGCTCTGGAAGATCATATTTGTTGAAATCGTTTATTGCGAGAAACCCGTTTCCTTCTACAAATTTAGATGCATTAGAGCTCGAGTGTTTCTTGCCTGAATTCTCTCTGCAAAACGCAACTTACTCGGCATATATGTAAGCCAATTTGCCCGAGTCTCATTCCTGTCTTCTGCGCTCAGGCTTTTGGTCGTCGCTAATCCATCTTTTTGGAAAAGGACTTGATGAGTAGGAACTGTATATACTATTAGCTGTTTGCTTTTATTAAGAGACATACTTGACTAACATCTGGGGATTATATGGTTCCTTTCGCTTCCTACTTGCGGCTGATGCAAGGAGCGTAGTTGGAGGAGGATTGTCGCTGACGTTATCAATTCAATAACACCGATAGCGCTCAGAATGACCGAAAAGGTCCAAAAGAGGCTCTTTCTTTGAGCTTTGCCCTTTCTTAGTTTTAACTCATGATCGATCAGAAATTCGTTCGACCCGCGGGAGGGCTCGTCCTCGTTGAAGTTATCCTGCATTCCCGCAGCGGACTCGACTTTGGCGAAGCTAGGTGGCATGCTTATGGCAATGTATGGACTGGCAAGAATTCTTCTGTCTTTATAGAAAATTTGTTGAAGTCAGATTTAATACCTTATTATGAGTAAATTGAGAAAATATGGAACAACAAGGTCTTGAAAGCAGAGGATGAAAGCCACAAGTAATAAAACATACCAATCTATCGAAGCTCTCATTACGCTGCTCTGGTTGGTCTACTAACTAGGCCTAGGTAAGATGCGGTTGATGTGGATCTTGTGTTGTTGGTCCAGCCAAACTTAGTTCTATTGAAATGACTGTAACCAACTTATTGTCATTGGTATAAGGGCGTTAGACTCCTTATTGAGTTAGCTCCTTCGGCTTGTATTGAGCCTGGGCCATTTTTCTCCAAAAGATAGACCGCACAGTCGAAGGCAAAATGGTTGTTGCGAATTTGTCCTTTTTGTATGTATGTATGTATGTATAGCAGCCTTATAATATATATAGTTGACCGGTTTAGTACAGCGGCATTGTATCGCATACTTATTCAGCCGGCTATGCTAATAAATAAATGGTCTCATAGACTGTTTTATGCTTAATAAACTTTTCATCACTATAAAGTTCACAATTACTTTTATCACCTAGCAAAAGAGCTATGCTAGCGAAAGGCGGAATTAGGGTCTCTCAACTTCTTAAAAAAGGTATTCTAGGAAGGGCCTCAATGTACCCCTCTAAAATAACATAACGGGAAAAGAGTCGATTTTGCTAATCCTTTCTGTACAACTGAATACGATGCATGCGTCATACCTAAGTGGCCGCGGCAGCTTGGGCAGCAAACTCGGGTTGGGCACCCAGGATAGAGCAAGTGTAGGAACCAGGTTGACGCCTTGGCGCCACTACATGAGAACCTTAACTGACTTAACTTGACATTACATTGTCATGTTCTCCACCGTATCTTATACTGTATCAAACATCAATTGATTCATATCTTCTTTACGAAACAACACGTTATACCAGCTGCGAAGCCATGAACGAGTTAACCACAAGCTTCATTGCACTAAAATTCGGCCCACGAACCCATATTCGTGTCGCAGAGGGGAAACAGATACCATACGAGGTACCGTTCTGTCCGTCAAGCAACCTCGCAACGAAATTGCAAGATACTCCGCGTTATCTATTCCGTGTTTTCTCAGCTGCGTCCGCAGGAGAGAACAGTAGTAAATGGATGAAGTCCGTTGACGCGCTGAAGAATAATTTGACAGACATTTTTAAACGGGACGATACTTCAAGAATTGCTTTAACTCTCAACGAGCACCTCCGGTGGTATCAGCGAAAATCAAACGGAGACCCTTTCATATCCTGGACCACTTCGCTTCTTGTCGCGATCCAGTACGCTATCTACAAGCATAAGACGGAATCTGCCGAACTGGACACGATTTACCTGTGTGTTATTGACACCACGTTGTTTCCCAACGGAGTGTTTATAAAAGACATCGACCTGATTGAAGAATTCCATGACATGCACAGAGGCCTCAGCAACCTCCGTAAAATGCGAAATACAAAATACTACTTCGGAGAATACCTCTCGCAGGGTCAGACCAATGTTAGTGGCCGTTCATGTACGGTCTCTTGCGATAAGATCATAAATAACCACTTATTTGCCATGGTGCACCAATTCAAAGTCGACATAGAAGACGAAACTGCACTCTGGGCAAACGCAATAGTAAAGTCTCGAGAGCCGTTCTACATTATGGAGCAAGAGGTCATAGACAATTCCGAATTCAGCGGGGCAATGGCGATAGCGTCAGAATTTGGTACGAGATGGTCTCTGCCTGTGCTAGCCAATTTACTGGCTCTAAGCCCTCGTACGGCTAGGGATCCCGCGAACATAGGCTTCATATTGAAGCTGTTTTCTGGTGCGTGCCGGTCATGAAATGGCGGTGTCCTGGCTTGCTAAATCAACGTTAGAAGAGGTGAAACACAGTCTATCGCCCAAAATCACAAAAATTGTGGCCAATGCCAACATGCCTGAGGTTCTCCAGTTTAGGGAGATCGTTCATGATATAAACAAAGGCTACTACGCCGAGTGTGTGGCTGTCTTAGTTAAATCTATGGAAGAGACTACAGGTGCATTCCTCGTCCCAAATCACCTGATAATATTATACCAAGGCGGGCTCCCAAATGCTAATATTTCATCTTCTATGGTAGATATTGCTCGCCGCTTTATACGCGACTCTAGGACCACCGGAGGCAGAGAGATGCTTGATGCAGGCAACTTAGCAGGCTGTCTTCCCACTGAAATCCATGATCATTTGCAGCCACTTAAACAAAGCTTAGAAACGCTAAGCGGAACTATACAAGAACTTCAAGAAAACATAAGCATTTAGCAGGGCGACCATATGATGCCCCCACCAAAGCTCAAAAAGTGATCTAAGAAGAGAGGAACGCCCAGTTCGCATTTAACAGTATGTACGTATTTGCAATAAATGATTATATAACACAAGCAAACTTTTCGAGTCATTTTCGGTGGCTTGCGCCTGATTTATGGGGTTTATAATGCCCAAAATCTTCATCACGCCCAGGCCATAGTATCTTGCTGAGTATAACAGCCCGTACGTTTGAAGCAAACACAACTAGCCATCCAATTACAATCAAGATCGTCATAGCACTTGCCACGCCTTTAATACCATCACTGCCAAGCTCTTCGCCGATAAGACATGTTGCAATAGTAAAGGCTGTGTTTGGGAAGACAATTGCCCACCATGCCATAGAGAAGCGGATCCGCCCCTTAGTTATGCCTATAGTAAGCGCAATGAGGCTGAAGGAAAAGAACCAGAAAGCCAAAGCCCACAGCCAAATGCCAATCCAAAGTGCAAGAACCCTTAATATCTGTGGCGCAGCTGGAAATCTGGCAAAGTAGGCATAGTTGACCGGGATGGATCTGGAGAGGCCGATCAAGCCTGTTGCTGTGAACCCCGGCGGTCCTACTGCGATAAACATACCGGGACGCATTGGAGGAGCCGGGAATCCCTCCTGCGTGAGTCGATAGAGGTATAGAGCGTACAAAATGAAGGCGACACTGAACCCCAGACCCAGATAGGTAACTCCTGCGACGAGGATGGGCAGTCGATTCGAGGGGGGTTGCGACGGCGCAATTGTTGAAGCCAAGACTCCGGTTAAAAGAGTAGGGAAGATGGGAAAGATCCAAAGAGGACTCATAGACTTGATTTGAAGCTTAGCCCCGTGAAAGACGATGGTGTATTGAATTACTGATGATAAGAGAGCCAAGGCGGCATAGATCCAGAAGCACACACGAAGAGCCACAGGTAGCCAAGGTCCTGATGCTGGAATACCGTATATGGCTGAGTTGGCAAGAATGATAGCTATACTCAACAGGAATGCTGGGAAGAATAGACTCTCGGTAGGATGCAGTAAGCTCGTCTTTAATCCTCGAGGCGTCTTTATGAATCGATACGTAATTGCAGCGGTGGAGAGAACAAACATAGTAATGGACATGATGAACGCTACTTTACCAATAGCGTTAAGCCCGTCGAAACGGTGAGGTGTGTTATGGAAAAGAAGGCCTAGAACTCCAGTGCTGATGGTGACTGCAAACCAAGCCCACGTGAAATGCTTTAGGCGTTCGCGAACTGGGCACTTGTATCCCGGACTGCAGAGGCGCTGCTCTGGCGCTCGAAGTTGTCCCGCTTCCCAGTCGTCCTTCTTATCATCAGAAAGGCCAAGGCTATCTGGAGTCTGGATTGTACTTTCTGAAAGTGGTGACTGCTGAGCTGACATTTTTTCTCGTATTGCTTTCAATTGTCAAGTGCATAACATCATTGTATTCAAATTGAGAATTAATACAACTTGAGAATCACAGGTGAGTTGAACCGAAACTAGCTCTTTAAATAGTTTCTCTTTAGTGAGTCGCATCTGCTCTTGACGAGGTTGATAATCCTAACGCCAAGTTGGCAAACCAGTTCTAGATGCTGCGCTACCAAACTCGCTGCCCCGAGGCAGCCGGGGTACCTAAAATCTAAGAAACACATGAATTCTACAATAGTATGCTTCTGCAAAATGCAGTTGTGAACACTTTTCAATTAAGCTTCTGCTAAAGGGACTTTGAATCACTTATGTAAAGCCATATGTGAGGTCTAGCTCAACTAGGTGCTAGTGCGAAGTCATGATTGATCTTTTCCTAATATTAGAGGAAGAGAGCTGAATTTAGCTCATTCAATAGATACGCTAGTTGTTCATTAATTCATATCTTATTACTGAAAGACACCTGTAGGGAGATAGTTTTAGCTGTCACTTAGAAACCTTAATGTTAGTCTTCACCACTATCTGATTTGCGACGTCGAAGCCAGTCTCCTAAAACACACTAGGTAATTTGTTCGTCCATACTATGGGTTCAGAGGGTCTATTGGTAAGAAAGCTGAACAACGCCCGAACTAGTTTCAGTCTCTCACTTCAAAGTCTTCAAGGCTTTTTGACTAAAGATTGATCTTCTTGGTGTCACCCTCCTCACGGGAGAACATAACCTCCATCAATGAGGAGATCACTTCCAGTCATATAAGTCGAGGCATCACTAGCAAGATACAAGTACAAGCCCTTAATCTCCTTGACGTGGCCTTGTCTGCCCATTGTCGACATCCGATAAGCCTCGTTGATAGCCAGAGGATTGGCGCCCATTTTCGTATCGAAGAATCCAGGTGATACTATGTTAACTCTTGCAAACTCTTGCCATTCACGAGCAAGAGACTTTCCAAAATGCGTGACAAAGGATTTAGTGGCGTTATACACTGGCTGGTCTACAGGCACATTGACAATGTGGGCGCTCATGCTAGACGTGATAATGAGATTGCCAAAACCTTGGTTTTTGAAGATGTCGCCGACGTATTTGGAACAAAAAACCACTCCATCCACTTTGCACGCGATTAGCATGGAATTTACCCGTAAGAGAAACGCCGAGTTTACGTACCGTTTACAGACATCTGTTTACGATATTCATCAAGTGTTTGCTCTAGAATAGGCTTTGAGATCGCCATGCCTGAAGCCATTTTAGTGTCTAGCCTCTTATTGTCGTAAAGATCTTTGTAATTCACCTGCGTTTGCAACAAAGACATCAATCTTGCCAAAGTCTTTGACGACTTTGTTGATGGTTGAGCTCACTTGGTCAGCTTGAGAGACTATGAAACATGTTAGCGGTGAAGGAGTATTTTCATGATAGATACAAACTAATCTCACCATCGACTTGATAAGTGACTGCTTTGATCTTGTAAGTATCGCTGAAGCTCTTGGCTTTCTCGACTGCTGCGTCGTTTCTTGAGGCCGGTATAAGCTCATTGCAAAATGCATATATCGGCAAAGAGGTCGGAGGGCGCAACTTACGAATTATACCACATGGCGACATTTGCGCCTGCTTCTACCATGGCCTCTACCACGGCAAGGCCAATTCCATCTGAAGCTCCCGTGACCACCACGACCTTGTCCTTCATCTGGAACTGCTCAACCACATTATGCGGGGTATTGGGAACCGGACGCGGGAATCCCGACCGAATTTTGGTGCAATCTTCAACTGTCATAGACATCTTGATGGAAGAGCCGTGTTGCTAATTTGCAATCAGATTTTCTTGGTAAGTTATATGTAAGTTATCGTTACCATCTTGAACCATCTTTAAGCAACCCCTCATCAGATCCCAATACGGCAGTGCTCGGGAGACCCACTCCGACCCGGGCGACTGAGGACCGATCGGCACCCAAACTAGAACGCCAAAGCCGGTCATCACTTAAATAAGAGGAATTATCATTCACAAGAGGGAAGCTTGTGAGACACAGGCATGTATTATGTATTATTATAAGATAAGACTCCATGATAATTGGCAGAATTGACTCAAATAGATGGAACTATAAGAGGTAGATCAACGTGGTGTAAAATCCAGTAGCTTCCCAGCGCTGGAGAGAGCCATTGTTCATCAACAAGCTTAGTTTATGTTTATTAGAAACGATTCATGTTAAAGCTTGCGAGCAAGAACATCCAAATGTTCTATCATTGCCTCACAATTAGCTTTGGATTGCCTCCAATCTCGCTCTTCCTGTCCACAAAGTCCACATCCAGATACCAACCACTATGAGAACGTCGAAAAAGCTGAAAACAAGACTACCTCCAAATATGAGACTATGGTAAGTCCACGCATTCTTTTCATCTAGATGAATAACTTGGCACACTATTGCCCATGGGAGGACATAGAGCAAGTTGCTTGCTAAGCTTTGATACAAGTACCACTTCGGCCTCGTAGCCAGCAGAATGGTCGCAAGTTGTGTTGACATTGCGTAAAAGATATAGCACCAGTCAATCGTCCGCCACATGTGCGCAGTAACATCGGCCACTTCGCTTGATCCACTGATATAGAGCGCAAACGGCCGGGCACCGAATGCCGAGAGAAATATTGCCATAGGAACCTCGATTATTAGAGCTATCACAAGTGACCGTAGCGCAGGGTTGATGAGATTATAGATCTCTTTCCAGCTTGCCCTTGGCCTTCTGTTATGGATCCCAATGCGTTGTCGCCACTGTCCCCATTTATGGCCGATGAATTGGAGAGACGTTGCTTCGAGCGCTTGCACAGGAACCATAACCAAACCCCAGCGAATGGTGTTGAACACTCCCCAAGCAGTGGCATACACTGATCCTAAGGCAATAACAGTAGTGACGAGCCAAAGATATAGCGCATTCCTGATGGCTGATTCCGCGAAACAGATGAGTCCAGGCTTTAGCAAAATCCGTAGTCCTCGAATGCTTGGAGAAGTAGAAGTATGACTCCCCATGGAATGATACTCAAGAGAATCTTGACGCTGTTTGCGCAGAGCAGAGAAGCTCACAAAGTAGAGAAAGTATGCCAGTCCCACGAGCGCGGCTGTCAAGTTACAGACCAGTTGAATGATGCCCTGCATATTGACAGTTGGTTGGAAAGAGCCGACATGGTAACGAGAGATGATTAACAAGTCCAGAATAATATTAACAGCAAATTTGACGGAGCTGATAACCAAAGGGACATCAGGCTTGTCCAAAGATCTCGTGGCCGATGCAACAGCAGTCTCAATCGCACCGCTCAAGACCGTAAAAGAGGTAATGCGTACGTAGGTCAAGCTCGCAGCCCGCACCTCTTCCGGCACAAAACTGTCGGCAAATCTTGGTGCAGCGCCGAGGAAAATTATGCTCAAGATGAATCCCAGCAAAGTTTGGAATGCAATCAAGGTATGAGTCAACTGGAGGCGCTCCGCAAGATTTCGGGATGCCTTGTCTCCAATGATCACCCAGGCAGCCCGTGGAAGGCCCTCGTTGACGGCCTCGGAGGCAGTGTTCATATAAGTATAGGCATCTGTTGTTACCACCATTGAGGAATCGATATCAGCCACCCAAAGTTTTGACAGAGTTCCGTAGAGGGCGGGGAGAATAAACGCTGCCACGTTGAAGAGAAGCGAGCCGAAATAGCGATCGCGATGCAGCGTGAGCTTCCACGATCGTTTCTGTTCTTCAATATTAATAGTTTCAGAATTGAAGGCTGCCGAAGAGTTGAGCGCATCGGTTTCTTGGCCCTCGGGAGTGCTGTCCCGGCTATCGGTACCTCCCATTGCTTCTCCAGAAGTTGTTCAGCCTCGGTTTAGGAAACGAAGTATATCGATCAGCAAGATTGGTGTAAGCAGAGGCAAGATGTTGACCAAGGAGAAAGCTCTATTCTAGCACGCAATATCATCCTGCATGTTTCCTACTTTCTTCCCTTTTATATATCTCAGAGGATGGTGTACATCGCGCGGGGTAACACTATGAGGAGTTGTACCAACATATTGAGTTTCTTGGCGCATCTTTACTTCCAGCTCGAGATTGATTGGCTCCACGGCAGCAGAGCGTCTATATCCGGTTGTAGGCCGCCCGCGCGATGGATGCAGCAACCGTCCTATTGCGGAATAGATCCTCAATCTTGATGCTACCACCACTTTAGATCTTGTTAGCCGTGGACTTTATTTTACCTAATGCCCATGTATAAGATTGCTTAACGAATTTCGTGCTAAATCTATTCAGTCATGGCATTATTACGAGTGCGCAATTGCTACCACGTTATCGGATCGAGTAATGCGTGTCGATAAAGGTGACGTCCTTAAGAATTATGGATTCTAGTCCTCTTCTAGACCTACCAAACCAAGTCATATCTGTTCCATTTGACGTTATAGAACATTGATGAATCCATTGGCAATCGCTTAGATTCAGAAGCCGTCTCCTGATTGCCCTTTTATGCCCGTTTATCTTCCCTATGAATCTTATCCAATTCCGTCACCAGACGTCGAATGTCGCACTTCATCTTGCCATATCATTATTAGTCTCGTTGACGTCATTTTTACGGTCTCTTGCCGAGCTGTCGTCTTTATCGTTGAGACACTTGGTTCACTAGGCGTAGACGTCCTCTGGGTGATTGAAAGTGCAGGTGTGGACTTCTTCTGAGCGAATGGTGGTATAGGCCTGGGCGTATTTTGGTCAGTCGACGATGTAGATCGTCGGAGAAGGTTTCAACTACAAATACATATTGCCATGTAATCTCTTCCTTATCAAAGAATTATGTTATGCGATTGGGATAGAGATGAAACCATAAAAAGTCTGATAAGCATTGGCAATGAACCACAAAGAGTCGTTGATCTATTTTACAACAATCTTATCATTGTTCAAACCCCCCTCTTTACACGGGGATGGAAATCGAATGTTGTAAGTCTACCGGATTTCCGGGTATTGCAGCTTGTCTTGGCGGTTCATTTTGGCGCAGGATGTAGTCTCCCTTAGTTATCGGCTCTTTTATCTTCACCGAACGAATAAGACTGCACTTTTGTAATCTTTCAAGCCATCAACCAGCGGTTATACTTTGCTAAAACAAGCCGTCCACTACTCTAAGGCGTTTCATACGCCATTCATCGCACTATTCAACATGCGCACACTTATTCTGCTAGTTTTTATCCAGTGTCAAAGATTAACCGCGGGTAACTACGCCCTGGTAACTGTGGCGAACACCCCCAACGGATGCGAGGAGTTGGGTTTGAGTTGATGGCTTCTCAACATCTGGATATGACAATGAATGAATGGAAAAATGAAACAATGTCGGGGGAAATGCGCAGTAGATAAATCTTCACGCTACTCGGGTTGCTAGTCGCCGTGAAAGCCCTGCTGCTGGTGCTGGGGAGCGATAATCTAGCCAGATTGCCGGCGAGACTCTTTCATTGTCATTAGACGTATAGCACTGTACTTTTTCAAGGGCATGATGCTATGTTAAGGAAAAGTCATCTAGCACCCCAATTCTATTATCCAACATTTTAACTCAGACTATCTATAGCATACCTAGGCAACTACTGCTACTACCACCGCTTTAATGCACATGATGAAACTGGTGGTTGCATTTTCGGGGGTGGTGATAACGGAAATCCGATGCTGCGTCCAAATCAACTTCCTTATAGCCGTTGGTAAGAAAGAGCTAAGTGGAAGTGAACCCGGGAGTTACATCGTTGAGCAAAAAATAAGAAACAAGGTTATTACATCTACAGAAATGCCGCCCACGGATCTTACAGCGCGTAACCACATCAGCCAGATCAAGGTTCCAAAATGAGATACTATCTTGACCCATCTTAAATTTGACAAGGCAAGAAATGTGCCATTAGATGAGCTTACGAGCGGGCCATCAAAGCAGCAAGCAATTGTCAACATCGTTGCGATATTTGATCGTGAGAGGTGTAAGTGAGCGATAGTCTCTACCCCGTATAATGAACATTTCCACCGGTTCCATACAACAAAGGCGCTAAGGCGAGTTGGTGGAGTGGTCTAACACGTGCGACTCAAGATAATATCTTGATCCTTAAACAGGATTTCGCATCTCGCAAGAGGCGTGGGTTCGAATCCCACACTCGTCAGACTTTGTTTTTTTTGTCTTTTTTTATATTTCTTATTTTGAACTTCGCTGTAGCTCTACAAACACACCAAATATTTTGCGAACCCGCATCGCCCACCCTTGAAGAGCTTTGACTTTTTATTTCCTCTTAATCAAAGACATTTAGCCGCTAGATAGGCGATGTGCAGTAAGTCAATCACCTTGCAAGTGTTCTTCAGTCAAGGTCCTCTTAGCATACTACTAGGTATGCCCAGAATGGTCTATATTGCTCAGTCGACCCTTGAATAAGCCGCTGCAAGTCCATATTAAGTGTAATCCTAAAGAAAACAGTACATAACTAAGAATGTTGAAAAGAAAATGTTGTCAAAAACGCCATGATGCTATTCCCTAAGAACGCCCGCTATCAGCGAATCCCGCCATGCTTCCCTTGCGCCTCAAATCACCCGCTTTGAGCTTCCGCACGACTTGATACGACCGATCCAATTCGTTCTCAACAGTGCACCGTATCTTGAGCGCAGCCACAGCGGGCCAAACGCTCCTCTCGCCCCTAAGTATCCAATAGTTCAGAGTATCTTGCGTGGGCGTCTCGAGCAGGCGCACAAAGTCACTGGCAGTAACTTCAGGCACAAGCGTCATCGACGCCGCAGGCACTTGCTCGTCTATTAAAAAGCGGCGAATACTCGCGGGTACAAGACGAAGCGAGTCCAGCTGCCGCAGGCGGTGCCTTATTTCGAGACCCACCATACGGACGAGAAAAGCCGAAAGCTGAGTCGTCTTGCTGCGTGTCTCCACGAGAGACGGCCCATGCATGTCGGATTGCAAAAAGGGAATCAGATAGGGCCTGGCTTGGCTGACAATGAAATGGTTCACGTTGAACAGCTCGGCAATGCGTCGAAGAGGGGAGTCACGATCTGTATAAGATGCATGAGTCCAGTGGCGGAAGTCGGTCGTGTTGGCCGGAGCCCAAGGAACAATGTTGCCGTGAGCGTCTTTGCACAGGATGGTGGCTTTGGAATGGCCATATAAAGAAGGCGAAGATGCATTCGAGGCGACAGCAGCTGTCCAAATCAACTATTATCAACAAGGTCAGTATAGAAACAGAATATGCTCATTGTCTCATTGGCAGCACATACCACATTCGGAGCGGTGATGTAGTTCAGGAGAGTTGGCACGCCGGCCCCCTGACCATCGGTCGCCACAGTAATGTTCAAAACTCTCTTGCTGCGATTATACGCCTCTTCAAATGTCAAATCGCCAACATTTGCTCTTACACATTCCTCAAGCACAGTAACATCCAGGAAGTATCCCTCCCTCGAGAATCGTCGAATTCTTCGCATCAGAGTGTTCCATCGTGATCCTAGTGACTGTTGAGCGGGAATCTGGCCATCCTCATTTCTTCCCTTGGATGCAAAGGCGCTGAGATCGATGCCATCCCCTCGAAGAACACCTGGTAGCTCCTCCTCAGTATGTATGGCCACCAACGCAGCGATCAATGCACCCGTCGCCGTTCCAGTGATGATACGCGGCAATAGGCCTCTAAGGAACAGGGCCTTGACCACTCCAAGATGGCAAAGACCAAAGATGGCGCCGCCTTGCAGGACCAGTGTGCTCCGCCCAAACGCCTGTCTCGTATCGTGGATGAAGTCCAACTTCATCTGATTAGTTAATGCTTTGTCATGAGCATACAGACTAGACGCAGCACTCGTTGGAAGAGTACTTATGTCCTCCACTGATTCGGCCACTTGGGCAATATATTCTTCAATCAGGTATTTTGTTCCTGAGAAAGATCGATTATATAGTTTCGGCACGGAAATATTCCCGAGGTTGCGGACGAGACCCGAGCGAAGCAAATTGACGAGCTGCTCGTAGTTGTTCTCTTCGCGTGCGATTATTAGAGAGTCCAAGCGTTCTGTTATAAGCGCCCAATCGTAATATTTAGATGTCGGGTTATTCCTCCTACCAAGCGCAATCAAGGTCAGTATACTCTGTCTTCCAACTCCCAATGCAGAAAAGGGTCAAGTCGCCATACCATAAGTCGAGGCCCAGCAAGTTGTCAAGATGCAGCGCCGCCTCCTCCCAGTCCTCAAACGTCTCTGCATTGCGCAGCAGCTCAAGCCACAGCTTGACGGGGTTCTTTCGCGTATACCAGCTCAAGAGCTTCTTCAGAGGCGTCAGAAAGACGAGCATTGCGACGGGGAGCAACAATGAGAACGCCGTTACCTTGCGCCAGAAAGCAGCCACGTCCACCACCACCCTCCATATAGACAGCACTAGCCCCATGATTGCCGAGGAACGCTTTCACGCGCAGCGTCGAACCATTTCACGAGGGCTGCGCTGTCACTCCGTATCTGTCGGTACACGTTGCACGGTGGGTCGATCGGTTCAGTTCAGCTCAGTTCACGGCGTGCCGAGGGGGAGGTCAAGCCAGCGTCATCGATTCAAAGCTGGCAGGAATGAGGTCGGAGTTGGGAGCGCGATGTAGGTAGTAGTAGGTATTGAGGTCTTCGAACAATGGCGTTGTCTGTCGCCTCTGTGAGAATCGGCGCAGACGCGTGTTTGCTGCTTTGGTTGCTGTTGTCTGGTCAAACTAACAAGCCCCGGCCAGCGCCCCGACAATTGATTACATTGCCGGCTTGTCTTTTGCCGGCTTCCCACGGCCTGGCCGCTAAATTAAAGACATGAGCATGTGATGGATTGTTGAGAAGGGTATGAGATCACCCCGGGTAGAGCCACAGCACATTTCTGGCTTAGCGCTGCTGGACACAATAGCATGCTTCATGGATAGCGGATAACGTTGCATTAGTACTTATCAAGTGCCATGCATTATCGATATCCAGCTCCATGCATCGATAGCAGAGCTTGACTTTGATGTTTACTTCCACGGCCACCTACCTACTCACATAGGAGTTTTGTATTTACTTGAGTGTATGAGCAAGATTAACTCATCTTGAGATTGGTCGGAGAATTCCATAACAGTCTTTTATGAAAGTGGAGGCATTGCAGGGACCACATAATGCTGTCTCAACGTTTTTGCCGGAACCGTCTTTGCCACCATCAGGTGCCTGGATCAAGGCAATGTTGGGAGCCGCTGTTTTGCCTAAGGTAGTATACAGTACGGAGTAAGCGAGTCGACTAATGGGTCAGTCTCTAAGTGGGAAAGTATTCGACTTAATACAAGTACCAACGTGTTACCGCAAATGGTATCATTGTGAAGGACACCTACAATGATCATTAAATGCACACGGCTACATCAATGTGCGAAAAAGAGGGATTGTGGTCATAACTCCTATCTGTATGATTTTTGTCGCATATCAATTACCAAGTTAATTATGTTAAATATGAACACCCAGCCCAATAAGCCCTCGTCAACCAACAGTTTTTCCATCTTCCCGACTGCAAGTCTCCTTATTAAACGCCTCAGTCATCGTCGTCGTCAATAACATTTCGCCGCCTGCCCGACCTGCCAGACGCCTCCATCGGCTCCACCTCATCTCCCTCCGCATCCTCGTCGTCTTCGGGTTCTTTGGTTCGTTGTCTTTTAGATCGAGGTGCTTCATCTTCGTCGTCATCGTCCAAGATGTCCTCCTCTTCGTCGTCTTCAGCGCCACTCTCAATCTCCTCATCGCTGCCCACCAGAAAGCCATCATCCAAGTCGTAGTCTTCATGTCGCGAGACTCCCTGAGGGAGGTCATCGTCAGAATCATATTCTGGACGCCGTCTCTTGGCCCGCGCAGAGCCAGGTGCTCCTCTCTTCCGGGCTGCACCAGAACGAGCGCCCTCCAGACCGCCAATCGACAGGCCGCCACGGCCGGATCGCCCCAGCCCTCCGTCTATTTTGGCTACGGCATTCTCACGCTTTCGCTGGGCCTTCATCCGCTCCTTCTCTGCCAACTCGGCTTGCTTCTTCTGTAACTCAGGGTCCACGGTCGTTTTGATAATCATGCCACTACTAGCAGATGACTTGCTAGCCAAAGCCATTCTCTCTGCCAAGACAGACAGGGCATTGTCTCCAACAGCCTTGTTTGGTCTGACAGTGTACTGTTCTGTCAAGTGGCCCACCGTCATTAGCAGATTGCTGCTCAACTCAGCAGCCGCAGCGTAGTAATGACCGTCTTTTAGTTCATCGTAAGGCTGTCCTTTGCCCGGAGCCAGCGCCTTCTTCTGAATTTCATATTGCTCACCGCCAATGGAAATTGTAACAGACCCATCGCTCCACCGGTAAATATTTGTATTGCTCTTTAACTCGTTTGTGGTGGCATCCCTACGAACCCGCACAACGTGTTTTGGGTTTTCCGCCTTGGCGTTCTCAAGATCGAATTCAGATGGCCGGAATGTTTCTTCTTCGTATGGCTCGGGCAAGAATTTGACGAATTTTGGGACGCGCAGTATCCGAAGCTGTTTCAACAGTAAGCCAATTGTGACCCAGAGAAATGCTCAACGATCCAAGACACTTACCGCGTCATCAGATGGTTTAGGGACACGATGGCGATAGGCTTGAACGGCCATAACGATTCTATCCTTTGTTTCGTGTCGCGACTGGCTCCCATCGTAGTCTCGTGGCTCAGCCTCACCGTAAGCTTCGGGGTCTGAGGCGAGGTCATCATCGTCTAGAATGCGCGCCTGGGGCGAGGCATCTCCTTCGTCACCCTCATCTCCAAAAAGGTCGTCGCCGCCCTCGTCAATGGCATCGAGGGGATCCTCCGAATCTGACATTGTGTCTTATTGCTGAAGCGTTGCCACTCAAAAATGTTGTTTCTAACAACTCTCTGGTTCAGGAAAGGCACCGGTGTACCAATGGGTCGAATAGCGGATGGGCGAGGATGAAATGGGGCTGCGAGGCTGCGGCTTCGAAATCTGCTGCGCGAGGCACGTGGAAGAGCGCGGTTCACAATTGACTACAGCAGCTCAGCGCCTGTGGCTAGTGAGAACTGCACCAGCCACGCCTGTCGATTTATGGCGTTAGTGCTGCTTAGTCATATAATCTGCCTCATTCAATTGGGCTCAAGGCTGGCCATAAGTGGACTAATGCGAGGAGGGAATAGGGTAGCAGCGCAACATCTTGCATGTGAAGAGTGACGAGAGTTGAAGAGAGGATGTTACTTTATCAGAACGTGTGAGTAAAAGTTATTTTGTTGGAAAAGGGACAATTTCCAAAAATTTCCTATGAATTCATGTTATTTAATGGGTGGTTCAGTCTACATCTCAAGCATAACATGTATGCAGTAGATTGGTTCGCAAACATAAATGCCACATAACCAAGCATTGTAAAGAGGCTTTTCATGCAACATTTCGTTGACAACTGCTGATAATCGCTTCAACTTTGGCAAAGTCGCCGCCAATAGTTCAAACCCAAGCTCCCATCAGCCGCTAAATGGCCGACCTGAAACCTCCACACGGCCAAGCCATTGCTAGCCAAGGGGGAAGAGGCGAGATTGTGCCTTGCCCTCACCTCCAGTCATTACTCGATCCAAAATGCACTAATTCCCCGTGTCAATACGCCGTTCTTCGTACTTCGTACTTTGTTATAGCGCCCGCCAGCTCAACGGCTACCAAGAGCTACCTGTTAATAAAACGGCTTCGTCACGTACTACTAGTCTAAAACCTAAGACCAACAACCCGTCGGCGCGGCTTGGATATCTTAGCTTTTTAACAACTCACGCATAGAGAACCTCTCCTTTTTTAGGCCTCTGAATTTGCCACTTTCTAAGCCCAGCAGCAGCCCAGCAAAAACAGCCTGCACCAAGTCCATCCTATCGGCAGCTCTCTGGACCGGCTATCCTGCACCCCTATTTTTCTCTCTGCATAGGATCCCGTGACAAGGCTGGAGCCACTCTGACCACTGCTGCACCCACCATTTTCACCCCGCCTTTTTGCAATGTCCAACCTCTTTTCTGGCATGTAAGTGCTGCAGTCTGATTCTGGCCGTTGTTTGCGTGTCTTTTCTTGTGGCCTTTTGCTTTTCGTCCGTTTCGCCCAGCAATTTGTTTTCCAGGTATGTGCCTTTAATATCGCAGCTGCTGCATCCCCGTCTTGGAAAACTGCCCGATTAGGCTTCATCGAGGGAGGGGTCCTGAAACAGGCATCCCCAGCGGTGAGGGGCAAGTGTCTCGAGCAGCCTGTCCGTATATCCAGCATGCCATTGTCGCCATTGAGTGCTATTCACGTCGGCATCTCAGTGGGAAACCTCATCTTCAGAGAACTCCAAAGCTTTGGCTTTTCCGGACTGCTCAGGACCCTTCAACGAGGCCAGCAAGTCGAGCTGGGCACCCCGGACGGAGAAGCTCCCAAGGGGCCACTTTTGGGCATTATCGATATCTGAGAGCCAGCTCTCATTCATCACTTGAGCCATGCTGCTGTATACGGAGCTTTTCTCGTGTCGATCACCTCCATGCAGTGAAAAACACTTGGCCGCTGCACCTGGAAACGCTCTTCAATCGATGTGGCCTGGATGCGTCTCGTGCCTTATATACCTGCCCCTAGCAGGAGGAAAGGCTGCAAGCCAAGTCTCCACCCCTGATGCCAATTCATCACATTTCCTATTTTGCTGCCCCTTTCCCACTCACCTTTCCTATTTATAAAAGCCGTACACACACCGGCTATTCCCTGCACGCTTCGGCATCTGTATCAACTTAAACCTCATGCGAGACGCTAAAGTCATTTAAGCGAAGCTCACGGGTCTCTCTTCACTTCTGCTCTACTATTCTGCCCATCGCGCTGACACATCACCGTCGACCTCTTGTTCTTTAAAGGCTGCAAAGGCTACAATTGACGTCTTCCCACTAACCACATCCCCCAGCAACGCTCGTTTTCGAGGCGGGCCTAAAAGCCCATCCCCGTCACAAAGCTCCCAGGGCCCCTTGCCGCATCCCTCATCCGACGTCGCCTCATCTCCCAAGATATCTTCGGCCAGGCTACCTGAGAGAACTCCCTCTTTTCCCGCCTCAACCTCTTCTCCTCAGCCTGGTGGAATGGCCCAACCAGACGCAATGGCTACCGGCGATGATGTTATCAACTCTTACCACCTTCCGCGGCCGCTTCCGCTGTGGCTCAACTCCAACTGCGCAAAGCACATCGTCAAGGGAAACTTTATGACCCTGAGCGCGCGGCCAAAGACAGTTGAGCAAGGAGAGTGGCTAGCTCATCAGGGTCAGTAGCCTTCCCTTAGCATCTTTTACCATAGTTCACAGCGCTCACAAACAAACATTACACAGTTGTCGAGCACTATCGTAACCTTTGGAATTTCGTCCAGGTAGTTCACGCAAAGGAGGAGACGGGGAACACCATCTGCAATCCGACTTCTTGTCCTCGAATGTCTGCTGGAGCGTAAGTAACTGGAATTCCCTACTCATCTTCAATTCAAGTGCATCCATTCACTTCAAATTTTAGAAACCACTCTTTCACTTGGCTCAATAGCCGACGTGAGCCAGTCGAATTACCGGCTCATGAATACATGACCCTTATGCAGCGATGGATCGCCGGAAAGGTGGATGATACCGCCATCTTTCCAACTGATCCTGCGGGCGTCTCTTATTCTCACAACCCCGCCATGTCTTCAACTCCGCTGTCTCAGCTTGCCGGAGAGAGCGACTGGATTGGCAAGCGATCTGGATTCCCAGAAAAGTTCCTTGACATTTGCCAGATGATATTCCGCCAAATGTTCCGAGTGTATGCTCATCTCTACTGGGCACACTTTTCAGAACCTTACTACCACCTCAACTTGGAGAAGCAGTTGAACAGCTGCTTCTCACACTTTCTGCTAACGGCCACGGCGCTGGATATGCTGGGCAAGCAGGACCTGGAGCCGATGCAGCCTCTGATCGACCTCTGGGCGGCCAATGGGACGTTCCCTCCAGAGTCCAAGGTTTATGAGTTTGCCAACCTTCAAGCTGGCGAGCGATTGATTCAACTTGCAGGCGTTGTTTAAATAAAGGGTTTTCTTTGGCATTATATATGAAGTGATTCATTTCTATCCAATTATCCATGTTATTGTTAAAAGACAGATAGAAGAGGATATGACCTTTACTCTGAGGTACATGTAGCCACAAAATTATAGCTGTTTTGAGCGCTGAAGCGGTTAGTACAGACCTTTGGAAGATTGCACGAACACGGTAGGCATCGGATTAGCGCAATAGGAATCATGAAAGTAACATCCGAGTCCGCAGCGTCAAGACTTCCTCTTTTATCCTTATCTACGCGGCATCTCAGCCTTCTTTTGTAGAAAAAGTATTCTTCACAAGACTCAATCCATATTCCGTGGCATACTCATACTTTCACAGGCTCATTTGTCTTAAAACTATATACTCGCTTACAATATAAGGCTTGTCAAAGGCTGCGTAGATAGCTTCAAAGCATAGAGTTTCTGTACGAGAGAGGCATACATGTACTGCACTGCAAAAAAAACATGACAATTTTCATCTTTATGCCTACGGGAATAAAGACAATTCTTGTGCTGCCGTTGCTCAATACATCTTCTGACAAGAAATTGTCGAACAACAGAAGAATAGTACAGTCACCCTGCCATGGGACCTCATCTTCAATACGCTCTTTCCTACTAGTCATCCTAACTGCGTCAATCGTTTTTTGGATACGCACAGGGAGTATATAAGGGGGCCGAGTCGGGTCCAGGTATCTTGTTGAAGATACTGAAACGCTGTTTAGAAAGGGTGTAGCATCTGGGAAAAAGAAACACAATGCATGTGTTTTTGGCACACAATCAATTATAGAAGCAAATGAGTTAAATAGCAGGCAGAATTAAAGCAGTCTCCCCGAACAAATACGCTATCTCAAAGCAATAAGAAAATATTCAGTAGAACTAGTTACCGAAACAGGTCAAAGGTGATACACCTCGCCGTAGGAAAAGTTGATGGATTGAGCGCTATCAAAGTATAACAAATTTATATAATCACAACCTTTTGGCATATACACCACGGTGCTCGATATTTCCCCCTCTCAATAGAGATATAAAACTTGTAAAACTCAATAAAAGCACTCTCCACGCTCAAGATTTTACCTCATGAGCTATGGAAAACTATCCCCTCATCCTCCAAGAGCGTCTCCGACTCTCAGCGTACCCTTTCGCATCAGAAACTGGAATACTATCGCTTTCTACCTTCATTGAACTTTCCCATTGAGCAATAACATACATATTGGTCCACGAGTTCTCACCTTCGTAAATACAACAGACCGTGTACTGTAAGATGTTTTTATGGGTCAGGAAGAATGAGTGAAAATGACGAATATCCCATACGCAAACCTCTGTTTGGAGCACTTGCCCATGGAATCCTCAAATAAATGTCAAACCAATATACCAATCATATAGGTATTCTATATCTCATCCTTACCAATCCCTTCTACCGCCCTACAAACCTCTCCAGGCGTCAAATATCACTACCCACTATCGAATACACCATCTATGCAAAGCCCTACCCGAGATTCACAAAATCCAACGCACTCCCATTTATCCGGTAGATCCAGTGGCAAAATTCAACTCAAAATCCTTTCCTACAAAAAACCAACCAAAGATCCAATAAACGGGGAAGACGCACAAGGGGAAAAAAAAAAAGGCCTTTCCTTATAGGCCAAGAGTTACGCAGACCCCCTCTCCCCCATTGCCGTCAAAGTGGCTCGAGCAGAGGCAAAAAACCCTGCAAAAAGCACCTAATCTTGGTCCCATCATGCAGCATCTGTCAAATATCATACGTACGAAAACAAAAAGAGACGAGGGTATTGCAGCAGCAGCAGCAGCAGGGAAAAAAAGCGCCGGGCCATCTGCAGTGTTGGGGCCCTGCAATGCCGGGTCCTCCTCCTCCTCCTCCAGTGGCGATTAGAGACGGGCCTCCTCTTCGTCCTCTTTTTCCCCATTCTCGACTACTAGCCTTCAAGCATCTCCTCACATAATACATGGAGCTATACGCAGACGTACATTAAGCTATCCTGGGGCTCCTTGCTTGAGCAATGGCACACTCGAGCTTTGCCACTGCACAAAGCTGAAGCCCCAAGGACCATCTTGCTTGGGTTTCGAGAAAAGACAAGTCCTTCGTTGAAACATAGATTGCATGTTAAGAAGGGCAAAAAGAAAAGTGGAAGTATCAGACCCTTGCCTTGCCTTTGCAGCAAGATAGAATCCTCTTCCGAGGCAACTTGGCACATCTCCTTCCTCACAAAGCCGCATTCTCGTCCGGATAGACCGCGATACCCTTTCGCCCAACTGCAGAAGCCGTCATGGTCAAACAAGTGGAGTCTTTCTTTTTTTTTTTTTCCTTGGGTTGATCCTAGGAAAATGTAAGCCCACTGCCGACCAACATACATACAAAAAGAGGCTCCAGAACTGCCTGCTTTGTTGATGGTAGATGGGGCATGGATCCCTATATCGATATCGCCACTAAACCCACTTCGCACTGCCCATCGCCGTATAGATACATGATGACTGGTTTCAGATGGGCGGCATGATCATCTTCCTTGGCCATAAATAGACGATTATCTCTCTGTGGCGCGGGCAATCCGACTGACTAATTGCTCAGGTGAGAGAGAGGCGTGTTAATCCCCTCCCACTCTTTGGCATCAGCCTTCAACGACAAATGACAAATTCGCAATGTCCTACGCTAGTTTTTTTTTCTACCCTTATTCTTATTTTCTTTTTTCAGCTCTTTAACGCGCCAGGCAATAATTTCATGCAAGCTACTACTACCTATTTTAGCACATCGTCCAAGTTCTTTTAAGCTCACGCCCGCCGGGGACTACATCCGGAAAGGTTGGAAGAGGCTTGGGGAGTTCTTCACCGCCAGTATCATCCGCTCCAACTAAACAAACACCTGCTTCTTTGTAGTTCACGGGCGATACCGGAAAGCTTGGGAAGAGAGAAACAGTAACAGAAAATTTTCGAAAAGGGAAAAAAAAGAAAAAAGTCCAGGTCTTCGGCAAAAGCGGGCACTGATGCGCAAGCGCGCTTGTACAAAGCGACGATGGTCGAGATCAAGTGGTAGCAGCGCCTACCAAGGACAAAGAGAGGCATCGGATGCCATGCATTCTTACGGAGTCGATGCTCACCTACCCAGGTCCATACATGCGTACTTGTACGAAACAGTGGTAGCATGTACATACGGTATGCAATTCGTATGGTGTACGTGCCGGGTTGTCTCTCTGCGGAGCGCCGCAGGTAAAAGGAGAGCGGACGGCGATAGGGCATGCGGTGCTCTGGTGATGCAGCCCTCCCCCATGCCAAACCCTAGCACATCAGACAAAGACGTCCCGACGTCCACTGACTGGCCAGGCTGCGATCCAACCCCGGCTTCCCGCAGCCTGCTTGCAGCAGAGGCATGCAGCTGCCTGTGAGAGAGAGGCCAAGGGTTTGAGCCTCAGGCGTGCCAGACCCGTCCAGAAAGTGCTCGCAGGCCGTGTTCAACAGCATCGCGTGTTTTCTTAGTGAGACATGGAGCTGTGTAGTGCGGAGTAGCCTGTGTACTCCGTACAAGCAGATCCCCCGTTTCTCTTCCATACGAGTATTGCCAGCAGTTACACCATGGGTCCTGGTACTTGTGAATGCCGTTGACCGAAGATCATGAGTGAAACATTCATGTATCAGCTCATATGACGAAGGATTGGCTTTTGGCATGTGCCCATGCCTATATGTCGTCGGAGGCGTGTTGCCTGCTTTCGCCTTGTCCCAGCTTGTGGGATCACACCGACTTCTTTCTCATGAGATTTTTGGTACGATAACTTACAGTAGGTCTCTGTGACTTTCGTAACGCTTGTCGAGAAGCCCCATCTTGTGTGAATGTAGCATAAAAGGCTTCTACGCATATTCCGCGTCGCGATCTATTACTCGTATTTGTAAATGTCGTCCCCGTGATTGGGGGGAAGCTCGCAGTTCAGTATCCATCAAGATCCATCAGGTCGATTCACCGCCGTCGATTTAGCTCACGCACTATTCACCCTTGTGCAGGAATGTTTCAGAATGGCTATCCACACAAAGCTTAAAGGCGGTGATGCGAAGAGCTTAGGAACTGGGATGATCCTAGAACTCGTAGCTTGAGCGACTCTCGCCCACGTGCGTTTTTTGGTCGTCTTGTCTTCTTTTTTTCTCTTTTGCTTTCTAGTTTTCCAGGTCTGTAGGGTAGAGTCCCCGGTCTCCATACGTATTAGCCAAAGCTCCGTCCGGGTCGTGATCCCGTAGGTAAAAAGATGGGGCTCTCCGGCGAGCGGTGCTCGGTGACTCATCCCACTAGGGTTCCGCTTGTCTCCCGTGATGCGGACAGTGAGCGTAAAACTCGTGCTTCTGCGTCGGCCATGCGAGGAAAGATGAGATGCCCGCTTATTCTCTGCCCCTGGCTGTTCATATTCTGGCTTGGCCGACACCGTCTCAGCGGCCCTTTCATATGCACATAAACTACACATGCTTGTCATTTTTTTGTTACCTTCGGTAGCTAGTGTTTGAAGTTTTGGGCACAGGCGTTCGCATCGAGTTCATCGTCTGATCGCCGTTGAGAGTGGAGCTTTGGCCGATACATTTGATCGGAAATGTAATCGCAACTCAGCTGCCAACTCAGCTGTAATTACACTCGTCACCTCGAAACCACGCTTCAATACTGATGCCATCCATGCTCAACCGAGGCCGGATTTCTCTCTGTGCCTGGCTAACAAGGCACTAACTCCTTTAACCGCAGACTACTTGAGTGGAGTGGCGTTGATACTTTGCAAGACCAGAACGAAACCATGGCCATAATACAAGTAGAGTTGAAAGAGACACTGTATCAAATATGCACCCTGAAAGAGCTGGTATTAGAGAGACAAAAAAGTAGGCTTTGGTATGGTGGCTCATAACCATAACAATACGATACTTGCCATCCCCCTTTCTCTCTCTCATAATTTTCACCGCAAGAAGCAGTAGTCTTCAGAACGACCTCTTCTGTTGTTAGAAGCCACCCAGTATGGAATATGTGCTTGATACGGCGACTCTGCAAGTAGCATTCCGTACTTTTTGAGCTATAAACGTAGCTCTTACGTATGGCGCCGTACTAGCAAACGGAGCACTAACGGTAGCAACAGGCACCCGTTTCGTGCTCCGTTCTTGGTGGGTGCTCGCAGTGCTGACCGCACATTCGTAGCGTGCATGAAAACCCCAGCTCAGCTTGGACTTTAGCGCACAATGATGAGGGCTATATCATCCTTGGGCCTCTAGAATAGCTTCTGAAGGACACACTGGCAGAGTTTCTTTCGATATTTTTGGCCTCTAGCTTGCGCCAGAGAACAAAACTAGCCCACCAATTGCTAGCCAGCGAGTCAAGACTATCTTGACTGGATTGGCTTGATATCGACGGGCGACTCTAAGCCGAAGGGAGTTTTGCGTAGACCGCTTGTGATCACCGCGGGCAAATTCATCAAGCTACACGCACTCCCGAGCTACCAGGGAGCAGACCATCATCGCCTAGCACAAGCACTACCAGTCACTTAGTGCTTGGCTTTCCTGCGAGAGTGACCAGCGTAGTCATTAGCAAACGATAGACAATATTGAGTGACGAAGCCCGTTGTGGACTGTCAGCCGTTGGTTGGGCGCGTCAATACTGCCACTGGAGGCAATACCTAGCTCTGAATGGCCAGAATGGGGGGGGGAAATAGAAAAATTCAATCAAAAAATAAAAATCTTCAGCCGAGCCAACCGCAGTAGATGGTGGCGCCATAGCTAAAAGAACGTGCTGGCCCTCCCCGCGAGTCAAACTGCTATCACGAGATAAGGATGGCCGAGGGAAAGTAGAGGGGTCCTCTGGAATACCCGTCGTATCTCCTCACGGCCAAGAACGAGCTGCCAAGTTGGGTACTCAGTTGAGCCTGAATTTTCGTATCCTTTGTTCCCATTTGAACCTGGGGCTCGGACTTGAGCAAATGGTGTCGAACCAACATTCGCAAGCACGTATCCACAGGAGGCGCAGTCAGAGTCTTGATGAGGGAGGTACTCTGTACATCCAACTCTGTTGATCTCCATTGGCCTTGATCCTTGGGCCCCGTGCAGAGAAGATACACAGATACGTAGCTGGACATATGATTTTATGAATGGTACAACCGCGGCACGGGCTGAACATCAAGCCGGCTTTGTTGTCTCACTAGAGACCATCCAGGTGGCAGTCAATCATGCAATCGCCTATGACTGAGACATGATCAAGACCAGAATCCCGTCTGGCACCACCGGGAGACTTTTCCCTGTACAGCCGCAGACAGCCAATGGGCGATATTGGGCCCGGATGGCAGCCAAGGCTAAACCCCAAGTTCGCCCTCAGACCCGGCTGGCAACAAGGCCTGAAAGATGGCACCGCCGCAGTTGAAAAGTGACCAGCAAACCAGATTCGAATGGAGCCAGGACGGACGCTGTTCTGGTACGCCTGAGAAGCCACAGCCTCAGTGCTCAGTGTCAAATCCGGTGAACTTGGCCCTATTGATTGGTTGGCGACGCATGCACTTATGGTCTTGATAATTGGCCGTTCTTGAGATTTCCCACATAACACAGCAGCTCGCCCCAGGCATTGTCCAGACGGATTCGAACATGTCGTCCCCCGAGACCAGGTATGGAGGCGTCCTGTCCTTGGTAACGTCGAGGAGGGCTGAAGATGCATCGGCCTCACGGCCTAAGGGGTGAGAAAGTAGTGTGTCGTCGATGCCTGACGAAACGGACGCGCACGCGTCATGAGTAACCAAACAGATCGAGTGTGTGATAGGCGTAGCAGGAAAAACACACCGACAAAGCAGACAGCGGAGAATGGTGCAAGTTGTCGGCGGGCCATGGCCGCTTCATATGCGGCCATGGCACAGTGGAGCCCAGGCGCCTCTTTGGTTGGAGGTCGTCAGGTCGAAGACGCCAAAGAGAGGCCAAGGCCCGTGTTGGAAACATGCACCAGCCACGAGAGCCCACCGCGAGGCAGCATGGCGCATGATGATGGGCAGGACAAGGACGAGCGAGAGCCAGAATCGGATGCGCAGTTGGAGAAGATGGGGCACAATCGATAAGCGATTATCTAATACGTTGCGCTGCGTGTCAGTGCTGTCCCCGTCCGGTTGGTGAGCTGCATTGCTGTCCCGGCCAAAGTTGTGGTGCTACCTCCTACCTGGTACGATGTGCTGTAGGTAGGTAGCAGTACGCCATGGCCGTGCATTGATGGCTGCACTTGCCTGATACGCGTTGCAGGATGCGAGGCAGCGTCAAAACGGCAAGGCGGATGACACTATCGTGTGCTTGATATTGGCTGCTGCCCATCCGGGACATCCATCAGTCGTCCAGCTCGATCCCGACTTACTAGTACTTAGTAATCCGGGTCCAGCCAAAGACAGTCGGCGCAAGGCAGCACGGGCGTGCAGTGCATCACGTAATCAGCTCGAGGTCAGGTGCTGCGGCGCTGGCTCTTCTGGCAGCCCGTTACTGGTCCGCTGTACGACGGCCAGTGGATCTCTGCATCGTACCTCGCCACCCAAATTGGGCCCAGAGGTACATGCCTAACCTGTCAGCCCACCCGTCGCCCTTCCTCGCGTCTTTCAGGTGGGCTGTCGCAGTGCATGAGGTCCAAACCACATCAGGCATGAGTGGCCTGGGCCAGACGCTGCGTCTCGCCTGATGGGTGCCATGACACCTCCAAGCAGCCCCGGTATTTGCCTATCGATTTGATGGCCTGTGACGATACGATACGACCGATAGAGCGAGAGAGGGGGGAGGGGCTTGCGAGAAACCGTGGAGAAGTGAGGGGATTTGGATGGCCAGCCAGAGCGCGCGGCCACATCACGATGACCAAGCGACGCCGGCGCCATTGGAAGAGAGGGCCGCTCCGCTGTGACTGGCTGGATCCGAGGCCATCTTCTCCATCCAAGCTCTGCCAGTGGTTCACAGGCCTCTGCTCTGCACGCCAAAGAAGCAGGCGTTTCGCACCGTCGCCCTTAGCAGAGCGCACACTACTGGCCCGTCCCGAGCTTTTGAGTGGTCACAAGTCAGCGGGTATGGCGTCCACCCGCTGTCCGGGTCGTGCGGGAGCGAACAGCGCCGTCCATTACTCTCTTGAGGCCTGGGGAGCAGCTCATTCCTTTGGGGGAAGGGGGGTCGTCTGAGAGAGTTGGGTCGCCAGGACTCCAGGAGCTTGATGCCCAATCTGCCAGCATGCGGGCGCCTCTCATTCGCTCTGTCTTGGATCTCATCCCGTCGTTGAGCCTATGTATCCATCTTGGATTCTGCCCTCCCGGCGTCGCGGATGGCACCCGTCATGGCCCGCTTGCCGAGACTTGACAGGCTCGATCATGGGCCATGGACATGACGGAAGCTCATTCGTTTCAGTACCCGCCCTGCTTCATGCGAGTCGAGCCGGAGGTCAATTTTTTTCCCTTTCTCTGCTAGTAAGGCGGGTGATGGGTTGACCATGGCGTCGTGGGCTGAGCGCTGCTGAACTGACTGACTGGCCATGACGAGGACGATGCCGTTGCTTATCGATTCTTGAATCAGGCCGACCTTGGACTGAAAGGCAAAGGCAGCGGCAAAGTTCAGTCCCATTGAGGCGCAACCTGAGGCGCGTAGAGGCCGTTTCGAGTCACAAGAGACCGCTGGTCCCAGATCGATCAGGTGTGCGGGCTGTGGTCATTGTGGTTGATGATGGCCATGCTGAGGCCTACAGTACTTGAGACAGACAAAAAAGTCGAATAGAGTACGAAGTACGGGACAAGAAGTTGGTCCAAGTCCCATCCTGAGTGCCACATGAGGTGGGAAGAAGGGAGCCGGGACCAGGGATCAGCCCAGCTTAGAAAAGGTGTGAACTCGACGTACCTCCATACGAGAGAGCTCAATACAAAGCAGAAAGATGGAGAGGGCTAAACATAGCGGCTATGACATACTACCTGCCTACTGCTGCATCACATCTACCTACATACAGGTGCTGCTAGCACCCTGCCTACTCATACGCATGAGCACCAGATATTGGTAGGCATGCCCACCGCAGCCCTAGCTAGAGAGATCCATTGTGCCATGCTCAAAGGGCAGAAGGGATAGTCTACCTACTCCGTGTGTCTCCAACTCCCTTCACGCACGCACTCGTGGGCATTGATAGCACTAATCGTACGGGCGCACTGCCGCCTCAGAATGGAGTGCGGAGGATTACCAGCACGGTGCTCAAGGAAATAAATAAAAAAAAAAAAAAAATAATAGAAAAAATAAAAAGAGTACTAAAGAGGCGAGAGCCAAATCTCACGACAGGCACCCCTGTCCAAAGCCGGCCCCGAGGACCAGGCCCTAGACGACAAAGCCCGTTTGAGCCCGACAGCATGATGACGGCCACACGCACTAACACTACCACTCATACTGCAAGAAGACGAAGCAGAGGTAGCAGGTAGGTGGTACGGAGACCAAGGCATCGCTATCGACAAGACTGGGCTGTACTCTGTACTACACACTCCAACTGCGGTATGGAGTAACACCTCCAAGCGAGCAAGGCATGTACATGTGTATTACACAGACGCCTCAGAGTACATACATGGGAGCCCAAAGCATGTACCTACTACTGCTGCGAATGAGCCTAACACCCAAAGTCTTCAGCCCGTGGACGACACTCTCGTCTCGCTATCGCCCTTAGCAGATCCTCCGGCGATTATCAGCCCGAGGAGAACTCGACGCTGTCATCATGCCAAATCAACGTGCTTGTACCGTACCGGAGATATCAGCCTAGCAGCACTATCAGAGCGAGGTACGTACCGGCTCTCGGCGCAGGCGACCAAGCAACGACGCCTCCTCCTCTCTAGAGAGACTGCTCTCCTCGACTTTGACTAAGACGGAGAGATAACTAAGCATTATAGACCAATGACGGCTGGGTCTTCATCATTGGCTACATCTGACCCTCCTTCGTGGAGCACACACTACCAGTTGCAGTACAAACATTACGCCCCGCGAGTACATATAATCGAAATCCCCTCCTCCATCTGCTGCTTCCTTTGCTCAGTATCCCAACTTTGAATCCCATTCGACGCCCTCGGTGCTCTTGAAGCCGTCTTTCGTTTCCTGTTGTCTCTATCAGCGGCAGCAGAAAGGAGAGCCAGAGAGCAGCGGCACCAGAGGCCTCTCCCAACGCCTGTACCACAAGATTGCATTTCAGTGAGTCAGTTTCCTTGTTTTTTTGTGTGTGTTTTTTTCCCTCCTTGCCCCCTCTTGCCGGTTGGTGGACGATGGCTGTCTTCGTCCACTGCAGCATCCTTGATACCATCACTATCACTGTTATTGTTGCTTCCTTCAATATCGATATAGATATGAAGGCACGATAATCACACCTGATAAAGCTCCCCTTCCTCTCCATCGTCCATCGTCTCTTATCGCCCATTTCCCCTTCCTCTCTGCCTCTCCAGCGTCGTCGATTTATTTTTATCTCTGTCGCCGCTCTTCGCTGCACCTCCTCTCTTGCATGTTTTTCCCACTACCACCTACTGGCCTGTCCACTCTCCCGCACTTAAACTAGCCCCCCACAAGCGCTGTTCTTAGCGCTGTTCCGATTCCCTGCCCTGCTTCCCTCCTCTCAAATCCCACACCAAACCCAACTCCCAGCCTTTTTCGCAGCTGGCCCGTCTTATATCACTCGACCCTCCCGCACTCTGTGGTCTGCCCATCACCCTTCAACGCCTTGACGATTTCATGACCTGCATTTGCTCTGCATTTCGCTGCTTCTTCACCCTTCCCCCTTGGTCACAATAGCCATCTATCGCTATCACAAATCACTGCCTACGCATGCTGCCTGTGATCTTTCTTCATCTTGACCCCGCCCGCTTCCGTCGCTGCTCGTCAAACAACAAATGAAAAAGGCCGTCTTGATCGCCTTCGCTAACATCTCACCTTTGGAGATTTCCAGTATCAGCACTTAACGACTACTGTGCTTTTGTTCTTCCTCGTTTCAGCTCGTCTTATTTTTACTCATTTTCTTTTGCTTCATCTCTTTTTCTTTCGGGTCGCCATTTCTCTTGTTCGGTTTTTGACGTCGACCTCTGCATCCTCTCCCCTCTCACTTCGGCCTTGACGCCGCTCCCACTCAGCCACAAACCTCGTCACAATGAACAACTACTATTCAGCATCTATGGCTATGGATGCCAGCCCTGAGCAGAAGTTCTTCAAGGCAGAGGACAACGGCAGCTTAGACGACAGCCTTCTTGACCAGAGCGGCATTGATTCAGGACTGGATCTTTCTCCTCCCATGGACAGCAGGCGAGAGTCTTTCGGCATCGGAGGGCCTCTCTTCTCTCCCAAGACCGAAGATTGGCAATCTGTCGACATGCAGTCGCTGCCCTCCAACAACCCCTTCTACGAACCTCACAGCACCAACCCCTACATGCGCTTCGACCAGTCCTCAGCCAACCCTTTCATCTCATCAGGCAACCCCTGGGCCATGAACGGAGGCTCCGGCACGGCCACACCTTTCCAGCAGCGCTTCGGTGGCATGGCGACTGATTTTGAGGCCAACACTTCCATCTTTCAGCAGCCTATCCACGCTCCCACTCCTTTCCCCTCCTCTGGCAACATGTTCGCCAACTTGGCTGATGGCCAAGACGGCCAAAATGCGGCCAAGAAGATGCAAGACGGCAGCGCTGCTCTTCGATCTCACAATGATCTGCGACGCGGCGATGGCATCCGGAAGAAGAACGCTCGTTTCGAGATCCCTGCGGAGCGAAACTTGAGCAACATCGACCAGTTGATTGCCCAGTCTACAGATGAGCAGGAGATCAAGGAGCTCAAGCAACAGAAGCGACTGCTGCGAAATCGCCAAGCTGCGTAAGTACATTCATCGAAATGATCAGATTTCTTCCCCCGCATGAAACTAACTGGTTCTACTAGCCTCGACTCTCGACAGCGCAAGAAGCAGCACACTGAGCGCCTAGAAGATGAGAAGAAGCATTTCACCGTTGTCATCACTGACATGGAGGACGAGCTTGCCACGCTCAAGGCCAAGGTTGAGCAGCTCACTCTCGAGAAGCAGCAGTGCGTTGAGTACATCGAGACCCTCGCTTTTGAGAAGGACGAGATGATCCGCACTCACACTATCGAGACTGGCGAGCTGAGGAAAAAGGTTGGTATTTTGACCGACCACGTCCAGCGCCTGGAGAGCAGCATCCCCCCCAACGCTGCCGCCAACGACTTCTCTGGCTCTTACGACGACATGGACATGGCCGGCACCTGGGATAATGGCTTCCTCAACGACTTTACCGATGAGGTTAAGCCGCCCATGGCCATGGCCAAGAAGGACAACAACCCCTTCACCTCGGACAGCGAGAAGACTTCGTCTCAAGGCGGCTTGCTCTTCATGCTCTTCCTTGTTGGCGCTTTTGTCCTGTCGAGCCGCTCGATGCCCTCCATCCCCCGCGTGTCTGAGGATGTCCGAGTTGCGTCAGCGAATCTCCTCGACAACGTCTTCAAGGATGCCGGCGTCAACGCCTCTCCCAGCATGCACGCTATTGCTCCTCAGCCTTCCGCTGCCACTTGGGGCCAGCCCGTCAGCGCCAGTGTCATGGCCGGCATGGCTGCTGATGGTGTTGTCGCACCGTCCATGCTCGTAGAGCTCGGCGATAGCCTTATGCAGCCCTCACAAGAGCAGACCAACGAGCAGATCTTCTCCCTCTCTGCTGCTCAGTACAACGGTGTTAGTGACCACGACTTCCTCCGCCCTGGCAGGATGCCCAGCAAGACTCGCAAGAACCTGGCCCAGGCTCTTGCTGAGCTGCGGGATAATGCCAAGCAGCTGGGTGCCGCCGAGGTTTACACTCGCACTCTCCTTTGGGACCAGATCCCCAACGACGTCGTCCGAAACTTTGCCAGAATGGTTGTAGAGTGCAACAGTGCTCAGAACGGACAGCAGTGCAACGAAGCACGATCATGAAAGAATCCAAAAAGACCCGGCGCGAAAGAAGAAAAAACGAAATCTCACGATGATGAATGAAAAAAATGGCTACAGTAATGACGCAGACACCGACGTTCTCCACCCTTGCTCTATTTTGTCTTGGTTTTATTTCATTTCTTTGACAACCTCTTGTTACTTTCTTACTCTTCTCTTCTTACAGCCATATCCGCTATTGGATGAGCTGGCCACTTTTTTATCTGAGTTGCTCTGGGGCGGCTCCCCCCACATGCGCATTATTTGAGATTATTTGCTCACGCATTCACCACCATCTTCTTGAATTTGAACAAACCGCTTTCTCATGAAAACCATCTACTTTGGAGTCTCCCACGATTTCTTTGCGGATCTAGCGAGCGAGCAAGCGTTGCTTTTATTTCCTTGTTTTAGCGATTGATTTTGTTTTGGCTTCTTTTCATTGTGCTTTTTATTTTCCTTGTGTTAATATTTGGACGGCTTTTCAAATGTTTATTATTTGGTTTTCTACCCTACTTTTTGGGGCTCTTTCGACTATTTGGCGAGATAGGCCATAAGCAGGACGCAGCAGCACTGCAAGCATGCCACAGGCCCCAGTCCAGTGCATGTTTGTACTACTTTTGAAGGGCATAGCTTTTCGGCTAATGGGAATCTGGGAGCGGGATGATACCTAGCACCAAAAGAAGGATTTCTACGAGGCATGTCGACACAGATTGATGACAGAATGGAATTTTACTTGATGACAACGAGTAAGAGCACCTGGAACGGGCTCTTCTCAAACGACACTCTTTTGAGAACCCACCATAGGGACAAGAAATATCCCTGGGTGGCTTTCCTTTGTACTTGGGCGGCATATTGGCATTCTTTTTTTTCTTGCTTGGAAATAGCAGCCACAAAGATGGCCTATTGGGTTTTGACGACATATTTCTTTTCAGATAGCTTTTTTCCAAACACGAAAGCGGACAAAATGGTCCAGCTTAACTTTCTTACATCCATCATGATTCTCATGTTTCTCCTTTGCATTTTTGTGACTGCTTCCAACTTCGCTTGTACGACTCCCTATTCTCCTGTGCCTCGTGACTGTGTGCCCGCTTGCTACCTAGACAGAGGGCTAATAGCAAACAACGCCCTTACCTGGGCTGTGAGGCGCAACACCAGTGAGTTTTCTACTACGTAACGTCTACAGACTGACCTGACCATCTTTTCCCCGTGTGTAGTATCCATCCTCTCATACCATCATAGATACTACAGCCTCAGAGCATACATACATAGCGTGTCCCGGGGCAGAGAGGACGGAAACAAAGAGGTGGGGTGCGTGAGACAGACCTGGGAAGCGATGTGATGTGATGCAAAGCGGCCATGCACTGGCTGTGGCTTGTCTTGGCCTGGGAGAGGGAGGGGGGCCAGAGATTGGGTTGACATCACACCGCCAACGAGGCAGAAAGGCCTTTTAGTTGCTTCCAGTCTGGGAATTGGGGTGGTTGGAGAAGTTGCAGGCCTAAGCCTTTCTTGGGAGGGTTGTGTCTCTTTGATGGAGGGCTTGGGGACAAGATGTCCATGAAAAAGCCGTCCAAGTAGAGGACTCCATGATGCCATGCGGCCTGTTGTGGTGGCTGCGGTGTTGCTACAGTACTGCTACCTACCACCTTGCTACGGGATCTATTCTAGTAAGGTAGGTACTTGAATCGCATGGGGAGCGTCATAGCTGATGGTTTATTCATGCTGGCCATTACTAGGCAGAACAGGGCGTGGCTGGCTGATGCGCTGATCTTTTGCTTGTGTTCAAGGGAGAGAAGGCATCACGGGATTGCCAGAAGGTACATCATACGCAGTACCTCGAAAGAGTCACCTTCCTTGTACTCCGAATACAGCAGCCATCAACGCAGCTTCCCCGACATGAAGCAAGTAAATTAAATGATGAATAATATTTTTCTTCCTACTATTGAATAGATAGATCCAGTAAACCAAACCGCGGCCCCTCTTCTCCTCCCATCTCTCCTCTCCTCCCCGTTCTTCTCTTGTTCCATCCTCCACCTCCCTGCCTTTTGCTTCCATCCCGCATGCCATCCATCTCCCTCATTCGCCATAATTAGCACTAGCCCGCCAGCCGCATCCACCAATCGGCGAGCCACTCTGCATCTGCAAGAACTGATCATCTGCTCTGATCTCAGCCAATGCCGTCCCAGGGTGGCCACAAACTCGGTTTTGGCGAAATAGATGAAACAGCCACACGCTGCCAATGCGTACACGCGCACATTTATCCGCTCACACGCACACATTACCCAGACGCACCCGCTTTAGTCTGGACGAATAGCAGCACTGGAGACGCCTCTGGCAGCGAGAGTTGGCTCTCTAGCCTCCCCCGGGCCATGTTTTCTGTTGCTCTATTCCTGGCTCTTCCCGTCTTTCCGTCTTGTTGACACACGCCACGCCGATACACCCCTCGGGCCGATCCTGTTGGTCCTGAGGCTAGAAATTGTCTTTTGACTCAAAGCCACGCTGCCACGAAGGCCCCAAGGCACCATGATGCCAAAACACCAATTACTGTGCCTCGATATGAGCGTGCTGCTGCAATGGGCGACGGGCAAACTGTCAGTCACATCTCTCGTACATATACTGGCCTACCTACTGGTAAGTGAGTGATGCATATACGCATACCCGCATACATACACACATAACGCACGCACCAAATAAACGCACGTACATGCATCTTGCATGCTTCTTACAGAAGCTTTACCTGTCAAGAGCCAATAATACTAACAAGACGCCTTGGTCCCTTACAGCTCCAGCAGTCATGCCACCTCCGATGCGAATTCCCCCTTACCCGGAACGAGGTGAGTGCCTGAAAGCCTCATCGACTGCTAGTCCTGGACTCCAATGCCGTAAATGACTCAGGAATTGATACCCAAACTCCAATGGTCATTGGTAAGCGGATTGACAATGGCAAGAAAACGAGAAAAAAACTCAGAAGAGCAAGGCTCAGCAGGATATCTCGCGCGCAACCCACCCGTACTAGGCCTCGATATATGGCCAACTCCACCACAACAGACGAGTCGTTTTCTCTCCCAGCCAATCTAGTTGCGACAGCTGAACAACACATACATACGTGCCCGCCTCCATACGTACATCATATCATGTACATGCCTGCACGCATGCGTAAATGCCACCTGCATGCGCAATCAGGCATCAAAACGATCCTCCCGGCTAAGGCAAAGCTGGTAAAAGAGCCGCTGCACCAAGGCATCGCCAGACCTATGATCCCATTTGCACCAATTCTCCGAGCCACATCTGCAGCTTTCTCCTCTGCTCTCCTCTTTTCATCCTAGCAAGCCCACGAGAATTGGCAAAGTGAGATATCAGCTGGGTGCTGCTCCCCTAGTGGCTACAAACACGCTTCGCGAACACACAAGACAGACATACAGCTGCAGGGCACAGCGCCTTACAGCCATAGAGGCTCAGACATTTACAGTTTTGAGAACAGAACCAGGCATCCTACCGTACAAACAAACATACATACATGCCGCAATCGCCGTTACGCGAGCCGCTCACAACGCCCAAGTTATACCACGCCTGTGCTACTGTACGGATGATACAGCAGCGGAACCCCGCAAATGTGAACCACAAGCCGCATAATGGATCAAAACGCTGCTTCTCTACTCGTTGCTTCAAGAGTCACTTAGTGGACACGAAACACAGCAGTAGCAGTAAGAAAAAAGAAAAAAAGACCCTGGCCCACTTTCGATATCCTGTAGAGGCCGCTGGAGAAGAGAAAAAAGTGTTGAAGCTCAGAAATGGAAAACGCCTCCATCGAGAGCTCTTATCGAGTGAATGCGCTCTGCGTGCTTGTGACTCTCCCTTACTTCTTCTTACCGTTGCCTGGATCGTATTTTTCTTTCCATATCCTACAGACGTGTTAGCCTTTGACTCGTCCTGGGGCATTTTGCTTTCCAGCTGGGGCTGGACTGTGTAGCGCATCACAATCCTTCAGGGCTCCTGATTACAGTCATGAGACCGCTGATACTCTGGGCGGAACATTTTGAGCAGATCTGGACGAATAACGGCGAGCGAAGCCCTGACACCTGAGAGTGATGCATCACAGTACACAGAAGAGCACACACAGCTGGCACGACGGATAATGATGGGGGCATGTTTTGATAACTTACCATGAATTTCCTAGTGTCTTATTGCCAGCCTTCTCCGCCTGTCGATAGTACCGGGCTGCGGCATACTGTACTCCCAAATAAGGATACAAACATCAGCCTCATGTGACGGACCAAAATCTGCGGAGAGGGGGAGCACGACCAGTGGCCGTGCCATGTTCTACTGGACTTGCGCAGCTTGCGCCTCCTTGCTTGTCCTCTCTTGCCTCATCTGTGCCCAACTTTGGACCTGGTGAGACGTTGGGCATCAAACTCCGCCTTTGTCAGCGCAGAAATCAAGCCTGGGCCAAGCCTGGACCAGCCAGACTGATGACTGGCAAGCCACAGTCTGCCTGCAGCGCTGCTGGTCCTGGTTGAGGCTTGATTTCTTTGTTGTTGCCATCGAAGAGGCGAAGCTGTGTTATCAATATCTTGCTAATCGCAAACGTACCTTATCCTTTTTACAGCCATAACCCTGCAGGTAACACCAGGCAACTTCGTTCATAGCGTCTTGACCTCTCGTCAGTATTGAGGCATATATCAGTATCTGCATTGACGGCTCATAACTCACCAGTATCGCCCAAGTTCGCTGCCGTCTCATAGTACTGTTTCCCCCGCGGTTCAGTATCTAATTAGCTCAGCCGACTCCTGAATAGGAAATGACTGCATACCTGCTTTGCGGCGATTGGATCTTTGTCGATGCCCCAGCCGTGGCGGAAGCAGTTGGCCAATTCGAAGATGGCGAGGACTAGCTCTCCCTTTGCCGCTCCTCCCTTCTTCAGACCGGCCTGGATCGCCAATTCCTCGACTGATGCAGCATTGGAGGCTGCTGCCGTTAGATAGTGGACCGCTTTCCCAGGGTCTGGCGTGCAACCCCAGCCGTGCCTATGAGATGAATGCATGGCGATTAGTCCGGAGCTCTTGTCCATCTTCCGAACTTCTATTGCCTGCTAATCATATGACGGTCATGTCACCTAAAACAAATGGGATGTGATATATGAGAGCGTGCTCAAAGGGGACAAATGCGGGCAGAGCCGTGCCTCTCTCAGGATTCACCGGCGGCAAGCAGCATATCGCCACCATGGGATAGGAGGGAAAGGGCAAATTGGGATCCGGCGATGGTGACACTCACCTGAGTGCTAGCCCATAGAGGACCTGGCTAAGTGGATTATTGGCGCCGCTCTCATCTGCAAGGCGCCCGAACAACTTGGTGGCTTCCACAAAGTTACCCTCCTCATGCAGCCGAATCGCCTCCTGAATATCGGCATCGATCTGTTTGGACGACACCTGTCCCGAGTGCACCGAAGCGCTTCGGCTACGAGGGCCATCTAGGCTCATGTGCGCCATGCCATCTGCGGCATCCCTTGAAGGCGGCCGACTCCTCACCCGATCATTCTGCCCGGCTAACATGGTGGCCCGTTTCTCCCACTGCAGCTCTGCAGCATCTCCATCCTGCACGTCGTTTGGGACCACAATCTCCGGCAGGTTCTGGGGCACATGGTCCGAGGTCTCAGGCGCGCGACTCAAGTGTAGCCTATGGGAGAGGCGTCTTGCGGTGCTCTCCTTCTTGGATTTCTGACTGGTCGAGGACGATGCAGATGGGCTTCGTGATTGATTCGACTGGAAAAAGTCAAAACTTCGCCTCGACTTTCGGTGCTCTCCACTTGTCGACGAGGGCGATAGCAAGCCGTCGTTGTAGCCGAGGGCGTTTTCGTCCGACGGCATAATCACCTGTTGCGAGACCGTGTCGGAGCCAACAAACGTGATGTCCGGGCCGGCCATTCTTCCATCTGCATCTTGGTCTTGCTGTATAGCATCCTTCTTCTTCAGTGCATCTCGGAGCCCCATGGTTGCGGAGTAGTAGCTTGCTGTAAGTGAATTTCTCTTCCTCCTCTTCTACTAATTTGATTCAAACCAAGTAAAAAGACCAAGTGAAGCGAGACAGCAGCAGCACCAGAGCCTTGTATAGATATCCCGTAGTCGTGATGCTGTAAATGAGCTAGCCAGTGATGCTTGGCCCTCGTTCTGTCTGTTGCCTAAAATAGATGTCCCTTCAGACAGCAAGTACTACCAGCTGTTCTACGTCGCAAGAAAACGAGAGTACAGGCGGTATAGAGAGAGATGAGCGAGGCCGTCAAACTGTGGCTGAGGCTGAGCTGAGTGAGCTCAGCTGATGCAAGTACTTTTGTAGCGACTGATATGTGGGCAGTGTCCTCTGTAGCGCCGTATAACATACAGCACCGGTGCCTCCAACGCCTTTGTGTCTCAACGCCTTCTGAAACGAGGTCACGCAGACGCAGATGAACAAAAGACGTCGGAATAAGAACAACAAAGTTTCGATTCTTCCCGCGCGGCAAAAACAAAAAAGACAAATCACGGGCTGCCAGGCGGCTGCTTTGAATGATTAATGGATGAGGTTAAAAAAAGGCCAGGCGCCGTCCCTTTTTTTTGAAACAGGGCCCTTTTCGCCGCCCCCTCCAAAAATCCGCATTATGGAGTCGAGAAGGTGGTATTCTAGGATTTGCTCTAGGTCCCAAGTCGCCTGTTCCTTGGCAAAAACTGGGTGCTGCGACCACCAGCCTTTCGCGTGTTATTATAGTACTGCCTGGATGATGGACCCTGAATGAGGCAAGGGGCTGAGCATGCTTTGCTAAGCAGATGAAGATATTGAAAGAAAGGGAATTTTTTTTAAAAATAAAAGAATAAAAAAGGAATTCCTTGGCTAATCTCAACTGAGGTTATCATCTCATGTTATTTGATACTGGGTTTCATTTCCAGGGCTGTAAATTCTCCAGGGGGGAAGCGCTGTGGGACGGCCCTATCTGGCTATTTCGGGACGCCGATCAGTGATCTCTTTTAGAGGGCTGCCTTCGCTAAATACCCGGTCGGTATGGGGTATTAATACCGATAGCGTATTCGATTAATAGGGGGCGTATTATATCGTGCATTTTGCTATTTGATGACACGAGAGTAGATATCATGGAATGGTTGTTTGTTGGGTACTTAGACTGGCCATTTTAGGGACCATCTTTCGAGATAGACAAACACAGCACAAGTAGACTTTCCATGTAAAAGATAAGACAGGTTCATCACAGGTATATTGCTTACTCATTTACTTGGTTGTTTTTTTCTCAATCTTTTTTATTCTCTTTCCTCTACTAAACATATATCGGTTTTTCTCTCTCCTAAAAAGTCTTCTCTTCTCTTCCCTTTGTTCTTTTTTCTTCCTTTTTTCTTTTGCTCTTTCGGCAATATTATCGTCGTCTTATTTGCAACCCCTGCAGCCGCTAAGGGAAGAGGCAGGAAAATAGGCATGACGTTAAAATGCTGAATAACAGGGTATCTTTGGTATAAAACCCATTTCCCAGCCGACATGAGCTTCATGTCTTTGTCGTTTGCTATAGAATTCGGCTGCTTGCTAAATAAAAAGAAAACAAGAAGAATAAAAAAAGAATAGCATGTAATCTCCAAAAAATTTCAAGTTATAAAACTGCAGAAGCGCTTGTATAGTAATCGACTCGACATGTCCAAGGGACAATGAACAAATAATCTACTTTGACTCGGTTAAAGGGGGAGATAGTCCTTTGGGTTGTCAAAGTCAGAATCATCGGAATCGCCCTCGAGGAACTCGGCCACTTCGTCAGAATCGACATCATCAGAGTCGACTGATTCATCTTCGCTGGAGACATCCTGGGCCTCGTCGCGCTGTTTGGCCTGATTTCGGAGGACGCTTGCCCTCTCACGATGGAGCAGCTTACATCCCCTACTCTTACAGAAACCGGTGTTGCTGAAGTCTGGGCATTCGAAGACATGGCGATCGGTGCAGTCTGCACCCTTGTCACAGTATCCACAGAATCCAAATGCCGCACATACGGGGGCACTTGGAGAGGCTTTGGAGTGAGTAAAGGGACAGTCAGGCCGGGAGCATTGTCCCTTGGCAAAGTGCAAACAGTTCGGAACACGTTCTGGGGTAAGCTCATGAGAGAGATCGCAAGACTCGCCGTTGGGACACTTGCCGTCTTTCAAGAAATCCTTGCAGAGAGCCACCTTGTCAGGGTCATGGACGTATCGGCAGGCTGGGCCTTTCGAACAGGAACCTAAAGGGCACAGGTTAATGGTCAGTTTGCTTCCCCATCTACGCCACTGTCTCGTAGATCTGTAGCTCATTCGGTTGTTGCATTTATAGAAAACAATTACCAGTCGTTGAAAAGATTTTGCATCGTTGATCAAGTTTTTTGACCGTACCAGATCGACTGCTTGCGTTAGTATCGTGATCGCCCTCGGGACGTGAACATACCGGTGGTCTTTGACTATCCTCTGTGCCACAAGGTTTCCAGTCTTTGTACGATGGAATTTGACACCGGCAATAACTGTCATCTTGGGCGTCATAGTAGGGGGTAAAGGGTCACCTGGTGACGGTTAGTAATAAAGATGAACAAGGAGAGATTGCAAACTTACCAGGCGTCTTAACAAGTTTCTTCCCTCCATCCAAGACGCGAAAGCGAATGCCGTTAACCGTTATTTCATTTGTAACTGCGGGATTAGTGCTCGTGCTCGTGCTCGTGCTTGCAAATCCATCCACCGTGGCCTGGTGGCGAAGGAATTCGCTGAATCGTTGCTTTTCCCGGCGCTTCTGATCTTTCATCTTTCTCTGGCGAGTCTCTTCGATAGCTTTGGCCCGATTCTGGCTCTCTTTCTCATATATGTTGGCGTTAATGAGCTGGCGGTGGCGATCGTTTTTGCTTACCCAGCCCGGTGTCGTAGGAGCTGGGCTGGGAGCGGCCGAGCTCGAGGCAGACCCTGATGCAGATGCCGAAGCGTTGAGATGCAATGTTCTGTGGCGGTGCGCGGCGGCTGGCCGGCCGCTGTATCCTCTGGTCGGGTAAGGCGCGCTTGCTTGACGATACGCATTTCCTTTATCCAGTTAGCCATGCTGCTGTTCCTGTCTGCCAGACATTTTGTGCAGAAGACAAACCTCGGTGACGCACTGGGTGATGCGTTGGCGGTACGGAGCGGTAGTTGGCCTGCTGGCTTTTGTGTCGATTGATTTGGCCTAGAATGGTGAGCGCTATGAAGTCATCGCGAGATGCCCAACTATCTTACCAGCAAGCTGGCCGATGCGCGCCAACAGCTCTTTGTCTTCGTCCGACATGTTTGCTATTGATCTTTCCTGAGTTGCAGATGCTATGCCTAGTACAGAGTCAGGATCCTCAAAGTTGTGGGAGATTTGCTTGCGCTGGTAGTAGCTCAGCGCAGTAAATGATGCAAGGTCAAAGAAATGCAAGGCTATAGTGGCGGCTGATCATGAGTCGATGAGATAAGAGCTTAACTGACTAGCAGCGGCCTTAGTCATCAACGCGCGCTCCACGTCGTCGCAAGTGATGCGAGGCTGAGGGAGACAAACTTTAATGCTCGAAAGCCAAATTGTTGATATAACAGCCATTAAATACGCCAGATATTCAGCACGAGCTTCTATAATATCTTTTTTATTATCTCGGATAAGACTGCTTTATCGTTATTAGCTACCATTCACCGGCTCTTTAGCATTCGTCCTCCCAACCCAACAATGTCTTCGTGGGATCTGCTAGACGAAAAAGGCGAATCCGAGCTTCACAAGAGCCGGCTCCTCAACGTAGAGGAGAAGCCTTTCAAGCGCATCACCAAACGACTTTCATCCATATCTGCAATCGTTTCCAGTGCGATACAATCTGATGCTACAACTTCAAACGGAGGCCACACTACGAGCAGCGCCCAGCTACAAGAAGATCTCACATTCGATTTCGCTGCCTTTGACAGCAGCATCGCCCGGTTCCAGTTCCTTCACGATGCGAACGAGCGAGAGCGCGAACGTTACGAGGCAGATAAGCAGCGCATTCTCGCCGAATGCCAGGCGGCCCGCGAGAACAACGCGCGACTACGAGAGCAGCTGGAGGATGCCAAAGCAACCTTGGCGCGGCGGAAGAAATTCGACGAGCTGGCCGAGAAGATATTGTCTAATCGGCTGCTGCGGCCGCGCGAAGACCAGCTGGTTGCCCTCGAGAAATTAGAAGAAGAATGTAAAGAGCTGGAGCGCGAAAGTGAAACGTACAGTGGCACATGGAAGGAGCGGCGAGACCAGTTCAATAGGATTATGGAGGAGGGCATGCTATTACGACGGCAGATCAGAGACGAGAAGGAAGAAGTAGACCGAAGAGAGGGAATGAATGAAGGCGGAGATGACGAAGTGGAAGAGCAGCGAGACGGCCAGACACCCGGCGTCAACCCCAACAGCACCGAAACGCCGCGACCCGATGGCGAAGGGCAGTTGAACGAGACGACACCCCATCTCGCAATATCTGTGGATGGACCAACGCCATCAGCGGGCTCGCCGCGTCCAGATCAGCTCCGGCTTTCGTCTACAGACGGTGCATCGGCTTCTCGGTTAGGAAGCAGGGCTTCGACCAGAGAAGTGTCACAACCACCGCGGCGTGATCGCGATTCAGGAAGCGAGACGGGCGAAGATGTCGATATGCATGACGAAGGGTCAGGGAACGAAGAAGGCGAGGAGGATGAGGACGAATACAAGTCGTCGGCGAGGAACGGTGACAAGATGGAGGTTGATAATTAGTTTTGAATCATTGGCATGACATTGCTTCTCTTTTTCTTCCTTTCTCTCTAAAGATGGATAGAACATTTGTATAACTAGGATACCCGGATCAAATAAAAGAAGAATAAGGAGTATCTTTTTTGTTTGGCGCTATTGCTAACGAGGCCCTGGTGGTATGATCCACCAGCATGGATGGTGCTTTATCGTATCGTGGTATTTCAATTGTCAATTAATTCTCGTCTTCCTCCAAGGCGCACTCTCTTCAAGACGTCTCCTCCTTCGCCTTCCCCTTTTCCAACGCCGCCTTCGCATTCGCCAACTCCTCCGGCGTGGCAGTCTCGTTCTTCTCAACAAGGTCTTCCAGCTTCTCGACGGCCGCCCGGATTCGATCCCTCAGAGGCTTGAACACGGCCTTTGTCTGCTCGACAACCATTTGCTACAACCACAGTCCTTTCGTTAGCCCACCCTTCGTCAAGAAATAAAGAAGCATTGCATATGCGGTCCAACTTACCTGCTGCTTCAAAATATACGTTGCATTGCCATCCTCGTCTTCCTGCCCGCTCTTGACCTTTTCCTCCTGAGCCTTGAGCTGAGCCTCCTGCTCCTCGAGCTCCTTGTGGTAGGACGCTTCTTCTTTCAGGAGGCGGTTGACGGCACCGGTTGCGATGACCAGGGGAGACGGAGGAGGCATGGCGAATGGATCGGACCGAAAGAGAGGTCTGTTGAGGGTGTGTTTGGAGGATAAAAAACTAGAGAAGGAAGCTGGCCAAAGGTTGATTATTTAAAGGCGAAAGAATCTCGTCAAGAGTCCGGAAATATTCCACGTTGCCTATTCGAAGCTGGTTTTCAAGGTTTATGGTTAACTGCGTGCCTAGCAGGCAGATAGATAGATTGATCCCTATCTTAGCTACGTGGGGTTGATGGCGGGGCAGCACCGCGTTTGGCTGCTTTAAGCATCAGAATCTCAAAAGGCGGCAACTGTAACGATCTGTACCAAATATATAAGAAATAGCAAAACAGTAATATATATTCAACGCGCCTAAGTCTTAAAATAGAACCGAGACCAAATATATAAGTGTTAGTCATGAAATAGACATTCAAGAATAAGCAACGTCACATCGTAGACATCAGTTTCATGGGTCTGTATACACAGTAGCTAATAAAGTTGATTCGTTCAATAGTCACTAATTTCCCAAAACATCCTTTTTCTAAACAGCATAGCTAGCAGAATACAGAAAAGAGACACCAGTATAAAAAAGGGCTTGTGTTGTTTCGACATCCAAGGCGCGATTATCCTTTTCCCTTCTTCCCTCCTGTATCCTAATTCAGAGAACCTCCAAGATCACATGGTATCTCCCCAAACGCCATCAACTCCGCCGTGGGCGATTCGAACAAAAACAAAACCTTTCGTTGCCCAGAATGCACAGCATGGTTATTTTACATACTCAAAACATGATGTATTTTTTGTGGTTGTCAAACAGACGACTATGCCTCGACGGCAACCGCCGCAACACTCATAGGGGCAGCGGACTCGGGCTCGTCTTGGTTGGAGATCTCGCCTCCAGCTTCTCGCTCTGCCCAAGCGCCCCAGAGTCCGCGTTTTCCTCGGACTTTGATGGGATCGCCAAGGCCTGAGCTCTGTTCGACCTTGATGGCATCCTTGGTAGCAAGCACCAAGCACTCAAAGAACATCTTGGTTGCGTCAGCCTTGGTGGTTTCCTTCTCAGGCAGCAATTTTTGGAAGACAACTGTTGATTTCTTTCTCTTGTCCGCATCCTCGGCGGCATCAGGGCCAAACAGCTCTCGGAGAATGTGAACAGCATGCTTGGTGCCAGCGGACACAGCGCCGCTGTCAGCAGGATGAATAAGAGGCAGCGTCGTGTCTTCAAATGCAGGCATTGGGCTACCTTCCCTGTCCGCGTGGTCTTCGTCAAAGTGAGCTGCAGATTCGTCGGCGGGAATCTCGAGAATAGTACCATCAGCGGCCACGCTGTTGTTACCAAAGGCGTTTCCATCGAGAGTAAAATCGGTGTCATCTCCCAGCTCGAGACGGGGAGATTTGAGGCCCACGCTGTCCACGTCGGCAACGCCACTGTCACGCTTTCTCTTCAGGTCATTCGCACCGCGGACCATATCCAATGAAAGCATGCCGCGAAGTTCGGGGGCCCACGACAAGCTTCTACCCTCCATCATGATGGAAGATACAAAGCCGCCACTCTTTTGCATTTCTGCGAGAGCCAGAAGTAAAGGATCGCGGGGCAGGAAGGTAGCGGGCTTGGTGATGTTTTCTCTGTGGGCCTGCTGTTGCTTGATGTGAGTGCTGGACAGGGCGATTTCATCATCTGGCATCATGATGCGCTGCTTCCTGGCACGCGAGGCAGGCTTTTGGACTTGGGTGCTCTCCTCGTCGTCCTGGGGCTCGTAGAGATCTGTGTGGCCATGGCGAGAATACTCCTCCTCAATTTCTTTAGCAAACTGATCGTCAATATCTGATAGAGGAGATTCCGAGATTCTTCGTCGGTTGATGTCAAGCGCAGCCATTTCGGGAATGCCAGACGCGTCACCAGGGTTGAACTGGAAATCGTCATCGCCCATCTGGATATCGCCCTCATCATCTGCGATCCTCACGGTACCGTCGACATCCATGCGACTGTCTTCGGGACCGGCGCCCTCTTTTGATCGTGGCATGATATCAAGTTCGCTGAAGACATCGTCTTCGATTGACCGCGCTGCGGGGGCATCTCGACCCATTTCAATGCTTGGGCCGCCATCCATGTCAAGGCCAAAGTCGAGCTCGAGCTCAAGATCATCCATTGGCGCAAGTGCGTCTTCATCCAGAGTCATACCGCCTTGGAGAAACTGGCTGTTGTCGAAATCTTCCTGCAAGTTGATGTCTCGGTTGTTGCTCACGCGCCCCTTCCTACCGACTTGTGAAGACGACACGTCATCAACTTGGGAAAGCAACCATGAGGCATCAGGAGGTGGAGGCAGCTCGAGGTTGTCGTATGGCGTAATACGATCGGGAAGAAGCAAAGACTCGCGGTTGGTGATTTGCAAGTTGGCAGCCAAGTCATTGTTACCAGTGGATCGGAACGCCTGGGGGTCATTAGCATGGTCTTCGCAATTGGTGGGATACAGTAAACGACTGGGAAGGCAAAGGAGCAAAAAAGAACAAAGAGGCACCAACCATTTTTATCTTCATCATAGCTTCATTACAATCATCTAGCAAGTATCGCGTTTTGCGCTGGTATATCCTGACAACACCAAGCAAGAGCTGTCCACTGAGTCGCAGGGCCATCGGCGCCTGGTTCGGCGTGATGATGGCCTCGACGCTGTCGGTGACATTGGACTGGAGAATGTGGTTCTTGGAGAGCTTGCGCTCGAGGTTGGCAGAGAGCCAGACACGGGCAAGAGGCCCGGTCTTCTGGAGGAGCGTCTCTGAATAGAACATGATACTTGCGCGCGAAGCCTGTCGCACTGGCACTCGCGCTCAACCAAGCTGGTACTCGAGGAAAGAAAAATATGCAGAGGCACAGCCAGCCAGTGAGATGGTGCAGGCAGCGCAGCAGTGGAGGGGAACAAGAGATTGGAGCAAAGTGGAGGTGAGTAAACACGGAACAAGGGGTGCGCGTTTTGGTGGATAAACAAGTCGCCTAAACCGTGTTCGGGCCTGGCTCACGCGCGACGGTAGCCGCGCAAAGTCATCAAGTCCAAAAAATGAATCGCCAAGGGCTGGAATATCGGATCGCAGGCGAGGAAAAGCGAGCAGAGGGAGGTGACTGGGGTTGATGGGGAGTGCAAAAATGACGAGGCGAGAGCAGAGGGTTGTGTGAAACTCTCAGGATGGAGCGCGGAGGGGAGACGCTGCTGCGGCAATGCGAAATTGCGTGGCTGGGAGAAAAGTGGCTGGTACTGGGGAGAGCTTGCTACCTGCGTCCATTTTCGGCGTGGCGGGGGGCGGGAAATGATTCTTCCGGCGCTTCTGCACGCTTTCCGTCCGTCGGATATCGGCGGGAGTGCCACACTGCTTGCCGCTTTGGGCAGTAGCGCAGCGAGCCAACTGCTGCTACAGGCACTGAGTTGCAACCCCATAGCGCACTTCCAGCTAGGCCCAGTAGCTCCCAGCAAGCTCCCAGCAAGCTACCTGCAGCATTGCTCGTCATTATACATGCCAGGGTATCATCAATATAGGACTTGGTAGGCGATTGACTTCATTACGCAGAGGCAAGCTGCCATATCCATCTATCGCTTACACTTAATTCAATGTAATTTATTATTCGTTTAGAAAGAATAGTTTCTTGCGGGTTATCAGAAAATTGGTATCAAGTTAGTGATGCTACTATCTATAGTTTGACTACAACCACTGAGCTCCTCGATGCACTTACAAGATGTTTACGATGAACACGATTTTACTGAATCTCTGTGTCTCCTCTAATGCTACATGAACATTACGAAGAGTAACACTGGCTCAGCAATTTATCATTTTGCACATATGAGTATCCACGTACCTACGGCGCTTTACTCATTGCCGACATGGGCGAGTGCCCGAGCTTTGCCGTTTAAATGCCTTACATTATCATCTATCACAGTACTACTTACAAGTATGCATCTTAACACATGCCACTTTTTATCCCAACACCAGTGGCTAGAGATTTACATGTCCTATAAGAGCAAGGTGTTTTTTTTTTTTTTTCTTCTGATAACGATAGCAGTTGTACCACGGCAAGATAATAATGCTTAGAGAATTGGAGCACCCATCGTCTCTATCAAATGAGCTCCATATTCATCTTCGCTCCAAATAGGTATCTACAATTTCTGCTAGCATCTCTACCTGAATATTAATGGTATGTCCACGCACTTTGCGAGCAAAAAACTCTGGCATTTCCAAACTATCTCAGCGTTTGCCCGTCAATTCCTCACAAAGTATATCGGCAGGCATTTGTCAGCGTGATTATGGGCATAAATCAGTCTTGGAGCAGGAATCGCCTAATCATCTAATCAATATTTGACGAGGCATAAGCCTTTTTCCCGTCTTATTACCTCGTAGCTTCCAAGGCTATTCCAACTCACCCCACCAAATAGTATGCCCAGCTAGCAGCGTTTAGAAAACTCCTACTACTAGTAGCAATGCTAGCAACAGTAGCCGCAATGCTACTCAGGAGACAATGCTAGCGAATGAAAAGCGGGCATTGGCATTGAGCGGGTTGGTTGCTCTAAAATATGATATGATACAATTATGACAATTTCTATCTTGAGTTTCTGCGTCTTACCTGACGGCATTGGACAGAGTTTCTGGGGAGTAATACTGGCTATAGTAAGACGCAGAGCTTGGCAGGTCGTTGCAGCCAGTAACCGTCGACATGGGGCGCACAGTCAGTGGGCTGCAGGCCTTGGGCCGCGTAGCCCCAACTTAGCCGCGGCGCCGCTAGGCTAAAACAGAGAGTTACTTCGCGCTGCCAGTACCTGCAGCCCCCTGTAGTGCTCCTTGTCCCCAGTTCCAGTGGCGAGGCTAGCGCAACTACCCATTCCATAGAGCCTTGGGAGACCACCTTTGTAATTTGCATGATTGCATTGCTGATGCTTCACCGGTCTGCACGCTGGCCTCTTGATTAGGGGATGAGGATCGAAGCCGTCGGTGTCTGCTGGAAAAATAGACTCGATTTATTACGACAACGCCAACTTCCGATCTCGAGAACGTATGCGCCAAAGCCGACTTCTGCGCATTCGACTGTCTCCCCCTCTCCTCATGAAATCGGCCTTTTGATAAATGCTTGGCGTTGATTTCCGGGCCCCCTTAACAAATTCGACGCCATCAAAGGGTCTACAACATGCAGCTGCCTTGGGCAGGGCGCGGTGGCTCTGGCAATGAGTCTCTGCTGCCAATGGCCAACTTGCCCATCATCACTGGAGATGCGGCCGACAGTGATCGGGAGGGAAGATCAGGAGCAAGGCCAGGGCATGCCCGAACATCCTCTGCGCATGCGCGGGTAAGGCTGACGAGACCACTTGTATTTGTTTCGAGGCAATTCGTTAACGAGATAGCAGGGGGTCGCCAACGAATACTCCTTCATGACACCCAGCGAAGCTGCTGCGCAGTTACGGACGTCCCTCACGTACGGCCTTACGCCCAACGAAGCCTTGAAGCGACTCGGCGAACATGGTCCGAATGAGATACCCCACGAAGAACCAGAGCCTCTGTGGCTCCGGTTTGCGAAGCAGTTTCAAGAGCCGTTGATTGTACTCCTTCTGGTATCCGCGGGAACCTCGTTACTCTTGGGCAACACGGACGATGCGATAAGTATCACGGTGGCGGTAACCATTGTCGTTTCTGTCGGTTTTATCCAGGAATATCGATCGGAAAAATCTATCGAGGCCCTCAATCACCTTGTTCCGAATCACGCACATCTTGTACGAGGCTCACCGAATAAGTCATCTGCTTTGCCGAAAATGTCCCCGTGGCCCCCTAATGTCAACGAACTCCGAGACCCGGCCGATAGCTCTGGTTTAATGACCCCAATCGAAGACATCTTGGACGCTACTTCTTTCAGAGTGTCGGCATCTCAGCTTGTGCCGGGCGATTTGGTCCTCTTCACTACTGGCGATCGTATTCCTGCAGATATACGGGTTACCAAGGCGGCCGACTTATCCATTGATGTATCAAATCTGACAGGCGAGACGAAGCCTATTAGTATATCAACTGAGTCGCGGTCTCAAGGAATCAACCAATTCTCGAAGCAGTCATCTCTCGCTCCAGCCACGCCCTTGGATAGCACCGAAGCGGAGAGCAGTGACATACGGAATATTGCATACATGGGCACGCTGGTCAAATCCGGACACGGCCAGGGAATTGTCTTTGCAACCGGCGGCAGCACTCACTTCGGCTCTATTGCTACAAGCGTTTCTGGAACGGAAAACCCCAGGTCGCCTTTACAGCTATCGATGGATGAGCTTGGCACACAGCTGAGCAAGGCATCATTTGTCGTGATTGGATTGATATCGCTTGTTGGTTGGCTGCAAGGGAAAAAACTACTAGAAATTTTCACCATTTCTATATCCTTGGCCGTTGCAGCTATCCCAGAAGGCTTACCCATTATTGTTACCGTTACTTTGGCTCTTGGCGTACATCGTATGGCGAAGCATCATGCCATCGTACGCTGGATGCCCAAAGTCGAAACCCTTGGATCTGTCAACGTCGTGTGTACCGACAAGACGGGTAAGCTTGACCTTGATATTCCTTAAATCGCGGCCATTATATGTATACTAACTGACTTGAAATAGGTACTCTTACAACCAATCATATGACTACTGTCGAGATGTGGTGCTTTGGAGAACAAGGCCCGTTCCACGTCTCCTCGGACGCTGAGATTGAAGAGATTAAGCCGACGCAAGCGGCTGTACAAATCCTACGAATTGGAAACGTTGCCAACAATGCACGCCTGGCAAAGAACTTTGCAGAGAGCGGCGCCGCTGCAACTGCCATCTTGACTTCAACTCTTAGTCGTGAAGAAGCATCTACCTATACTCGATGGGTTGGCCAACCTACGGATGTAGCCATGCTCGACTTACTTGATAAATTCAAAGAACATGACATTCGAGATTCCGTCGGTCCACGCGTCACCGAAGTACCCTTCAGCTCTGAGAGGAAATGGATGGGTGTTACCATAGGAAATGAAAAAGAGTACGCATATATGAAAGGATCAATAGAGAAAATCCTCGCCGCATGCGATACGTATTTGGAAAAGGACGGCCGGGAGATTGTACTGGACAGTGCACGGCGCCAGGAGGCCTTGGCGGCGGCCGAAGCCATGGCAGTCAAGGGACTTCGTGTTCTCGCCTTTGCCAGTGGTCAAGTGTCCAAGTCTTCCAAAGCTCGTTCACCCGCACCTGGTACGCGAAGCAACACGCCTGCTGCTGATGGAGCTTCTACCCCAACGATTCCTCAAGGCTCGGACGATACTTACAAGGGACTCACATTTGCTGGCTTAGTTGGCATGAGGGACCCTCCTCGGCCCGGTGTGGAACGCTCTATTCGACGACTTATGCGAGGCGGCGTCAGAGTTATCATGATCACCGGCGATGCGGAAACTACAGCACTTGCAATTGGTAAACAGTTGGGAATGAGCGTTGCCGTTCCCAGCGCCCATTTGCCGGGCCAGAACGCAATCAAAGCTGTCCTCCGGGGAGATGAGATTGATAGGATGTCTGACGAAGACCTTGCTCAAGCGATACAGCACACTACTATTTTTGCCAGAACCAACCCTGACCACAAGATGAAGATTATTCGTGCGCTCCAGTCTCGAGGAGACATTGTGGCTATGACGGGTGACGGTGTAAACGATGCGCCTGCCTTGAAAAAGGCAGACATTGGTATTGCTATGGGACGCCATGGAACAGACGTTGCCAAAGAGGCAGCGGATATGATTTTGACTGACGACGACTTCTCCACCATTTTACGGGCCATTGAGGAAGGCAAAGGCATATTCAACAATATTCAGAATTTCCTTACCTTCCAGCTCAGTACGAGTGCGGCTAGCTTGGCCCTGGTTTTTGTCTGCACTTGCTTTGGGTTCAAGAGTCCCCTCAATGCTATGCAGATTCTCTGGATTAGTAGGTTTTCCATTTAAGCTATTTATCTTCTTGTTGTGAATTCTTGACTAACGCTATGTTAGACATCATTATGGATGGTCCCCCTGCGCAGTCTCTTGGTGTCGAAACAGTAGACCCTGATGTGATGAATAGGCCACCAAGGAAGCGGAATGATCCAGTTCTGACAAATAAGCTTATACAGAGAGTCCTAACTTCGGCAGCCATCATCATGGTTGGCACTATGCTCACCTACCGGCAGCAGATGGCCGACGGCGTCGTCACTCGCAGGGATACTACCATGACCTTTACATGCTTTGTGTTCTTTGACATGTTCAACGCTCTTAGCTGCCGATCCGAATCCAAGTCGATACTGCGCGGCGAAGTGGGACTGTTATCGAATACCTTATTTAATTGGGCAGTGTCCCTGTCAATTGTTGGCCAGCTCCTTGTCATCTATCTTCCGTGGCTTCAGGAGGTTTTCCAAACAGAAGCTATTTCGCTGGGCGATTTGATACGCCTTGTCTTGCTTTGCAGCACCGTTTTCTGGGCGGACGAATTACGAAAGTACTTGAAGAATGGACGGCGGCGTTTGGGTGGCGGTTACAGTCAAGCGGTATAAACAGAGAGTGCTCAAAAAAGAAAGGAAAGGAAAGGAAAAGAAAGGAAAAGGATTGGCGGGAAATTTAGGCTTGTTGATATATAAAGTGTCTTGTAATAAGCGGCGCATGTATGACTGGGGGAGTAGAGTAGACCCCCTGTATACCTTTACATATCATGTAGCATACGTATTCTTGCATAGTAGTAATTTATTGGGATGGCATGTTCTTACAATTGAAGCCGAAGAAGAATAAACCGGAGTTAGGAGATGTATATTATTATTTTGCTCGTATAGAGAGAAATGAAGTCCAATCAGTGCCACTATGAAGTGAGGCGTGCTATATCAGCTACTACAACTGCATTTTCGAGACTTTCGTGATAATTCCTATTGTGTAAATAAAAAGAGCAATATGCCGATTTGCATTACATTTACACATTCAATTGACCATATGACTGGTGTAGACAGATTGCGATGCGTGGGCACTGCCCTTTGTAATTGACTGATATGTCACCCTATTTAGAGCACCGAGCCACTCTAGCCCCTCCACCAAAAGTGTCCCCTCTAATATGCATGAGCTTACCTGGCTCTCTACAGTACTACTGTAGCACTGCAAGCTACAACCACCAACACTCGACCTTCTGCCAGCTGGAGACCTCCGGAGCGGCGCAGCTACTCCAAAGCCAGGCCAGCAAACTCCAAGGCAGCTATGCGCCTCCTCGACACTCGTGCTCCGCGCCAATGTCAGCCCTCTCCAACGGCGTCCTCCACCGAACGGACAGCAGCAGCCATGCTGTAGCACGACGTCTCCAGAATGCCGCCAACGAGGCCGAGATTCGCGCGACGCTCGCCGCTCTCCACGAGCGCGAATCCTCCATCACCGCGAGGCTCGATGCGCTGATCGAGTCGCAGGCCGACCTGTCTCGGGACCTGGGCAGGCTGGATCTCCTGCGGGCCGGGCTCGGCGCGCAAGTCATTGCTGCGCGCTCCATCAGCAACGAGATGCTCTCTGGGGCTGCAGACACGGCCGGGCGGCTCAGCAACCGGGTCAAGGAGCTGGATCTGGAGAAGAGCCGCGTGGAAGATACGCTGGGCGTCGTGGAGCAGGTGGCAGAGCTCAAGGCATGCGTCAATGGCGTGGTTGGCTCCATGGGGGCGCCGCAGGACTGGGAAGCAGCCGCGGGCTACATCGCTCGAGCGAGCAAGATCCCAGAAGAAATCACAAAGGGAGCCTTCGCCGCCAACATTGTTCCCAGCGTCGAGGTCCCTGATGCCCCGTGGATAACGCTGGAGAATGCGAAAGAGAGCCTGTGTGGCCTCTTCCTGCGAGAGTTTGAGAAGGCGGCTGCTGAAGGAGACGGCGCCAAAGTCACGAGATTCTTCAAGCTGTTTCCACTCATTGGGAGAGCGGATATGGGATTGGATGTGTACGGGAAATACGTGTGTCAGGGAGTTGCGGGTACGGCGCGAGCGACGCTCAAGGACGGCATGGCGGGCCAGAACCGGAAAGAGGGCATCATCTACGCCAATTCGCTTACGAGGCTCTTCCAACACATTGCACAGATCATCGAGGGTCATGGAGGATTGGTCGAGAGGCACTACGGCACTGGCAAGATGGTTCGCGTCATCGAGAGGATCCAGATGGAGGCTGATGTCCAGGGCGGCATCGTCCTCGACACGTGGAGTGACGAACGAGGAGTCGACAAGAAGCTGACGGATGTAAAGAGCTATCCATTTTCATTCCTGGTGCAGAGTTTCTTACCGCCGCCTCCTCGAGGGGGGATACCGAGATTGAATTCGCCTGCGGCTGGCATAGGCAACAACCCTCGCAGCAGTGAGGACGAAGGCGTCAATATGAAGGAAGTCGATGGTTTGCTGCATGAGATTTCTGTTATGCTTGCTCAGTGGTCGTTTTACACTCGATTTATATCGGCCAAGTCAATGGTATGTACAGCTGTTGGATGAAAGCTTCTAGGTTGATTGTTCTTTTACTAACATGGTGTCTTTTTTAGGATACAACTGATGATGATGCGCCTTTGAAGCTTGCGGAGCTGCTCATTAAATCGAAATTATACAGCAAGGTATCATCAAAGCTGATATCGCCTTACAACGTCATGTCGACCTTTTTCTTTCGTCGGTCCGTTGAAAAAGCGTTTCAGCTGGATGAGTACCCCAGTGGCCTGTCACTGAGTCTACATAGGCCAATTGAGGGCAACACCCCATACATAATACTCGCAGTTGACGATGTCATGTACATTGTTAACGCTGTGCTTCAGAGGTGTCTCTCTACCTCTCAGAAAGATGTCGTCACCTCAGTCGTTCCATCTGTTAGTCGAGTTCTAACTGGCGACTTTGTGGGTATGATACAAAGGAAAATGCGTGACGAGTCTTACCCAAAGGCTGCTGTGCAGGGCGGCTTCCCACCAGAAGAGAAGATTATACAATTTATTGTTCTCATCAACAGCTTGGACATGGCCAATGAATACCTAGTCAGGATTATCCATGGTCGCATTGGCTCTCCAGATGAATCAACACAACATAAAGAGGAAGTTGAAGCCCAACTGAAACAGTCATTCCCATTTGATCGCGACGTGACCGCCGTCGTTGGCGCTCTGCGCTCATTAGAGACTGCTTTCCTCGCAAAAACAAACGAGCTGCTAAATGAAGCCGTTCAAGTTCTTTTCAACCAAGTTGTCAAGCTACGCTTGAGACCAGTCCTCAGCGATACGTTCCGTGACGCCGACTATACACTCTCCGAAGAGGACATTGCGGAAATTGCCCAGGAAAACGACGAGTCGGAAGAAGTTGTCCTGGACCAAGTATCACGCCGCTTTGAGCACGGGTGGGATCAGCTCATGAAGGCTATCGGCCGTATCATGACGCCAGGAACTTTCAGCACTCTCATGGACATGACAGCCCGCTACCTCTCTCGAATCTTGGAGAAGCGAATCCTCGGCTACGGCGGAAGGACGAGCGGCTACGGCGCGATTCGAATGGAGAGGGATTTTTCAGCCATCGTGGATGTCGTCTCTCGAGGGAATTACAGCGTAAAGGAGTTGTTTAGCAGAGTGATGCAGCTGCTCATGGTTGCGAATATGGAAGACGACGAGTGGGATGAGATTATGGTTCAGGATGGGGAGGACGGCATTGACTGGGTTTTGACAGAGGATGAAAAGCGAAGAGCGAGGAGTTTGGTGAGAGGATAGAATGGAACAGGTGGGATTTCGCAGCGCGGCATTGTTTGATTCGGATATTTATATAAGCCAGGCATAGGTGCTCTCCAAGCTGGGATTGCTGTGATTCTCATATAGACTATACATGTATAGGTATTTAACAGGGCAAGAGCACAATAGAAAGGTGTTATTATCACACTGTGCGTGTAAACGACATTTCAAAAATTAGAATTTATTTACTGCAGATTAGAAACAAAATGATTGAACAGGTCGAGACGTTGTTCTGGCAAAGGATAAAAATAGTTGCTTGATGGAGTGGCTTGTCCGCCTCGGGGTGGCGTCGGCATCACTAGGTTGACATGGCCGCCACATAAAAATTTCGGCCCGTCAAAATTTCAGTAGCGACACCGGCTGTGAGCTTGCATATCAACTTCAAGCCTGCACTCAAATTATTTACAGCAAACTCAAATTCCTCGCATCATTTTGTTATAAAGATACCAACATAGACCTGAAAACAGCTTGCCATTTTTCTCTCTCTCATCTCAAACGACGCTTCGTCATAAATATCGTTGAATCTCAAGATATTAAACTCAAATCCCCCACCAACTTCGTCATAATTTCTTCTCTGAGCAGGGTTGCTTATCGAGGCTGGCCTCGAGCACTTACAACAGCGTCAGCACCGGTTCCTCGAAGCTTCACAGCCGCTCGCGGGATATTTACCATGGAGACCAGAATAGTACGAGTTGCTCCTAGCAAGGGACAGCTCCTCGGACGGTTTGACTCATCCGATGGCGCTTCAAGGCTCGAAGAGTGGCACATCTCACCAGACGCTGGAGAAGCCATCACGGTTCTCAGAGATACAGCCAAGTATTTGCGGACCAGCGATACACCCGTAGCTTTCCCTACGGAGACAGTTTATGGCCTCGGCGCGGATGCGACTCGAAGTGGCGCTGTAAAGGGCATCTATTCTGCCAAGGGCAGGCCCTCGGACAACCCGCTCATCATCCACATTTCAGATTTGCACATGCTGCGTGAGCTATTGGGGAAGCAGAAGGATGACCAAGATGCGATACCAAGCAAGTATAACGTCTTGATAGAGCGGTTTTGGCCCGGTCCTCTGACGATATTGCTGCCTAATCCGCAGCCTTCGAAGCTGGCCCCCGAGGTCACTGCTGGACTCGAGACTTTTGGTGCGAGAATGCCGTCCTCGCCTTTGGCTTTGAGTCTCATCAAGCTTGCCGGAGTGCCCTTGGCTGCTCCCTCTGCAAATGCCTCGACTAAGCCATCCCCCACGGCAGCACAGCACGTCAAGGATGACTTGGATGGAAGGATTGAGATTATCTTGGACGGAGGCCCCTGCCAAGTTGGCGTTGAGAGTACTGTCGTAGATGGCCTCTGCGAGCCCCCGGTGGTGCTGCGGCCGGGAGGCATAAGCTTGGAAGAGCTTCGGAGCTGCCCTGGCTGGGAGAACGTCGCCAAGGCCTACAAGGATCAAAGTGAGGAAGGAAAATCGGCGCCGAGAGCACCGGGAATGAAGTACAAGCATTATAGCCCCAAGGCGAGAGTGGTGCTCTACGAGTCTACGTACCAGGCTGGCGCTGAGGGCGTTCTGCCATCAGACTTTGAGGATGCCAGCGCCGCCGTGAATGGTAATGCGGAAAAGACAAACGGCCATTCGGCAAGGAGGATAGGCGTCATCCGGACACAGCGATGGACGTCAGGAGCTGGTCTCCAGTGTGGCCCTTTACAGCCTGCTCCTATCAACCAGGACAACCATGATGAGGAGTATCTCAATCCCGCGTATTCAGTATATCAAGGGGATCTCAAGGACAGCCAGGGTCAGGTCATCGGTGAACTATTCGATATAGACCTTGGACAGGACGCTAAGAGGATAGCTCAGGGGCTATTCTCAGCTTTGCGAGAATTGGACCGTCGGAGCATAGACACCATTTTTGTTGATGGCATAGAAAACGAACTGGACATTGCCGCTGCTGTTATGAATCGCCTTCGAAAGGCAGCGTCGGAGATAAGGTCATGAGTGATAGAGCGCGCCGAAATAGAGCGAAAAAAAGGAAGATGCATAGATTCGTTATACCCTACCCTGTATATAAGCCGATCTCGTTTGAAGAAATTAAGACCAATATGAACAAACAACAACATAAAAAGACTAATCAACTATAGGAGCAATCCTTTTAATGTAACAGGCCGCTTTAAATAACATTAAACTCCAACCAATCCCAGGTCTTTGTATCTACAGCCCTTGCCGAAGCCAGTCTGATAGCTTGGACTTTCCGAGCTGTGCCAAGTTGTTGACGCCCTGTTCGCTGAAATCGATGCGGCCCAGGGGAACATCTTGAGTGGGCGCACGGCTGACTCGCTGGACAATGATGGTAGGGTCTGTCTCCAAGATGATGCCGTCATCGACGATTTCGTCAATTGCGAGCGAGACAAGGTCGTAGTTTTCGACAATGGTCCTCTTGTCAACGGATTGCCTGATTCGGAATGTTAGCCGTATTATTCCCAACCAAGAATCTCGATTACCCGTAGCACATTGGAAAGCTACTGACTTAAACAGAAGATGGAGGGAGTCGCGAAGAGCCAATACTGTGTTGTAGAGCAGAATCTCGTTCTCGTCGGCGGCACCAACAACGTAGAGCATGACGTCGGACTCCATCTTGTACAGGACAATTCGGTTGTCGTACAGGATGATGTCTCCGGTCTGCTTGGCCGTCTTGTCGATAAGGCCCTTCTCAAATGCCTTCTGCGCCTTCAGGTCGGTATAAGGATGGGTCGGTATGCTTGCGCCTCCTATTAAACAAGCTCGCAATTAGCAATGGCGCAACGCGTAATCGCACTTCAAAGGCGCAAGTTGCTGTGCGATCCCCTAAATCATGTGCGTACCAGTAGGAGCGGCGTGGGGAGGAGAATAGTATTTGGTGAATATCCGGGAGCCATCCTCGGTGCCAAGGATGAGAACTGCCTGGACGGCAAAGAGGGTCATTCCAGGAGACATTGTGGCGGTTGGTCGATCTGATGCTCTGAGAGGTTGATGATAGCGATACCAGGCAAGCTCCGACTTGGGCGTTACTATCAAAAGGTGTCCCCCCAAAAAGAGCCCCGCCAACCAAGCAATGGATTGGACCTAGGCCGCGGCTTAACCTTTCGCCGTGCGCCGGCGCTTAACGCGTGCCTTGCTCTCAGGTCGCGTCTTTAAAAAGCACTTTACGCGTCTTTAGAGGGCAATTTGGCAGAAACGCGAACTCCACCGCCCTTGCATTGCATCTGCCCCTCGTTTTTGCCGTGGGATCTGCCCAACCCCCAGCTCCAGCAGAAAGAGAAAAACTCCCAAAGCTCGTTTTGGTGACCGTCGACAACCCCAATTGCTGCTAGTAATTGAACTCGCAGAAAAGATGTCGACGCCAAATCGAAGGCAGAGGGACTCGCAGTCCGCGACGCCTCGCCGTTCCACGCGACAAGCTGAGGCCGCGCAGATGGTCTCGAGTCCTCTGTTCTACCAGTCCTCGCCAGCTCCAAGCCAAGGCATGGATGAGGTCATGGGAGACGTTTCCTCGCCTCTGCGGCAGATGTCGAACAGCCAGAGCACACAGAATGCCAGTGGACCTGCGCCGAGCTCGCCATTGAGGCAGATGACCGATACCCAGTCGACTAATGGTGACGGCAATCGGACTCCTCGAGCTAGCGGCGGCCTTGCGGGAGGTAAGGCACCTGGTGATGTTTCTTGGTGGTTTAGACCTCAGGCTTACAATTGAATTAATTGCAGAATCATCTCCCATCCGATACGAACCAAGCTCCAGTCCCGGCCGAACACCAAGGCTGCATTCGGATCTGCGCAGTGAAAGCAGTGGCCTCTTTGTTGGCTCCAGTCGCGGCACACCCTACAGACGTGGAGATATAAACTCAGACACAGTACGGACGCCACGTGCTCCTCGACGTGTTATTCTGGATGAATCTGGTCGAGTAATGCGAGAAGGTCAGGTTCCGGGCTCTGATGCTGCCTCATTCGTAAACCGAGATCCCAACACCTCTGAGGCCGATATCCTGGGTGGCCCTGGCCAGAGTCTTATTTGGGGTACCACCGTGTCCATCGATGACACTTTCTCTACTTTCAAAGACTTCTTACGGCACTTCACTCTCAAGTACCGCATGTACCGAGATGGCCTTTCAGATGCCGAGGTAAATGCTTCGCCGGATGCCGAATCTAAGCCATACTGGGAGGCTCTGCAGAACATGCTGCTGCTGGGTACAACTCGACTCTATCTCGATATTTCAGACTTGAACCTCTACCCACCGACACGAAAGCTATGGCATCAGATTCAGGCCTATCCTCAGGAAGTAGTCCCTGTCATGGATCAATCCGTTCATGACGTGATGCTGGAGCTTGCCCAGGCTGAAACAATGAGGAACCGGCCATCTCAGAGCAGTGCCGGGCAGCAAGCTTCCCAGCGAAGCACACAGGGCTCTGAGCCGGTGTTCCCTAGCTCTGACCGGCCTGATGAAGGCATCACTCCTACACCCCGCCCTCGAGACGAGGACCCTACTTTGGAAGATCAGGTCGCAGCCTCACTATACGTCGTGCGTCCGTTTGGTCTTGACAAGTTGACCAACTTGCGAGACTTGAATCCTTCCGGTAAGGGCTAAGAAGAATATTTGATCATTATCTGAAGGAAGTAGCTAATATGTGATTCAGACATGGACCGCCTCGTTTCCATCAAGGGCCTTGTTATCCGTACTACGCCTGTTATCCCCGACATGAAGGATGCATTCTTCCGTTGTAACGTCTGCAATCACTCTGTCAATGTCGGCCTGGACAGAGGCAAGATTCGAGAGCCCACCGAATGCCCACGCACAATGTGCGCCTCTAAAAACTCAATGCAGATTGTCCACAACAGATGTTCGTTTGAAGACAAGCAAGTCATTAAGCTTCAAGAAACCCCAGACAGCATCCCCGCTGGACAGACACCCCATTCGGTATCTGTATGCGTCTATAACGAGCTTGTTGATTTCTGCAAGGCTGGTGACCGCGTCCAGTTGACGGGCATTTTCCGTGTCAGTCCTGTGCGGGTAAACCCTCGACAAAGGGCTATCAAGAGCATCTACAAGACCTACGTGGACGTCCTACACGTCCAAAAAGTCGACAAGAAGCGTCTTGGGGCCGATGCATCTACACTCGGCGTGGAAGGCGAAGATGAGACGGAATCAGGAAAGAATGAGATGGAGGAGACTCGTCGCATTACGGCCGAAGATGAGCTCAAGATTCGGGAAATATCGCGCCGCCCTGACATTTATGAGCTTCTCTCACGATCGCTGGCTCCCTCAATTTACGAAATGGATGACGTTAAGAAGGGTATTCTACTGCAACTGTTCGGTGGCACAAACAAGACCTTCCAAAAGGGAGGTAGCCCTAAATACCGAGGCGACATCAATATCCTGCTCTGTGGTGATCCATCCACCTCCAAGTCGCAAATGCTTTCATATATCCACAAGATTGCCCCGCGTGGTGTATATACTAGCGGTAAAGGTTCATCAGCTGTCGGTTTGACTGCGTACGTTACCCGCGATCCTGAAACAAGACAATTGGTCCTCGAGTCTGGTGCCCTGGTACTTTCTGACGGCGGTGTCTGCTGTATCGATGAATTTGACAAGATGAACGAGTCAACTCGGTCTGTGCTTCACGAAGTGATGGAGCAGCAGACTGTTTCGATTGCCAAAGCCGGCATCATCACGACCCTCAACGCTCGAACTAGTATTCTTGCCTCTGCCAACCCAATCGGTAGTCGCTACAACCCTGATCTATCCGTTCCGCAAAACATCGATCTTCCACCCACCCTTCTCTCCCGTTTTGATCTCATCTATTTGATTCTCGATCGGGTTGATGACAAGGCTGATCGCCGATTGGCAAAGCATCTTCTGTCGATGTACTTGGAAGACAAGCCCCAGTCAGCGCCTACCAGCGACGATATTCTCCCCGTCGAGTTCCTTACTCTGTACATCTCATACGCACGCTCCAACATTCAGCCGGTGCTCTCGGACGAAGCAGCCCAAGAGCTTACCGACAGCTACGTTGCCATGCGTGCTCTTGGCCAAGACGTGCGCGCCGCCGAGAAGCGCATCACAGCCACCACTCGACAGCTCGAAAGCATGATCCGTCTCGCCGAGGCTCACGCCAAGATGCGACTCTCCGAAGTTGTCACCCGGGACGATGTACAAGAAGCGTACCGCCTCATTCAATCCGCTCTCAAGACTGCTGCCACAGACTCCGAAGGACGAATCGACATGAGCCTGCTCACAGAAGGCACAAGCTCTGCGGAACGGAAGCGCCGCAGCGACCTCAAGGACGCGGCGCTGCGACTGCTCGACGAGATGACTGCCGGCGGAAACACCGTCCGGTGGAGCGACGTGTCTAGGAGGTTGGCCGAGTCTTCCAGCGTGCCTATTGAGCAGGCTGAGTTTACTGAGGTGATGAGGACTTTGGAGGCTGAGAATGCCATCATGGTGTCTGGCGAGGGTGCGAGAAAGAGTGTTCGGAGAGTTACGGCCGTTGTATGAGGGGATATGAAATATGCTGGTTATTGAGTAAACAAAAAAACTGGTTTATCGGCTTTTGATGGTTTAAATGTTCTGGTATGAAATGCTTCTGATGATTAAAGAGAGACAGAACAAGAGTTAGAAAGCTAGAAATAATCTAATGCGAATGTCAGTGAAGACAACTTTTGACACATTTCATTCATGCAAAATTGAGAAATAATTTCAGTAAGATGATTAATTATGTATTTGGTGGTTATCCTAAAATAGAAAAGAAGGAACAACAAGAAACACTTTCAACTCCTTTGCTCAGTCTTCCTCCCTCCACGCTGCTCGTCACGAATGCCCCATCATCCTTACAAAGTACAGTGACATACCTACTTCCATGTATAAACAGAAAGACTGAGCATGCTTATTATACATCCTTGCAATCACACACACGCCAATTAATACAAACCATTCAGAAAGGCTGGTTGTTTTTTTTTTTTTTACCAGTATTTCCTCTCCCGACCTTCATATATAAAGTTGAAGGCGGCAGCAACAAATAGAGCAGTGCAGAGGACGCTGGGGCCCCAGCGGTCGTAGTATCGAGCCGCCTTACGGTTGCGAATCGACCGGCTGCGGTAGAGGTAGTTTCCTACGGAATAAAGGAGACTAAAGATGGCTAGGAAGGTGAAGATGCCGGCGATCCAAAACGATGTGGGTGTCGGGTGATCTCCAAAGTTGAGAAGAGTCGTGGCAATAGTGCTGATATAAATCGAGTATTCAAGCTATGAAAATATCAAGTTAGTAAAAATAAATAGAGGCACTCGGTTAAAAGGGGACCTTTGGTCTTCACTGTCTAACAACTTACCCATCCAAGGAATGTCCTCTCGGCGGCAAAATACACCTTGGGCTCAACACGAACCGGAACATAAATCTTCTTGCCAGGAGGAGCTTTGAACCTTTTGGTTTGGACTCGACTATTACCAAAGAGCGTCTCGAGTCTGGCAGATCGAGGCACTTGCGTTCCGTGGGGGTGCGGAACAATGTACTTCAAGACGCTCCAAGACTTGGAGGCAGCGGCATGAGCTTTTGCTGAAAAGAGTACGCGGTAGTAGTGCCATCCGCCAATTCTTCGGGCCTCTTCCAACTCGTAGTTCTCATCGTATTCCTCGTCGGAATCGTAGATGGGGAAGTCCTCATTTCCACCTGGTGCATCTACTGTTTGGCCTTCTGTATCCGTAGCAACAGCACGAGGCCTAGCTCCCTGTCTGCTAGATTCGCCATTTCCGGCACCACGGCGAGCCGTAACCAATTCCTCATCGTCAGAATCAAGCTCTTCCTCGTCATCTGATGTGGTAGTTGTTCCAGAGATATCAGGTCGACGAATGCCAAAGTCATGAGTGACAGGCTTGCGGATATCGACATCCATCTGAGGCATCCAGTAAGGAAGCAGCTTGATGCGGTTGGGGAACAGAGTCGCTGTGCCGTGGATGAATTTGGAGAATTTGGGCACGGCCTCGACCAAATGAGAGGAAATGAGCTGTCTGATCCACTCCGGAGGCTCTTGTCCCACCTGAGTCTGGAGCTTCACTTCAAGAATGGCGTAAGGGAAACGCTCGACATCTTCGGGAGGAAGCTGCGGAAATGGGTAGTCGACACCAATATCCATACGTCTCCAGTTGTTGCCTGAGCGAGAACGGCCATCCAGGTTGTCTTCTCGAACCATTGTCAACTCGGTGTCCAGGGAAATGCGCACTCGGGCATCGGCAGGTAACTGAAAGGCAGTTCGGTTATAGAAAGAGCGGCAAACGGGCTCATAACCATGCTTCAAAACCGAATATTGAATTTCTGAAGCAAGTCTCTCATCCTCAGCAATAGCCTTTTCTGACTTCTTACCCTCCTTGCGGGCCTTCTCAAAGATGGCTGCTGGGAGCAGCTCGCCTTTCATGTAGGCATTTACATTCTTCTCCTTGATCGAAAATCGAGCCTTGACAGATTTCTCTCCAGTCCAGTCCTCTCGGTGAGTCTTGCGCTCGACAAAAATAGTCTCGGTCTTCATACCGCCGTACCACCGAAGTCGGATAGCCTCTGCACCCTCCGTCTTTTTCAATCGGCCCTCGTAAAGATCCCACTTCTCGGGGTTGTCGTAGTAGATGGAGGTAATAGCCTGATCTTGCTGCTCAAACTCTTTACTAGCATTGAAAACCAAGACAGGCAAATGTTTGAGGATGATGAGCTTCAGCTCCGTCACATTATCAGGATGCACCCAGTATTTGGTCGTTTGTCGGATGAAGCTGGCTTGCGAGCCACCGGCGGCGCTGTCGCCTTTAACGGGGTTGCCTCGGGTTCGGACAAGATCGTACAGCTTGGACAGCTTGATGACGGACGCGTCGTAGTTTTCTTTGTAGAATGGCTTGGCCTTGAGTCGAGTATCGAAGGCAGGTCGAAGATGCCATCCGGTCATTTTCTGCGAAGCACCACAGTTAGCAAGGCCACAGCCCAACGAAAAGAACCAAAAATTGCTGCCTTACATCATGCTTTTTAATAATCTTATAGAAGCCGGTATAATTGAGCTGGACGAACTTGGCCAGGTCGTGGACGTCGGCAATGATGTCACTCAGATCCTCCTCCAGCAGCAAAAACTCCTCCTCGCTGGGGCCCTCCTCGCCAAGGCCACGCTCGTTGAGGCGATTCACAACCTCCTTGACCTCGCGCTCGCTGACGGCAATTCGGCGGGAGATCTCCATGGCCTTGACCTGCTGCTTGGTATGGACCTTTTCCAGCTCCGCCTCCAGCTTGCCCACAAAGCGCGTCTCGTCATCCTCGGTCCACTGCCTGGAGCCAGAGCCGTTGCCGGCGAGAGGGCCCGAGGCGTTCTTGAGCTCCTCCTTCAGTCCATTGTAGTCGATGTAGTACCACTGGTACTCGCGAATGATGCTTGACCGCAACTGTTCGCCGAACTTCATGACGACGACGCCTGGTCCGACCTGGGACGATTGACCTCGGGATCTTAGCGATGTCCAATTCTTGTTGATGGCCTTGAGATCTTTCGCAATCAGCATGGGGATACCGGCTAGCGAGCTCCGAAAGAAGCGGTAAACGAGCAACGAGGAAACGCAATTGACTGGACTCGAGTCCAATCGACAGTGGGAAGAAAAGAGCAACGCAAGAAGCAAAAGGGGAAAGGAAGAATTCAAGATCAAAATGCGACGCGATGCAGGCCTGCCGGGCGGCCCGTTTACCGAGACGAACTCACCTTTTTCGAACGGGGCAAATTGACGCTGATAGCGGATGGAACGCAGAGGCGGTAAAAAAAAGAGCTCTTAGCAGCTTCCAGATTTTTTTTCTTCCCTGTATGATGCTGAAGCAGAGTGAGTATGGGCCGTCAATGCCGTCTGAACCTCGAGTCTGGAACATGGACCCCACCGAACAGGCTTCTGAAGCTGCATCCAGCGAATTGCAGCAGGCTCTGGCGCAACGTGGAAGGCCACCCCCATGCTTAAGGCTAGCTACAGCGGCCCACAGCGGCCGTGGTGCGCTGAATCAAGATTTCGGATAGCGCATGTAGGCACTAGAGCTCCCCACTGCAGAGCTAGCCGCTAGTATAAAGAATGCAGCGCTATTCCACAGCCGTTGCAGCCGCTGGAGCAATCGATTAGAGATGTGGAGAGCGATGCAGCATGTGTCGGCCAGGTGGGGCAAGATGAAGAGTCGATATCGATTTTTTTTTCTTTCGCATTTAGATGACGCCGGTAGAGAGCTAGCAATTGATCTTTGCAAAATTTTGAGAAGCGATAGAACGAAAAGAGACGAGCAATTTAGCCAAAAGTTTGAAAGTCTAGCCGCATGGTACGAGCCTGGATATTCCCGTTTCAGCACATGCCCATTGCTTATGATATTGAACATAGAACCCATAGCAGAATATCAATCAATACCTACCCCACCAGATATCAAAGTTCCAAGCATGCCGTCGCCAATTGACGACTCCCTCCAAGCTCGCATATCCCCCGAATGCCCCCAAGAGACCCGTGACATCCTCTACCACGCATGGGGCCATGACCGAAGCGGCCTGAAGAAGCTCCTCAACGAACGCGGCAAGGCCAGCATCCAGGATCCCAAGACGGGCGAGACCCCGCTCCATGCTGCGATTCGCGCCTGCGGCCCGGCCGACGAACCGACTGAAGGCGAAGAAGAAGAGGAAGGGGAAGATGGAAGCGTAGAGGAGGCTACGGAGGTGGTCCGAGATTTGTTCCTCAACGGCGCCATTTGGAATGATGTCGATGCCAACAACGAGACTCCCGGCTGCGTCGCCCACCGACTCGGTCGTAAAGCCTTGTATAACCTCTGCGTCGATGCTGGCGTCCGCGCAGAGCTTCTGTTTGCCCTGATGGACGGCTACGAGGAGCTGTCCTCCGGCGAAGAAGAAGAAGAAGACGAGGATGCCGACGAGGTCATGAAAGAGCAAGAGGAAGCTGCTGCTGCTGCCACTGAAGAAGCAAAGGTTGAAGAAACCGGCGCCGATGCCGAAGAGCCCCTCAAGTTCATCCCCCCCGATGTCAACGAAATACCCGTCACCAGCGAAGAATACCTAAAATCTAAACTCACCTACGACGACGACAAGCTCCTCGACTCCGACCTCAACGGCGTCATGATGGCCTGGGAGACCGACATCATGCGCCGCTCCGTCGCCGCCCTCATCCCCGAAGCGACCCAACAGCAGGGCAAGCGCGTCCTCAACATCGGCTTCGGCATGGGCATCATCGACAGCATGTTCGCAGACCTTAAGCCCTCGAAACACCACATCATCGAGGCGCACCCAGCCGTCTTGGAGCACATCGCCAAGCCCGACTCCAAGTTTGGCTCTGAATGGGAGAAGAGCGGGCCTGAAGAGGGTGCTTACAAGGTATTTGCTGGTAAATGGCAAGATGTGGTTCTGCAGCTCTTAGAGCAGGGTGAGCTTTACGACGCCATCTACTTTGATACCTTTGGGGAGGACTATTCACAGCTACGAATGTTCTTTATGGAGCATGTTCCTGGCCTGTTGGATCAGGAGGGACGATTCAGTTTCTTCAATGGTCTTGGCGCAGACCGGAAGATATGCTACGACGTGTACACGCGAGTAGTGGAGATGCACTGTGCAGATGCTGGTCTAGATGTAGAATGGGACGAGATTGATGTTGACATGGAGAAACTGGACGAAGACGGCGAAGGAGAGTGGAAGGGCGTCCGACGACGATACTGGACATTAGACAGTAAGAACCCTGCCCCGGGAGATTATGGCATATACACACGTGAATTGGCTAACATTGAACAGAGTATCGACTGCCTGTGTGCACCTTTATGGGTTAACTTGAATAAGATAGTGGACTCCAATCAGATGCCTTCGGGTACAATGCTTTGCCAAGATTCAACAACAAAATATTTCCATCTTAGACTCTGCCTAGGGGATTTTTTCTTTGTAAATGACATCAGGCCGGGACAGATATTTTCTATTTATTTAAAGTTTTCGGGATGCAGAATGCCGGCCATGTTGCCAGCCTTGGCTCGCTTGAGAGTCAGAGCGGCAATGAGAGCAGCTCCAACACCGCTACCATCCTCGGCCGCCAGGATCTCTATCGGGTCTTCATCCTTAGGGTTAGCCTTGTCAGGCCAGTCGAGAATCTCACGTAGGGCTTGTGCGCCACGAGCCTTGAAGTGAGGATACTTGTTGAAGACGGATCCGTCGGCACCGACATGGCAGGAGTCGTAATTCTTCTTCTTGCAAATGGCTGCAACACCGCAGGCGGAAAGTCGGGCGGCTCGGGTTCCGATGAGCTCCGCCAGTCTTCGGAACAGCTCAAGTTCAGGGACCGTGGGAGTGATGTTCAGCTTGGTCTGGAAGGTGTCATAAGTCTCCTGAAGGTTCTCAAAGGGGTCCCTTTCATAATTTGTTAGTGTCAACTCGTAAACATGTAGTATGCCACTAGATGGGAGCTTGCTCACTCTTCAATTCCAGACAAGAAAGATGCATCCAGAGAGTAAGGTTTGCGTAGCAATGAAATGTCCTGATTCTCAAAGAGGTGGACCTCCTTGTTATCGTGCAAGTCAACCAAGACCAGTCGGAAGATTTCGCCAAGGTACAGACCTGCAATCATCTTCTCAAACGCCTGCTGGCCTGGGCGAGGAGAGTCGTTGTCGATGAACTCATCATACTTTGTACGAGGCAAGACCTTGTGTTCATTGTCAAAGGCACCCCACTCACAGTTAATTGCCATGGGGGTGTCGGGGAGCAGGTTCATGTGTGCCAGCTTAGGGATGGAACCGCAGTTCTCCATGTAGGCGGCATTGCAGCCGGTTCCGAAGATGCAGCCAATCTTCATCTTGGTGTCGGTGTATGCGGAAGCAATCAATGTTCCTGTGGTGTCGTTGATCAAGGCTGATAGCTTGATGGGTACTCCCTATTATACTTTGTGAGCCAACAGGCTTTTTTCTTTCCTTGCTCAGCCGGAAGGGCATCACTTACACGCTTGGCAATGGCAGCCTCGAACATGGGCACGACGTTCTCTCCCTCGACACCAGCAATGTCGAATCCTTTGGTCCAGCGCTGGAGAATACCCTCGTCGATGTAGTTTTGGGTGGCCGGGTAAGAGAATGTGAAACCCAGAGGCAAAGGTTCGAGTTTGGTCAGGTCGCCGTGGTGAGTCTCGACAAACTGTTGAAGACAGGCTGCGATGTACTCCCATAGCTCCTCGCTGGATCCGGTCTTGAGCTCCTCTGGCATGCGGTACTTGGACTGGATGATGTCGAATTCTGATTTGCGGTCTGTCAGGGTGATTTCGCAGACACGCAGATTGGTACCGCCCATATCAAGAGCCAAGAATGTACCAGTCTCGTAGCCATCAGGGAAAGACATGACCCATGTTGGGTTCATGGGCTAAATGGTCGTTAGCAATTAGTGCATTACCTCCCACTCAACCACCAAGAATCAGTTACGCACAATGCTGCCACCCTCAACGCTAAGGCCTTTTTCAAACAGAATATTAGCATACATGATAGCTAAGATCAACATCACTACGGCTCTACACGGCAGTACATACCTTTGGCAAGTTCATTCACAAAGTGATCAGTGATCTGTTTGAGCTTCTGGGTGTCGACGGTGAAAATATCTTCCAACTTTCTCACTTCAGCGAGAAGGTCCTTGGGGATGTCCGCCTTGGAACCTGGCGTGTGGCAAGTCAGCTGGTGTGCTACAGGACTCTCCATGATATCTGGCGGCCCGTTTAAAAATGAAAACAAAGGGTATCAAGTGTGCAAAATTGTGTACTGAAGAACGAGATCCACTCGATCTCGAAGATTTATCCTCGTTGTGGTGGATTTATATCATGGCGTTGGCCCTGGGCGAGGTCTGAGCGTCTGTGCAACATGAAAATGACGTCCACGGGACACTCGAAGCCGTTGCTTATCTTGCAATTGCGCGTAGCTTGTGCCTGAGACTGCCCAGGCATTGAAGGCTAAAAAATGTCTTACTCATGCCTTTGCTTCGAGTACCCAATGATTTTTCATAGCTCAAGGCCTAGTAGCTATATCGGTACATGCCACCGGAGAAGAATCTCCTGTTCTTGGTGGGCATGGCATGACATGGGCATCCAACAAAGGGACCCCAAAGCTGCACCAGGCCCCAGCCAGCGCCAATGATGAAACAAGAAGCAACAGATTGGAAAATGAATGACAAAATAAAGTGTTGACAGCCCCAGATCCCCAGATTTCAAACATCAAACGTACCCTTCCTAGAGGGAGGTGGACGGGGTCCAAGTCCAACCATTTTTACAGCAGGATCGCGGGGTCTGGCGGGGTAGTAAAAGGAGCTCCGAAGAGGATTGGCGAGTAGCAATCAAACAACCGCTGCGAGGGCGTGAGGTTGAGTTGGGTGCGGGGTAGCAATGCAAAGACAGGAATTTAGAAAAGCACAGAATAGGAGGCGATGTTGGTCGAGAGAATAGCAAGAGCACAGAGTCTAGAAGCCGGACTCAGCAACGGAAGCAGATTTGGAGCTATGAAAAGTCCACAAGGTTGGGCTAGTTCGGGTCGTTGGGCAACTCTTTCCGGCCCTGGTTGGCTGTTGCTCTCGTTGCCTCCACGCCGGCCAGGCTTCCAAATAGCGATTATGGAGAGCAGCTTTTAGTGGCTTCAACTACCATCAATGGCCAGCAGAGCAGATGCAGATATGAGCGGTTTTGTAATTTTCGGGTCTGGTCATCAGGCAGCTCGATATGAAATCACTTTCAAAAGGTTTTAACAATTTACAGGTGCAATTGCATTTATTCTTTCCATTGCTGTATCCCTTCCACCAAAAGCAATTCCCCTCGAGTCACATGTAAAAGGTTTTCAATGATGCAGACGGGAGCCCTTCCAGCACTGCCGGCAGGCTCTGGAAGATGCCGCGCAAACAAAATGGAAATGGATGCACCGGTATCGTCATGTCTCCACCATTTACTCACACACTGCGAAACAAGCTTCAGCAGGGCAGCAAACCGACAAGGATAAGAAGAGGTACCTCCTGTGCTGTACTCCGAGCCCGGAAATTCATAACGCCGCGACGACCCCCAGCGCGGCCTCTGGTTGGCTGGATCCGAGCTCTTCCATTAGCACCCCTGTAGCTCGTCGCTGTCGCTAATCGAATGGGCGACGTATGCTTTTTGGGGCTGCCCACTAAGAGCCAAGCTGCCACAGTCTCGCGATCGAGTCCGACTCCCATTGCGCAGGGCACGCACAATCAATGAGCGTCGCTTCCACTCCCTCGTCACCATGAAGTCGTTATCGTTCGTAGCGACGCTTCTGGGCCTCCTGGCTGGTCCTTGCAGCGCCCTCTCTGTCGCCTCTCTGCCCGCCGATTTCAAGCCCCCACCAGTCTTTAAGAACAACAACTTGGTGCATGTCGTTTCGGTCGAGAAGAGCTTTGCGAGAGAACAAATCAACGTCTTGGTTGAGAACGTTTCTGGCAAGCCTCAAGATGAATACTTTGTGCCGTTTACCGCGGATCAGATAGCTCGACTTGGCGGCATTGAAGCAAAAGATCGCAAGGATGACAAGGTCGGGCCCTTTGGAGTCGACCGAGTCGAGTATAGCTCTCAGAGGTAGGTTTGCTTGTCGTTACGCCAATTGCCGCTACTGGGCAATTCATAAAGCTTCATTTGGCTAAACAATCGCATGCAGCGACGTTCAATACTACCGCATCACATTGCCAGCACCCCTAAAGGCTGGCGCCCAGCAGACTCTCGCCATCTCATGGTACTACCTAAAGCCGTATCGCCCTCTCCCGGCCTCAATCGAGCAGGAAGAGCAACAATACTTGCTATACGACTTTTCCCTCTACGCTGCCTCAGCATACCCGACCTTGAAGCAAAAGACCGAGGTCAAGCTGTCGACGGTCACCATCCCAGACTACACCACATTTACCAATGCCGAGGGCAAGGAATATCCTGAGAAGCACGGTAGCAAGCTGCTCTATGGACCTTTTGACGAACAGCCTGCCGGCGCCGTCTACCCAGCCCAGATTAGATTCGAGTTCACCAAGCCTGTGATTCACGTGTCAGAGCTGGAGAGAGACATCGAGGTCAGCCACTGGGGCGGCAACGTAGCATTTGAGGAAAGATACACCCTGTATCACCGAGGTGCCAACCTTTCCTCCCAGTTCAACCGCGTGAAGTGGGCGCAGTCTCTATACTACAACCCCGCTTCCTCTGCACTGAAGGAACTCAAGTACCCGCTTCAGATTGGCAGCGTTGATCCCTACTTCACCGATGCCATTGGAAACGTATCAACCTCTCGATTCAGGAGCAGCAAGCGCGAGGCCTTGTTGGAGCTGAAGCCCCGCTACCCTGTGTTCGGCGGCTGGAAGTACCCTTTCACCATTGGCTGGAACACCAATGCTGCCAATGTCCTGCGCAACACTGCTAGCGGAGGCCATGTGCTCAAGGTTCCATTCATCGAGGGACCTAAGCAAGTTGAGGGCGTTGAATACGAGGATGTCACCGTCCGCGTCCTCCTCCCTGAGGGATCTGAGTAAGTACTGCCCTTGTTTCATATCCGATTCATGGAAACTATCTACTTGAGATTGTTGCTAATCAGGAACCAGGAACGTGAAATTCTACACCGATCTCCCCGATTCGTCAATTGTTGAGACCTCGGTTGGTGTTCACAAGACCTATCTCGACACCACTGGCCGAACCGCCATTGTGATCAAGGCCAAGAACCTAGTAGATGACTTCCGATTCCGAGATCTGATCATCTCGTACGACACCCCGTTGGCAGGGACCCTTCGGAAGCCCCTGGTGGTGTTCGGAAGCATGCTTGCTGTGTACGCCGCGGCATGGGCGGTTGGAAAGGTGGAGGTGGGATTCGCGCCCAAATAAGACTTGTATCAGACTATCTATAACTTTATTCTGGGTCACCATGTTTGACGGATAGAAAACGAGAGCGGTATTTTTAGATGATGTGTCATTAAGTGGGCGTTTGAGACAACGATTTCGATCTGGCAAATGATGGGGTGAGATTTCGCTAGATCTACGGCGCACTAAATCTCAGACCGCCAGCATTAGCAGCGCAGTTTCTATGTAGAAATTTCAAGCAGACTTGTTTTTTTGATGTTTATGTCATTGTTTTTGGCGCCTGGCATCATAGCACGGCGGGAATCTGTACAATGATGCTGGCGATAGTCCCTGGGAAGATCCCCATTGGGCTACGGAGAGCTGCTGCGATGACGACATTAGCGTCCTGTCGTGATGGCGCGAATATGCGTCCATCCTTAGCAGCGAGCCAAGGAAAAAGACAGCCCCAGGAAAAGCCCAGCCAGATGGGTGCGTGCCCTCGCATAATCGTACTAAGCACGCCAAGCTCAAAACATTGTCAAACAAATGCATCAGCTCAACCAGCTCAAAGCTGCTAATAGTCTAGGTAATCATTTGAATTCGGCAAAGGCGAGACCAACAGCTGTGAACTGGGGTGAGGCAGTGCCCATTTGGTTGGCTCTGAAGGCAGCTTAGCCTCTTACTTTGTTTTAAAGCAATGCCTTGCGTTCTCGCCGAACGTGCAGGAATGGTGGAGTGGCGCAGGGCCAGAGGCAGCTCGAGCCGCTTGACAGGGATCAGAGATTCAGAAACTTGGCCACGGGAACGAGTAAGAAAAAAGCCACACCAAGACGAAGAGGATGAGCTTGGCCGAAGCTACGGGCACTAATTGGTGGTGCATGTCAAGACGTAGTCATCGGTTGTCACAGCTCGGTTTTATTTAAAGAAACGCAATGCTCCCCCTGTCTTTGAGAGAGAGAAGATTCATCCAGCCATCTTTTCTTTCATATACCAAAGCCGTCTTTGACGAGAGATTTATTTTCTTCGCCTCTGCATTCGTCTTCAAGCTGCATTGAAAGTCTATAAAAGGCCTTTTATTTTGCGAATATTCCGAACAAGCAAAGCCGGTACTGCTTCCAAGCGCTTGCACACAGCGACACAGCAGCCTGCTCTACTCTATCTTCGTCTCATCTACTCAACACAAACAAAGATGTGCTTCTCAGTGGAACCCAAGGCCAAATACTACTACCAGGAGGAAATCATTCCTGCACGGCCACACCGAGAGTCGTACCGGGATTCGCACCGCGACTCATACCGCGATTCCGGCGTCGACTACTACCACCATCACCATCGCCATTCTTCTTCTCGTCACTCGCACTCGCACTCGCCGCGAACGAGCCACACGGCCGTTGACCGATACAGCAGCAGCCCCCGGGTCAGCACATACACCCCTCGCCTCAGCTCCAGCAGCACCAGGCGCAGCGTCATCCCGGCGAGAGTTGTGTACAAGGAGACGACGCAGAGCCGCTACGTGTAAAGTTTCAACCATGCTGGCGACCTATGAAAGGAAAAGAATTTAGATGGAGAGAGATAAGACAGTTGGCGCAGTATTCAAATCGGTGTTATTAAGGTTTAGCGTTTTTGGGCTGAGAATGGGATATGGTATGGATGATACGAGGTCTTGGAAACTAAGGTCGGGTAGCGGGCGGGCGGTTAATGACGGGAACGAGCAAGCCACGGCTCCATGAGACTCTGATTATGCGACGACGGCGTTGGAAATATCAAGTTATTGTTTGTTTTTCATCTTGATTTTTTTTTTTTTAAAGCGAACTTGTATGTTTGCTTTGTCTAGATGATCTAGATCACAATTTCAGGTGCCAGCCTTTCAATGATATGACTGCGCATCACTTCCGCTTCTGAGAGCACATGCAGCGAGCCAGTGGCCACAATATTGAACGAAATGATGTCGACATCATCATGATCGATCCTATGAAGAGCGCCTCATCAGCGGCAGCATTGCCTTTCTCACTTATCGCAGCATGTTTCGATCTCTTAAGTCAAAGCTTCTATCTATAATTACACAATGCCTACTTCTTCTTGTAATATGAGAATGACAAAATGACATCATAGGCTCAGCCCATCTCCAAAGTTGGATTTCGCAGCCCATATCAGACCCTCTACTATCTTCACTATTTTCAATAAGTGCGTATTTTGTTACTATACTTGGCTTTATTTGTGCCTTTCAAGACGCATTTAATAGCAAGAGACAATGTGCTTTCACTTTAGCAACATGACCTTTGGCAGGCAATGCTCTCGTGGATTGTAGCAAGCAATGTTTTGCGACACAATGTTCACATCTTCAATCATCCTTTGGCCGGCCATGCTCCGAAATAAAATAGAGGGGCATGTTTCTTTGATTCAGTGCTCATTATGCTTTGTTTGCAGTTCATTTGTTTCTTGAGGCTTTGAAACAGCACCTATTTCCCTCTTTGTTTCATTTCTCAGGTCAAGCTGGTTTCCTCGGACATGACAGAAGCCGCAACTCAAAATGCTAGGCTCGCTCGCATTTAAATAAAATAATTCGAGTTTTCTAGGCCAGAAGGAACCGTAGATCCAGTGCTCCTGCGAATTATACTAGAAAGCTACCTTCCAAACCAAGACTGGGGATTTACCTGGAAAAATAAAAGCCATGTAAGTGATTTCGGTTTCTTTCTCTCCTCTCATATTTCCATCCATACAGTACTCTTCTTTTTGGGTCGATTATTCTTCTATTCTCATCATATCATTTCATCATGTCTCAAACTTCTTTTTTATCGCCTGTTGCGCCATCCCAGCATGCCTTTCAAACATCTTTCGATGATACCGCCCCAGACCAACCGTGGGATCGGGGACTCAGTATCCAAGAGGCATGGTCTAACTCTGCTCCAATTAGGGATAATTGCGCACCGCCTCGTCCTATTACGGAACATCAGCCGTCAAAGACCCGGAGCTATGTCTCGCTCTCCAAACTATTGGATTACATTCAACCCGAGCTCTCGCGAAAGCAATACCGCATTATCAAGAATGATAAAGGCCTCATCGAAGCATACAAGTCCGCGGGTATAGACCGTGTGGAAATTGGCAGGCAAATCTGCGAATGGGGCAAGAATTCGGGAGATGAGGCCATCGTCGACATATCTAGCAAGGTCGGCCTTCTTCTTCAAGAGATGGGCAAATTGTCAGAGCCTTACGCCACTGCACTGGAGGATGCGCGTGGCCATCTCAAGATCATCCGCAACATTGAGAAGATCGTTCAACCAATCCGGGATAGAAAGATGAGGGTATTGGGTAACATCCAGAAACTCAGAACGAAACAACCTCTTCAAAGCATCAAACTGGCCGCGCTAGAGCAGGAGCTTGTTAGGGTAGAGGCCGAGAGTCTGGTTGCTGAGGCGCAGTTAACAAATCTTGTAAGTGCCTCTGCCTTCTGCTGATTGACAGACGGAGTACAATTCACTAAACCTGCATGTTACAGACTCGCCAGAATTTCAGGGAAGCGTTCCAGATCGAGCTGACTGCTGCTATTGAGCGCGCCGAGAAAGAAGTTATTCTGGCCAAGCACGGCTTTCGCCTCCTCGAGCTCCTTGACGCTAACACAGTCGCGCCAGGACAGCCTTTCGTGCCCTACGAGCATGGAGATCAAGCTCACCAAGTGCTGAGTGACGCCGAAGCTAATCTCAAGGAGTATCAGCCGGATGACAGGTACATCGCTCCAGGAGGAAGTGAAATATTGGCAGAGACTGTGGATGAAGTCGACCAGCCAGTTAACATCAACGGCTGGGGAGTGGCGCAAAGCTGAATCAGCTGTTGGAACCTGTGTATGGCTTAAACATGTAAAGGAATGTTTTCACGCATCCTTTTGTTGGTGTCCACGCAGGGCGTCTTGCAAGGAGATTGGGCAACCAGGTCGGGTTTATCTATATGGATTGGGTGGTTTATTTTGTCTTTCTTGGGCGCTGTATGAAACATTTCTATTATATCCAACTGATTTTAGCAAGTTGGGTAACTTTTCTTACTTGTAGTCATGAACAATAGAGCTCTTTTTATAGTATGGTGTATCAGCGGATAACATGAATGGGTTCAGTATATCTCACAACAAGAGATTGGAGCACTGCATATCTAATGATGAAGTGGCGTTATACCAGAAGATGTATGTATGTAATGATACTTCATAACCTTTCTTGAGTGATCAGGGATTGGAGGGTTGAATTTCCCATGATGTTACCCTGTACGGAGCAGAGATGGCGAGATGTTTGAGCATTGCCGGTGCTCACGTACAATTACGTATTAACTTGCGTGCCGTAGTACTTGATAGAGCCCATTTCCCTAACAGCCCCGCATTAAAACAGCCGTGGTAAAGCTCAAGCCCTCTCCTGGGCTTTACCGCCTCTCGCATGCACATCCAGTGCAGATTTCCACTGCCGCCCCGTATCTCCGGCAGCCGCTGTGCGCTCCGGCACTGAAAAGCCTGCTACGAACCTCGGTCATAGGCCCAAATCAACCGAACTCGCCCCCGTGAGCTTGATATTCTAGAGAATCCGGAAAGGACAAAAATAAACGCATCTTACCCATTGGCCCCATTCCTTTATCCTGCTACCCGTTAAAGAGAGCCTCGATCCGATCTTCAGACCTTTGCCCATGTTGGCTCGCCGTGCACTGCAGCTCAGGTGGCAGAGTCTGCGTGGCCAAGTCTCCCTGCCCAATCACAGCGGCGTGTGCTGGACGACTCGACTGTACAGTTCCGCTGCCTCTGAGGCTGCCCGGACACAGGGCTCTGGTAGGCCTGTAGACGGTGTCACTACAGGCGCCGACAGTGCTGGCCCTCTCGCTACAGGTATCCCTCTCCCTATCGCTGCCAAGATGGGTCTGCGTGCCCCGCCCCCTCCATCGGGTCAAAACTCCTCCGCCTCCTCGCAAGCTTCCCAACCCTTCCAGCGAACCGCCCAAATTGCTCGCCATCTGAACAGCAATTCGGATTCATCATCAGCACCAGCCGCCACGATGTCTGGATACACAGTCCGCAAGGTTGCCGCCCAGAACACTCTGGAGCACCGCGTCTACATCGAGAAGGATGGCGTCCCCGTGTCCCCCTTCCACGACGTTCCTCTTTATGCCAACCAGGAGCAGACCATCCTGAACATGGTTGTCGAGATCCCTCGATGGACCAACGGCAAGCTTGAGGTGAGTTCGCAATTGCGGCAATTGATTGGATCTGGATTGGATTTGGCTGCCGTCTTCTGTCTTTCATCAGAGACACGAGCGCGTCTGAATTCGACCTTGACCATCTCCCCCCTTTTGCTGCCCCTCGTTTTAGGCACCGCTCTTTTCAGCATACTGACGTTTGTGGCCTCTTTTCTTATAGATCTCCAAGGAGGAGCTCCTCAACCCCATTAAGCAGGACATCAAGAAGGGCAAGCTTCGCTTTGTCCGCAACTGCTTCCCCCACAAGGGCTACCTGTGGAACTACGGTGCCTTCCCCCAAGTATGCGATGCCAAATCTCAATCATACCCAACTCCAGCTCTCTGGCCAAGGGGCCAATACAAGAATACCAACTGACAATGCTGTGCGCTCTAGACCTGGGAGGACCCCAACACCGTTCACCCCGAGACCAAGGCCAAGGGTGACAACGACCCTCTCGATGTCTGCGAGATCGGCGAGCTTGTTGGCTACCCCGGCCAGATCAAGCAGGTCAAGGTCCTCGGTGTCATGGCCCTTCTCGACGAGGAGGAGACTGACTGGAAGGTCATTGTCATTGACGTGAACGACCCTCTGGCCCCCAAGCTCAACGACGTCGAGGACGTTGAGCGCCACCTGCCTGGCCTCCTCCGTGCCACCAACGAGTGGTTCCGTATCTACAAGATCCCTGACGGCAAGCCCGAGAACCAGTTCGCCTTCACTGGCGAGTGCAAGAACAAGGCGTATGTGTCCTATTCCCGTGGGGGGTTTTTTTTTTTTTCTTTGAAGAGCTTTGAACTAACAGGATAATAGCTACGCCATGGATGTCATCCGCGAGTGTGCTGAGGCCTGGGAGCGCCTCATTACCGGCAAGACCCAGCCCGGCAGCGTCTCTACGTAAGTACAAAGTCCCAATTGCCCATATGACAGTCATTGGTCGGCCTGACTAACTCTTCTTCTTTTTTTTTCCAGCACCAACACGACTGTCGAGCACTCTCCCAGCCGCGTCCCTGTCCAGTCCCTGCCTCCTCTGCCTCCCCACGAGGAGCTGCCCCCTGCGAAGATCGACGCTTCCATTGACAAGTGGTTCTTCATCAGCGGTGCTTCTGCTTAGTATGCATAATTTAACGAGGAACACTTTTTGCTGGCGTCACATGTATCAAATTTTTAGTATTTGATAGTGTATACCCTGCGGGCGTAAAATCTAAGCCCTGCAGTAAAAAGTACTAGAAAAGAAAAAAAGTTTCATGACAACGTATATCGTACAATATCTAGTGATGTCCACATTGGCCTCATCCAAGCTGTATCCCTGCCCCGCGTAACGCCGTCAATGCATAAAGTATAGACAAATTTTTGTAGTATTTTTACTCAGACAAGTCTGCGGCCTTTTGTAATTGGCGCGAGTGACGGTCGACCTCCTCGACTAAACTCTTGATGTTGATTTTCGAGCAGTTGAAGTCCATTTCCTTGCCATCCTCTGCGCAAACGAATTAGCATCTTTCTAATAATCACACCTTTCCCTCTTCAGTGTAGGCGTACTGAATTTGACTCTTAATGAGCTGTTCTCTGCAGAATCTCTCGGGAGCAGAGCCGTGTTAACGACCGTTCCGTTCGCACGAACGTTTGGCGGGAGGAAAGTCAGGAACAGGCGAGCGGGCTTAGCGCATGTCGAGAAGGGGTTGAATTTGGCCGTGACCTCGGTCATGAACTTGGTAATCATCTTGTCGGTTGGAGCGAGAGGTCACTCAGTTTAAAGCGGGAATTGAGCTTTTGTCGCTGCTGGTACGACTTGTCGATGGTGGGATGGTGTCGAAATTTGGTGGAGACTCGATATAAGCATATCGCTATACAAGGTACCTTGCTGTCCATGCCGAGCCAATGATGATGACATGTTAGCTTTGAAAGTTGTCTAGCTACCAGCGTTTCGAGATTCTTGATTTTTTTAAACAACGACCAATATTTTTGCTGCGAATTATTTCCAAACGAACAAAGATGTCTCTGGAGGGATTGCAGGAACGGCTGGCTGCCTTGCAGGAGACCACGGCGCAGCTTAGAGAACTGATCGATCGACTGGCCAACGTGGAATTTCAACCGGGATCCGTGCCTTTAAATATCGAAGAGGAAGGCAGCGTGAGCGGCGAGCTTAGCGCAGAAGCCGGCTTGATATTGAAGACTGGACTGGAAGACCAGCAGTTGTTGTGGGAAGAGGCGAAATATCTGCGGCGAAGTGGGCATGAGAAGGAGAGGCTTGAGGATGGGATTGGGAGGGTAGGACAGGAATTGGCTAGGTAAGGAGGACACTGGATATGGCTCTAGTATTGAATCTGGCACAATGCTAACAGCTATTCTCGTTTAGTCATCGATCATCACTTCGAAAGGCACGGCTATCAGCGAAGAAGAGCTTAGAGCGAGCACAGAGGCTGGAAAGACAGCTCATGGTACAATCCTTCTCCGAGCCCATATCAGAGACAAATACCTCCGTCGACGGCGGCAGTGCCGAACAATCACAAATTATAACTCGACCTCTACGGCCCAGCTACAACCAAAACCGCCAGTTGCAGTCCAGTCTTTCGGAGGAAGACCGCCAAACAGTGGGAGCAAGCAGCAACGTCACAAACGCGCTGCGACGGACGCACGCCCTCATTGCGTCAGAGCTGACAAAGAGCGAGTTCGCGCGGCAGACGCTGACGGAGTCCTCGGCGGCGTTGAAGAAGCTGGATGAGTCGTATACTTCGCTAGATGGCATGCTGGCCAGTTCGAGGGATCTGCTGGGCACGCTGCTCAAGTCCCAGAAGAGCGATACGTGGTATTTGCAGACGGCGCTGTATATGCTGATGGTGACGGGTGCGTGGCTCGTGTTTAGGAGGATCTTGTATGGGCCGCTGTGGTGGCTTGTGTGGCTGCCGCTGCGGATCGTGTTTGGGCTTGGGTCAACGGCTGGAAGGGCGGTGATGCAGAGTGGTCGGGAGCCTGAGCAGTCTGGGAAAGCTGGGGTGGTGATTGATGGGGAGATTCAGGTGGATGGATTACCAGATGAGAGCTTGCCTACTGCAAAGGTGGGACGGGAGCCGAAAGTGACGGAAGAGGAGAAGGAGGATAGTGATGAGTCTATGGTTGAGAAGGTTGGAAAGATTGTGGATGCGGTGAATGAGGCTGATGAGTTGGGGGCGATACCTGGAGATGTTGAAGATGTTGAGGATGATTTGCAAGGAGGGGAATCTGCGGAGGTGGTGGTAGAAGATTCGCGACAGAGAGATGAGCTATAAGACTAGAGCATGGGTAGCGCGAGAATCACATATGATGAAAAAAAAAAAGACTTAATATTCATAAATACTTAGATCCTAACATTGTTAAAAGATAGGATGGTTTCTACACCTTTTTGAACTCCCGTCTGAACTCCATATACAAGTTGATATCTCTCCGCTCCTCTATTATTTCCCTCTTTGATCATGCGTTACCTTAAGACCTCTGGGGCGCAATCTGGGCAATGTCGCTGATCCAAGGCAGGCCGAGCTGGTGCATCTCAACAGCCAACTGGAAGAGATAGTCCAGACTATAAATCGAAACCTTGTCAGCACTGTTATCTTGACATTTATATCACAAGAATAGGGAAAAAGAGCACTCACCTCTCGCACTGCGTCTTCGCCTTGTGCACATTATCCCCCCACACATACACGCCATGCCGTCTCACCAGCACAGCATACGTATCCGGATACTCCTCCATCGCCGCCTCCAGATACTCCGTCAAGTCCTCCTCATGCGGCGTGTTCTCGATAACCGGAATCCTCAACGTATCATGATACCCCAAGTTGCCCACTTTGCCGAACCCTTTCCCAAAGCCCTTGATCTGCTCAATGTTGTTAATCTCAAAGACCTTGCTGTTGCCCTTTGCCTCGAGCAGCAGCGTGACGAGCACGGCCCAGTGGGAGTGCGTGTGGATGCAGCAGCCGGCGCCGCGGCGGGTGAAGGCGGCGAGGAAGAGGGGCGTGCACTGGGAGGGCTTGTAGGTGGGAGGGGAGCGGAGATAGGTGCGTTGCTGCTTGTGGGCGGGATCCTGGTCTTTGAGGGAGAGGACGTAGATGTCGGTTGGTTTCATGAGTTCTTTTTGGACGCCGGAGGGGGCGAGGTAGACGAGGTTGCTGGGGTTTGTTAGTTGGGGTTGTTATAAGGTGAGATGGTAGTATAAATGTAGAGTGAGAGACGCCATTGTGAAAGACTTATACAGTTGTCATCTGAGTCTTATACCTCAATCTTCTCACTTGAGATGGCACTTGAGAAGAAGCTCATCTGCATCATCTTTCAAGCCCATCACCGAGCAATGAACATAGGGAAACCGGAATAAACTTGATTCAGGGGAAGGGGCATTTACTCGTCTCTAATTGAACATCCTCCTCCCGTGCCAGTAACCCATCCCAACGTCCAAAACTTGGCGCACAGCGAGGGGATGAGGTTGGCAGGGTGCTCAGGGTCCGTGGAGGTGATGAGCTGGTCCGGGTTTTCAACAGCAGCCTCGGCCATTGCGAAGGATTTGTATATGAAAATAGTACTAGAAAAAATAAAAGTAAAAAGTAAATGCAGGTAGTATTAGATGCAATTGTTTCTCTCGTTAATTAATTCAAGCAATACAAGAGCTGTCGTTGCGTGTTAGAGCAGCTCTTTTTGCCCCTCTCAATTTAGTGCACCTTTTTTTTCCCGTTTGCCTTGCCCCTCCATACGCGGAAAATGACGAAACTTGGCTGCGATAGGTAGGAGCAGTGGAAAAAAAACGTGGGCTGCTTGCTGGGAGGTCGCGCAAGGACCACCTCATCATTTTAAAAAGTGATTTGATCTCGATTTACTTCAAGCAAGATAAGATTTGATCCGGGGATCTCTATACCATGGGGCGGAAACACGAAGCAACGTCTTTTTTTCTCATTGAGAATAATATGTAGGCTCAGATTGCCATGGTGAAAGCGCATCGGAATCTCGATGTGTACTTTCGCATGTACATTCATGCCCGCAGTGTGTGTCGCGTCTTGGCTTAAGAAACGCCGCTTGCAGTTCTTAGTGTGCTCATAGCTCGGTACCTGATTTCCTGCACTTGGATTCATCTCTCCTTGCTTCGTGGTTGGTTGAAACTTCGCCCTGGTTACTAAGCGTCGCCCTCGCTGACAGCTGTTTCAGCAGCTCATTTCGATCTTATAAACCGGCTCGTCTCATTGGCTCGAGTGGCAAAGGGCGAATCAGAGGATGGGATCGTCAACGCGTTTGCCCGCGTTTGCTGTTGCTAGGCCGCACTCTATAATATGGACTCTTGCGAGAAGCGAGGGGAAAAGGGGACTCATAAAAGTTTCTTTCTTCACCTCACAACTCTGTAATACTAGTACAATATGTCTCAGACATTGTATGTAGGGCCAAGCCGGTACTGAGATTAACATTCAAGAACCCGCATTACACGTACCGCTGCAGGAGTTGCAGTAGCAGCCACCTAGTGCTGCAGCTTCAAGGGGCATTATGGCAAGGTCTTGACCATCGCACTGAGTATCTTATACTCTCACATCAAGGATCACGGCTGAATGTATGAAGAGAGGAACTAGCAGCTCGTGATTGTCACCGAAACAAGATGAGCCGAGCGCCCATTCACCAAGCTGAGAGAATGTACTGCCGCTCGGGACTCCATCGTCACCAAGCTCCATCTCCAGGTCACAAGGCCTGGGGCGGCCGAGTCCAAGGTTCTGGCGCCCAGTGTTTTTGTGGAAATTGCGGTCCTATCCTCAGGACAGAGGCGGATGTCGCTGGCTCTGCCCGTGCATACGACTCTCAGCTGCGCAAGGAGCAGATGTTCCTTGGACCAGGGGCCGCGGTCAGCTTCGCCAGCCGCGAAGTGGTTAGATCCCCCTCGGAATCTTGCCCTCGTCTGCACCGATCGCCAATGGAGCCCTCGTATAAGAAGGAGCCAAAGCCTTTTTTGCATCTCAAGGCACAGTACGAACGCGAGAATCGGAACTGGGCCGGGCTTGTATCCTCGAGCCAAGGGGAGCGCCGCAACCCCTGGTGGCTCGGAAGTCACAGGCTAGAGCGCCTAGTCTCACGGGCTAAGGCCGTAGTATCAGGCAAATTGGGTGGCAAGCTGGCAATTGCTTGCTTTGCTATCGAGATTTGGCTTTCGGCAGCCCTTCTTTTTGGCTTTGCGCCAAGTGTAAGCCTCCCCCTTTCGTATCCATTGGGCGTTGATGCTGGCGGATATTCGTGACGCGCTTCGAATCGAAAACGACAATTATATCTCAAAAAATGGAAGAGTGGCAATGTTGATGTTGATGTTATTACTCAACCATTGTAACCGTGTGACGAATTCCAGAGGACGATCAAATTCAAAATACGGCCTGAACTTTTGTCTTAGTCACTAGAATTCAACCACCGAGAAGGGCTTCGCTAGGATGGGCCGCCCTAGCGCCGCTTCATGCCCCTGCAGGCCTTAGCCGATAGGAACAAGACAGCCAATAATGCTCGCGAGTACATACTGTCGATGGCAATGTGGTATGTTGCTGGTCCTAGCAAGTGCATAGTTATAGCAGCGGGGGAGACATTGAAATCGGCGATGGGAAACGGGGGAGTGGTCCATGAGGAAGCTTCAACTTAATGCTGGTGACATGCTCTTGACATGGATACCATGGAACAAGAAGAAGGAAAAAGAAGAAGCGAAGCAAAGCAACACGCAAGAAGAGGCCTCGCTCCGCATGAACAAACCAGATTGGAACAAGGGAGCCAGGCCGCGATAGTGCACTTGCAGGCCTTCAGAGATGGTCCGTCCCACAAGCCGCACACAGCCTCTATGGGACCCATGGCCTGGCCGAGATGCCGACGAGACTCAATGACCGCATCGCACGCAGGCCTCGGCGAAATAGGCTGTGATTTGGTACAGTACAGAAGCGTCAATGGTTGGTGGGAAAGACAGCGAAAGCAGAACGGCAGATGAGGGTTGGGCAGATTCATGCATCGAGCGCCCATCGCCACGGCTGGAATACGAGCCAAAACCCGTGTGTAGGCTGCGAAGTCGCCGCAACGTTGGATCTTCGGCTGTTTTACGAGGCAAAGCGCAGCGGGAGTGCCACAAGCCAAGCAATGGAAACCTCAGGCGCCACGGCATCGACTGCCCAAAGTTGGGGGTTGCAGCGGGTTTGATTGCAGCTGCATCGCGGCGCCACGCAATTAAAGGCGCCGCCTTGGCTTTTTGCGCCGCTGCCACAGAGGGAACGGATGTCTATTCTTATCTACACAAGCTGTAATCGCAATTGTGACGATTCTTCTGGATTTAATGGCTGTCATGGCTGAGCTTTTCGAGCCTCTTACAATGTTTACTTTGGAGGCACTCCAGACTAATAACACAGGTACTAACATACTGTGGCTCCCCGTATCGTATCGTAGCATCGAGGGCAGCTTAGCAGCAATGCTTGGGCGGGGCCCCTTAACAGTCCAGCAGGTTTTTTGTCTCTCGCGCTCCCCAATTTTTGCCAGCACAAGGGCCCGGTACAAGACCCGTACTGTGCGCCGAAAATAACAACGGCGAGGCTTGCCGCCAGTGCGTTATTGGTCTCCCAGAGCTACGAGCTCGTTACGCGCCTTGGGGCGCCTTGGCTTTTGGGACTTTGCTCGGCCGCGTCCTTGAGGGTGCTCGTGCTATTAAAAGGGAGATTCCCTGCTCCTCTACGTAGAAAACCTTCTTGTTCTCCTCTTCTTTCTCTTTTTCTCTCTCCTCATCATCTCGATCGTCCTTCGTTTTCGGTTCATCGCTCACATTCGTTCGTGTGCTTTATACTCCAACGACCTCTCAAGAGTCAGCCCATCTTTTTGTCAACACTTCCAACAAAAACAAACACTTCAGTCACCATGCGTTTCTCAGTCCTCCTCTCCGGCCTCTTCGCCGCCGTGGCTGTTGCCGAGTCCACTGCCTCTGCCCCGGCTACCGCTGTCTCTCTGAGCCCCGCCCAGGCCTCTCAGGCGGCTTGCTTCAAGGCTTGCGCTGCGGGCGACGTCGACTGCCAGGCTCACTGCGTTGCTGTATGTTGATCCTCCGTCTCATGCTGTCACTGATTTCTCTGTCTGTTCTCGCCCCCCTTCACTTTGAAGGCATGAGAAGAGCAGAGTGAATGAGCGGCTCATAACCACTATCAATCAATCTTATATAATGAGATGACTTACACGTATATTGCACAGGTCCCCTCTCCCGACCGTGGCCAGGTCAACGCCACCACCCAGTGTGTCGCCGCCTGCCCCCAGGGCAAGGGCACCGCTGCTGACAACAAGGCATATGGCGACTGCGTCCAGGGCTGCATCGGCAAGAACTACTTCGTCTCCTCCAAGGGCACTCCTCAGGCTACCGGCGCCGCTGGTGGCAACAATGCCCAAAACTCCAACACTGACACCGCCGCTGCCCCTACCGGCACTGACTCCTCCTCCACTGGTACTGAGACTGGCGCTGCTTCCACTGGCTCTTCTGCCACCAAGTCTAGCAACACCTCCGGCTCCAAGACCGGCACTGCTGCTGCTCAAACTTCTACCCATAACGCTGCGCCCGCCATCATTGCCTCTGGCGGTGCCTTTGTTGGCGTCATTGCTGCCCTTCTGGCCATGTAATTTCTGAGATATCCCTGTTGTCTTTTGCTATCTTTTTAATTTCAGTCTTGGATAATGTCAAGGCGGTTTTAATTTTCATGGGTTTTGAGGATTTAATGACGAGCTTGTGTGTATTTAACCACAAAAACGTAATATGGATTGGTTGGTTAGGGATAATAATACCAAAAGAGCCTGTTTGGACAGCTTAACAATTTTGCGATTTCCTCTGCCTATCTGTGATGCTATGAACCTTTTGTACCTGACGCCATGATCACGACGTGCAATCATTCATTCATTTTGTTCCTGATAAATTCATTCCTTTTGTTCCTGATATTAAAGGTCTTGATGAGGTTGACCGCCGTTGACACTCGGGTCAGTGAGCGTATCGTGCCATCAATCATCTGATGTGGACCAGCGCAGATCGTATGTAGACATGCGATCTACTAAGTGGTACCACGAAGTGATATAAGTTAGATTGTACTACTACTTATGTGCTGCAAGTCTACTAATCCGAAGCCGTCGTACACGCACTGCATAAACTAGTAGATATTTGCATGTACGCAATTTGTCTTGCATACATCTACACGTGTTGTCTGATGTAATTTGCAGCTTTTGTTATACAAGGCTACCCGGCTGGTTACCGAGTCATTGGCTGTGTAGTAGTTACATACCAGCTACCAAGGCAATGAACTGCATTGGGAGTACTGCTAAAGAAAAACAATACTATAATAATTTCCCTGGATTCTGAAATGAAAATACAGTCGCTGAAAAGATGCGCGATTCCAGACGTTGAATAGCCGTTCCCGAAATTTTCTCGGCACATCTGCACGGGCTAGTGCCTTAGCGGTGCTTTTCTGTACGATTCTCTGGAGCAAACTCCTAATAATAGCGGCCAAACTTAGCGGCTTGTCATATTAATGGGGCAGCTCTTGTGTGCATTAGAAATCGATCGATTTGCTAAAAGTTAGGCTCTCCATAGTGCTGGAGAGTGGAAGAAAAAATTGCGTGCAGAGAAATAAAGAGGTTAGAAGAAGAGGAAAAAGAAAAATAGCCCAAGCATGGTAGTTTCTTGTTGCATGCAATAATACAAAAGAAGCGATCCTTGTGTCAGCATCGCGAGCACCCTAATCCGAGGTTACCTCGTTTGCTCAGCACGGTTATTGGACATGTGGCATCTTCTGGCCCGTCTAGCCAGGTTCCTCCACCATTTCCCCTCCTCTGTCTCACGGGTAATAAATTGATGCTACCAGCTGGGTAATACGATCAATTGGTTCGGTTTGGGTGCAGAAACAGGGGACTTTTGCATGATGAATGGATTAGATGGTCTTTGTTACTTCATGATTTAATGCGTATCGGGGCTTTGGCTCGCGTGTCCATCTCAATTGGCGTTGGCTGTCTACATGTCCAAAAGATTTCTAAAGACTTCGAAAAAAAAAAGTGATGGATAAGTACTTGCAGCACAATCAGCAGGCCTGGCCCCACACGTGGGTTGCAGCGGCGCCAAAGGAGCTCATCCGGGACTTTATTCTCGTCGCTTCCAGCGCCGCTGATTGGCGAATTGCGCTGCTTCCGATGAGCTTGGGTACGTACATTTTGCGATTTAACCCAGCCTGGCAGCTGGACCCCCGCATCAAAGAACTAACCTGGCAGCTAAATTTTGGTGGTGGCCCTGGATAGCTTCTACGTGTCCTCAAGAACCTTGGCCGGCCTTTTCCCCAGCCTTCTTCAAGTGTCGCCGCGCGCATCTGAATCTTTCTTTTTTTTCTTTCTTCTTCTTTCAACCAAACTCTTGAGAAATCGTCTTTCTCTTCGAGCGCTGGGACTGCCCTGTTATTGGCATCACATCCTTCTTCTTCTCTCCCCCGCACTCTTTGATCCTCGTTGCGCTCTGCGCCTTGGTATACCTTTTGCAGTGATTTCAGGCCTCTTGACTAGGTTGCGCTTCTCGAAATGAAGTTCAACACCGTCGCCGCCGCCGCGGCTCTGTTCGCTGGCGTCGCGTATGCTGAGGAAGTGGAAGAGTCCAAGGCTGTGCCGGAACTCCCTACCTTTACTGTGAGCTGCTTTCTCTCTTCTTGGTGAATGCGGAAACGCAGCTTTTTGGTTTGTAGAACCATACTGTGAATTGCATGCTAACAGGTGTGACTACCAGCCCACCACCATCAAGGCAGACTTCCTTGAGCAGTTCACCGATGACTGGGAGACACGGTGGAAGCCTTCACACGCCAAGAAGGACACCTCCGCCTCCGACAAGGACAACGCGGAGGAGGAATGGGCCTATGTTGGTGAATGGGCTGTTGAAGAGCCCTTCCAGTACAAGGGCATCGATGGCGACAAGGGTCTTGTCATCAAGAACGCCGCCGCCCACCACGCCATCTCGGCCAAGTTTCCCAAGAAGATTGACAACAAGGGCAAGACCCTCGTTGTTCAGTACGAGGTCAAGCTCCAGAGTAAGTTGGCGCCTGGCAATGGATCTTGATATCTGAAAATCGAAACCATTTAGACATGTGCTGACCTGCGCGTGCGCTTTTTAGACGGATTGGACTGCGGTGGTGCTTACATGAAGCTCCTGCGGGACAACAAGGCTCTTCACCAGGAGGAGTTCAGCAACACCACCCCGTATGTTATCATGTTCGGCCCCGACAAGTGTGGCCACAACAACCGGGTTCACTTCATTGTCAACCACAAGAACCCCAAGACGGGCGAGTACGAGGAGAAGCACCTCAACTCTGCTCCCTCGGTCAACATTGTCAAGACCACCGAGCTCTACACTCTCATTGTCCACCCCAACAACACCTTCTCCATCCAGCAGAACGGTATTGAGACCAAGGCTGGCAGCCTCCTTGAGGACCTGACCCCATCCATCAACCCTCCCGCGGAGATTGACGACGCCAAGGACACCAAGCCCGAGGACTGGGTTGACGAGGCTCGCATCGCTGACCCCGAGGCCGTGAAGCCTGAGGACTGGGATGAGGAGGCTCCTTTTGAGATTGTTGACGAGGAGGCCACCAAGCCTGAGGACTGGCTCGAGAACGAGCCCGCTGTCATCCCTGACCCCGAGGCTGAGAAGCCCGAGGACTGGGATGATGAGGAGGATGGCGACTGGATCGCTCCCACCGTCCCCAACCCCAAGTGTGACGACATCTCTGGATGTGGCCCCTGGACCAAGCCTTTGATCAAGAACCCTGACTACAAGGGCAAGTGGTCTGCTCCCTTCATCGACAACCCCGCCTACAAGGGCGTCTGGGCTCCTCGCAAGATCAAGAACCCTGACTACTACGAGGACAAGACTCCTTCCAACTTTGAGCCCATGGGCGCTGTAAGTTGACACCCTTCCTCTAATTCTACTGTGGAGAAACCTGCTTGCTAATTATGTGCTTTATAGATTGGCTTCGAGATCTGGACCATGACAAACAACATCCTCTTTGACAACATCTACATTGGCCACTCCGTTGAGGATGCCAAGAAGCTGGCCGACGAGACTTTCTTCGTCAAGCACCCCGTGGAGAAGGCTCTTGAGGAGGCTGACAAGCCCAAGATTGACGACATCCCCAAGTCTCCTTCTGACCTCGTCTTCCTCGATGACCCCGTCACCTATATCAAGGAGAAGTTTGACCTGTTCGTCACCATTGCCCAGCGAGACCCCATTGAGGCCATTAAGTTTGTCCCTGAGATTGCCGGTGGTATTGGCGCCGTCTTCGTTTCGCTCATTGCTATCATCGTCGGTCTGGTCAACCTTGGTGGCTCTCCTGCCCCTGCTGCCAAGAAGGCGGCTGCCACCGTCGCTGACAAGGCCAAGGACCTGTCCGAGGCTGCCGCTTCTGGTGCCGAGAAGGTCAAGGGCGAGGTCACCAAGCGCACGACTCGCAGTCAATCGTAAAGAACCCTTTCAAAAAGGACGGCTGCTTTTCTTTTGTTGAGTGAATGGGATCAAATAGCGAGCGGGATGTGAGATGAACAAAAACAACATATCCAATATACCAATATCTGGGACAGAACCCACAAAAAGATTTGGGAGTATAGGCGAAGGAACATGAATAGGTATTATAAAGCAAATCTTGTTAAAAAAAAAAGGAATCTATTGTTATTATCTTGTTCCCTTTTGATTCGAGAATACTACCCAAGTATCTCCTGTCAGATAGGATCCCATGTTTTTTTTTTCTTCAACGGAAGTATTATGGAGTACCTACGGAGAGATGCAGTAAGCGGCCGGACACTCGATATGATTGTGCAGATGGATGTTACCTCGCAGGCAAGTAAGCACCGATTACAGCCTAGAGCACGGCTTGAAGAAGGGCACCAATGCATGAGACGAAGGAATTACTAGGCGCAAGCAACACGTGGGTGCTAGTGTTTGTCATGTTGGTAGTACGTATCAAGTTTGAATAAATTATTTGGTCATTGCTGAAATCTCGTTTGATGTTGATTGGCATCTTTGTTCCCGCGGAGTAGAGAAACAGGACCTACTACTGCTAATGGCAATAGGCTGTTGCTAGCAGATGCTCTATATCGTCACCAGGCCATATACGGCAACCTAACTAACAACCCAACCGCCTCCAAAGGCATCTCTGGCCATATCCTCGGTTGACTTGACTCTCGACAGCCAAGGTAGCGCAGATTGAATCAAACTTACGGTGTCAGTAGCTTGGCTGATGGCGTCAATCGCAGAGCTCTATCTCGTACTTTTCTCGGCAAAGGGTCCCCGTCATCGGAGCTTTTATAGCTGCAGCGTTTGCCGAGCAGGATGATGATCCCTCGCAGCAGAAAGAAAAAAAAAAGAACTAGGGCAATGCAGGTGAGCACACAGTAATACCGCAGTGATCAGACACCGGACCGCCGTCAGCACGGGGCTTATGTAACAGGGGACCTGCCCGAAGCAAACGGTGTCAATGGTGTCAGTGGTGCCAATTGCTTTCGGCATGAAGCGGCATCGGCTTAACAGCATCTCTGATTCTGGTACCTCGTAGGTATCACTGGTGCAATCTGCTGGGAAATCCCACGCAGAGGATGCGGCGCCCTACCCCACATGGGCCTTGCGGCTAGTGTCCCCCATCTTAATTCGCCTCCCCTTCCCCACGTCCGGCCGTAGCCGTGTGTAATCGGCTGGCTATAACGGGGAAGACGGGTGAGAATAAATACTTCCGGGGGGACGACGATGCAGAGGGACGGTTTCTTTTTTTCTTCTGTGTGTGTACCTGATTGGACTGAGACGCATGAGAGAGACGCAGAGATTCTAGTGGACAAGAAGAGAGCAAGCAATACATCTGCCCCGCGTCCCTTCCCATCTCGTCACTGCTGCTCCAACATCTACTAATACCCGTCATCGCCGTCTTCAACCGCCTCAAGCCTTTCTTCCCTTTTTTCTACTCCTCCCACCAATTTCTAATATGCGTCGCTTCATCGCGAGCAGCGCCTCTGCCTCTGCCCGCAGGCCCCTGACCGCCGCAGCCTCTCCTCGCTCCGCCATTGCCCTCTCCAAGATGGCCTCCAACTCCAGAGCAGCCCAGGCCGCCACCGCTGCCCGGCGGATACACGCCACGGCCGCGCAGCTCAAGCCCATGGACGCCCTCGCCTCGACGGCCACCAGCTTCCCGACCACCCATGAGCCCATTGAGGAGGTCCGCAACACGCCCTACTTCATCGACAACAAGTTCGTGCAGTCCTCCACGGACAAGTACTACGACCTAGCCGACCCGGCCACCAACAACCTCGTCACGCGCGTGCCGCAGATGACCGAGGCCGAGATGAAGGCCGTGGTCGAGTCTTCGCAGAAGGCCTTCCTCGCCTGGAAGGACACCACCGTGCTGTTCCGCCAGCAGATCCTGTTCCGCTACGTGCAGCTGATCAAGGACAACTGGGACAGACTGGCCGCCAGCATCACGCTCGAGCAGGGCAAGACCTTTGCCGATGCCAAGGGCGATGTGCTGCGTGGTCTGCAGGTTGCCGAGGCTGCCGTTGGCGGGCCGGAGCTGCTCAAGGGCGAGGTGCTGGAGGTTGCCAAGGACATGGAGACGAGAAGCTACAAAGAGCCATTGGGCGTCACTGCCTCCATCTGCCCCTTCAGTAAGCTGTTGCCGTGACATATCTTCGCTTCTCACTAGGGGCAGTATCAAAAGTGTGTATGTGTGACTAACAAACGACTCTATAGACTTCCCTGCCATGATTCCTCTGTGGTCTATCCCCATTGCTACCGTCACTGGTAACACCATCATCATCAAGCCCTCAGAGCGTGATCCTGGTGCCGCCATGATTCTCGTTGAGCTGGCTGAGAAGGCTGGATTCCCCCCCGGAGTTGTCAGTGTCATCCACGGCGCTCACGACACCGTCAACTTCATCCTTGACGAGCCCGCTATCAAGGCGGTCAGCTTCGTCGGTGGCAACAAGGCTGGTGAGTACATCTACTCGCGAGCTTCCGCCAACGGCAAGCGTGTCCAGGCCAACCTGGGAGCCAAGAACCACGCTGCCGTGCTCCCTGACTGCAACAAGAACCAATTCCTCAACGCCGTTACTGGCGCCGCCTTTGGCGCTGCTGGTCAGCGCTGCATGGCCCTCAGCACACTGGTCATGGTCGGCGAGACCAAGGAGTGGCTTCCAGAGTTGGCTGAGCGAGCAAAGGCCCTCAAGGTTGACGGTGGCTTCGAGGACGGTGCCGACCTGGGCCCTGTCATCTCTCCCCAGAGCAAGGAGCGTATCGAGAGCCTGATCGCCAGCGCCGAGAAGGAGGGTGCCAAGATCCTGCTCGATGGCCGTGGCTTCGCGCCTTCCAAGTACCCCAACGGCAACTTCATTGCCCCCACCATCATCACCGATGTCACCACCGACATGACTTGCTACAAGCAGGAGATCTTTGGTCCCGTGCTGGTGTGCCTGAACGTGGAGACCCTTGACGAGGCCATTGAGCTCATCAACAAGAATGAGTATGGCAACGGTGCTGCCATCTTCACCAGATCCGGTGCCACCGCTGAGACCTTCCGAAGGAAGGTTGAGCCCGGTCAGATTGGTATCAACGTGCCCATCCCCGTGCCGTTGCCCATGTTCTCTTTCACCGGTAACAAGAAGTCCATTGCTGGAGGAGGTGCCAACACATTCTACGGCCGACCCGGCATCAACTTCTACACACAGCAGAAGACTGTGACAGCGCTGTGGCAGAGCGCAGACGCCGTGGCCAACAAGGCTTCGGTGAACATGCCCACGCTGCAGTAGAGGAGAGGTCAGTTTCGGATTTGTTATGACGGCATTGGAGAAGTGAGCGTTGTCTGTATGTATGCGAATTCAATTTTGCGGGACAACATGAACTCGTTCACTGTGACGGAAAAAAGGAGGAAATGGGAAGAGAGAAACCATCCAGTGGTTGTCTCAGCACTTGCATGTATATTCTTTTTTTTTTTTTTTGAATGATAATGTAGTCACGACCAGATTCTGCTAGACAGCATGAAAATGTTTTTGTCGAGATGAAATAAATTACGTTAAATTAAACTAAAACTATATGCTATTGATTTCGTGAGTATCTATGCTGCTAACATGTAAATGTGGCGTTGGACTATGCTGTCTACTTTAGTCCTCAAGCTGCTCACCTATGATTGTGGAAGCTTGAGAAATTCATGCATATCTGAATAATTGAAAATTGAGAACAAGAGGTTGTGTTTGTTTTCATGGTAAATAAAACCTTTTTTTTTTTTTTTTTTTTTTAAAGGGACTCAAGCTATAGAGGAGGTGCCTCAACACTCAACAGTATCCAGGCAGGTCACATGCAGCTTGCCTCAGCAACCGCTTACAACGTCCTCTTCTGCGGTAACCAACCTGCATACAAACTCATCCAAAACATCGCCTCATCCCGATCCATCAATTTTCTTCAGCTCTTCTTTCAAATGCATCTCAAATAGACATGATACCCATACTTTCTAGAGAATAATACAGCAATCATCATGGATATTGCGCTGGCAAACCTCCCTTACCACATCTTCAGTGACATCACCTTATACCTCCCTCCCGTACAGGTCCTTAGATGCCGGCGCATTTCTCGCATCATACACGAGGCCCTCACGAGAGATGAGCTCTGCATCACGCTCATCTTGAAGCATTTCCCCCGCGCGCTAGAAGGTCGGCGACTCAGACAGCTTCTCGAGGCCGGCGAAGCTGAATCTCTGGACCAAGGGGACTGGGCTACCGCGTATGCGCGGCTGGCGAGGCGGTACCATCATCTGGGCCGGGCAGAGCCCTGGAAGGAGATCAAGGTCCCTGTGCTGAGAAATGCAAAGCTGCTCCAAGGCGTGGCGACATGGAATCGGCTCCTGAGCTTGGCCAACAGGAACACGCTCTTTCACTACCAGGATCCGGTATGGACGGTGGCACCGAAAGAAGGGCTGCTGGTCTATCCGGCGCCGAAGACGGAATACTCCAGCCCGGAATACCGGGCCCGAGATCTGGCGACCGGGGTGGAGGTCAGGGTTCCGTTTGTGTTGAAGGGCAAGATTGTGAGGCGGCTGCGGATCAGCCATGGCATTCTTGCGATTGAGTGGTGTCTAAACACTCCAAGCAAAACCCTCTACGTCGATGGAGAGTTTATTGGGGGAGAGTTTCATAAACACTATGCAACCTTGTACGACGTCCGTCGAACTGGATCTTGGGACGGCATCATTCCTCAGCGGCCTGCTCTTGGCGGCACTGCGCCGACTTACACCTGGAAGATCAAATTTCGCTGCGAATTTTTGATTTATCCCTTTGGCTTTCCGGTGAACACCGTAGATCGATTCTTCTCAACGCATAACGCTACTCATTACGCCGTTTACACATGGCAAGCCACGCGCTTTCCCCATCGCACTATGAACGACACTATACGACCCAAAGAGCAGCTCACAATATGGGAGATTGGTGCCCCTTCGACATACAGACCGTCTGACGATGTATTTGGCAGTGTGCAGCGAATTTTAAATTTGGGTCCTCGCGTGATTCGCAACATGGCGGACGTTCAACTTGAGGACTGGTCCGTCTTACAAGGCCATACACCTTCGTTGCGCACATTGGCCTTGGACGACTGTACCTGGGATGCATCCAGGAGTACTGCCTGCGGCCACGTCTTCTTCACAGAGGAGGAACACAGATGGTCTTCAGGCGGACACAGCTCCAGGCGTCTGCCGCGTTTCCATCTCGTCAAGACAACAGGGATACCGCTGATTGGCGAGGGGCCAAGGTGGGTGGATGAGTGTCGAGGTGGGACCGAAGCCAATATACAACCCTCTCGCAGAAGCAGATGGAGGATACATGCAACCGAGGCATACGAAGAGGAGGACAGCGACTACGACGATGATGGCGAGAATGCCGAAGCTGCCGCCGAGGGCAACAGAGACGGCGACAGCAGCGGCACAACTGTCCTGAATACAACCGCAGCAAGTTCGTTTCTGGAAACAAGACCCTGGGTCAGACACTCAGAAACATGGCCCGGTCGGGCTCCTTGCTGGCGCCATATTGAGTTTCCCTACCTTACAATGTCTGAAGTCTTGGATATCCCTGCCGGCATCCGCATCGTTGCCCGAAACTGCTTCATGCTGGCTGTCATCTCTACCTTTCCAATGGATAAGATCTATATCCAGGGCGTCAACAAAGACGGCCCCATACACCGAAAGAGAAAGGGAAAAAGAAATATCAAAAGCTTGAGTGATTGCTCGAGGCCCTCCAGCTCTAGCTCCAGCTCAAACCCGTCATTTCTCCTTCAAAGTGACCAATTGGCCGATACGATGCAGAACCAGGGCAGGAAGGAGTCTCTTCAGACAGAGGTCCCATTCGGAGCGAAGATGTGGCCGCAGATCATGTGCAGGGGAAGCATCTTTGGTGATGAGCGGTGGCTCCTTGGGGAGACTCCTGCTGGAGACGTGCTCATTCTTGTCTTCTGAGCTGTTTGAGGGTAAGCACGCAATAACGATAAGATGAATGATGAAATAGCTATTGGTAGTAAAAACACTCGTTAAAAAAAAAATGCAAGATGCAATCAGTTGTAAGGGCGGCAACAGCAGAAGCAACTAGAACCCTATTCCGTCACTTACTCCATGGGACGGATACCAAGCAAGGTAGATGGCGAAACAAGAGAGCATCACGTTAAAACGCACGTCTCATGCTTTTTCATGGTCACGTTCCACCCCCAAAAACCCACATTTACAGAGGCGCATTAAGGCGCATTAACGTTCTCAGTTCATCTGTGGCGTCACAAACTCGTATGTTAGGGGGGAATCGAGGGAATTTTTTGTTCTTGGCCTCGTTTACATTTCATTAGGCAGGGTGCCATTCTACATGCTTCTCGCCGTATCTACACCGAATCCCGAGCGTGTGTATATAATATAAAAAAAGGACAATAAAGCAGTCTACAAAAAATTGCACTAATATATATTCCCTTCGCCTTGTTGTGGCTAAGCAAAGAACGAAAAACAACAAGTGCCATGAACAATTGATCAAAATCAGTTTTGGGGTGAGATGTCCGAATATCTATCCCCCATATGACAAAACAACAGAAAAAAACAGTGTGTTGCGTTATAAAAACAAAAAAAGAAAAAAAAAAGCAGTGAGAGTTCCTTTTCCCGAAGCTTCTTTTGATATTCCTCTTCTTTGTTTCATTTCAATCCTTTTTTTCCCATCCTCATATATTTATATATCGATATTTTCCGTGTCTCCAAAGAGCAACAATTCTCTTAGAATACGCAAACCTCCTTTACTCCTTGTTCGGAGATTGCACGCTAGGAGATCGCATACTAGGAGATCGCACACTAGGAGATCGAATGGCTGGAGCTTGCAAAAACCCGCCATAATAAGAATCCAACCACGCCGCTGCTTGTTCGCCAGCCTCATCTACGTTCGTGTCCCAGCGGCCGACGGAGCCAACGTAGCCGTCGGGACGGACATTGACGATGGCGACCTCGCTGGGGCCGAGGCTTCCAAGCCACTTCTCCGTGCAGAAAGCGCCTCTCGTGTCCAGCTCGGGGACGTTGTCTAGATAGAATGTCCACCGGCTGTCTTGCAGCAGCGCTGGGAGGTCTGAGATTTCAATTTCAGACTTGGGCATGGTGGCTAGACGCATCATCAAGGTCAGCAAACGGTATTTCCTGTCACATCATTCAAAGAGGGGGGGAAGGGGAACCCACTGATCAAAGCAAAAGTAAACAAGTGGCTGACTACGGTATATCTCTCAGGTCGTGTGTACACATCTTCTGGCGCCGGGATCCTGGGCTGCTTCGCATAAGATGCGCTTGCGGCAGCAGACAGCTGGCTCACCAAAGACTTGGGTGTCGCAATGGAGCGGCAGAATGTCTCCAAGAATGGCCTTGCCTGTATTACATCCCACATAAGGAGGTAGATACGGAACTGGCCAAGCATGGGGATATCAAGCTGGACGTCCACCGGATTAGAATCGATGTATCGCGACACCTTGGCTGGGGGCAGGAGGCATCCCGGGCGAGCAGCACCCAGAATGGCCGAGTTGTCCTCTGGCCGGGTAATGTTGAGGGGGCTCTCGCTGTAGTCGGCGCCGATGCCAGAGATGAAGCGCACATTGGCTCTGAAGTTCTCGGCCATTTTGACGGCATCTCCTTCAGCAATCCGATTGGCATGCTCGTAGTCGAAGTTGACGAGATCTAGAGCAATCTTGCGGCGCTCTACCTCGTAACTCTCGAGCAGATTGGGTTTGGCCAGTCCACGGCACGCCAGGTTCAACTTCCACGAGAGATTCCACGAGTCGTGCATGGACGTATTCATGCCCTGTGCCGACTTGGGGGAGTGAGTGTGACTGGCATCTCCGGCAAGGAAGACTCTGGTATTGGTGTCGGTGAAGCGGCTGGCCACACGCTGGCCCACTTGGTATCGGCCGAACCATTCAATGTACTTCCAATCAATTTCAAAGGGAGCCATGATCTTGCGAGCCTGCTGCATAACGAACTTTTGGCCAAGCTCGCGGCGGTCAGCACGAGCGCTAGCCTTGAGCTCGATGTAGAAGCGCGTCATGTTACGCTCCCGAGGAACAATGAGAATCGAGCCGTGCTCCTCGGAGTAGACGAGAGTCTTGGACCAAATGTCAGGGAAGTTGGTGATGAGCTCGCCATCCAAGACACCCCAGATGTCTGGATGTGACATACCCACGGCCTCAACATCGGGCATGTTCTTGCGGACCTTGGAGTGCGCTCCATCGCCTGTTTGGGGGGGGGGTTCACATTAGCTAGATTCGCTACAATTTCAATTGATTTTGCTTACATCCGACAAGATAACTGGTCAGGATGGTCCTCTTATCCTGGTTGACATTGGTGTGACATCGAACCTGCACGGGTCCTGATTTGGGAACGAAATGGGATTCAAAGGCCGTGTTCCGGCGCACTTCCTTTCCGCGCTTCCTCAGGTCGTCGACGAATATGCCCTCAACCATGCCCTGGTGAACGAGCAGGATGTAGGGGTCCAGAACATCGATGACGGGAGGGTAATGCACCTCACGGCCCAGACGATGCAGAGGAGCGTCGGCTGTGCTGCGCCAAAAGGAGATGTCGAAGACTCTCACGCCACGCTGCAGCAGCGGATCAGCCAATCGCATCTGGCGGAATGTCTCAATTGATTTGGGCTGTAAGCCATCCGCTCTGGTTTATGATTTTCCTGTTAGAATAGAGAAGCTCTTGTCTTCAGAAAGAAGAGGAGTGGTGAGATGGAGCGAGGATAGATGAAAACATATGAAATAGAGAATGATTCGAAATTGACATCTTATAAAACCATGAAGTGAAGATATATCTTTGTAGGCATGAAATTTGGCACGACGAAAAGGGGAAGAAGGGGAACTTGGGCCGGGCCAAAGGATCAGGGCAAAACGGTGTATATTGAGAAGACATACCTGCCAACCGGCGTCTGATCTGCCCTGTCATCTACAACTTCAACATCAATGCCGTAGCGGGCGAGGTTCGCCGCCAGCATCAAGCCCGCAGGACCGGCGCCAACGACGCACACCTGGCATGTGGTGGGCGGCTCTGGAAGACTCCGGAGCAGGGCCAGAGGATCCGTGGCATCCTCATCGTCGACGGCGGTTTCAAAGTTTGACGGGCCTGGATCTGGCTCCTCGTCCATGTGGTTGGGACTCTGGTTCCGCGAGTTGGACGCAGGACTGACGACGCCCGGCGCCATGTTGACGGCAGACGACGAAGCGTCAGAAGCTGCGTTGGCCAGCGCGAAAGAGGCACTCTAATCCCTTCTCTTGTCCAGCCGTGTAGCTTATCGGCTGCAAGCAGAATCCAGCAGACTGCCGGAAAGACGAGCTCGCTCCACAGCCAGGGAGCCTGGTAGCTTTGCAATATCAGCGGCCGGTCAGCTGCAGGCTCGTCCAATGGCCTTTGCCTGTGTCCAAACCAGACGCTCAGCGCCGTGCCCGACAACAGCGGAAGCGATGGATAAGGCAGTTGTGCCCGTTTGCCTCAGCGCCTCAAGAGCAGCGAGTCGTCTCCACCACACCTCGTGTGCTGCAGCGCAACTGCAACCGCAACGCAATACAGGGCTCTTTTAGAATCTTCTGGGCGTCAGGTCTGCTCGGTTCTGGCAGACACAATGCCGTTTGAAAGAAGGAAATAGCGATATACGGCACAGGCGTTGTTGGGCCTGTGTTGTTTTGCTCCTCGGCTTTTGCCCCCCTGGCTGCGACGAATTGGATGGATACCGGGGCCTGGATCGGGGTCCTAGGGCCAGACACTCAAGAAACTCAGGATGATGCGACAATGCACAGAAACGCAGCTAGATGGAAAAGAAGAAGAGAAGCCAGCAGCAATCAGGTGTAAGAAGCGATGGAGAGCGAGTCGCTGGAGAGACAAAAGCAGTCACCCGGGATCCGCCTCTGTTCTGGTGGCAGCGCAACACAGTCGATCTCAAAGGCGTGTCACGCGGCGCCGTAGCAGACACAATCCCAATATAGCACTGGCAGCTCTGAGCCCATTGCCCTCGAGGAGTGAAAAAAGCTTCGTCCCCTCTGGTTTTCTATTCCCTTCTTCACTAACACCGCTAGGCCGGAGGCATCAGAAGGTCGCCCAGGGCTGCTCTGGGGGGGGAAATTGGCCATAAATAACGGCCCTGGAGCAGGTACCCGCGACTCGTGCAGGCCGGGCAGAGGCTCAGGCGCTGTGCTCGGCCCTCGTACCAGCTACATGGCCCCGAGCACAACGATACAACAATACGATGCCTGTAAGGGTTTGGCTGCCACCGGGTGCAGCAGTCGGGGAGGCTGACGGAAGGAGCGACACAGCAGCGCCTGGCCCCGGCAAAGCCCGACGCACGCACGGCAAAAGTGGCATGACAGACGGACGTGCTGGACTGGTGTTGAGAGCGAGATCAGCCCATTTTGCGCTGCAGAAAGTTGTCATTGGCGTTGCACCATGTCCAGGCGCCTGCTTACCGATGGCCTAGCCTCAGCTTGCGCGCCGCTGATTGGCCGCCGCACCCGCCTCGGACAAGGCAAGTGGTGCCATTTCGCAACTGGCCGCGCTTGCTCCAGAACGCTGCGGCTCCACTGTGCTCCATCCATCCAGCAGAGGGAAAAAAAAGGATGTTCGGATCTGTTTGAGATTGCAGAGAGGAGAGCTGTGCAAAGCAAGCCCCGTGCTCGCTCCAAACTCTGCGACGCTCTCGAACACGGTCTGTGGATGATTACTTGAAAGACTTGCTTGATTGGCATGTAAAGGTAGGCTCTATGTACTTGGGTAAGGCTCTTCCACACTTTGCAATACTATATAGCCACCGGGTCCTTTCATTCCAGCATCACTTATTGGGATTGTCCTGTTTTGGACGGTTCTTCCCTTCTTTCCTCAGGGTCTCCCTAGGGGTCCCAATCCCTCTCTCCTCGATCTGCGCTGAGTTAGCAGGCTCCGTTTTTTTTTAGAAGCAGCAAGTGATGAAAAGTGGCATGAGCAGAAGCCCAAAAGTACGGGGTACCAAGTATTTGCGCCATGCCGCTTGACTTGGTCAACCCGCCGAGTCGTATGTAGCTCTCTTTAGCTTTTGGAACGGACATGGGCCCCGGCACAGCCTTAGCAAAAGAGGAAAAAATTGATTGGGAAAGATAAACGACTAAAAAAAGAAAAGAAAACTTGGAAAAAGACGCCACAACCGCAAACATGCTTTTTGCAATTGACATACTCCGAGCTAGCAGCTACTAGATAATCGATAGTACCTGCAAATGAGGCTCGTCGAAGCGGCCAATCCCACACGCCTCGTGGCCCATATATGATACTAGTAGGTGCCTATGATATGCGCTCTCATGCTTGCACCCGTAGCATCCCGCATCGCTACTAGTATCTCGTCTTATCGGTGCGAAACATACCCGCTTGGTAGTCGTATTGCACCAAGCATTGGACGCGCCATGGCGATCTGCCGGCCAGGATGGAATGCCCCGGCTCGATTCTGACTCGCTGTCACATAAAACCTGGCATTTCTGATAGATGCGATGGTACTTGTTGGTAGTAAGTACTAACCTCAGCATTGGTTCAGGATCCATTCACAAAGTATAAAGGCCCCGAGGATGAAATGATGTTAGCACAATCATCCTCACGGTGCAGTCAACATCCCCGCGATTGGACTTGAACTTCAGCCGGCGCTGGAAAGCGGAGGTGCAGCTTGTCCAGCTTCAACCTTAGCACAGAGCTACACCCTCGTATATAAGACAGCATCTGCCAATGAACCACGAGGCCGGCCACAAGGCGCAGATCCCTCCTCGCTCGCTGCCGTCAACATCGCCTGATCGCAGCAATTCCAAATCGTCAGCTCAGGCCACAGTCCAGGCTACTGCTCCATGGGGGAATATGTGGTTGGGTATCACGGCCCGAAAGTGCTGGTAACACACACGAGTTTGCGGAGATTTCCATGCCTCCGCCACGAGGCCAGCACTACTAGTAGTATCTGTCACTTCTTAAAACTATTAACGAGTAATAGTAATGCTACTGCTGCCCCGTACTCTGCAGGTTTGTATTACAAAGTGGTACTGCTAAAGCCCGCTAGCCTTTCATCTCTGGCCATTGTGGAACGAGTTTCAGGAGTTTAGAAACCCTACTTCTCCGGCCCTCTCCAATCAGCCCTGGCCGAATAGGTCTGATTCACTCAATTAGACTGCCAACAACACCAGGTTTTGGCCAGGCTTGTGACAACCAGCTTCCCCATTCAGGTCCCCGAGTCGGAGCTAACTGCTGCCGATGGACTCTACAGGAGCAGCAACTGCAGCTGCCTCATCGATTACCTGCCGCCCGTCAAAGTTCAACATACCGGTCTGGGCGTTGCTCCGGACCCGAAACGAATACCAATCCGGCTGGGACCGCAACGAGGGCCATATCCCTCCGGTTTCTGGCAGAATGATCTGACCGCTGCGGCCGCTCAGGATCTGCTTGACTACTGCCTCGGCAATGGACTCTGGCTCTTGATGCGGCATCAGGAAAGGCGCCCCCTGTTTAAAGCCGGTGAAGAGCTCTGTGTTGGTCGCTCCAGGATGGACTATTACGGTGCGGACCCTGGGAGCGTTGTATCGAGTCTTCAACTCAGCTGATAGACCCTCATGGAATGCCAGGGCTGCAGCCTTGGTTGCGCCGTAGTCTACCATGTTGGGAATTGTAAGCCACGACGCATAAGACGCCATCGTGACTACCATACCGTGATTCTGGGCCACGATATGCGGTAAGAATGTTTGTGCAATCCAGTAATGGGCCAAGGCATTGACATCAAACGTAAATCTGACATCTGCTGGCGTGGCATCCAAAATAGTCTTGCCGCGGACGACACCGGCGTTGTTGATTATGATACTGGGGTGGCCGACTTGGCTTTTAACTTTCTCAGCAACAGCAGCCACGTTCTCTGGCGACCTGACGTCGCAATAGAAATGGTGGACTCTCGAAGCTGCAGAAACACGCCGTCAGCTCTATAATGCAATGCAGCTGAGGAGAGTACCTCGGCCCGGTTACGACAAGGCGACTAAGACTTACAGGCCGCATATGTCATCTTCTGGACATCCAACACCACGACCGTGACCTTCATCTCGTCCAAGAGCTTCACTATGGAGGCGCCGATGCCCGTCGAACCGCCTGTGATGAGCACGATTTCCTTTGTCCAGTCATACTTGTCGTTGACCCAGTTGTTCCGGACCTTGTCTGAGAGCCAGCGGCCGACTCCACGCGCCAGGGCGATGTAGAAGAGCTGGCGTAGCCATCGTGCTGCTTTGGGGTGCAGAATCGAGAGGTCCTGGCCCTTTTTGGTAAAGCGAGCGAGAAGAACCAGGGGTAGCAGCAGGTTCGGGTTGAGAACGGTTCTGCGGATGAGCTTCAGAACTACGTCTGCACAAAAGCCTTCACGAGGGAGGATGCCCTTGTGCATCGGCATGGTGATGGCGGATAGTAGCAAGGCTGATGGGAATACAGAGCTAATTGAAAAGTGAGTGGTGATGCTAACACGACCTGTCGATACGATGGCAGCGGTATAATGTGCTTAGTCAACGGCTGACGATGGTCTTTATTGGTGAATCTGGCGAATCTGGTGTAGAGCTGACAATTGTAAAACTGTGGTTGGTCAAGACGCGTCGCAAATGCCGTAAACACCCAACATCAATCGGCGATATGAAAAACACGAGAACATGCAGTAAAACCACGACAAGTACAATTTTTTTTGCGATTCAAGGTAAAACCGTTGCTTTGGCCTAGAATGGCTGCTCAAGGCCCATCTTATAACGGCGATCAACACGGCAGAACTAAAAGACCCTGGTCGTGAGTTGCGCCCATGTGCGTCTCATAGGCTGCAGTTGCCGAGGCTTCTGTTTCATCACAATGCGGGGAGCACCATGCGCATTGCAGACTATGGCAGTAATTTGATGTCGAAGGCGAATGGGCTCCAAGCGCCATGTATATATGTGTGAGTGAGTGAGTGAGAGTGTGTGTGTTCATCACAGAACCGAGCATCCTCTATACTCTATCCAGTGTCTTCCCCGCATGGCTATTTTGCAATGCGGGTAAAAGTAAAAGAGGCTGGAGACAGCAAAAAGTCGTAGCGCCATCGCAGCCACTATAAATGGTGGAGATGTAGTGTGTGTGGGAGAAACCTGGAGAATGGAGTGCGGTTGGCCGAAACCCCAATAGGTAATACTGCTATGCCGAGCGCTGTGCCGCGATAGGCCCTTGACGGAGATGTGTAATAGCGCAGTGGCCGACGGAGCACCAAATGCACTAACAGCGCTTTTCGCATCGTAAAATTTCCTAATGCGTTTGGCCGGCGGGAGACACGCCGCGTAACGACCCAGTTTGCCCAGAGACTCTAACAAAATCTCTGCGAAACAGCTCAGCAATTGGACATGGGAAATTTACCATTTGCGGATTCATTGATAATTAGTTTGCTGTTAGTCGGCATGACTCTTTTCGGAGGCCGGCGGTCCACGATATGGTGCTCCGGCAACGGGCCCGATATCAGAGCAACTTGCATAAATGAAGCCTGGGCGCCAACTCTGATTTTTAAACTTATAAAAGGATATGCTGCTACTGCAAACTACCATCTTGCATAGAGCGGGAAACCAACCGAGATATCACAATTAACGCACGTCACCAGCTGAGCATCGCATCTCATCGCATCTCGTCTCCGGAGACCACTAGCCGGACTCGTTAAAGAGTGGGGGAGGAAATCATCAACTAGGTGGGGGAAACTCTCTCTCAGAGGCCGTGCAATAGAAGGAACAAATAAAAACCAGTCCTGGTCCCTTTTCACACTCATTGGCCGCTATGAACTCCTCACGACTCTCTGTCCTGCTAAGGCAAACCGCATCAGCCCAGTCTCGGCTGCTGTCCTGCTCGTCACTTCATCGCCATGCCGTGCAGCGACGGGGCCTGAGCGCTGCGGCGGGCTCAAATGCCATCCGGGACCTTCTCCAGGTATCCAGCGAAGTGTCCGATGCCATTGCGCAGAACAAGCCCGTTGTTGCGCTGGAGTCAACCATTTATACTCACGGGGCTTTGGGCAAGGATCTCGCGCGGGAGCATGAGGACTTGGTGCGGAGCACGGGCGGCATCCCGGCCATTATTGCCATTGTGGACGGCGTGCCCAAAGTTGGTGTCTCGACGGATGAGATTATTCGCATGATTGAGGAAGAGGGCACGGTCAAGGCTTCACGGAGAGATATTTCCTACTTGGTCGGCATGGTAAGTTTTTGTTCTTCTGGTTAAAGCAAAATGAAAATAACTAATGATTTCTGCAGGGCCTCGCTGGACGCAAGATTCATGGTGGCACAACCATCGCTGGTACCATGCTGCTGGCTAGATTGGCCGGCATCCGAGTCTTTGGAACCGGTGGCCTTGGTGGTGTTCACCGCGGCGGCGAAAACTCAATGGACATCTCAGCCGATCTCACTGAGCTGGGCAGAACGCGAGTAGCCGTCGTCAGCAGTGGCTGCAAGGGATTCCTCGACATCCCTCGCACGTTGGAGTACCTCGAGACTCAGGGCTGCCTGGTGTCGACCTTTGCAGATGGACGCAGCGGCAAGATTGACTTCCCGGCATTTTGGGCGAGGGACAGCGGCGTCAAGAGCCCCTCGGTCACATACACCGAAAAGGAGGCTGCGGCCATGATCCTGGCCCAGGAGAAGCTCAACATCGAGTCGGGCATGCTCTTTGCCAATCCTATCCCTGAGGAATTTGGTGTCCCTGCCAAGGAAATGCAGGCTCACATCGAGCAGGCTGTCGCCGAAGCAGACCAGAAGGGCTTTACCGGCAGTGCCAACACCCCCTATATCCTAAACAGACTCAAGGAGCTCACTGGCGAGAGGGCAGTGATTGCCAACAAGAAACTGGTGCAGTCCAACATTGTTAGGGCGACCAACATCGCTGTGGAATTGTCACGCTTGCTGAGCCAGGGAACGAGCTCGTAAGTCATTTTTTTGTTTTTGGGAGCCTTTGTATTTGTACTTTGTATTTACGAAGATGGCTCTAATCGGTCTAGATAGAAATTCATCGAGTCATAGTGTGGCGTTTTCATCAAAAGTCGAGAATAAACCATCATCTCCAGTAAAAGCAAGCCCCAAAGCTGATATACTTGTTGCGGGGTCGGTCGCCGTGGACCTAAGCTGTGATTACACCAGCCTCAGCGGCGGCGATGGCCAGCCGAAAGCTCATACGTCTAACCCAGCCAGCATCAGCCAATCAATCGGTGGCGTCGGCCACAACGTTGCTCTGGCTGCTCATCGTGCAAGTCGTCAAGCTCAGGTCAAGTTCAGTAGCATGGTTGGCGATGACATGTAGGCGGAGTCTCTCACATTCAAGTTGATTCAAGATACAGCATCATGGCTGACATGCATATAGTGCAGGTGACACGGTTCTCTCGGCTTTGGAAGCCTCTGGACTTGACCCTACATACGTGAAGAAGCTTGACCGGACAGAGCACCCGGGGAGCCGAACTGCTCAATACGTCGCTATAAACGACTCTAGTAAGAACCTCGTCATGGCCATGGCAGATATGGGCATCTTCACACAGCACCTGTTCCCAGAAGACTGGAAATCAACCATCAAAGCGACAGATCCCAAGTGGCTTGTAGTGGACGGAAATTGGAGCCCCAAGGGAATCAGGACGTGGGTTCACTCGGCTAATGAGCACGGGAGCAAAGTCGCCTTTGAGCCTGTATCGGTGGAAAAATCCAAGAGTCTCTTCGGCCCACAGCGCGGAGTGCCACCGCTGGGCGTCTTTCCGCATCAGAGCGTCGATCTCTCTTCGCCAAACATCTACGAGCTTTCAGCCATGTACTCTGCGGCCAAGGACAACGGCTATCTCGACAGCGCAGAGTGGTTCGAAGTCATCGACTCATTCGGCATGGTCGGCGCCAGGGACAAGTTTGTTCGCCTCACATCGATGGAGCTGACTGACGCTGGCGTGCCGGTGCAGTCTATCCAGCTACTCCCTTATATCCCGACTTTGATCACAAAACTAGGATCAAAGGGCGTTCTGTTAACAACTATTCTTGGAAAGGACGACCCCCGGCTTCGAGACCGCGAGTCTGAAGAATTCATTCTGACACGGTCATTTAATGGGAACCCTGCAATTGGCGGCGTTTACATGCGGTTATTCCCACCGGTTGAAAAGGTAGAAACCGTTGTTTCTGTCAATGGCGTGGGCGATACGTTCCTCGGAGTCTTGATATCAGGTCTGGCTCAAGGAGGAAGAGTCGATAAGCTGGTTGATGTGGCTCAGCGAGGTGCGGTTTACTCGCTGAAGTGCGCAGAATCTGTGAGCAAGGAGGTTTCAAAGTTGGAGGGCGAGCTGGAAAAAGTTGCATTGTTGAAATAAGCGAGTTTTGTTTCGAAGCATCATAATAGTAATATACTCCAAACACGGCAAATCCTGTTCAATGAACTGTTAGGCGTAAGAATTGTTAAGAGTTGAATGATCCATGTACATGTAGCGAAGTACATTCAAGTCTCAGCCTTGCCAAAGAAAAGCTGCAAGTCGCCCCACCAACCCCACTTAGTCAAGCTCCCGTTCTGCAAGGCTGAGCTCCAGACCCAAAAAATTATTCTAGAGAAAAAAAAAAGGTGCCAAATTCTGCTGAGCAAACTATTAACAGCCATTCAGCACATTCGCATCGCGGATTTCACCAGAAAAAATGGCTCCGCCGCAGGACGAACCTTTCTCAGAGGACGAGCAGTCCGAAAGCCCCTACTCATCAGACATTGACTCCGACGATGCCACAACAACACAGAAGAAGCCCGTGATTGCGGTGCAAGACAAGGACTCTGACGAAGAAGACCTGGAACGATTGGTTTTCGGCAGCAAAGTCAGCTTCGGAGACAGTCTTTTCAAGAACAATGCGCTATTTGGAGCTTCGGACGAGAAGGATGGCAACGAATTGGTATTGGCCGATGAGGACGCCGCTGGACTGGAAGACGTCGACGATATGGACCTGTTCATGATCGACACTGCCCCCAGCGGTGCGGCGCCTCAGGCTTCGGCTACTGCGCCGGCGAAGAAGAAGGGCGAAGGCGAACGGGCAGCCTGGGAGGACAGCGATGACGACCGACTGGGAATCTCGCTCGCGAACCACACACGACTGCGAAAACTGCGACTGACCGAGGCCGAGGACGTCGTGAGCGGCACAGAGTACAGCAGAAGACTCCGACAGCGCTACCTCCAACTCCATCCCGTGCCTGCGTGGGCCAAGGAAGCGTCAGACGGTCGTCCTACGAAGAGGCGGCGGCGCTCATCCGCCTCCTCCGGCTCATCGGCCGAGAGCGGCAACGAGTCCGACAGCGAAGTGTCTGCCCAGCCATTGGAGGAGTTTTTGCGAGATGTCAGAAGCCTATCCGGCGCGGGCGGCCCTGCGAAGCGACGGCTTAGCCCAGAAGTCATTGATATCCAGCGAACGCGAGAAATCTCCGACAAGCACCTTGCGCCTGTGGAATGCCTGTCCTTCCACCCCGAGTACCCGGTCTTGCTGTCGGCCAGCACTGCCTCGGTGCTCTACTTACATCACATTGCGCCTGATGCTTATCCGGTGCCGAATCCGCGATTGACGTCTGTGCAAGTCAAGGGCGTCGACGTCAGGAAAGCCGAGTTCTTATACCCTGGCGGCGACAAGGTCTTTATCGGTGGGCGAAGAAAGTATTTCCACCATTGGGATCTCAAAACTGGCGTTGTGCAGAAGACGACGCAAATCCAGGGCCACCAGCTGGAGCACAAGACGATGGAGAGATTCAAGCTGAGCCCTTGCGGCAGATACATGGGCATTATAGGCTCGTCACGTAAAGGCGGCGGCATCGTCAACATTCTCAACGTCGGTTCTCTGCAGTGGATCGCCACGGCCAGACTGTCCAGCAGACACGGCATCGCAGACTTCGCCTGGTGGAGCACCGGAAACGGCATCACCGTCCTCGGAAAAGACGGCCAAGTCGGCGAATACAGCGTGGACAGCAGGAGCTTCGTCGGCATCTGGCGCGACGACGGCTGCGTTGGCGGCATCGTCATCGGCCTCGGCGGGCACCAGGGCCCCGACCTCATCGGCGAGGACCGCTGGGTGGCCATTGGCTCCAACTCGGGCATCACAAACATCTACGACCGAACCACGCTGCTCACCATGGACAGCGACAAGAACGTCACAGTCAAGGAGACGCCCACCCCGACTCGCGTGTTTGAGCAGCTCGTCACGCCCATCACCGTGCTGACCTTTTCCCCAGATGGCCAGCTCCTCGCATTCGGCAGCAGGGAGAAGAAGGATGCCCTGCGGCTGGTCCATCTGCCGAGCTGCACGGTGTACAGGAACTGGCCGACGGCGCAGACTCCACTGGGGAGAATAACGACGGTGGCGTTTGGAAGGGGGAGCGACTTGTTGGCGGTGGGTAATGACTCGGGCAAAATTAGAATGTGGGAGATTAGGAATTAGAGGATGATGGGTTTCTTCATCTTGTGAATATAAAATATAGAGCGGATTTGCTTGTTTCGTATAATTGAATGTTATGACGACCGATCGACGCTTAGTTTAAATGTCATATTTGTGAATGTATGTGTGAATATTTTCCATATTTTTGAAACAAAGTGACATTTGCCCCAAGTTCATGAACGCCTTTGCCTCGAGAGTCCTCTCCAGTGGTATACAGTAGCCTTTTTGCGTTGATCTCTCTCGTTAGATTTTCGGTATCTCATTTTTTCCTTCACGATATTTTTCCTTCAGATCCTCTGCTCGATTCTCCCTCGCTAAAAAAAGATAAACGCCGTAATATCTCGTTTGCATTGAGAAATATTTTTTCCTTAAACAAGCTCTGCATCTCCATACTCAACAAGGTCCTTTGCGCTCGACCACCTCATAATGAGAATATCGCCGCTCGCCCCCGGAAGAATGGTATCGACATCAGTGCCTCTGCCAAAGACGTCCTTGTCTCGTAATAAACGGATGAATACTGCCGTGTCCAAGTCAGGAGAATCAATCATGCTGACGTTGCCGGCCGTGTCGTTGAGGTTCTGCAGGCGCTGGGGGAATGAAGACAGGAAGGATGAGAGGTAGTGGTTGTGGAGGAGGGCTTGGTGTCTCGTGGCATATGCCAGTTCAGTGGGGGAGAGGCGCTGTCTTAGTTCTTCGGTTGATAGGTAGTGAAGAGTGTATTTATCAATCTTGTAAAAGGTGATGTTAGGTCTTTGCCACAGGTACTCTCTCATACATATCTTTTTTCATGTTTCATAACGCTTATGAAGGGCTGTAGGCTTGACTCACTTTTGCTATTCGTGTCCTTAGATAGCTCCTCACTAGGAATTTGTATCGTTCCAACTCAGTCTGGATGACAATGAGAGCAAAGTTGGTCTTGGGATCCATGTCCCCCGTCATATCCTCAATCTTTTCAATCTGAGATTTGATCTTGGAATTGACCCGCTCAAACAAGCCATCAGCAGGCCATCTAATATGACGAAAAGCAAAGCCATTCAATCAGTAAACAGATTCACAATCATTATATAATTTTGAGTAATAAGAGCACAGGCGATAAATGGCTAGAAAAACTCACTTGAGCAGCTCTGGAGCTGATCTCTCAGCAACCCAAAGGCGCGTCAGAGCCTGCAGGTCGCGAGTTTCAAGGGGGATGCCGTGGGAGGAGGGATCGACCTCTCGGAGGATATCGTCGATATCCATGCTGAGAGGCTGGTGTCCAGGGGTTCTCGGTCTGTGTCTCTATCTCTCGGTCATGGGGCTGATACGCTGGCGAGATTCAGTGGAGGGATCTTGAAGTAAAGCCCGATTTGGCTTGCTTCGTTAGCAGTGGTGGCGGCCCAGCTTTTCTGCAGACTGGGCTTTGCGGTGGGGTCTTGTGTAATGTCCAGATTCAGCACGCAGATGGTCAGTGCAAATATTGTGTTAGTGGCAGCTCGCTGTAAGTTGGCGCAATAGCCCGCTATAGTGGAAGACGTTCAGTGCCTAGATTCTGATTGGCGATAGTGCAGCTAACAGCCATAATGCGGCTACGGTTATTTTCTTCGATCCAGTTCACATTAAGCCTCTCACTATTGCCAACGAACAGAGGCGGGGGAGACGTTCAAGTACATGTACCTTCTACAGTTACTAGTTAAGCTTCCGCTATTAAAAGCTGCCAGTTGATTGAGACTTGCAATTAATTCTGCAAGACGATAGCTGCCTCTTAAAACCAGACGTTATTCGCATGGCATTGGGCATTTGGTATACATTATCATTACATTCTTCATTGTTATTTTTTTGTATTGAATTGTTTTTAATCACATGTACTTGTATCTGAAGTCCATAACTCAACTTACATAGTGTGAGCTGCGGTTGACAATGCTCGATAGAAGCATATGTTCTGGCATTCGTGCGTCCCAGAATGTTCAAGTTTGCTAAGCTCGAGTTCGGCGACTTTTCCCCATTTTCTCGGCGATTATTCTACTTACAGACATCTATCTGTGCAACTTGTCAGCCGGCTGATTTTGTATCAGGCGAGTTGCGCCAGAATGTTGGCAGTGGTGGGATGATGCATAGCAACCTGTTGGGCCGAGGCAACTCTTCAAGTCCCCGCGATGGCGCCTCTTATAAAGCGAGATGTGCTCTCCAACCAATGATGGGGGTTATTTCCGACCTCACAACCACTGAAGACCATTGACGAACTTTGTTTCCGTTTTCTCTCACATCGACTTATGCTCAATTAATACATCTATTTCATAACTAATTCCTATCAAATCATACAATAGTCCCCAGCAACAATGGCAGACCAAGACGGCGATGGTCCTCAGCCCTATGCTGCATATCTCCGGACTGTTATCCAAAAGGGCCTCTTAGCCGGCGAGCTGCCCGTCGTGACAACGGATCCAAACCAGCTCCAAGAGCAGGCCCGGAAGGCGATGCCCAAGGCCGGGTTTGACTACATCTTGGGCGGAGCCGGTGAGGCGGCAACAATGGACGCCAACCGTCTTGCTTTCCGCCAGTGGAAAATCATTCCCCGCGTCTTGAAGCCCACAACGCCTCGCGATCTAAGTGTCACTCTTTTTGGCCAGAAATATGGTACGTAAAGTTGTAACATCTGGAAACTCCTCTTTTATTTACTATAATTCGTAAAATGACTTGAACTCAAACCCATGTTCGCAAGCTAACTTGCAACAGACGTTCCCATTCTCATGGCACCCATTGGCGTCCAATCGTTGTTCCATCAGGACAAGGAGATTGGCGTTGCTCAAGCTTGTGCCGAATTACGCGTTCCCTTCACCTTGAGCACAGTTTCGCAATCCACATTTGAAGAAGTTGCCGCCGCAGCACCAGGGTCACCAAAGTGGTTTCAATTATACTGGCCCAGCGACGAGGAACTCACAGCCTCACTTCTCAAGAGAGCCAAGGATAACGGCTACACGGCGCTCGTGGTAACTCTTGATACTTGGACTCTTGCTTGGAGGCCGACTGACCTCGATACTGCCAATGTTCCTTTCCTCGTGGGCGTGGGAGACGCAAACGGCTTTTCGGATCCAGTCTTTAGGCGTAAATTTGCCGAGATGAGCGATGGTGGCACTCCCGAAGACAATCTGGTGCAGGCTGCAATGTACTGGATCGGCAACACTTTCCCCGGAGTCTCTCGCTCCTGGGAAGACCTCAAGATCCTAAAGAAGCACTGGGATGGACCCATCATCCTCAAGGGCATCCTCAGCGTCGAAGACGCCATCTTGGCGGCCGAGCATGGTATGGATGGAATTGTCGTGAGCAATCATGGCGGCAGGCAGATTGATGGCGCCATCGGGACTTTGGACGTCCTTCCCGAAATCGTCGACGCTGTTGGCAGCAAGTTGACCGTCATGATGGACTCTGGCATCCGAACTGGCGCCGATATTCTCAAGGCCCTGGCGCTTGGAGCCAAGGCAGTCTTTGTTGGGCGACCTGTGGTTTATGGGCTGGGTATCAACGGTAAAGAGGGTGCTGAAGCGGTCTTGGCAGGGTTGCTGGCTGATCTCGATTTAACAATGGGATTTACCGGAGTTCAGAACATTGGGGAGTTGAATCAATCGATTTTGCGTAAGATTCAGCACGCTGGGGATATCAAATCAAGTCTCTGAGTGTTGGATCATGCATAGAGCTGGAAGTAGAAGCACTTGTATGTATGTATATAACAGTAGAAACTGGTTTATAGCTAGCTCAGCGTTAGGTATACAGGTAACAGATATGCTTAGTCAAGGAATAGTCAGATATTTACTGACATCACTTATTCAGAGTTTTCATAGAGAACTTTCTCGTGTACAAGTAATACATTTTTCCCTTTGCTATCCTTGGAGCTCCTCGGTCTTTTATTTGTAAGTCGGAAACATGCTATTATCTTCAGTGTAAGTCCATTGAAATGCGCGACATGGAGACAAGAATGAAACAAGAGTTGATAATTTTGGACAGTGAAATTGATTTATTAAATGAAGAAATATTACGTATTTCACAATGATGTAGTCGTGTAGAAGAGCTATCCCATCGTGAGACAGGCCATTTGCGAATACAGTGCGAATTGTACAAGATTCTCGTAAGGCTACAGCTCGCAGCTAATGCTCAAAGCTAATTCGCCAGCTTTATCGTAGCTCCTGCAACACGGTCAGCCTTCTCAGCCGCGACAAGCCATTCTTCTCGAGCTTCGACGGCATTACCTCTTCAATTGATTGAGATTCTCCCGAAATTTACTAGTCTGCCAAAGCCATGGCGGACGCTGCAGCTGAAGATGACAGCCGCGCGCAGAAACGCAGCCATGCAGAGTATGCACAGCAGGATGATTCAGGTACGAAGGCTCGTCCGTTTGGATTTAACAAGCATTGTACGGGGGGCTAACGGCGTGTTTTTGGAATAGATTCTTCATCCGACGATGATATGGGACCGCAGCTTCCCACCGAGGCCCCTAAGAAAAAGCGCCGCGTCCTGCCTTACGAAAAGCTATACATCTCTGCGCTACCCAAGTCCGCTCGATATTCGAAGTCATTGATGCACAAGGAGCAGGTGCTCTTCACTACATGGACCCCTCTGACCGAGTTCCTAATAACATCGTCTACCGATGGCGTTGTCAAGTTCTGGAAGAAGATTGGAGAAGGCATTGAATTTGTGAAGCAGTTCAAGGCGCACAATGGCATGATCACGTCAGTCTCGGTCAGTCGAGACGGACGAAGCTTTGCAACCGCCGGCGACGACGAAACGATCAAGATTTTCGACGTCATCACGTTTGACCTGCTTTCGATGATTACCTTGAAATATGTACCCAAGTGCGTCTGCTGGGTTCACAAAAAGGGAGCCTCGTTTCCTCTATTAGCTGTGTCGGAGGAAGCCAAGCCATTGATCCACCTGTACGACGGCCGCGGTGAACGAGAAGACGCGATTCATACCATCAAAGGCTTGCATAGAAGCCCGGTACATCTAATGGCGTATAATGACGAGTACGACTGCGTTGTCTCAGCGGACGAGAACGGCATGATCGAATACTGGCAGCCTAGCGACAACTACGAGAAGCCAAGCAGCGTCTTCGAGTACAAGAGCTCAACGAATCTTTTTGACTTCAAAAAGGCCAAGTCCGTACCAACATGCCTTACAATATCACCAAACGGGAAAAGCTTAGCCGCCTTCTCATTGCCAGATCGCAAAATTCGAATCTTTGACTTTGCATCGGCCAAATTGCAAAAAACTTACGATGAATCGCTCGAAGTGGCCGAGGATATGCAACGGTCGGGCATTTCGGCACAAAAGATTGACAATGTGGAGTTTGGTAGACGCTTGGCTCAAGAGCGAGAGATTGAATCACAGACTCTGAAAAATAAGTCGAATATCATATTTGACGAATCGGGGAACTTTATCCTCTATGGTACCATGGTTGGGATCAAAGTTCTTAACACATTTACAAACCAAGTCGTCAAAGTGTATGGCAAGGATGAAAACTTTCGTGCTGTGAATCTGGGCATGTACCAGGGGCAGCCACAGAAGAAGGGAATAGTGTCTGTGGAGATGGGTGCTTCAAGCAACCCTCTTCTACAAGAATCAGAAGCTCGGGATCCGATTCTTATCGCTACAGGTGTGGGCAAACTCCGATTCTACATGTTCACGAATGAAGAAGAGATTAGTAAGTCGACACGAGACGTTCAAAACGAGAAGCCCACTGTGCTAGGAGGCAAGGACAAAGCGCAAGCTGCCAAAAAGGCAGAAACAGGAAACGCTGCCATCCTGCATACTACATATGGTGATATTCATATTCGTCTATTCCCCGACGCTGCGCCCAAGGCGGTGGAGAACTTTGTTACACACGCAAAGCGCGGGTACTACAACAACACAATATTCCATCGTGTGATACGCAAGTTTATGATACAAGGAGGTGACCCCCTTGGCGATGGCACCGGCGGTGAGAGTATCTGGGGACGAGACTTTGAGGATGAGTTTAGCAGCTTGAAACACGACAAGCCGTACACAGTGAGCATGGCGAATGCAGGCCCGAATACGAATGCCAGTCAGTTCTTTATTACGACGGAGAAGACAGTGAGTTTATGACCTGAAATACAATGAGAAGAGATGGGAACGCTGACGCATTTTGTTTTTCTATAGCCGTGGTTGGATGGGAAGCACACAATTTTCGGGCGTGCGACGCAAGGCTTGGATGTGATTCATAAAATCGAGAATACGAGGACGCACAAGGAGAAACCGGAGGAAGATATCAAGATTCTCAACATTGATGTTATGTGAATGGGTAGGGCTAGAGCGAGCAGCGATTTTAGCTTGATCTTTTTCGAAGCAGGGATGATCTTGTATATATGTGCGTCTCGATAGAGAATATGAATGATACCAAAAATAGCATCAGCATATATAGAGTACACTTGGCGAAGTTTTCTTGGGTGATAGCCACTGATTACAAAGTATCTCAGGTTCTCAATATACCTAGGTATGGATAGATTGGACTACCTACTTGTGCCACAAGGGCATGGAGCACCGACGTCGGCCCCTGGATCCAAGTGTGAGTAATTGAAGCACCGAAATTTTAGTGCAAGCGCCGGTGCAAGCTCGCTGAGAGAAACAGAGCTCCATACAATTTGACAATTTGACATGTGGGTGGGCGTTGGAGCTTTTAGTGCATGTATGCAAGTGACACAGAAGCCCTTGCATGGACTTTCCAGTAGACTAACAATTTGCAAACAATTGTCAATTTCCTCTTTTCTCCCTTTTCACATCTATTTTATACCCATTGGCTCCTTTGAGATACAAAGAGTCGAAGAAAAATTGGGAGTTTATTGACATTAGTATTCTTCTTCCATCTCCCAATTGAGCCATCAGCCTGTCAATCGCCTGCTATTGACGTCACTTGGCATTCCGCAGCCTTTTTTTTCTTCCTCTTTTACCAATCCAAATTCTACATTCCTAAATACCCTTTGTTCCTCCTCTTTCGACTCATTTGCCCAATTCTTGCCCAGGAGCAATTGTTCATCATGTCTACCGTACGTGTGCTCTCTTACAGCAGGCATCATCCATTGCCAGCTTTGGTTGCTTGAGTGGAGTGACTCACTAAATTGCCCCTCCAGTTCTACATCGAGAACAAAAACGTCGGCAACCAGGCCGACTCAGAAGATTGGCGAAGTATGTTTTCTGTCAATGCTCCATATATGATTCAGGGATCATTGTTTGCTAACTGAATCGCCTTTGTCTGAATTAGTTCGCGGCTACAATCCTCTAACACCGCCCGACCTGCTACAACATGAGATTCCACAGACAGCCGAGTCTAAAAAGGCAGTCATTGACGGCCGCAATGAGGCTGTAGCCATCGTCAATGGCAAGGACCCCAAGCACCGATTGCTCATTGTCGTGGGCCCCTGTTCGATCCATGACCCTGAAGCTGCTCTCGCCTACTGCGATCTGCTGCTCAAGGCCAAAGAGAAGCATAAAGACGAGCTGCTCATCGTGATGCGCTCGTACCTTGAGAAGCCTCGCACCACGGTCGGTTGGAAGGGTCTCATCAACGACCCAGATATTGATGGCAGCTTCAAAATCAACAAGGGACTGCGATTGTCGCGCCAGCTCTTTGTCGATCTGACTAGCAAGGGCATGCCTATTGCAAGCGAGATGCTGGATACCATCTCTCCTCAGTTCCTCGCTGATTTGCTCAGTGTTGGTGCCATTGGTGCGCGCACAACGGAGAGCCAGCTGCACCGTGAATTGGCAAGTGGTCTGAGTTTCCCTGTAGGCTTTAAGAACGGAACCGATGGCTCTCTTGGTGTCGCCATCGATGCCATGGGCGCTGTCAAGCACCCCCACCACTTCCTTTCCGTCACCAAGCCCGGTGTTGTCGCCATTGTTGGTACAACGGGTAACGATGACTGCTTCGTCATTCTGCGAGGTGGCACCAAGGGCACCAACTACGATGCCGAGAGTATCGCCGACGCCAAAGCCGCTCTGGACAAGAAGGGAGCGCCTCCCAGGTTGATGGTCGACTGCAGCCACGGCAACTCTCTAAAGAACCACAAGAACCAGCCCAAGGTTGCGAGCGTAGTGGCTGAGCAGGTGGCCAAGGGCGAGACTGCCATCATGGGGCTTATGATTGAGAGCAACATTGATGAAGGTGGGTCATAGAAATATGCTTTCTATCTACGCAACTTTACTAACATGGCTGAATAGGCAACCAAAAGGTCCCGGAGGAGGGCAAATCCGGGCTCAAGTACGGCGTCAGTATTACAGATGCATGCATCAACTGGGCGGATACCGAGGAGGTACTTGACAATCTGGCTGAGTCTGTCAAGCAGAGAAGAAAAGTCTTGGGAGTAGAGATCTAAGAAGCCTGAAGCGCAAGGTTTCAATATGATACTCCACAAAAAAACCAATTGGCTATCTGCCACCATGATACCATGATACCTATACTATTTGGAATTGCTGGCTTTGTGCGAGCTTGACGTACTGGATTCCCCCTTTTTTTTTCTTATCTGCTGCTGTGCTTTAAAGAGAGCCAGATATGGGTTGCATTTATTTTGCTCTCTCCGGGCGTGTACGTATAGGATTAGCAAAAAGTTTTTAAAGTAGGAGTTCTTCCAGGCATACATGTAGGTATGGAAGCCAGGTCAGACATGAAAAGATGTTTTGGTCTTTGGCTTTTCAAAAAGCGTAACAAAGAAAACTAAATTCAAGGTATGGTGAAAAACGCAATGAATGCGGAAAGAAAGTAAAGTGTATGGATAACGCCAATTTGATGTTCTTGAAGCCATCACCGCATTCCACGTCAAGAGGCTGCGCACCACCAGAGCAAGGTTGACACTGTGCGACATTCTCGCAGCCAGCAAAAGCCCCTGCTTCAGCCAGCTTTAACACAGTACGGAAGTAAGACTGGCCACTCTTGGCGAGCAAGCGCAACTTAAGGCAATTTTCCGACGACGCAGGATCAAAGCCTCCCACGCTCTTTATTTCTATCCTCGCCTCAAAACACCAATCGATCGCCGATTCTCGCAAGGGCATCGCGCAATTCCTTCTCTTTGCTTTCAAGGCATTTGAGTACCTTTATCAATCGTTTTTCTCTTATCCCTCTGCCGTCGCTTTTGATAGCATCTTTCCGATAAGCTTCGCCTCGTACGCGACTTGCATCTTCACCAACACAGCGACGCGCGAATTGACGACGACCATGGCGCCCTACTCGCCGCCGGACTCGCCGTTATCATCAGCGATGGAGTCTTCGTACGAAGAAGACATCCACGATGAAGAGACGATGCTGCGGCCGTCCAAACGCCAAAAGGTCGAGGCTGGCTCGACGACTTCCTCTGCCGTCATCCCCGACCCCGAACACGAGCCTGTCCTAGAAGCCGATGCGCTCGAGGGCATGTCAGATATATCGTCGGACACGTCAGGCGATATCCCCAGCTCTCCCGTCAACGCCAGGCTCGAAGAGGAGGATTTCCAGGATCAGGTGACGGTTTGCGACTGGGACGGCTGTCCCGCAGGAGATCAGGGCAACATGGACAAGCTGGTCGAGCACATCCACAACTCACACATTGAGAACCGTCAGAAGAAATACACGTGCGAGTGGCGCAGCTGCAATCGCAAGGGGTTGCCTCATGCCAGTGGCTACGCCTTGAAGGCTCACATGCGAAGCCATACGAGAGAGAAGCCGTTCTACTGCTATCTACCAGGTAGGTCCCTTTGGCGATAACTACTCCATCATTTGAATTTAGACTTTGCCTCTATGATTGATCAAACATGCTGACCATTTGCCCAACAGAGTGCGACCGTTCCTTTACTAGATCCGATGCGCTTGCTAAACACATGCGAACCGTCCACGAAACCGAGGCTCTTCGACCATCTGATCCGGTACCGAAATCTATGCAATCCGGGCCAACGGGTCGGACTGGAAAGCTCAAAATCATCATCAAAACGCCCCAATCACAATCTGCGGGACAAGACGACGGAGACGATGCCAACGGCGATGTTCCCCCATCGGAATGCTTCACAGTACTCCCGTCCGATCTGTTCACCGAAGCAGAGCTCGATTTACCCCTTGACAAGCTATGGCGCAAGTGCCACTGGGAAGCAAAGTGGGCCGAGGAGGTGGGAGATGCGCTGAAGAGCGAGTGCAAGCAGTGGGAGGAGCTTTACTACAAGGAGTGGCTGGACAAGGAAGTCCTGTTGTCACACGTTATCAAGACCGAGGTGGAGTGGAGCGAGCGGCGCCAAGCTATCATCTCTGGCGCTGCCGATGTGCAGCTTCCCAGCAGCGCAGAAGAAAAGGAAAAGGATGAGGGCGTTACAAATGGAGTGGCTAAAGAAGCTCCCGTTGCGGCTACCAGCGAGGCATAGGAACCTAAACTTTCTTCCAGGAGAGTGGTTAGTCGTGATGATTGGGATGATTATCTAAAAAAATTCAGGCGGACATAGGGTGACGTGCAGCTTGGGATGCGGCTGGGAGTTCTGGGAGTTTCTACAAGAAGGGCGCTGAGATGCGCTTCGCTGGTCTTTGTTTTGCCCGGTCTATTTTCTTCTTTTCCTTCTTCTTTTCTGTGTGTTTTGATGCTTCTAGATACTACTTTTGGGTTCACAAGTTGTTTTTTTTTATTCTTTTGATCTCAGCTTTAGAAGTCCCTGTTAAGATAATTCAAATGGCGGCCTCTATGAAGCTGGTGTGGAGGTGTTTTCGTGTTTGATCTTTTTTGGGGCTTCAATGATGTAAGATAGAGTAATGAGATTGGCAAAAATCGTTTATGATTTGAAGGGTTGGCTTCTCTACTAAAAACAATAATATCCTTAATTACTGTTTTAATTCAATTATTTCTTTATTATCGATGTTCATTTTTGTCACAAGCACAGCGCTCTCCATACTCATATGGCACCAGCTCAACTTCTTAATGCAGGCACTAGTAGACAAACGCAGCTCCTCGGCGGGGGTTATTTCCATCATTACCAACCAAGCTCGCCGCCGATTTCGCATCCCCACTCTTAAGTCTTCAATCGCCTACGACTTCAGTGCGTAGATTTGAAATCCTCGGCTTTTTATTTGCGCAATGAACATTATATATGCGAACGGCCTAGGATTAAAATACATTGTAACGGAGAACGTGCTTTATTGATTCTCTTTTTCTTCTCAATCAGCTTCTCATTATCCTTTTGCTGGTCGCTGTGATCCGACTTTTGGACAGTACCTTGTCTATTAACACGTGCCTTATCAAGATTAAGTGCGCCACGGATCGCAAAACTCGCCACTCGGAAGATACGCCGCCGGGCAAAATACGTCTTTGTCTCTTGACAACTCAACAAACTTGCAACTGAGCTGCGAACCAGATACGAAGACAAATAACATACAAGACATAACATCAACTCTCACTACTCTCATTGTCACGGAAAAAAAGTAAAGCAACACGGCATTGCCGTAAAACAGTTTGCACCATGAGTGCCATTCTCTCCGCCGACGACCTCAACGACTTCATCTCCCCCGGAGTCGCCTGCATCAAACCCGTCGAGACTCTCCCAGCTCTGCCAGCGCAGCAGTCCGCCAACGAATACGAAGTCGTCCTCGACGGCCAGCATCCCTCTTCTTCTTCGGCCAATGGTGCCTCGCCCGCGCAAATCTCTCTCACAGACTGCCTCGCCTGCTCAGGCTGCGTCACATCCGCAGAGGCCATCCTCGTCAGCCTGCAGAGCCACAGTGAAGTGATTTCAACGCTCGATGCGGCTCCAGCGCTGCGCGTGGTGGGACCAGATGCGCAGGGAAATTTCAAGGTCGAGGGCCTTGAGAACGAAGATGCGAAGCTGTTTGTCGCGAGTGTAAGCTCCCAGACAAGGGCGAACCTGGCTGCTGCGTGCGGGCGAGATGTGTCTGAGAGCCAGGCTGGACATATGCTGGAGAATCTATTACGAAGTCCAGAGGGGCTTGCAAAAGGAGGAAAATGGAGCAATTCTTTCGAATGGGTAGTTGATATCAACGTGGCGCGAGATGCGACGCTCGCGCTTGGTACAGCCGAAGTCCTTTCAACACCCACGCCAGGCGTCTCGGCGCCCTCAACGCCAATCCTCTCATCGTCGTGTCCCGGCTGGGTGTGCTATGCAGAAAAGACTCATCCGTACGTGCTACCGCATTTATCCAAAGTCAAGTCGCCACAAGCCCTCATGGGTACCATCCTGAAAACAACCTTGAGCCGAAAGCTGGGCATCCCACCCAGTAGAATATGGCATGTAGCTGTCATGCCTTGCTTTGACAAGAAGCTAGAGGCCAGTCGAGAGGAGCTCACCGACGAAGTATGGGCGCGCTCAGGGTTGCCTGGAAGAGGAGTTCGGGACGTCGACTGCGTCATCACGAGCAAGGAGGTTTTGATGCTCGCAGAGTCACGAGGCCTCAGTTTCTTTGATTTTCCAAAGTCGGCATCATCTGTCCCGCCATCAATATTCTTCCCAGACGATAAAGTTCACGCTTTCTTGTTTCCAAAGAAGGGTTCAAGAAACCCCTCGCGAATTGCTGGTTCTTCTGGCGGGCTATTACACCACATTCTCCAAACCAAAGCTGCTCAGACCCCAGGCTCAGAGATTCAAATCAACCGAGGCCGTAACGTCGATGTGGTTGAATACACCGTCACAGTAAACGGCGAGCCTATTTTCAAGGCCGCTAGATACTATGGCTTCAGGAATATCCAAAACCTTGTCAGACGTCTGAAGCCAGCTCGTCCTTCTCGCATGCCCGGCGGAAAGCCCTTTGGGAGTGCCCGCCGCCCAGCAGGAAAGGCAGCCTCTCTCGATTTCAGTTTCGTCGAAGTCATGGCATGCCCTGGAGGCTGCACCAATGGCGGTGGCCAAATCAAGATTGACGATGCCGTAATCCTAGAAAGAAAAAACATCTCAGGAAAGCCAGGTCCACAGGAGCAGAAGGATTGGCTGGCAGAGATTGACGAAGCATATTTCTCGGGCGAAGATTCGCGGTCTAGGCTCGATGGCGGCAGCCCTGAGAATACTGGCGGAGGCGTTTCCCACTCATATATAGATGATACCCTGGCGTATTGGTCCAGCATGACAGGCATAGGATTGGATAGACTGGCATTCACGAGCTATCGTGAAGTGATTAGCGATGTTGGAAAGGGTTCGGCCACCGAGAGTGCCGCCCATTTAGCTGGCAAAGCTGGCGGCGGCTGGTAGATGGCTTCCAGTAGATAGAAAGTAGAAGCGCAACCGCGCACAATGATATCAAAATTCAAGTGGCTCTGTTGCCACGCTGTGCAAAACCAAATCCCCCTCTACCACTTCCGTCCGGTCCTCTTGGCGCCCGAATTGCTTGATGCTCGTCTCGACCAGCCTGTCCCCGCATAGAAGAATCGCTGCCGCTGCCTTCACGGCCGCCCCGTCTGAGTGAATCTGGTCTCGGGGCCGAGCTGGGGTCGAACAGCTCTCTCCGGGAGCCAGGTTGATTCGCAGGCCGCCGAGGCTCAAACTGCTGGCTGCTGCTCTCGCTGCTGACATTGCTGCTGTTATAGTTGTAGCCACTGTTGTTGCTGCTGTTGTTATTGTTATAACCGCCTCCCCGCCCCCTTCCACGACCGCGGAACGCCCCTCGCCCGTCCTGCCTAGGAGGCGTAACAGTGCCCGTACCCGGCGACGATCCGCGCGACGAAGGGGCCGACTCGCCAAAGATCTTGGCCCTGGCCTCATCGTAGCGCCGCTGCTTCTCCTCGCGATCTCTCTTCTGCTTTGCGCGGATTTCGTCCGGTGTCATCTGCACTACCGGCGCCCCGGAGGCATCGTCATCGTCATCGAGCGACAATTGAGACAGGCCGGTGACTGGATCTTTCTTGGCGATGGCGGGCTTGCGGCTGAGGACTTTGACTTGGGGTTTGAACGCCGTGGTGAGAGGGACGCCGCCGCCGGCAGCTTCGACGTAGTGGAATGTCTCTTTCGAATCGCTGTTTTACCCGTAAAGAGCAAGAAAGAGGATTGTCAGCCAACAGAGAATATTAAAAGGTCTATCGAGAGCTTTCTCCATACGCTGATTCCCATAATTTCCGGTTTGCTTCGGCGTGCTGCTGCAGCCGCTGTTGTCTGTTGAGGTTGGGCTGCGGCGCGGCCTGGGACTGTTTGCTCTCGCTTCTGTCCGCCTGGGTCTCCCAGTCGTCGTCGTCCCAGGCATTGGGGACACCACCGGCTCTGCTCATCTTGAAATCCTGGGGCTGGGAGTGCTTAATGGAAGAGACAAAGAGAAAAGGGTGGTTCGAGCCGAGGGAGGTTTGATATTTATATTAAGCTCTCTTGTCTCTTGCTGCTATCACCGAGCCCTAGCCGAAAAGAAGCAGCCGTCGCAGAGCAGTTCCAATGTCCCGTCTCGATATCGTTTGTATGTTTTGCAATCTCTTAGGCAGCCTGCATGCTCTTTTTGCAGCTCTATGAATGTGCGCATCAGTGGTCGTTGGCTGTAAGAAGTCCGTTTCGTCGGGGTTTTTCAGAGCGAGCTGGCCATTCGGCGCGAATGGGCTATAAAGTTCGATTCGTTTGTGTGTAGCTTTATTTTTTTCCTTGGACGCGCAGTACCTGCAGTATACCGAGGCTATTGATCGCCGTGAGCGCAAACTCCGTGGCATTAGCGTCCGGTAACAGGTATCTCCAGGTATCTATTTTCGGGCTTTGCTTCATGCTAGCTTTTGGGCTGCGGAGAGCATATTTCAGTGGGGCTGGCTTCCCTCCTACCTCTTTGCATTGTCGCTGCTGTTTTACGAACCTGAAGCTCGATAACCAATCCATACCCGCCGATTTCAGATTCTACTGAGGCTCGAGGCTCTTTTATACTATCAGGTATGTTTACAGATCATTCATTGAAGGCCATAAAAGAACCGACACGTTAACATGAGCTCTTACCAGTCCACTGCATTGCACTAAACTGCCCTCATGTCTGAACTATCTAATAGTGCGGCCGCCATTGTCGCCAACGCGACCAAGAAGCTTAGAGAAGAAGGCGAGGTTGCTAAGAGTCGTCTTTTGGATCAGCAATTTCATATCAGTAAGTCTTTTATCTATTCACCTCTTGTGTGTCCACCTCACATGTATTTTCGTAGCACTAACCGGAGCCATCCGCTTGTGTGTAGGTCGTTATGCAGACCCCTTGGTTCCACGGAAGACGTCAGACCCTCAGTTTTGGCCAAAGGATGTGACTCTAGAAATGGAACAAAGATGGCTGGCTATGATTAAGGAGCATCGGTCCGTTTAAGCTATGAGATTGGGTTTGGAGTCTGGTAGACAGACGGCCGGACAGACGGACTGACGGACAGGGGAGGATACTGATTCGCTAAGCTTGCATTTTACGATTAAATGATAATGAACGTCTCATTGGCCTGGAGCTATTCAACAGCTCGCTTCATTATTACTTTCGCCCAAATTACTGCCAGTGAAAACTATAATGCCAATGTAAGATAGACACGACCTCGGCCACGCTATTTTGCGTAAACTACTGGAGAAAAACAAGATGAGCATCCCCAGAAGTGAGCTGTTCTTATTCATCAGCAATACTAGACTGTATATATTACTACTAGTAATGAGGGCAAGACTCGAAAATCAACGGACAATATTCGGGATGTCTATTATGAGCGATTGTTGTGTCTAGTGTGCTCATCATCCTCGTCCTTAAAAAGGCGCCATCGCCATTGGGCTTGAAGCAGACTGGAGGTCTCTTTCATGCCCTCACTTTAGGAAGAAATTAAGCTTTCAGTAACAATGATCTATACTCTGATAAGGATCATATAGATAGCCAAGCGGTCTAACCATTAGACGATTCCACGAGATGTCATCAGTGGCAGGATGCACAACCACGATCTCACTTGTCAAACATGCTACAATACCGGGCGCTGGCTCCAAGACTCCAGTGAAAAGTGGACAAGTCCACAATAATGTGCGTTTGGCGAGACGACGAGGCTAGAAGAGGACTAGAAAATTCTGCTCGAGTTTAACGCCCAAGGCCACTTCGGCGCAAGAACGTTGTTGCACGTCAAGGAAGCCCACGGCTAGAATAACAGAAAAGTCTGGCGCCACCATCTAGCCTCAGCAACACGGCGATGACATAGGCACAGTGCGAGGCGCCTCATGCCGTGCTATGCCGTGCTCGCATACCGTGTGTTGTTCTACATGCGCATGTGCATCGCTGCTAGTTGCGCTTTGCGGAGATTGACAGCGGTGATGGCCATGGAAATGCCAATACTACATGCGTAGACATGCACAGAACTTGATCCCACGTCAGCTGATTTGCAGCGAGACGAGGCTGAGCTCTCTCCAAGAATTCATCCAATGTTTGAAGCCTCTTCTAGGCCCCTGCCGAAGGCTACTGTGCATGTAACCCTGCGTGCTTCCCCTCATTATTGGAGTTGACGGTGGCAAATGCATCTTCTTTTCTTTTTTACCCCTCTAATAAGCTGGGAACAGGCACCCGTGATAGAGTCTGGCGTTGTCCAGACCATCAGACATTTTGCCAGCTGGCCCGCTAGCGATTAATAAGGGAACAAAAGAAATGAAATTTGTGACCAATCATAACTTATATCGCACGACGGTGATGGTGGCGAGACTGAGTCGCGGTTGAGGGGGTGGCCAAGCACTGTATAGGCAGAAGTACTGGATGTTGCAGTGGTATCAGAGGGTTGCCCTGTCTTGCTTGAAGCCCAACAGCACGAAAGACACGATAGCGTGCTGAACACCATATTGGACGCCATAGACGGCACTGACAAGTTAGCAGCACACCCAAATCTCGGCTGTCTTGGTCAACTAGATTTTCGATAGTGGTTGTCTCGGTTGAATTGGTTGGGGGTGGCGGGAGGATGGAGGGATCAGTTCAACCGATTCTGGTGAAACCCCAAAAAGAATCCCAAGGACATGGGCCCATGGAAAGCCGTGGTACTTTCGGGCCACTGACTGGTCTGACAAAGGGCCAGGTGGCTAGCGTCACGATGCTCCCTTGCTTGTCTGCTTGATGCGGCTATGAGAACTGCACCCAAGGCAGTGATGGCCGAGTTGCACCAGATGGTGCTAGAGCAAGGCCTTTTGATGCTCTCTGGAGTGAGTGCTACCAGATATTGACGGCTACTGCTACAGTACTACTGCTGCGGCTTATAGCGGGTACGAGAGTGGCTTGGGGGTTCCGTGTTCTCACTGGGCCTGGATCTTGGACACCATAACCAGATTACCGGGACTAATGTTGCAGCTCTTGAGCAGCACGGCATCGGTCTTGTCTTGTCTTGACTTGACTCACACCGCCACCGCGTCCTTACCAGGAGAGCCGAAGCACTAGGTACTCATCCTCGAAACGACCAGAGACCTGACGACGGAGAATCTCTGTGTATAGGGGAGAAACGGCCAATACCAAGCATATCGCAGCCCCGCCTCACAGTATGTGCAAGTGCTGCGGCGATGGGGCATCTCCACTCGGTGAAGTGGAAGACGTGATGTCGCAGCAGAGCGGCAAATCACCGCATCAAGGGCTTGTGGCGCTGCGTTCCGCAGATGGCAAAAAGAGACGAAAAGGAAGAGTAGAAAGCAAGGCAAATATGACAAAACGCAAAGCAGCTGGATCTCCATAGCTGCCTAGGATGAAGGATTTCCCCTCTTGTCTCGGGAGACGCGGTAATAATGCGCCTCCAAAACTTTGACGGGCGGCGATGCTTGATTCGCTGTGCGGCTGGCCAAGATCTCGGAAACAAAACCCTGTCAAGTTTAGCCACCGCCCTACTGACAGCCGAGCCGGCGGTCGATTCGCTTCCACGGCGTCCACGTTCCATCGCCAGAGGAGCTGCTGTTAACGCAAGGGAAAGCACGACAGCAAGGCCGATGCAAGGGAGCACTGCTCGTGCTACCACACCACTATACTGGAGGCAGCTAGCAGAGGCAGGCAGCATCATATACTCTCATGCTGTCAGAGGCCTCGACTCGATGTCAGGAGTCGGTCTGCTGTACGGGGATCGCGTAGTGCCGGCAGTAGCATAGCAGTAGCACTGATGTCAATACTTGACTCCATACGGAGCTGAAGCTGAATCATCCGCCCCCCCAGCTGCCAGCGAGCTCGACTCAAACCCCGCGAGACATGCGAATACGAAAAGGCACTTGTCGTGCAGACAGATGCAAGGAGAGCGTTCGAGATGCCCGCATCGCCTCGACGACATCGCAGTTAGCCGCGTGGTGAGCATGCCATGACGGTCTGGCTGGCGGTGGCTGAAGTTGCGAAAACGAGCTCTGCTGGCTGAGGCTAATCCAATCTGCCTGATCGGGACGCGGATTTCGGCCTGCCATGCCGCTACCGCGCTGACGCTAGGGGGCGCTGGCAACTGGCAGAGCGCAAGCTACAGCGCTCCACCCGCCGAGCCAGCAGCCGCAAGCCCTCAACCTCCGTTAGCAGCGGCCCACACACTGTACGGGCCCTCCTCACAGTACCTGTCCCATGTTCGGAGCACTGAGGCCCTAACGTACACTAGAGCCCTGCAGCAGCCCAGCGGCTTCTTCCTCTGGGCTTTTGCCCCAAGGAACCGTCCATTAACAACCAGCTTTTTTCTTCCTTCATCATCGCCGGTCTTTGATATTGTTTTCTTCATCCTCCAGCATCACCACGCCTGGTGTCGACGCTCTCCCGTTCCCGCGACCAACCTCTGGCGTGCGCGACGCCATCCGAACTTCCAACAGGCCCTCATCTCCCCCCCGCCCATCCGTCCCTAGCTTGATCGCCTCGCCGCCCTCTGTAGCGTTTTGAGATATTACGAGTTTCGATTGTCCCCCGCTTGGTTCGTCATGTCAGGCCCTGAAAGCGCTCATGCTGGCGGCGGCTTCGACCTTCTGCGGAGGGCCACTCAAGCAATGATGTCAAAGTATGTTGGTTTTGTGTTTGTGTCTCTCTCTGCCTTCTTTCGGCCCTTTAACCCGCGCTCTGACGGCTCCATGTCGTTGCGCTGAGCGGCATTGGCCCCGCCATCGTAGCGGTTACTCGCGATAGCCTTGCAAGCTACCTAGTAGTGGCTGTACCTTGAGATCTACCCACGATTACAAACATCTCTCTCATATTTGGTGGAAGATTGCCCTCTTTAGTTGGTAGTTTTGTTTTGTTCTGTTTTGTTCTGTTTTGTTCTGTTTTGTTCTGTTTTGTTGTGTTTTTCGCTTTTCATTATGCGGAGGGGGGAAACCAACGCAAAGAGCATATACCGCTGGCAACGGCTACGAGCAAAAGACTTTTGGTGGACATTTGGCGCTCAAGTGGCGCTGGCCTTGAGCACAATACAGCGTGCCCGGGCTTGAAACAGCTTCAGCTCGTCTATCCAGCGTCCGCCCTAGGCTGCAATGTCTCGCTGCTCGACGCTATGGGTCAATCAGCTTGGTATCATCGGTATCTACCGGGTTCTATTTTGCCTGCGGCCTCTTTACGGCTTAATAGCAGAGAAAGCGACGGCACTCAGACAAGGCTTATCAATCACCGCCATATACGCTGATAGTGCTTCATATTTACGACTCCTCGAGTTTATTGAGCGGGCTTGCACATGCAAATCGAGAAAATTTCTCTTGCCAATAAGAGCGTCAAGGGTCTGCAGCCAAGCTTGTCCTGGATATCACGGCTATTTTGCGGAACCAACGTCGTCATACCCTGGCGCATCAGCTCCCGTCTACATGCACCTACCTACGTCAAAAGCCAGGGAATAGCGATACAGCTAGGAAAGCTTGTTAGGCGATCTTGTTTTGGCTGGTTTTACCTGATCGACTTCCCGAGTCATGGCCAGCCCCTCCAACGCACAACCCCTACTGCAATCTTGCTCGGCCAACCTTTTCTTCGGCAGACCAAAAGAAGACGAGAAGAAGGAAGACGCCCTTTTTCTAGAATTACCTGGATGGACCGCTTGATACGCTCAGCAGTGCCTTGACCACCACTTTCTCCCGGCCTGGTCCACCCCGCCACGGCCATGCATGCTTCTGGCCTTCTTTTCCCTGCCTTGATCAACCCTTGATACCATCCCCACTCGTCCAAATGGCCGTGCTGGAGCAATACTATTCGCATCCATCGTCATTCCCCTTTTCCCTCGCGCTTGTTGCGCCCGGTGTTTGTGCATCCGGATCCGCTCTCGGAGGCTGACCGTCGCTGACTACCCTCACTTTGGACGGGCCGGGCTGTCTGGCCGGCGGTCTCCGTGTTTTCCTCGTCCGCTGTAATCTATCCCTGCCCCCTAACGAGTTAGTGCACATCACGACTTTCAATTTTCATCCACCGTTTCCTTGGCGCCTTGGGCCGCCGTGAACTAGTGTTCCCACTTCAACACCGTTTCCCCGCGCCAGTGTTATCTTTCTGGCTTGACCAATGCTTTAACTTTTTTCTTTCCTTCTTTTTATTTTCCGTTTCAGATCTATTTTCTTTGTTCCGTCGACCATGCTGGCTGCTGACCAACCGCCCAGAACCGCCGCGCCTGAGGAGGATGGTGCGGACCATATCGGCTACGAGACCCCTCGATCCGGCATAGCCACTCCTCATCCCGACCCTCACGATAAACGCCTGCCCGGAATCACGACCTACTTTTCCCAGGTTCGTCAAGACCTTTCTGCTAGTCAGGAAAACTTTTCTACAATGTCAATTCCAGAGAGGCGCGAGGCCTCGGGCCAGAGGTCAGACCAGCAGTTGCTGGACTGCGTATCCAGAGAAGAGCAGTTGTCTGGGCATGCTGAAAGCTCTCAGCCTTGCATACAGTCACAGCCCTTGGAAGCTCACTCCCCGCGATCCAAGTCCTTGGCTGTCCGCACGCGCGATAGCCAAGAGCATCTGAAAGGATCTACATCCTCCTTACCAGCCCCCATCACTACACATTCATCCTCCTCTTCTTCTTCTCTGGGGGCTGCTACTCCTGAGACAACCTTCTCAGGCGGAGAGACTAGAAGCGTCAGTTCATCAGGCACTTCTAGCCGCTCAGAGCCTGTAAAGTCTAGTGATTGTTCGCAGGACCGCGAGCCCTCCTCCCATACATCTACTACTACTTTTCCTTTGTCAGATACCACCGCTGCACCAGCACCCTGTTCCGTGTCTCGCATACAAGCCCACAGATCTTCCTCTTCAACCTTGCCTTTGCATCGACTCGACGTCAAACTTGAGGCGGCTCGACCGCCGCCCATCAAATGGTTTTCGTTTCAAGGACTCAAAGAGCTAACTCGTGGTCTCTTAATCAAGAGCGGCCCGCCTACCCCTACTAGAGCCCTCTCTACAGCCAACTCACAGTCTGACGGCAGGGACACTCCGAACGGATCCGGCAACGAAGGCGCTGAGACAAGTGGCACAGTAACCCCAAAGAACTCTGGCGCCGACGTTCCGACGGCCAAGGGGAAGTTGACCATCAAGATCATCGAAGCGCGGGGAATTCGCAAGAGCCGTGACCCTTACGTCGTTGCCGTGTTCCAACGGAGTGAACTGATTTCTGGCGGACCCCATGCCATCGAAGAGGAGGAACAGGTGGTAGGAACACCTTCCGGGCTTGGTTCCATCCCCATGAAGCGTCAAGTTAGCGACTCTGGCAGGCCCATGGCCATCCCGATGCGCAGCCGCCAGAGTAGCAACACTAGCATTAGCGACCACAACACTTTCCGCAACCGAACGCTCAAAACCCTCTTCTCAAGCCCCAAATGGGATGCAGAGGCAGTTTTGTGAGTTGTCCACTTCTCAGCCGCTGGGAAGGCTGAAGACTGAAGATTGAATATTGAAGTTTGAGCTGACCGCTGATATAGTGACGTTGTCGATTCGGATTTGTCGGTAGACATCTCGGTATACGATCATGTGGCTTCCGGAGGAGAAGAATTCCTGGGCCATGTCAACCTCGAGGCCCGGAAAGACGGCCCTGTCAGAGGGTGGTATGCGCTGCAAGGCCACGCCAACACGACTGTCGAGAACATTCCAACGGGCGAAATACATGTCGAGGTTTCTTACCAGAGAACTGAAAGGAAGCACTTTGGCCCAAGCGATTTTGAGATTCTCAAACTCATCGGCAAGGGCACATTTGGTCAGGTCTACCAAGTCCGAAAGAAGGATACCCAGCGAATCTACGCCATGAAAGTTTTGCAGAAGAAGGTGATTGTTCAAAAGAAGGAAGTTGCGCATACCGTGGGAGAGCGGAATATCCTTGTTCGCACGGCCACATCAGATTCGCCCTTCATCGTCGGGCTCAAATTCTCCTTCCAGACTCCGTCAGAGCTGTACCTGGTAACTGATTACATGTCTGGCGGAGAGCTCTTCTGGCATCTCCAGAAGGAAGGCCGCTTCGACGAGAAGCGAGCCAAGTTCTACATTGCCGAGTTGATTCTGGCAATCCAGCACCTTCACAACAACGATATTGTGTACCGCGATCTCAAGCCTGAAAACATTCTTCTGGATGCAAACGGTCACATTGCCCTTTGCGATTTTGGACTGTCCAAGGCAAATCTTACAAAGAACGACACCACCAACACCTTTTGCGGAACCACGGAGTACCTCGCACCTGAAGTTTTGCTCGATGAGTCAGGATATACCAAAATGGTCGACTTCTGGTCGCTGGGCGTCTTGGTGTTTGAGATGTGCTGTGGGTGGAGCCCCTTTTACGCGGAAGACACTCAGCAAATGTACAAGAACATCGCCTTTGGCAAGGTTCGGTTCCCGCGTGACACCCTATCTCAGGAAGGTCGCAACTTTGTCAAGGGGTTGCTTAATAGAAATCCCAAACACAGACTTGGAGCAACGGACGACGCTGAAGAGCTCAAGCGACATCCCTTCTTCAACGACATTGATTGGAACCTCCTGGCCAAGAAGCTCATTTCACCCCCCTTCAAGCCCAAGTTGAAGTCGGCAACGGACGTGTCGTACTTTGACCCAGAGTTCACTACTGCGCTGGACCAGAATGGATCTCTCAACGAGCGTGCTGCCGCACTGGCCCGAGGATATGCTGCGTCGACACCTCTTTCGCCGTCGGTGCAGGCCAACTTCCACGGATTCACCTATGTGGATGAGAGCGCACTGGATGACCACATGCGCGATTTCAGAAACGACGATGAGCATATGGATGATGCCCACGCGAATGGTGATGATGACTGGGACAACCTAGATGACATCGATCCCCGAGTGTCCAACCGGATGAGTGGTATAGTCAGGTCTGGACACGACGAGCAGATGGTGGGAGGCTCGCATTTTGATCCGTAAATGATGTTTGATCGGACCCCTGGTCAAATGGGAGTGGACATGGTGGACTGCATGGCGTTTGTTTATTTTCCCCCTGTTTTTTGTTTTCTTCGTGTCATGGCAATGCAGGTCGACTCTTGTCCCTGAACAAAAAAAAATTGATATCCCGAAAACAACCACGAAGATGTTGATATAACCGATTAATCATATGGCATCTGCATTAGGAGGGGTTGGCTGGTTTTGCATTTTGCATTTGTTCCATGGCTACATGTGCAGGAAAGGACCCTGGAGTTCAGGTTGAGCCAAAGATATACGATGATGATGAATGGGATTCTTCAAAGCATCACGGTTTTCTTGCACCAAACACTCAAGTGCAAAAGTCCAAGATGTTGATTCCAGAATATTAAGAAAAAATGTGAGAAAAAATTGCATGAAAGAGAAGAAGACAGAGAAGACACAAACCAATTGATGTAACACAAAGGGGGAAATTTGTCAGAGAGGACATAAGAACAAGAAGAAAAGCAAATTAGCATGATCCTTTTTTCTTTTCCTTTTTTTTTTCGTTTTTTTTTTTTTTTTTTTTTCATTTTGACTCATTGCATCCCAAGCCCAGTGTAGGATCATGCTACCTCTCTATATCCGTGTCTAGTTATGCGCTGTGGTCGGGATTTGGTGTGTGTCGACACGCATGTGAATAGTTACACTTAATGGATGGACGGGGAAAGAGGTTACAACAAGAATGATGAAACAGAGTACGTTGACGGTCTTGGATATGGGCTATTGTATATAAATAAGTAATTGACAGGTGATGAATAATACGACGATAATGTGCCATGGTGTTGAGATCAACCTAGCATTAAGTAATGTGATGTGACGCATCATGCAGCTTAGCATTTCACCCGATAGGTTTTGACAAAGGCGTACCTACATCTTGACTATCACAGAAAGATGTTGAAACAAAAACATAGCAATATGTGAAGCATTGTCACTATTCAAGGGTCCATGAGGCATTTTGCATATCTTTGATTGATATTGGCATTCGGAACAATGTCCTACACGACGAGGCTGATCGATAAGGGAAAAAATGTACAACGGGATGATTCAAACGCATCCCCGGCAAGCCGACATGTCCTTTTGTTTCTGGCCATCATTAAAGTCTGGCCTGGAAAATTATGGATTGTCCGGTATGCCCAACTGCTGCCTCCTCCTTTGGCTCTTCTCTTATTCTTTCATCCTCTAACCTCCTCCCTTTATAGCATAGCACCGCTGAACGTCAAGTAATCTCTCGACGCACTGACGATCTAGCTCCTCTCCTTTTCTTTTCTTTTCCTCCTCCCTTATTCCCATGTATTTCTAGCAAACAGAAATTTCCCTCCATGGACTTGGTTCACAAAAAAAAAAAGCGCGTTTCGGTTTTTAGTGGTGGGGTTCCTCCTCTTCCTCGGCCTCGAGCCAGTCGGGCAGCTGAGCAACACCGGTGGCGGACTGGGCGGAAGCATCCTGGCCCTCGATCTCAACGGCCATGGACTCGTAGGTCTTGAGGCTGTCGGCCAGGTTGGCCTCCTCGGGGGAGGCAGGGGTCTTGGGCATGGAGAAAACCTGGACCTGGCCCTCGGAGTCGGTCTCCTTGACGGCAGGGACCTTGTAGGCCTTGAGCTCCTTCAGGTAGAGCTCCTGAACAAAGTCGGCTAGAAAAAAGAGGGAGGCGTTAGCAGCAGTCCCGATTAGGTTGTGTGTTGTTGCATATGTATAAGCAGGTTTGGCTAAGCAGGGATGGTCGTTGCGGCGGAAATAGCGCAACACTTGGTGCGTTGAGACATTATGCCTCCCAGCAATCGAGGAGCATCGTAACGACGAGGTTGCGAGTGGTGAGAGAGTTTTGATTTATGACAATGTGGCCAGGTATAGAGCGAATGGTGATGATCGGAGGTATCGGCAATAGCTGAAATGGCAACATGTTGAAGAGAGACTATACGTTCCACCCTCATTGAATTCCCATCGCAGACGAAAAGTGAAGAGGCGAAAAGAAGTGGTCGACAGCCATCGGATGTTTTAAGGTTGGGATTGGATAGTCACATCAAGGGGAAAACACAAGGCGTAGTTCCATACCTCGTCGTGAGACGGTCGGGGCAATGAAGCCCCTCACCTGGACGGCATTTGCTCTGGCGGCGCGAGCAGCAACAGCGCGCTACAAGAGGGAAACACGAAGCTAGTTAGCAATCAAAGAACAATTTCGGAGTCATGCAGAGCAGAGCTGAGGATACGCAAGGCTGTTGTTCTTTTGCATGATGCCGGGCCAGCGCATCGCATGCGGGGCGATGGTGACAAGAGGCGAGAGACGCTATGGGAAAAAGGCCGAAGATGGCCAACGAAGAGGGTTTTTTCCACTCTCTCCTCTTCGCAGCCGTGCTCTCAGAAACAGGAGGCAGGGGACGGGAAACTCACAGAGGCCCGGGAAATTTGGCTGAGCATCTTGATCTGGCTTGAGAGTTGCTCAATTGGCGGAGAAAAGGGCGGACCCGGCGAAGGAGGTTTGGGGAGGATGGAGACAGGCTGAGGGTTTTGTGAAAATCGTGATGGCGACCTTTGGCAACTTTCGTCTTTTCCCGGCTAAAGCCTGTCCGCTTCGTCACGCGGAGCGCCGGGCTTTTTTTGTTCCCTGCTACTGCTGCTCTTTTTTTCTTGCAGTGAATTTTTTTGCTGCCTCAGGTTCTGCGGGGCCGTCTTTTGCTGCTGTGTCCACTGTAGTTTGCTGCTAGGCTCACTAATTCTCGAGCTGTTGCACCCCGCTACAGTGCTGAAGAGCGCTGGAGCAGCAGTCCAGTAATTCTCTACCTTGGCAAGGTGCACGTGACTCGGAAGAAGTCGCGCAGAGAAGAGCTGCACGACGTCAGTCTCGATCCACACAGTTTGATGGGCCACTGTCTGGATCAAGTTGATATATGGAGCATCGTACATACAGGTCAAGCAATCAATTGCAATGTTGAGTGTCTGGGATGTCCATTCCATTCTATACCTACCACATGCACGTGTGCGTGCCAAGTAAAGCGAATCGATCAAGTGGATGGGAAACAATATCTCAATCGATCTTTAAGTGCTCGGATCGATCATGCAAGACTGGATGGACTAAGAGGAGCTCCATCCAGCCACATGCATGAACTGCGCCAAGCACGTATGACATACTATAAAAGAATTGCCTAGCAATTCAAACAATGTAATCAGCTTCTTATCACTTGACGCCACATGATATTTGCTCAAGATCCATGAAAGGTTTCTGCAATCGTTGCTCATCCAAGTCACCATTTCGTACTTCTGCCCTATTGCCGAGAGCATTCATAGCCGGGAAGAATGATTGCGAACAGAGTACTGATCGAGCTTGATCGTTACAAGTTTCCTCAGAAGAGGGTTGCATATTAGTGATGATTTACTTCATTAGATCATTTTAATTTATAAATTTGCTAATTATGCCGCGCCATGAAGCGCAAGCAGTCTTGTGTAAACATCTTGTCTACATCCTCTATATAGGTGTGTGTAACCATTCCATTTCGTTTCCCACGGTAGCGACCGATTTTCCCAAGCCATAACATAATATCAAGTATTCATCGCAAAAACGCCAACAAACATGCCTCACACAACTACGTGTATGAGCGCATGTATGAAAAATGTGGGTATAAAGATTGGCATCAAATCTGCCTTTTTCGATTCCAGGTTATTTCGTCCTTCTTTCTTGCCCCTGTTTATGAAGAGCTCGCCTCCTTTGGCTGGTCTCGTCTCCTGCGGATTACGGTCCATCCAAGAGTGATGGAGGCCACATAGATTATTGCCGTAACTCCAGCCACGACAGAATAAGCAATGATGTAGCGAGTAGGAGCGTCGCCGAGCTGCAAGCCGAGGCCGCCGTTGACGATTCCGATAATCATCAATGCTCGTCCATACCAACAGTGAAGGTGGCTAAAGATGCTGCGACGCTGAGTCTTGAGGTAGTTGACGTGGTGGATGATTCCGAAGATGGGCTGCAGGCTGATGAGACAGACGAGAATGACTCCCAAGCGAGTATGGGCTTGTTGGAAGAACTAACAAACGGTATTCCCAGTCAGTATTTGAAGAAAAGAAGCAGTACATGGGTAAGGGATTGGCAAAAAAAACTCACAATGCCATCCTGTTTAGCAATAAAGACGCCGATTCCGAATCCAGCCCACATGAGCAAGAAAGCAATCGTCTGCCATGACGCGTGGATGTACCACTTTCCAATCAAGGGCATCAAGCTAGAGCCGAGAGGATACAGAATGACGAAGACGACAGACATGATGGTGCCGTGGGCAGTGGCCAGAGTCTGGCTCGGCGTCGAGCCGCCCGAGACACCGGAAACCGCACTGCCATTGCCATTGCTATCGCCGTCGCTATCGCCAGAGCTGGAAGACCCAGGATTGCTGCCGCTGTTGCTTCCGCTGCTGCTGGCACTGGATCCGGTAAAGGGGTTCGAGTCGGAGCTGATGCTTGCTTTGCCCAGGTTGACCTGGAACAGAGTCATGCTGTCGTGCTGGGTAATGATCGCAGCCGGGTTTGTCGAGTCCAATGAATCGCCCGACTTCCACGCCGAGATCCAATTCGACTGACCAGAAAAGTCGAGGTTTGTGCAGTTACCGCATCGAACATTGGCGACCATGTTGCCGCCAACTACACCAGACCCCGCCAGGAGCTCGACGTCGCTTCTCGCTTTGAAAGTCGGCATGACGTGGTTCGCGCCGGGCCTCGTGCTGAGCGTGACGTTTCCCTTGCCATCCTGGTACATGATAAACATGTTGGAGTCGGGCATGGAGGTACCGATGCCGAGGCCGATCCATTGCCATGATGTCGGGGCCTTGAGCTGGAAGAAGATGTCTCCGGAGCTTGCCTTTGCGGTGGCGTCGGGGACTCCCCATTCGAAGCAGACGCCGGTGGTGGGACAGAAGGAGGAAGTTGCAGCTGAAGCAGTGCCGATGTCTTGAAGTTGAGATCTTGTTAGACAGATGTATAGAGATAGGTGTTAGAGATAGATGTATAGACGTGAGACATACTAAGAGCGGCAGCAGCAGCAGCTACCGCCGTGGCCTTGGAGAACCACATGGCGTTTTGTTTATAAGAAAGTATAAGAAAGGCAGGCTAAGAGGAAAAAGAAAAAGAAGAGATCAAGACAATGTTTGAAGGGGGTGCGCTGAAAGGAATCGATCAAGTTTATAACATGAACGCCGCCAAGAGTTTGTTAGTTGGTGTCAGTATTAGTATACAAGTATGACTTGGAGAAAGCAAATAGACAACAAGCCTCGCACAGAGGAAACCACTAGACATTTAAAGTGTTCCAGGCCCCGTCCTCGAGAGCACGATAGGAGGTACATGGCCATAGCCTCCCACAAGGGGTGAGTGAGTTCCGGAGGGGGTGTGTGAGTGCGTCGAGTATTCCATTCTATCCATGCGGCCTCCCCCCCTGCAAGCTCGATTGCTATTTTTGCTCTCTCCAACTGCAAGGCCTCTCCAGCCTTACCGGTGGGATGGGCACTTGCTGTCGTCACTAGACTTGGGCCAGTATGGGTCCTGTAATATTGTAACTGCTGGCATCGCTCGAATCTATCCGATTAGGAATCGAGACAGGCCGGATCCCGGTCACTGTGGGCGATGATGCTTCATGATGCTCGACGAGGCACACGAAACCTCGGAATGCCATGATTGTATCAGATGTTTTCTTATCTTTGGAGGATGCAGCTGGGTCGCACAAGCTCCCTGAATACGTAACCCTTTTGTACCGTATCATACTCTATACACATGCAGTTCTGAGTTTCAAGCACACGCAGCCGGGTCTGGGGCTGGGTTGGGCTGCAGCTCCGCGGAGGAAATTGAAGCCAAGGCCTAGATCCCAGGCCCTCGATAGCACTACTAAACCCCAATAGTAATAATTCTGCGCTCAGTTACGGGGCGCCACCCCAGTCTGTCCCAAGGCAATGGATGGGGGTAGTACCTCATACTAGGTATAAGATGTATCTAAAGTGCGGGATGCTACCACGACCACGAGAATCTGAGATATGATTACAAATCTTTGTTCCGGCCAAAGGGCCTATATGTTGGCATCCAGTCACCGTCTTAACGAATCTAATCTACGACGCTGGTTGGAGCAGCCGGCAAACCAGGGGAGAGGGGCGTAAAAAGATGGCTTAATACTTGGCGCAAATAGTCGTTGAAACAGTTTCCGTGCCAGTATCGCTAGTTCCAAGCCACAGCCGCGCTCCCCAATAAGGTTGACAAACTCCACGAATCCTCACCGTCGGATGTTCTTGTATAACAATGAATTATCCATCAATTGATCCGAACTTCTTCGGATTTCTTGATTCCTTTCTCCTATCTGTCCTACCTGTCCTACTCCTATTGCTTTCGTATATAAGATCAACCTCACAGCGGAACAACCCGTAACGATCTACAGCATAAGCCCACGTCTCAACCCAGACCGACGGCAGTCACGGCAACGATAACAAAACACCCTCAACAAGCAATTAACTACTAATCGCAGAAAGCTACCCTTAAAGCCGACGACATCGTGATGATGACGAACGAGGCGCAGGGCCAGCAAAAACTTGCTAGGCGCCTCTGTCTTAGCGGGCTCGCGGGCGTTGTCTTTATTTCTTCCTTCTCTTATTCGTTTAAACCGCAATCTGTTTTTCCCTTGGCAAAAATGCCCAAAAATAAAAGTCAAGGGCCCTTATTAGCGAGGATCAGGTATCTCAAATAAACAACAAACAGCCTGGCTAGGAGAGAGGCCCTTAATGCTGACTGCTTTTGGCCCGGCGGGGGATCTAACCCTCCGAGACGGAGCAACCTCCAAAAGAAGAGATCGAGCCTGGCGGGGGGGCTAAAGACGCAGCAAAAACGTGCCTGAATTGTGTTTCAATTATGGGGGTATCTCGCCAATAGTAAATACAATTGTTGGATTATAAAGCCAAAGTTGTAAAATTCCCGTTAAACTCTCCCGGCCAGCCACTCTTACAGGCGGCCGACCTTACCGTGTCGGCCTCGTGTAAGCCAAAAAGCCCAACAAGCCCCAAAAAGACAGGAACGGCACGGGCACACACCACCTCTTGGGTAGAAAAGCTTCTTTTTTGCTTTTGATGTTTGCACAGCCTCGCTCTGCCCGACGCCAATCCCGCGCAGCTGTTCCGATATAGGCTAGCTTTAAGTCACCATGGCTTTGTCGTAAAAAGAAGCTGCAGAACTATGTGAACCTTGAACCACATGTGAACTTATGTAAGGAACTAAGAAGATGGTTTTGTGATACGCGGGGAAAAAGACTGTTCTAGCTAGGATACGAACAAAGTCAATATGTTTCGAGGTTGAAAGAAATGCCGGCCTGAGAATAGAGTGTCTCCTATTTCGTTGCCATGTGCATGAACTGAGCTCCCTGCCACTACTATCTGCCGGCACTAGGTAGCCTGTCATGTTTCGTCCATTGGCATCTCTGGAAGTGCTGCTTACATGCACTTACACGTATGAAATCTTGAGCCAAGTCATCACAGATCACTAACACGCCCCCCCATACAAATGGCCACGACTGCAGATTTGGCTCCTATTTTCTTGATTTAATTTCCCGTTCCTTTGTCTCTCAGTGGGAGACTTCCATGGCTTTGCCATCACCGCTCTTTCAACTCGTTTCACCTACTGCTTACTCTTCGTGATAGCCGTCATTCAGGGGGCCTTGAGCATTTACCGTTTCCGATGTGGCCTACTTTGACTAGGTGCCACCTGTAAGATGATCTGCCACGAGATAGTATTGAAAGAGCTATGCTATTATTAATTACACCAATAGCAAATCATTCCTTAAACAGATTCAAGCTAAAGAAATACTATCTTCCGCCAGTAATAGTACTATTTCAGACTATCTCGCAGTCAGCATCATCCTTGCCTCGCATCTACAAAGCAGATCTGTGATACTATCATACCCTGGCCCTGCCAACAGCAATTCTAACAAAGATCCACCAAACACAGGACAGGCACACTCCGTACTGTGTCCAATCCGTGATCTCGCATTAACTATCGCATAGTCGGAGCCTACTTATAAGCGCCTACGCAGGAATACCAGCTGCATACAATTCTGCCAGCCTGACTCGAACCGTCATCACTAATGATGCGTGCCTGGGCATATCAAGGTAAGCTCCTGATGATACTGCCCGCTCATCTAAAAATAGGGACAGCAACTACCCAAAGTAGCAGCTACATGCACAAGTGTCGGTCCATCATACCAATACAAGTAAAGGTGTCAACAAGCGCTCTATTAGTCTCTCTAAACTCTAACTATAACCAGCTGCCTCTCGTTTCTAAAACTTCCAAGGTTCTTTGCCAGTATACATGCATATAGACAAGGTAATCTATCCTGATTCCACATAGGTCGGTCCTGTCGATAAACGCCTGCCCAAATGCCGTTCTTGTTGTCCACTATTGCTGTGCTTCTGTAGCACAGTCTCTAATCTAGGAACGACTCGTCAAGTAGCCTCCACTCTCGAGCAAGCTCGTCGAGGCCACAAAGCTGAATCCACCAAACATGTCATCCTTGGTCGGGCTGCCAGGCCAAAAGTCCCTCGAAGTCACTGTAGGGCTCAGTGAGAGCTCAGTGAACTCTGGTGCAAAGTTCTCCGCCAATTCAGGGTCTGTGATCATGGGCTGGATGGGCGGTTCCACCTCTCGTGCTGCCAGCTTCTTCCAATCAATCTTGCGGAAGAATCTGTGATTCTTCATTGTCTGCAAGTCCTTGGGCATCACAGCACCCAGTCGTTTACCTGGATCTTTCCTTAGGAGCCTAGTGAGAATATCTTTGGCATCCATGCTGAGGTAATAAGGCAGTACGAGCTTTTGCTTGATAATATTCTCCTGAATCTTGGCATGGTTTCCTCCCCGGAAGGGCGGGTTCCCCGTCATCAAGTCGTATGCGAGGGCCCCAAATGACCACCAATCTGCGCCTTTGCCATATTTCTTTCCCTGGATCACCTCGGGGGCCATGTATTCAACAGTGCCCAAGATGGAATTGCAGCTGTCTTCCGACTGGTCGACTGCAACCTTTGACAGTCCAAAGTCCGTCAACAAGAGATGCCCATCTGCATCAAGAAGGCAGTTTTCGGGCTTAAGATCGCGGTATATCACACCGAGGGTTTGATGGAGATGGGAAATAGCCAGAAGCATTTCGGCCATGTAAAAGGCCGCCACCGACTCCGAAAACATCTTCTCCGTATTGAGATGAGTGAACAGCTCTCCTCCCTGGCCGTATTCAAGAATAAGATAGAGCTTCTCCTGATCCTGGAAGGCATAAAAGAGCTTCACGACAAAGGGGTGACGGTTCACGGATTCCAAAATCTGTCGTTCAGTTTTGGTTTGCTCAATTAGCTTCTTGTGGACGATCAGAGATGCTTTCTTGAACTGTTTCTGGGCATAGAGCCTTCCTGTTGAGCGCTGCTTCACCAGTATCACTGTGCCATAAGTTCCTTTGCCAAGGCACCGAAGCGACTCGAAATCATCAGACGTCATTTTGCGCTTTGGGTTCAGTCCACCTTCCAGGGGTTCCATGAATGACCGCTCTCGCACGCTCTCGCTCGCAAAGTCGTTCTCTAGGTTGACCTCATAACTCGTCGATCCTTCGGAAAGCTCGCTACCCGTTTCACTTCGAGCTCCATCTCGGCTCTGGGAGCGGCTTGCCTGGCCAAACCCAATCCGAGAATCCAAGCGAAGGCCATTTCGAGACAAGGACGACGAACGGGACGCTGCATCGAGGCTCAGAGGATCCATTTGCAAACGCAGCTTGGCGATTCCCGAGATGCGTGGTGATGCCGTTCCGCGTAAATTCGGGCTACAATTGGCGCTTACAACGTCGTCGATGCGCGGACGGCCTCGACGGGCAGATAGACGCGGCGTATCACATGCGCCATTGTCGGAATCTTCATCGCCAGATGCCACTGGCGTCACCTGAAAGCCACGAACGGTAGAGCGTGCCACTGGGGCAGCGTAGGATGCGTGGTTGATCATGATCATAGGCAGTGCTGAGCACAGCCCAGCGTTCTTTAATTTGTAGTCTTAACAAGATGCGACAAGCAAGAGCCTCTTGACTCCCGTCGCGATTCGAGTGGCTTTCAAGGTGTGCCGCGGCGGCGCTCCGGATCTACTCGCTGCGCGGATTCGGTTTGACGCTGGGCCTCAGGGTGTCTCGAAACACGCATCTGGTACCTGAAGAAGGACGTTGGCAAGTCAGAAGTTTCTTGTATATGCATTTGTGAGTATCTTTGTCCAAGGGGAGAAGACGAAGAGGCGAAATTATGTTTGTATCACCAAAATGGTGTAGAGAAGGGAAAAAAGAAAGGAAGGGAAGCGAGGGAAGCAGCGGAAGAGGGAAAGTAAATATTTTTAGTAATTGGATCACCAGAGCGCCAAAAAGTGCTGCAGGTAGCCTCACTATCGGGCGCTCGCTATAGCCCTTGCAAGCCCTTGAAACCTTCCTTGTAGGGCCGCGGGGTACAGCGCGCCGCTCCAGCATTTTCGCTGGAATTACGGAGCACATGTCAGCGCCGATGGGCCTAAACCTTGTTAGGGCGAACATTAACAGGCCAAGATGCCTTGCATTCAGTGCGTGTTGACTTTTTTCCAAGCCTGGGTGCCACTTAAAAAAAAAAAAAAAAAAAAAAAGTTCTAGGTCGCGATGGGGCATATGCTCAATGCACTGAAAGGAAAGTAATTGCGCTCTATTTCGTTCTCTTCTGAGCATTACGATATGGCTGTGCCATGAAAGAGGCATTTCGCGCATCCTGAATCATAATCCTCGAGCATCCCTCATCTGACCTGCCGGCATAAGACACAGGGGAAAGATGCAATCTCAGCATTCCTGCGTCCAGGTGCTGCGCTACACGAGCTGCAATTGGCCCAGCGCTTGCACATGCTTATTTGGCCGCGCCAATGATAACTAATAAATTGGATGTGCTAAGATTCTCCCGTAGCGGCTATGCCGTCCAGATGATGGGTGTGCGCTTCTTCCGGCAAGCTGGCCGGTGCTACTCTGCAGCTTTGAAGCGTCTGCTGGTTATTTACGGTGTTTACTGGGTAAAGCTCAGCGTGTGTGTTGTCGTCGTCGTAAAGCCAAGAATCTAGCATCAGCCCATTCATCCTAAATGGACATCCTGCAAGACGCTCACTTTACCCAGGCGCTTTCTTTTTTTTTCTTTTCTTGTCACAATCCGTGCTTACGAACACTGCTGCTACTGATGTGACCTGACTTGTGTAAGGGGTCCATATGCAATACGACGTGGACACGCTTGACTTGCTGCATCTGTCATCGACTCGTGGCAAAGATGCCAGGATTCGTTAGCTGGCTGCATTATGCTGGACACGGCTACTCGCGGAATGCCAGACATGCACCGCGTAGTGTGGAGACCTGGATACAAAGAAGAAGAGAGTGAAGAAGGAGAGAAGAAAGAAAGAGAAAGGAAAGAAAAGAGAAAGAATTTCTTGCGCCTTGTCTTATTTTTGTTTCACCAACTGTTTGTTATAATTTACTTGTCTGTCTCTGGTCTGACCACCTGGCTGATGCTCATGTGATTCTGACGTGTAAGGCTCGACTGCCGGGTACAACAGGCGCGTCAAATGTTAAATACTCGCTTGTAACTTCAAACAAAAGAAATAAAAATAAGTTACCAAAAAGATCATTTCTTTCTTTCTTTCTTTCGAGATAGCAAATTTGAAATCTCCAAGTAGCAGCACCAGATATGGAGGAATATTGGTGTGCACGGGACCTGTACCTAGCATTGTGCCTGCATAAAAGCTGAAGTCGTTGGTGTATTGTCGCTATTACATAATCAAGACACGCCAATGAGCCATGGTCTCAATTTTCTAGAGCTCCAAGCTTAGGCAGACTGATGCTGATACAGAACCACTACTTTGCCATTTCAACGGCATCCTGAGCTGCCCTGCTGTACGGTCAATGAATATACCACTATAATCTTTAATATCTATTCCATTTCACTAGCTCATTCCTTAACCCGGAAATCATATATCTACCTCGCCCGACGCTCTCGTTGTTTAACCACGCTCTCATCTCGACGCATCGATCACCTTCTTCCGAGTTAGTCACCAAAATGATACACCCGTCACGGCAAGCATATGTGGAGGAAGCAGAGCAAAGCACGGGCATTGCTCTGGAAGACCTCCCAGAAGATCATGACTACGAAATGAATATGGGCGATGGCGCCCCGCCCGAGAAGGCATCCGCCATCCTCAGCCAATTCAATCGAAAACGACTTGCTGCCACCATTGCTGTCCCTACCGACGATGGCCGAGTTCGTGCCAGGTTACGAGAGATGGGAGAGCCCATGACCCTCTTCGGTGAGGGACCACCCGATCGCCGAGACCGATTGCGGGAGCTTCTCACCATCCAGGCAGAAATGGCTGGACTGGAGAGCGGCGACATCACCATGGAGGATGCCGACAAAGCAGAGGAGGAAGAGCAAGAGGAGGAATTCTATTCGAGAGGAGGTCCAGAACTACTACAAGCCCGCATCAACATTGCAGAATTCTCGCTGCCTCGGGCAAAAAGAAGGACGGCGTTTCAGAAAGTAGAATCTACAATTCCCTTGCGGACACATGTCAAGTTCCGGAAGCAAATCAAGGAGCGGTTACAGGCATTTGAGCTGCAAGGGAGTCAGACGGTTGGTGAGAGGCATATAAGCATGACAAGATTCTCCCCCAACGGAGAACTGGTTGCTGTTGGTAACTGGGGTGGTCAAGTCAAGCTGGTTGAGATACCAAATTTGACGGAGAAGATGAGCTTCCGTGGACATACCAATAAAATCAGTGGACTCTCGTGGTTCCCTGGAGCCACCTTGCCGGAGAGCGGAGTTTCCCCAGACTCTGTCAACCTTGCCTCTGGTGGTGCCGAGGGAATGGTCCATGTATGGTCTTTAAACCAGGACACCCCGTTGTCAAGCTTCAAGGGGCACTCGCAGAGAGTTTGCCGGGTGGAGTTTCATCCATCTGGCCGGTACCTCGCATCCGCTTCAGAGGATACTTCATGGCGACTTTGGGACGTGGAATCAAATGCCGAGCTTCTACTTCAAGAGGGCCACTCCCGTGGTGTTTACGCCATTAGTTTTAATACGGATGGCTCTCTGCTTGCTAGCGCAGGTCTGGATAGCATCGGAAGGATATGGGATCTACGGTCAGGACGCACTGTAATGATTCTCGATGGTCATATGGATGGACACATCAAGCCAATACACGCTTTGGACTGGAGCTCTGATGGGCACCGAGTCCTATCTGGCTCTGCTGACGGGTGGATAAAATGCTGGGACGTCCGAAAAGTACAGAGATCTGGCGGCATTGGTGCTCATAATAGCGCTGTGTCTGACATGCGGTGGTTCAAAGGCTTGGACGACCCTCTGCTCGGAATCCCACCGGGCCAAGACGACAAGGGAATGCAGCTGCCCAAGAAGGCAGGGACATTTTTCGTCTCCAGCGGTTTTGACCGCAATGTGAAGATCTTCTCAGCTGATGATTGGACCTTGGTGCAGACGCTGAGCGGGCACACTGCTCCTGTTGCCAGCGTCGACTACAGCAGAGATGGACGGTGGATTGTGAGTGGAGGGCACGACCGCACAGTCAAGCTTTGGGGAAGAAACGACGGCGAGGCGATATAGTCAAGACATTTACTTAGAGATTGAGTGGAAAATTGGCAAGATCGGAATTGATACCCAGGATCGCAAATTGAAATAATTACATGTCAAATACATATCAATTACATGTCTATGATGACGAGTTGGATGTGAACTTCACACCACCTGCACTTACAAGTGACCTTGTCTTGATTAGTCATGTGATTAGTGGCTCCAGATTAGATAACGGGGACCGCAATAATACACGACCTTTGTACTCGTCTGTCGCGCCAGCGCCAAACTCCGTCATGACGTCCAAGCCGCTGCGCTCAGCCAAGTGAAACGGAAATCAGGTTCATCCCTGCCGCAGAGTTCTCCATGAACTTTCACAGTCGCCGCCTCCCGTCAATTTCCAACGTGACCTAACCGTCCTCAGCAATGGCCAGCATCGACCGCTATCGCCCTCCGCGAGAGGGATATCAGCCTCCTAGCCTCCAAGGGTCCGCGCGCCATGAAAGGCCATCCCGATCGCCTCCTCGACGTCGCGAGGTCCCTCCGGCGGCGCCTACGCCCCCTCAGCACAGCGCGCGAACGTCTCCTCCACGGCCGCAGGCAACATCCAGCCAACAGACACCGTTGCGATCCGGGGAGGAAACACCGCTGGCGCTGCCGAATCAATGGTTCTTCACCACGGACGAGGTCCACAGCACACCCTCCATCATTGACGGAATTTCTCCCGCGGAGGAGAGGCTTCGGAGAGCGAAGGGAATCAACTTTATATACCAGGCTGGTGTGATGCTCGACCTACCGCAGATTACACTATGGGTAGCTGGAGTATTCTTTCACAGATTCTACATGCGTTTTAGCATGGTTCAAGAGAAGGGCGGCATTCATCATTACGTATGTCCCTGTTTTCTTTTTCTTTTTGCTCCGCTTTTATGAGTTGCTCGACAAACCGTTTTGGTCCCCATAAGTTGTCCGTCTTGTTGGTCGCGATACTAATCTCCTTCACACAGAATATCGCCGCAACTTCCTTATTTCTTGCCAATAAGACAGAGGAAAACTGCAGAAAAACCAAAGAAATCATCATCGCCGTTGCTAGGGTCGCTCAGAAAAACGCAAAATTGATTATTGATGAGCAGAGCAAAGAGTACTGGCGATGGAGAGATAGCATATTAACTTACGAAGAAGTTATGCTGGAACAACTAGCTTTCGACCTGATGATTGACAATCCATATCGCCATCTTTTCGAGCTTCTTGGGCAGTTGGAGGTCATCCACAACAAGCATCTGCGGCAGGCAGCCTGGGCATTCTGCAACGACGCATGCCTTACAGCCCTGCCGCTTCTGATTGAAGCAAGAGATGTCGCCATCAGCTCCATCTACTTTGCTTGTGCCCACACAAACCAACAGATTGACGATGTGAATGGTGAAGGTTGGTGGAAGTTTTTGAAAGGGAGCGAAGATTGCTGTACAAAGGCTATTGAGGTGATGCGTCAGTTTTACACGGAGAATCCGCTTAGAAAGCAGAACCCGTCGCTGCCATCACCTGCCTTCCATCTTGAAAACACAAGGAGGCGAAATGACGATTTGTCTTCCAACGCTGCAACACCGATGGAACTCGACCGAGAAAGCCACAGCCCAGCCCCCAAGGCAAACGGAGGGACAGACAGACATTCGGACGGGAGGGACAAGGAGCACGACTCCTTAAAGGTACCAGGCGATGGTGAATACGCACCGCGGTCGCCCATTAAGAGAAAAGATACAGAAGTCGAGATGTCGGCGGAAAGTGAAAGAGCTGAAAAGAGGGCCAGGCTCTCGGAAGATGAAGAGGGCGAGCTGGTGGAAGATTAAGCCGTTGGAGCAGATGTATAATCTGTATGCCTGGTATGACGGCGGTTTTGGCGTTGGGGTTATTATCACAAAGCGTTTTCTTTGCGACGAAACGATGGAACGGTCTCGGCAAAGATATGACGTTTCTCTTTCATGTTTCAGGCAACGCTACGACCTTTGAAGATGGCGTTGGGGCTCCTTTCTTTTCTCCTTTTTTTTTTTTATTCCCGCTGCTAATTGTATCGATCGCCCTAACGTGTTGGATAGAGATTGCCGCATAGGCACCATGATATAAATGTTACGTACTGAAGCTGGAGGTTGGGTGTGTTTTTTAGTGGAAGCTGGACAGAAATTGATATCCCAAATAAATACAAAAGACATTCGATACGTTGAGCGTGGCAAATTCAACTGGGGATTATGTGAAGGAAATATCAAGCTGACGGCCAGAGTCATGTGTCCCAAAGGCATTATGGTAGCTCACATGGCGATACATCTCGATCCATGTTGAAGGTGAAGGTATATCGCCTTTAGAATACAGATGAGGTTAAGGCTGCGAAATAGGCAACTTCATTTGTGTATAACACGGTATGACTCTTACCCTCTTACTCAGCAGCTGCCTGGAATGCAGAAGACGAATACCGTTTGCCAATTCTGCCACTCCCCGAGCCCTGACCGGCCCCAGGATGCAGCTGCCTAGAGCTGCCTAGAGCTGCCCAAGGAACTATAAAGAGTGCCCATCACCCGCCGCCATCTTTCACTTTTTCTTCTCCTTTTCTTTTTCCTCAGCTCTCTTTGCCAAAAGGCTTAGATCAAGTGTAGTATCTGTTCTTTTCAGTTTAATCTCTGAAACGCCCTCTACTGGAGGCAAACTTGGTGATTACTCTCATTTTTGGTTCTCTGGGCGGGAGTGTTCCTCTGCGCTTGCGCATGGTGCTTCTGCTCACTGTGTCCCTGGTATTACACTGCTTCCAGGTGATGCGACCTTTTCGTTGCTTGCGTTGGCTTGTCCAGCGAGGTGAAGAAGAGCGATTTTTGTAGTAAATAATAATTCATGCGCGTATCAAGGCCAGGTCTGTCAGGATTTAAATTACGTGGTATGAAATTAGCACGGTTGCGTATCTAGTGTTGGTGACTTGAGGTTTCTGGCGCGTCAAAGATGCTGAGCTGGTTAGCTCCAAATCCTGTACAATTTTCAATAGATATTGAATATGCTATTTCTCCCTCTAACTCTCTTTATTCTACTGCTGCATGTATTACACCAAGCAGAAAAGGAGAAGGTTAAGCTCATCAAGCCTCGTCGGCATTCATCCCGAGGTCTCCCAGAATTTCCCAGAAACAGCTTAGCGCGGCCTAGAGCTATGGTGCTCTGCTTCAAAAATAAGACGACCATCGGTAGCTTCCACCCGAACAGTCTCTCGCGAAACATTACCCGTACCAAACAACCGAACACTCTATACCACCGCTCTTTTGTCGCTACGGATTGTTGAATTCTTCCTTTAGAGAGCGTTTACCCGCGACCGTCCCATCACAATGGCCACTCTGGGAGGCTACCTCAACAGTGAGCGCGACGCCCCTCGTCCAACCCCGCAGGCAGCCCTCGTTGATTTTGACTAACGCTTTGTTGTGCTGCAGAAAAGGTCCTGATCGTGACGGCAGACTCGCGAATCCTTGTGGGGGAGCTGGCAGCATGTGATGCGTCGACAAATCTGGTATGCAATTGTCCTCTCGTGATCTCGAGGGCTCTTCCCGAAAGCTGCTTTCTTCAGCCTCTACGAGACGAAAGGCAAATGCTGACTACTTTTTGCTATATAGGTCCTGAAAAACGCCTTGGAGAGAATTATCCGAACACCTGACGATCCAGAACCATCAGCCGAGGTCCCTCTGGGGCTGTATCTCGTACGAGGCGACAATGTTTGCTCGATTGGGCTTGTCGACGAAACGCTAGACGAGAGCATAGACTGGACACAAGTAAAGGGGTCGGTAATAGGAGGAATCAAACACGTTTAGAAGTCATCATTTGAAGAGCCGTCCACTGAGATACCACGGGCCGCGAGTTTGAGGGTTTGACAAAAGGGAAGAGAGAGAAAGAGAAAGAGAAGAGCCAATTAGATTTAATTTTTGTCTTGGGTACGGGTCATTAGGCACGCGGAGTGCCTGGAGTTGGGATATACACATGCAAGGCCTTTCTGCAAAGGGTACGAATTTACATGGATTTCATATTTTCAATACTACTGTCTTATTCTGAGCTGCTTTTGCTGACATGGCTTTCTATTTGAAGGTATAAACAAGCCTGTATTAACCAAAAATTCGCTGCATCCAGACCTCCTTGAAGGTGTTCTCTCCAGGAGTTCCAATGACCCGCCTGATTCTGTTTCCCTTACGAACGCTCAACCATCCCATTGTATCGCCGGGGACCTCATCCAGAGTGACGAGATGGGGGTCGGCCTCAACATCATCCGACAGATCCACCAGAGCAGCCTCACCGGGCTTCGATCTAATACGCTTGTCCAGGATGTATGATCCCTTGGTCCATTGTCCGACTGTCTCAACTCGAAGATCTTCGGGCTTCGCGGGCACCTTCCATCGAGGATCGTCGCGTGTCAGCACGTACCAGACTGTAAAGGGATCGTGCAATGCCAGGGCCGGCTCGTTGCCATCACCCTCCATAGAGTCGATCTTGTTGAAAGCTCCGTTGATGAAGTGGCTGGCCCATCGAGCAAGAGGGCTGCCAGCATCGATGTAGGGCTGAACCTTTTCGACAAAGTAGTTCTTGTTGATGGCATGGCGTTCCGTAATGTCCAGTGGGCACAGAGTCACTGTAAGTCGGCGAGAGAGTTTCGCAGGGTACGGCTTGATGTTCAAGACGTTGCTGGGAATGGGAGGCATCGTCGATGCAGGGTTGGGCGATGAAAGAGCATAGACAAGAGCGGCAGCAAGGGGGTCCGCATAAGTGTTGAACTCTGCTGAAGGAGTGACGTTACCGGGGACCTCGATGGCTCCGCCCATGACTACCAGCTCCTTGACCTTGAGGAACGTCTCAGGGTCCTCGGTAGCAGCCAGTGCAACGTTTGTGAGGGGCCCAACCGCGAGGATGCTGATGGTGTCTGCAGGATTCTCTCTAAGAAGACGCAGCATCTCTTTGTGGGCGGGCTCCTTGGATGGGGTGAAGCGTGGGTAGGATGAGGTGTGGTCATTGGCATCTTCTTTATCAAAGAGAGCCTTCCAGGTTTCAGCGGGGCTCAAGTCAGTGTGTATATCATGGACGTTGTGCAGCCCATCAGCGCCATCTGTATTATTTAACCCCCAGTTAGCGTTGGTCATAGATAGAACATGCATATCAATAATGGGGAAATACATACGAAAGTAATCAGCAGCCAAGACAGGGTCCGCGAGTGAATGTTCAGCACCAGCAGCCACGATGGTCTTGTTGGCCTTCAAGGTCTCATAGCCTTCTGGGCGGCCCTGAGACTTTCTCCACGCGAATTCCTTTTCCAGGACATGGTACAACGCAGCTACGTTGCGAAGGCAGCTATAATAAAAATAAGTCAGCTGATTTTGATAATAAAAAGGGTTTGTTGCTCATCTTCTTATAGGCGTACCATTGTAGAGGAACGTTGCCGTATGTGACTGAGATCATGGCCAACTCAAGCTCCTCGGGAGAGGCGCTGAGGGCCAGGAGAAGGGCCATGACATCGTCGACGCCTTATGATAGAGTAAGTCTATGTCAAATAAAGGAACCTGAGAGGTAGAAAACCTACCTGGATCAGTGTCCAATATGATTTTAGATTTTGGAGCCATTTTTGACCTTGATGGGATTAGAATGGTTTCTAACAACAATGTGACAAGTTTAGAGGCGAAGACAAAGAAGAAAAAACATACAGATTTGAATAACTATTCAAGCGCAAAGAAGGAGCTTCTCTCGAGCGTAAATCGAAAGTCTGACAGGTCTAAACCAACAAATCTCTCAACAAGGCTACGGGACAAGAAAGTCTTTAATAACAAATCCTTTCAACTCATCCACGTCGCGCGCTCTCTCCGCAAAAAGTAGCCTTGGCGGGGTTATTGGGGAATTTTTTTTGGGTTCCTGCTGAGATAATCCTCTCTCCAACGGCACACGGAGCCCACCCCGTTTTTTTCGTGACTATCAGCGGCCGGCGACGGCCGAAGCACGCCTTTCTCTAGCTTGCTCTTTTGGTTGTGATTCACGGTGTTGCCAATTCGAATTCGTAATTTTGATGTTTCTATTTGGCAATGGTTTGTTGCTGTTTAGTTTACTGAACTCGGTTCGGTTTGCACAGATGTCCATTATGGGCTGAGATGCGGTTGTTTTGGCGGGGCGGGCAGAAAACGGGCTTGAGACTACATCTTAAAGTTGCAGCATATCACTAACCAAGTCGGCTTATTAGAACAGTCATATCGTAATGATCAAGTTGTTCAAAAAAATATAAATGTGTGATACGCGATATTCTTGTTGAAATCCGTGTGTAATGGGCAGCATTACTAGATAGTTGTTGCGAGCTCTCTGTTTCTGTCTTGTAACTTGAACTGCCTCAAGAGTTATCAGGGGAGAAGTTATCTAGCACCCCAGCTGTAGCTTTACAATATAGGTGATCCATATATTCAAATATTCAACTGCCGGGCTTAATTGAAATGGCAGCAGCAGTAGCAGCAATAGCTTATGGTATAGCGGGCGTGCTGATTATCAGAATTGGGATACTAGATGACTTTCTCTTTATCAATCCTAGGAGAGCGTGAAAATGCTAATAAGAGCATCAAGACATCTATAGACAAGACGATATACGAGCTTCAGTATTTGACAAAAAATTATCAATGGAGTCAAAGCTGCTGCGCAATGCCATTTCCCGAGAGCTGCAGGGTAAACAGATGCTCTATCTAAGAGCAGAACTGGACCCGTTACACGTATGGAATCCTGCTGCACATTGTGTCACAGGGCATGATCCCTTTGCAGCATATCGAATCTACGGTACGTTGCATCTATATTGCGGCGAGGCGCAACAAGCTGATGCAAGCTTGGAAGCCAGTTGACAATCATCCAGCGTGCTATTGGATCAGCCGCCAATCGATGCACCCAGAGGGCCCATAATCCCTGCATGTTCAATGTTGATGCGCAGCAGTGACCAGCACCTGAAGCCAACGCTATAGGGCTGTTCAAACTCAGTTGATAGTGATCTCAAGGCCCGGATTTTCTAGAATTGCCGGCTGGCAGAGTAAATGCCATGCGAAGAATAATTGGCAGCTACGGCAACGAAGAAAAACATTAAACTTCTCCTCTACACAATTCCATCTGCCCTTCAACGCAACGCGACGCGCAGCCAACGCATCCTCGCAACTCTCCCTCAGAGCGCCATCGCCGTCCGAGACACAGTCCCTATCCTAACCGCTACGGGACTTTGCGTCTCCAGGCCCAGGGCACGGCAATCTTGCCACCGAACGGCATTTTAGCGAGACGATCTGATAGCGTCTCCAAGGCAGAAGCTCTCCCCATAAAGGGCCAGCAAGAAACAGCCAAGTTACATGTACGTGCCCCACCAGATTCAATTTCCCCCCTTGGCTGAGCCACTGAGGCGCTCGCGTTCGGCCCCCCCTGGTCGGCTTTTTTCCTTCGCCCTTCCCGACTGGCCCAGCCCTGCTCCTCGTTTCCCCATTGGCGACGTTGCGGCAACAAACGCACCCCTGCCTTGCGTTGAAGCCACCTGGTGCTTTTCTTTTGTCGTGTCCTCAACCGCCTGTACGTTGTTCTGTTTTCCCTTTTCTATGCTTGTTCGCTGCCATCGATCATCAATCCCGCGTCTGGGCAATTGAGGCATTGCGGCTGGCCTTTTCACATTCCCTCACATCTTTCCGTGGCCGGTGTTTAACGTTTCTACCAGATTGCGGATTTGCGCCAACCTTGAAGGTTTGCCGCTGCAGTTAACCCTGCATCTCTCCGCTGGTATAAAACGCTTCAGCATCCGTCAACGGTAGCACCTCCGGCAGCTATCTGACAATCGATCGAGCACCTGGCCGTTGCGTCTCTCTAATTTCCTTTTCAGCTCGCTGTTCGTCGCACAAGCCATTGTCGGCTCAGGGGAGAAGCGAGAAGATAGAGCAGCCGTTCGCTCCGCTCGTCTCGACATCGCGGCGTCGTTTTCCGCCGCCACATATCACGATCTCACTTTGCCCACTGATAGCAATTTAGAACGAAAAAGCATTTTAGAGTCATCATGGCCGACGCAAGCATGCTTTACACTATTGGCGCCTATGCCACCCTGATTGGGTTTGGCTATGCCATCTATCACTTTTCGACACAAAAGGACAAGCAGAAGGGCGGCGTCACTATTACCAAGCCCGCAAAAGCCCCCCAGCAGCCAACTGTTCGGAAAGAAGACCGAAAAAAGAAGCAGCGAATGGAGAGCTATGCGACTGAGAGCAAGTCATCCAAGCCCGAAGCTCAGAAAGAAAAGGCCCCCGAAGCCAACCAGTGGCTGAGCAATGATGCTGAGAAGCAAGAAAAGCTCGACAACCGAGAGTTTGCCAGACAGCTCTCCAAGGCCAAGGAGGGTGCCAAGTTCGATAACAAGAAGGAGGCTGCCAAGCAGCGAGAGAAGACTGTGAAGCAGTCCAAGGCTAACAAGTCCAAGGCTGCGCCGGCCCCAGAGGCCGTCGTTTCTGCCCCGTCGTCCAACGGCGCCGACGCCGACGATGACGAGTCTCCTGTTGCTCTGTCTCCCGAGACTCGTCCCGTGGACGTCAGCGGTGTCAGCGACATGCTCGAGCCAGCCTCTACGACCGGCCCTTCCGTTCTCCGTCTCACTGATACCGAGTCCAAGAAGCAGAAGAAGAAGGCTTCCAAGAACCCTGAACCGGTTGAGACCAAGAAGCAGAGACAGAACAAGAAGAAGGCCGAGGCCGCCAAGGCTGCTCGTGATGAGACCGAGAAAGAGCGCAAGGTTCTCGAGGAGAAGCAGCGCCGAACTGCTCGCATAGCCGAAGGCCGTGCTGCTAAGGATGGCTCTGAGTTCATGGCAGCCGTCAATGGAAAGAAGTCTGCTTGGGACGGCACCAATGGAACCAACGGTGCTGCTGCTAAGAACGGAGATGCAGCTGCCTATGCCCCTCTTGATACCTTTGAGAAGTCCACTCCTGCCCCCACTGCCAAGAAGGAGACTGTCAACCAGCTAGAGAGCTCTTGGATCTCAGCTCTCCCCTCCGAGGAGGAGCAGATGGAGATGCTCAAAGAAGAATCTGATGAGTGGAACACCGTCAAGACCAAGTCTTCCAAGAAGTCCAAGAAGGCTTCTTCAGTTGAATCCGGAGAGGAGGCCACCCAGGCCCGTCCTGCGGCTCAGACTCAGCAATCCACCGAGACCAAGAACCGCCCTGCGGCTAAGCCTGCAGCCGCCAAGAACTTTGGAGGATCTTTCTCTGCATTGACCACTAAGGATGATGATGCCGAGGAGGAGGTTGAGGAGGAGTGGGATGTCTAAAGCCCCGGATACACGATGACGGATACAAACTGTGCATACATTGCCCAGCTGCGGGGGGCAGCCTAACGCATATCCCCCCGGCCGGTGTATACTACTCGCCAAACGGACATACCCCTAGCCGTTGGCATTTTCTCTATTTCCCTCTCCATCTTGCTAATCTGTATGGATGCCATATATGTTGGATTTGAGAGACATTCTCCAAAAGTCTACCACGGGAGGTAGGAAAACACACACAAAAAAAAAAAAAAATGAAAAAAAAAATGATATGAGACGAGGCTTATGGATGCATTTATTCGGCAGGCAGTTTGCCAATTGTCCAGTGGTCAGGGGGAATTGCGGAATCGACTTGTTTTAGCGCATCATATAAATGCCATGAGGTCGACCTTTGTTTTCTTTTATTCAATTTTTCTTAGTTGTTCTTTTTAATCTTCATCTTCTCTTGCCTTTGTCACTACATTACGAATTTGGCTGTTGAAGAGTGAGACTGGGAAAACGGTCTTGCGGCGGAGGCAAACAAAAAAGGGAGGACGCAGATGCTATGAATGAAACTATTCCGGATGGACAAAGGACGAGATAAAGACGTGTGTATGTAAATAAATACTGTTGGTATCAGAACTCAAAATGGGAAAAATCTACGCTTGCTATTATTGAATGATTGTTGTGGGTTTCAAGGTGATTGATAGGTGGTGATGCTGTTTGTGATGGTCCAAGTGAACCACGACACCTTGATGGCACCATCGAGAGTCCAGTAGCACTGCCACTAGTAGTACTACTAATAAATTCAATTGCTCGCAATTGCTCATCACTGGCAAACAATATCCCAACCGCGCCTTTGCTTGTATGTAAGTAAATGAAACTGATTTATTGTCAGTACGTAGATGCACTGATTAAATAGAGAGCATTGAAGCGACGCTGTGTCCGCACGGTCATGGTATTAGCATCCGTCTCCTCCCATTCTCACAGCAGGTATTGAAGCCAAAAAAAAGTTTGCCTCCCAGCGCCTATTCCTGCATTCCGCATCCGCATCCGATTTGGAGCAAGGCCCGATCGAAACGCCTGGTGTGGTGCCTGGGGTGCAGCAAGCCACACACCTCCCTCGAAATGCCCTCGTTCCCCCGGACTAACGTAGCACTAAAAAGTTCCATTGAATGTCTACGGGGTAGTATTGGATGCTACATTGGCATTCCTGTAGGCTTTTGCTGGCCCCCTTATAAACAGTTGGCGGCCGTTCTTACTGCTGTGGCTGCTGTATTTGGGCGGCTATAACGAGGCACACACACAGTCACACACACGCACAGGCATTTGGCGCTTCCCGGATGTCCGCCTCGCTTTTTTTTTTTTTCGTGGCGTGGCCAGTTTTGTAGTGGTGTTGAGTCGGAACCGGGTGCCGTGAGCCCGTCCAGGCCACCATTTCTCAAAGTAGCCCACCGCGGGGCTTATTATCCGACTCTTCAGTCTCCATCAAGACACATATTGTGAAGTGGGCATGGACGGGTGGACGTCGTCCCGGACAGGAATTTTTGTTGTTGGCTTGCCACCTTGGCGGGACGGCCAAGTCGGCTCCCGGTGCCACCCTTTCGATATGGCTGACTTTTTTGTCCCTAACTTTTTTTCTGCTTCGTGTGCGAATGATACGACAAAGTTACCATGAGCTAGTGGGCATCGTTACTGCAATTCCCGCGGTCCCGAGGTAGCAAACTAATCCATTTTCTTCTTCTCCGTCTCCTCTTATTCTCATGCTCGCAATGTTCTTACGCACGGAACGTCGGGATCAAGTGAGATATTTTCGTTGGTGTCAGCCAAGCAGGTGGGAATGCGCAGCGGGGGGGGGGCCAGCGCACGGCCAAGACGTCTATTGACTCGATGACGACGACTCGTGAGGGGGGAACAAGTCAAACATTGAAAGTCCTAGAATGTTTATTGGAATCTTTCTTTTTTCCGTACCGAACTCTGCTGGATCTGTTCGCTAGCTTAGGCACCAGGTCTTGTCCGTGCGTACATATGTGGTCAGTATTATGTGTTGAGGGCGCAGTAGAGCAAGTTGATCATGGCAGATGACGGCGACGTGGCATGTTGGTATTAGACGCTGGTGCCGCTGCTGTCCAGTCAATGCTAGAGCAACGCAAGGGTCTGGCTTGTTAGTCTTTATGCTTTTCTCGAATTCTTTTCGACACATCTGTTTTTCTGGCAAGCGAGGAACCCCCAAGCTTTATCTGACCCTCCTTGTGATGTCAAGAATCTGAGAGGCGCCGCCTGTGGGGAGCAAATAGAAGGTCGAGAATGCCCAACATGGGAGGCACAAGTCGCCATTGGCGGCCACGGCACGGCGCTCATTCGAACGGACGGGGTCGATAGCGCAACTTAGCTTCAGTAGCTCCGTGGCACGAGCACGAACAGGCGCAAATGGTCGTTGAAGAGAGAAGTTACCAGGCCTGCAAAAGGCCAAACCTCCAAGGTCAATTTTGGACCCCGGAACCCTGGACGTGCCACTTGCCGCTTGAGGCAATAGGGAATCAGAGAAGGGTACATGGGCGTTGGGCGCAGTCTGGCCACCAGAAGAGGTAGCCCTCCCCCATCAGTATCAGCAATGAAACGAACGACAGGCATTGTCCCCCGTTCCGCAATTCGCTTGCGGGCAGGGTCCATTTGCTGGGCGAGGATCCCCAATGCTGTGCCCCCCCCAGAGATAGATCCTTATCTTACTGTGATGATGATGCGCAGCGCTCGCACGTAGTTGAAACGCAGAGACTCAAGTCAAGTGTTTCATCCGCGAGGCCAGCTGCTCCAACCGGCCGCACGCCAAGCGCTGGAGTCGCGCGCGCGAAGACAACCAAAGCAGCATAGAAGGGACGAAAAAGATGGGGAATTAGACCGACGCCGTATGCGAGGACCGCGGACGGAGCGCCAGTGGCTCTTTTAGTTGATTGGGGGACCCGTTTCTCCATGGATCTAAGCGGTGACCGCGCCCCCGAGACAGACGTATTCGCAGCACTAAGATATTGGGGGCAGGTATCCGAGCTCGAGTAAAATGAGAGAAATATCACGATGTCTCCGTATCTGCCACTGGGGACGGGCGTGGGTAATTAGACTCGTAATGCTTCGCACGCTGACGTGACGTGACGGGAATTGACGGTGATTTAGACAGAGTTTCGAATGCCTCATGATAAAAGATGGAAGCAGAAAGCCTGACGAGGAAAAAAGGTTTCTGCAGCAGGTTGCTGGCAACTCTATTGGGCCTCGACGGCCGAAGCGCAAGCCTCTGGCGGCGTTTTAGGTTCCTCCGCAGGCGGGTGGGCAGCAGTAAAATGAAGCCCAGGCCACATCGCCAGCTAAGCTCCCGGCGGTGCCTTTCTCGCATGCGCCAGGACTGCTTGAGTCGTAGCAGCGCTGTTTGAGGCCTTTGTGGCGAACCGTCGCGGGGTCCAGGCTAGCGGGCCTTACCACTGTCAGGCAATCATAAGGCCCTGGTCCCCCCCTGCCCATCAGGGCCTCTCTGATCCTCTGATCTGCTGTCGAAAAACCGCCGCTGGGCTTGTGGTAGCGCCGCATCTTCAGCACGTTACAGCGCAGCGATCTCTCTCTTGCGTCGATCTGCGCCTCTCCCTTCCCTTCCCTCTCCGTCTCTCATACACTCTTCAAAACCTCCCTCCACGTCTCTAATTTTTTTTTACGCGCCTCGTCCCAAAATCCAACCCTCCTCCAAAAATAGAGGCCAGCCAGCTGGACTTGCTGCCCGCCCCCCTGGTGCTTATAGAGGCTTTGGTTTTATTTTTGGCGCTGCTCGTACTGAAACGAACCTCGTCGCTACGCATTTCCGCCCTGCCACCGTCTCGCCTCGCCATCTCCTTTCCGCAGCCGCCTCTTCTTGCCTTTCGTCTCATAACTTCGCATTGTCCTGCGTCATTGCCAATTTTCCTTTTTCTGTTTCTTTCTTAGACTCTTTTTTTTTTCCCTTCCTTATTGTGACGACTTTCAATTATTCTTTCATTTCCCTTTGTCACGGTTCTCTTCTACCTTCTGGGGACATCTTGAGACTTGAAACTGTCGCAGACCCCCTTAACTTTCTCGACGACACGCTTCGCTGCCCCCACGCCTCCAATCGCTTTACGAACTATCGAAATCTCCATTCCATTCCAGTGTGCCTAACGACGACTTTCTCTTCTGGATAGCAGCAACCTGTTTGTTATTATTGGTCTTTTTCTTTGGGCTGCTGGACTCTCATTTAGCCGATTCGCTGCGTTTTCCATCACGACCGTTCGTTCTTTTGATACCGACACTTCAACACGCCATTCGACGTCCATGTTGGGGATATCAAACGCCAATTAAAAGGCATTCTACATACGGGGACGTGCCCTGTAGCCTTCCATCATGTCCTTTCCCGTCGCGCTACAGTCGGCCATCTTCTATCTGCTTGCCTGCACACCATGCGCCGAGGTACGGCATCGTCACAAGGCCAAGGGCCAGGCCAAGAAGGAGAGGGTAGAAAAGGCAAAACTAGAGACGCAGCAGCCTGGCTTATATCGACATCCCTCACCGTTCAACACCAATCCCTACTGGCAAGAAGAAATTCGCATGGGGCCTAGCTTACCAAAGAAATCGGCGAGCAAAAACTCAAGCCAACGGGGCCTGATGAGCGCGGGAGGAGAGACAACGGGAGAGATCAGTGCACTGAGCCTGTCAGGGCGAACAAACACTGGCGATAGCCACACCAATTTCGGAGACAGCACGTTGGTGGTATCACAAGATGGCATTTTATCAGATGACTGGAATTCGCGGCACGGATACCAGCGCGAGGACGAGGAGCTATGGGGAGCAGATTGGACTGGCCACAAATTAAAAGACGCCTTTTCCAAAGCGAGGGATTCAGCTGGAAAGCTAATTGAGTCAACACTGGGCATGGATAAAGAAGTAACAGAGGAGGAACGTCGTCAATTTTATGCGGCCCCACGAAACCCACCTGTCAACGACCTTCACCCACCCGTCGTCAGCAGCAAACTGCCTCACAGGGAGGCTCACAAATGGATGCTGCAGCCACCTCCGTCCGCCAAGGTTATGGAAGGCAAGGTGCCTGTCAGCAGAGCCATGAGCGCTAGTAGTAGAACAAGCGCGAGGACAGCTGCAAGTGGGAGGACAGCTGCTAGTGGAGAGGAAAGGCTAGCTCGCCAATTGCAGGAAAAGCTGGTCAGAGAGAGGATGATGAAGGAATTACCGACTGAATCTGAGCTAATCGACTCACTCTTCGTTTCCCGAACTCGGAGCACCCGATCTGACTTGACACGGACACGTAGCTTGTCATTTGACGGAGGCTCCGACGAGGCATTGGATAACCGACGACGGAATAACCGCTTGAGAGCATTGGCTGTTCCTCCCGGATACGAAGAATCAGAGGATGAGTACGAGGATATATTCACACCTCGCATCACCAAGAGCACCAGCAACTCCAGTCAGCCTGGACACGCTGCGCAACGACCGAAGCTGGAAACTATAACCAGCAGTGAAGGCAGCACCCGTTCACGGTCCAAGAGGTCAAGACGGCACAGGTCCACGAGGAAGAAGAATCTACCTGGAACGGGATCGCCTGTTGGAGATGACTCCGACTAAAGACGCCATATGACAGCATTCTTGTCTTAAAACACCGACATGCGACTGTACTGCATAAACGGCGCAATGATCTGCTTTGCTTTTGTTTTGTTCTTTTGCTTTGTCTGTCTTTTTAAGTTTTCCTTTTTATCCATCTTTTCTCTTTCCACATACATATTCTTTTTGCTTCAATTTCAAGCATAGCACACATGCGGGCGCTAGGAGAGGGAGAGGAAGAGAGGCATCCTTTTGGGTAGTGTTTTATGCTTTTTGGTTTTTGGGTCTGCCCTTGTTTTTTTCTCTCTGGTGCACGTTTAAAAGGCATGGCGTATTTTGGCTGTGGGCTTTTGGTTGTTGTTGGCTTGTTTTTTGGTGTATTTGTAGTAGCAAAGAACAGGCGGGATTCATAGCCTACTAGAAGTGCAGTGCTAGCTTTTGCACAAGAAGATTGGATTATTTTCCACGCATATTGAACGATTCTGTTTTCCACGCATATTGAACGATTCTGTTCCGCGATGTCGGCTGTGAAGCTGTGATTACTTTGCCCAAGAGGGGGGATATCTCTGGGGCATCTACTCAGCCCAATATAGATTTCCAAAACGCCTACCATGCAGCCTGATTTTGACCCTTTTCCTTACTTTCCATTTTATTTCCATAGTTTGTGCTTATAGATGTAGACCATCCTCCTCAGTATCATCTTGGCCTTCTCCTCCTTGCGTCGTGGATTGCGCAGCATTATCGCTGGCTGGCCTAGTTTGCCCTGTCGGTTGGCTATTAAACCGTACTTGGCCGTTTGATATTGTGCCGGTCTGGAATGTGCCGTCCGTCCAAGCCGAATGCCTCGTCTCGCCGGCCTGGCTAGTAGCAAGCTCTCCATTAACAAGTCCGTTTATAGCAGCCTCTTCAATCCCCTCGACGCCAGCATCAGTGTTTGCTGCCGCTCCCGCCACAGCCACCTCATCTTGGCTCTGAAACTCGGTCCAGCTGATGCCTCGGTCTTCTACTTCCATGCGCACAATAGCCAGGCGCTCTGCCATGCGGTCGATGACAACCTCATTTTCCTTGATGGCGTCGATGCAGTCCTGGTCTGGCTCTGCGCTGGAAGTGGATTCGCCGCCGAGAGCGACGGATGTGCCATCTGCGAAGGGCTTGAGCTGGTCGTTGGAGTATTGGAGGTGGGCGATGGAGTTGCGGATTTCGAGGACTTTTAGGTGAAGCATGCCGATGGAGAGATCTTTGATTGCGGAGGCGAAGCGGGCTGGCGATATGGCGGTTGTGTCGGCAGACATGGTGATGGGAGAAGGCTGTTCTTGAGGTAGAATTTCTGCTGCTGTTGTATATGAATGATGATATTCGAGAGTTGGTTTGATTAGACGGAGGTTTGCGACAAAATGTTGGAAGAATGTAAGCTGAGGGAGCTCTATGTGCAGAGCAGAGTTGAAGTTATCATGGAGGGGCTGCTGCTCATGCACGTTATAGTGGGGTTGAACCGTATGGCGTACCCCTGCCAGCCTAAATCTGTGAGTGGCGCAACGCCCGCAATCTTCTTCGGTAGAAGAAATTCTTAGTTTGGAGGGCGGGCAGCAACAACTCCAATATCTCTTTGTCTCTCAAAACCCGCCAATTCGGGGCCACGACACACAGGCTGGGGCCATCGTAGGCCTTTTCGGCACCTCCGGCGCGCAGTTGGCGCATTGAATAAAAGAACAGAAGGTTCGAATCGAGAGAAATAAAGACAACACACCCGCAGCATGAATGGGCTCGGCTGCTCGAACGCTTCTTGGTCGCTGTTGAGGGCTGCGGCTCGGGGCATTTCAAGACAGGCTGGGACCTGCGCGACCTCGACCTCGATAGCGAAGAATGGCGCGGCTACTACGGCGTCGCGATGGATGTCGTGCTGCGCATTACAGAATTCCGGGAGAGGGGTGTTGAGGCGGAACGAATGGGCGGGATTGAAGGCTTGCAGGAAGCTTGATGGTGGTCGCCGGACATTCTTTGGGCCAAAGATTATTCGGGACTATGAAGAGCTGCCTAAGAGCTACAGAGACCAAGCTGGGCTTGCCTTTAGCGGAAGGGACTTGTCAGAGGCGGAGGTCGACAAGATATTCGGTAGGCGTATCGGCGGTAAAAGGGCGAATCACCTGCTTCGAATCTTACACGGCAGAAGAGTATCGGGAACGCTGGAAGACCCTGCCTTTGCGATACATACGGCGCAGTTTACGGAGGAGGAGATTGCCAGGGCCTTGGCCTACCTGCGGAAAACGGTGCCCGTGGAAGAAATTAGGAATGCGGGCTTGAGAGCGGAGGACGAGCTGGAACAGATGGAGCAGGAAATGGAGCGGGCAGCTGAAAAGAAGGCAAAGGCTAACAAGGGAGAAGCCAAGGAAGAGGAGGAAGACGAAGCCGAGGTCTACACACCTGATCCTATCTACGGCCGAAGTAAGATTGACGAGTTGCGAGCTCGGACTAAGGCCAGAGAAAAGGCAAGGGAAAAGGCTCTCGAGGAAGAGCGCAAGGCTAAAGAGGCTGTCGAAGGCGTTTCAGGTCCATTGGCGAAGCGGGATAACCATGTCCCAGAGATTACGAATCCTAAAGTTGCGGAATACTACAAGGCTGCGCAGTCTGAGATGGACGCGCCGCCGGAGCTGAAACCCTGGGAGCGAATTCTGCCTTCTGCGACTGTTGTAGCCCTGGTACTCGGATTCTTCGCTGCGGTGGCCATGGTCTATGAAGAGCCGGCGCCGCGCTACAGGCTGTTCCAGGAGGTATCGACTGCGCACGCAACGGTGGGAGCTTTGATTGGTATCAATGTCCTGGTATACTTGGGCTGGAGGGTACCGCCGCTCTGGCGTCTCTTCAACAAGTACATGATCTTTGTCGTGGCGACGGTTCGGCCCGTCACGCTCTTCACCGCGGCGTTTTCGCACACCAAATTCAGCCACTTACTGGTCAACATGGTGCCCCTGTGGTTTGTCGGAACATGTCTCCACGACGAGATTGGCCGCGCGGATTTCCTCGCGCTGTATCTCGGCTGCGGCTCTGTAGGCTTCCTGGGCAGTCTGATTACGTATACGCTCAGGGGCTGGCTGACGGTCACGTCGCTGGGCGCATCGGGAGCGACGCTGGGACTGTGCTCGGCGTACTTTTGGGAGCATCGCACGGACGGCTTCAAGATCTTTGGGCTGCCGCAAGACGGCGTCCATGGGATTGTGTTTCTGGCGCTGATCACGGCGGTGCAGTTGGCTGGTTTGGGGAAGACGGTGAAGCTGAAGGTGGATATTGCGTCGCACATTGCGGGGATTGTGGCTGGTATCTTGGGTATTGAGCTGTTGAATAGGACGGAGAGGAGGAAGACGCCTGCGGAGGGGGATAAGACGGTGATTGATATCTTGTCTGGAGAGACGAAGACGAAGACGCATGGGGTGGCTGATGGGAAGGAATAGATGCATGGGATTTGATGCTATATAGAACTGTACTTATGTAACAACACTACTTATCTTATGACATGATGTGAGGATTTATGGATAGAGAGCATATGGGAGCTATTGAGAGTGATAATCAATCGTGAGCTGTGCTGTGGTTCTGCAGTGTGAAGGATTTGGTACTCAATGAAACAGGCGAGGGCTCATGCATAAGGCTGTAGATGCACTAAACCCTATGGCTTTTGGGCTATATACCTAGATGCCATATGAATGGCGTATAAATAATTCATATCTGCCAATGACGATGATGCTACATCTTGAAAATGAGAACACACAAAGGAATTCCAAAATTAGGATTATTAGAACACCACCTTTGCATTGCAGACCTTGATATTCACTTGTCTTGTCCCTCGTCTCTTTGGGGTCACCGCTGCAGCCCGTCGTCATTGCTGCAGCAAAAGATGGAGAGGGTGCCCCACTGAAGACAGCCACCCTAGCTGCCCGTTAGCGCGGCTGCAGTTTCCGGGCAACGACAGCGTCATAACAGACCACCTTGGCAGGAACAGGCCGTGGGGCCCCACTCTTGCGGAAAGAAGAGAGTGTGATGTGATGAGCTGGCAGGAGCTTTGCCTTACAGTACTTTGAGGCCGCAAGGCGCGGTGACTTGCGCCAACGCAAAATGACGATGTCTCTCTTTTCTTTCAGCGCCGTTTCTTGCTTCTTCTCTTTTCTTCGTCCTCTCCTCCCATTGTCTCCTTTCTCTGACGCAACACGTGTGCCTTCGGCAACCTCCTTTACGAGCTCCATTTATTTGCCCTCTCCTATCTTTGCGCTTGCTGCAGCCTTTCTTCAGCTGCCGATAGACCGATCAATCAAGCCCAACGGGGCTGACCCTTACTTTTAGCCCTTAAAACTCTCTCTCCGAAATTTGCGCGCCGGAGCCTTTCGCGTTTCGTGAGCGGCACAAGTGCTAAGCCTTTAGGCAAACGATAGCTCGGAACCATCCGCCACACACAGCAATACTGCGTCTTCTGCTGCGCATATGCATGCATATACCTGACACCACTCGATCCAGCTCATTCTTCATCTGCAGACGTTGCTTTTTGGCAGACCAGCGCTAGCCCAAAGGCGAGGCTGTGAAGAAACCTCGCTGCACGATACTGACCGGCATAAGCCTCAGCCCACTCTTTTCTGCCTCGCCAGAAGGGAACTCGATTGGCGCATCCAGCCCCTAACGCCTGGAACGCAACGCCCCACGTTAGCGCTAAGATTGGCGCTGCACGTTCGCGTGCCGGGTTTTAGGAAGAGATTCGCTGCAAGCTGGGGTATTGGCGGTGGCCGCGCCTTTTGGCTTTCTGGTTGCTGGGCCTTGAGTGTGCCCACACGCCCCGAGACTCCGCATCTGGAACCTGCAAAACTAAAACCTTGGGACGCAAGCTGGCTCATATTCGCTCTTTCATCCTGCATCGCTACGTTGCCTCGAGACCGGACATAGCTGGAGAAGCAACGGAAATTTAGGTTTCAGAGAGAGAATCGGAGAACTCAAAGATATCTCTTTGTTACGAAATGGTCTAGCTTAAATCGCGGCGCACTCGAATTTTCTCTCTAGGGCGACTTCGCGCGTTCTTCCCACCCCCCTTTGCTCTTCCCTTTCCTCTTTACTTTTTATACAAGGACGACTTCCAATCTAAAGAGCCATGAGTGAACCATCAAGTCCTCTCTCCTCGCCTCGCGGCTCTTCCCGCGACTCTACCCCGTCGTCGCCGTCGTCACCCCTCTCGACTCTCTCAAACACGCCCTCCTTACCAGACACCTCCGTCTCGTTGGTCGATCCTTCACGACGGTATCCCTCGCCCATGTCGACGACTGCCTCGGGAGCCCAGTCTCCTATGAGATCAACAGCCACAATTAGCCTTGGACAACCCGTCTCTGACAACGACTCTTCAAAGAGTGTAGATGACGACCAACCCCCAGCTAAAAGACGCAAGGTTTACCAGCCCAAGGAGCGCACAACAGAATATTTGAATTACCTGAACAAGGACGATAAAGATATGACAGCCGAAGAAAAAGCACAGGAGAAGAGGTTGATCACGGCGCTGCGGAAAAAGAAGAAGATTGTTGTTATTGCAGGGGCTGGCATCTCTGTATCGGCAGGAATTCCGGATTTCAGATCCTCCACAGGTCTCTTCGCGCGTGTCAAAAATCAACACAACCTGAAGGGATCGGGCAAACACCTCTTCGACGCGTCTGTCTATAGACATGACTCCTCAACGCAGTCCTTTCACAGCATGGTCCGGGAAATGAACGAAATGACCAAGAAAGCGAGCCCAACCCCATTCCACCGCCTGTTAGCATCCCTAGCCCAAGAAGGACGTTTAATGCGACTCTATTCTCAAAATATCGATTGTCTGGATGCGAATATGGAACCGCTGGCTACCGAGATCCCTCTGCCTCTCAAGGCTCCCTGGCCAGCTACCATCCAGCTTCATGGTGGACTACAGAAGATGGTCTGCAGCAAATGTGGCCATTTAGAACCGTTCGACGGGGAAGTATTTGACGGACCTGAGGCTCCGCTGTGCAAGGAGTGTGTAGTGCACGATGAACTAAGGACATCATTTGCCGGAAAGCGGAGTCATGGGATTGGGCGCATACGGCCGCGATTCGTGCTCTATAACGAGTATAATCCAGATGAAGAAGCCATTGGAAACGTATCGAGTGCAGATCTGAAAGCCCGCCCGGATTGCGTTATTGTTGTTGGAACCACCCTCAAGGTTCCAGGCACAAGGAGGCTAGTCAGAGAGATGTGTCAGGTCACAAGAGGCCGAAGAGATGGACTCACGATTTGGATCAATACCGATGCAGAGCCCAAGGATGCGTTATTCAAGGACTGTTGGGATCTTGTTGTACGCTCTCCATGCGACAAGGTAGCTCACCTCGCAGCCCTACCTCCGTGGGATTGCGACATCGGCAACGACTATCTTGTGTCTGCTGAGCAAGACGGCCAGAACCAGGAGCGTCTCAAGAATACCAAATTGGAAGTTGCGCTACCACCGATTCAAACCAATCCTAGCCTTGATCGCGAGCTGGATGCTATCCCCACGCCGCAACCCAGCCCTAAGCTTGCGGCCAAGAGGCAGTTGAAGATTGTACTCGGCAGGGAGCCTCCTGAAAACGCTAAACAAACTAGGGCAGCAGCGAAGCCGCGTCCTCGAAAGACGAAGCAGCCCGCTAAGCCCAAGGCTCCTCCAAAGAATGCCGTTACTGAGACGTTTAAATCCGTCAAAAATGTCGCTAGAGGCAAGACGACGGCGAAGAAGCTTGATGATCCCATTGATCTATCTTCTCGGCCGCTTCTCCTGCCGCCTCTGAAGTCCGAACCCCTAAAGGCAGAATTCGACTTCTCTTACGATACTCCTCAGAGCGATTTGAGCTCTTTACCTCCTTCCACCCCTCTTGCACCTCCCAAAAAGCAAGAGACGATATCTCCCAAGTCTATACCCCGCAACATGGAAAATTTAATCGATTATTGAGTGAAACGATACAGAGTCGACTAGAATATGTATAAAATGGCATTGATATGACGGCGTTTTTTTTTTTTTTTTTTTTTTTTTGTTTCAACGGGACGAAGGAACTTTCGGCAGGTACATAGCCGGTCATTCGTGGGATTCGGTATATATATATACCACAGGGGCGATGGATTCTGGCTAGGTTGGGAGCCCGGAGTATAAAAGCATGGCGACTTATGCCTACGATTATAAAGTATTTACTACCCGAAGTAGAGGAAATGGGAATGGAATATACTTGTGGGTTTGAGGGGTCTAATAGGCGGGATAGCCTTGATAGAAGTCATAGCGAAAACGTAATATTAGTACAATGCTTTAAACTTAACAATGGCTATTGCGTCTGTAAAAGTGACAAGATCAACCATATTAGTCCCTCCACTTCATACTTTGTATGGACTCCAAAATAACCCGTCTCCATTCCATTTCTCCTGCAGTCGATCCAGCTCTGCGAGCTTCTCTTCAGAGAGAAGGTCCCGTCGCCCAGGGAGGAACTTCATTATACCAGGGAAGACCCTTCGCGGTAGACCAGCCTCCTCGTCATCTTTCTGTAGAACTGCCACGGCTTCGTCATACAAGGCCGCCAAAGCATCTCTTGTGGCAGGTTCTGTAGACCACATTACCCCGATGGTACAAAACCCCCTGTCTCTGGCTTCGACGAATCTTGCTTTACCTTCTGGGGTAGCGCCAATCTCCGCCATCTTGGAAGGATTAAAGCTATGGAACATGAGCGCAGAGCGAACAGCGTCTGGGTATTTGTCCGTCACGGCGAGATATTTCCCGTAAGCGTCTTTGAGGGCTTGAGGGGAGAGGCGGGCGAACCGGTTGGAAGACATGGATTTGAAGCCGCCGTGGACGTTCATTGGGTCGAAAGCATTGTTGGCGTTGGCGAAGGGGACCTGCATTGTGTCTGCCTTGACGGCTTTTTCGACAAGAGATGGGTTGAAGAGGATTTTCCCCACGGAGGAGGCTTCGGCTTCACTGGCAGGGCCGTAGTATGTGCTTGTAAGGAGAACGATGGGTTTTCCGGCGAATGGAGTTCCTGGAGGACCACGAGAAAAGCCAAAGATGACGTTCATGGGATCTGGAGGAGGGGAAGCGGCGAGAAAGGCGTCAATGGCGGCATCGATGACTGTGGGAGGGAAGATCAAGGTACGGCTCCAGATGCTGGGAGAGGGATCGTCCTTGCTGGCTGGCGAGAGGTTCAAGCTGCTCAGGGGGTATGCCTTCATGGTAGCTGAAACGACGACGCAGAGGCCGTGGCCAGTGCCGCAGAGGGCGTTGAAGAGCGCGAGTTCTTCACCTTTGGAGGAGGAGCTGATATCGAGGATGTCTCCTGAGGCGGTGACTACGCGGAAGCTCACGACGTTGTCGGCCATCCAGCCGATGAGGCCGTTTTGCGAGCAGTTGCCGCCGCCGAGGAGACACCCGACGACGCCGACGGCGTTGGAGTTGGCCATGGCGGTGAAGTAGCCTTCTTGCGCGAGATATCGCATGACGTCTCCTGTGAGGGCGCCTCCTCCGATGTGGACGTGGGAGGCTTGCTTGTCTAGCTGGATGGACTTGAGATTGGCGAGGTCCAGGTAGAGCGTGTTTGAGGTGATTGGGACGGCGGCATTGTGGCGTCCTCCGGCGGGGATGATTGTGAGGTTGTTGAGGTGGGCGAATTTGATGGCCGAGACGATGTCTTGTTCGGTGTTGGGAGTGATGATGATGGCTGGGGGGGAGTTGATGAGGGTGTCTGACCAGCGGGAGAGGGTTTTGGTGGCGGGGAGATTGGGGTCGGGGATGGAGAAGGGGGAGGTTAGGAGGGAGGTGGATTTGAACGAGTCTGCCATGGTTTGATGTGTTTGGTGTTCTTGATTAATAGAGGGTTGTGAAGATGAGGTTGGAGGAGTATGTGTTTGGAGTGACGGTGGGACCCTTTAATAGCATTCACGATGGGTGGCTGGATTAAAGTTATGCTGTTTAGATAATACTGCTAAGCTTGTTTGTCCAATTAAATAATAAGAGAGAACTTGATTGATGACAGTTTGTATGTATAATTTGGCGTCTGACAGCAGAGGTATTTGCTCAGGATTGCACGTTAGCAGACGTGTAGCTCGCTTGAGAATAAGCACTTGGACTTTTCGGACATCAGCAGACGGGTATCATATCCCAATCCCGATTGGCACTGCCGTATAACAGTATAACACCACTTGATAGCGGGGTAAGAGAATTTTAATTGCTCTTTGGCTGCGAGCTATAGGATTGTCGGATCCATCGAATCGTATGTTGAAGGCGAAGACTCTCGGTGTAAGAGACGCATGAACGGGTCCTGTACGAAAAAGGGCGGCAGAGTGATTAGCTACATGCACATGGACGCAAGATACATTAGTGCTTCTTCGTGAATAACATTGTTATTATCCCATTTCTTTTTTAAATTAGTTGTTCAGCAGTAGTAAATGTCCTTTTTGAGCATCGGGAAAGAGAATTGAATCATAATTGTCTGTCTTTCCCTCTTCTCCAGCGTTACTTTTTGGATTGTTATTGTGCTGCTGACCAATTTTTGGATCTGACAACTCACTGCTGACTGCTTTTATCTTTAGGAATCAGTCCACATTTAGCTACCGTATACACGTATATGTGTGGAACAATCTGTGCGGCTGCGAGATACATACAATGAATATGATTGGGCTATTAGTGCAGTGGCAATCTTAAGCCCACTACTTGGTGCTGTTCTTGTCGTTCATGTCATTTACATCGTCGATAGTAAAATCAAGAAAAAGAGACGCACAAACCAAAAGCTTCCCAGAGATATTTACACTTTTCCCAATTCTTCAAATTCACGCATCTCATTCTTTGTGGCTTATTTCCTCTGTTCTCAGGATTCCAGCCATTCATCGATCATTGATCTAGGTTTTCATACTCTTCTCGTAACTTAAAGTCACCCGGGGAGACAAGTCGCCTGCCCAGAGGCGTCATGTCCAGCAGCGTCAGTGTGGGCTGGACCTTTTCCCCTCCCCTCATAAAGGTCGAATACGTGTGATACACATTGCCGTCCTTCTTCAGAAAGACGCTGAATCCGGGAACGTCGCCCTTGAACGATGGCTTGAACCTGGGATCAGACTCTTTCAACGCCTCAAAGTTGTACTCTTTGGGAGCTACTGCTTCGTCCAAGGTCGCGTGGAAGTCATAGTTGAAGTCGGAGTCACCGCTGGAATACCACGGGAATTTCCATCCGGCGAGATTCTTGTATGCCTCGATCTTGTCTATCGGAGCGCGGGAGATGGCAACGAGATTGGTGTCTTTGGATTTGAGATGGCGCACGTCGGGGAGCGACTCGCCCATGTGAGTACAACCAGAGCATCCACGATCATCCTTGGGGTCGAACATGAAGTGGTAGACAATGAGTTGCTCTTGGTCATCAAAGAGATCGCTGAGAGAAACTACCTTGTCGCCGGGACCATGAAAGACATACTCTTTGTCTATCTTGACCATGGGCAGCTCACGGCGCTCGGCGGCGAGTACGTCGCCTTGGTGCGTGTATGCCTTTTCTTTTTCGAGAAGAGCTTTGCGAGCGGCAAGCCACTCTTCACGGCTACCAACCTTTTATGGGAAGCAAATATTAGTACGAGTAACATGCAGCAGACTCGGAAGCTAACATGTAACTGCTTACTTTGCCTGGCATACTGTTCAATGGCGATGACGAGCTTTTATTTGTTCCTTATTTTGAAGAATGTGGGTGAGTAAACACTCGAGATCAATTGAACTGAGCTAAGTGAGATTATCGTAGCTGAGATCGAAGTCGCAATTAATGTATTCTCAGACGTCTTTAAGCTTCCTCAATTGGCCATGTTATATACACCAGAAATTCGCCTCTATCTCAAAATGTTCACTAATCTGGACATTTCGCGTATATCTGGAATTGTCATTTTGCCTTTGCGACTTGGCATCAGATCGACGCATGTGGCGTCCGGGGCAGGCAGACAGACCACCCAGTTCAGCCTGGTGATGTGCAAATACAGGAATAGCTTCAGGCTCCAGAGGAGGGGTTTCAAAAGACTGAGCGGTGGCTTTATCTCTGGCGATTAAAAAGGCGTTGCGCGAAGACAATGATTGGATGACAGGAGTTTCAGCTTTGAAGTTGTTCTATAAGGGCATGTCTCAACGCAGCTCATAAACGCAGTCCATGTAGAATCGTGATGTCCGATATAGCATGTGAAAAAATTGATATGCGTGTGTCTATTGAAAAGGAACTTGTTTGTTCAAACTTTGTCGCAGCGTTATTGAAGTGATATCGGCCGAGTACATGTTCGAGTGTAATTGTACTTTCTTCAATTTGACTACATATTATGGGCTTTTAGCATACACACTATGAGGCGCTGTCAACTTGTTTTGCTTCTAAGAGTACAGAGTGCTTTTAGTTGAGCGCTACCTTTTGCTAGCTATTGCGGATTTCTTCGGTCTGGACAAGGTATACCGAATACCTACAACTCGGAGCGACGTTGGCATTTTCTTCTCAAATACATCAATCGGGTTGACGAAGCACCGCCATTGGTGCATTCAATTTTCGGATATCTGTATCGGATCGGAGCTGCGCCGGTTCGTGAATGCGTGTGGGGTCCGTTAACTCGAAACCCCAACTTACGCCCTGAGATTGCGCTATGTAAGTCCCGGCTTGTTAGCGAAGGATTCATGATTCACGCTGTTAAATGTAACGACGTCAACACCGCGAGCCGAGACTAAACAAAGGGGGCCTAGTAAAATGCTGGAACAGGAAGTTGAAGCCGAGTTCAATCCGAAGTGTAAATAATATGCCTACACGATATTGACAGAGTACATAGCAGACCAAGCTTCTCTTCAATCCTCTGTCGAGGGCACATATCCAGTGCTTGTCTGATGAACGATATGTTCCTTGTTTTTCCCTTATCATAACAGGACTCGAGAGTGGTTTCAAACGACAGTGTATACGAGAAATACAAACCTAAATTTCGCTATAATCCCCATCGACGCTCTTTTAGGTATGCAGGTGAAAGACGTCCCGAGTCGAAACTAGAAAGCAAGTTGATCAAGTTTCATAAGATTAGACGTAGGACACTACTCACTATGCGTTAATTTACATATCCTTAGAAAGAAAGACTAGATAAGGTATTACAGAAGTAAGAGAGAATAACGTTACAGAATTGCGGAGATCACCATGTTTCGGCTCGACATCTTCTCTTCGGCTTCGCATCGCAATCCGAGCTCCGTAACCGTAGACCCCGCAAAGAGAAGTATTGTTTGAAAGGTATATATATAGATGCCGCTGGTGGCATGTTATTTTCTTCCTGATACGCATCACAACACTTTGTTCCGCTCCATCACCTTCCGTTTACCATTGTTATAATGCTTTCTACTAGAGGAACCGCTTGGTCTAAAGTAGGCTTCCTCCACGGAAAGCAGAATGCCTATCATCCTATACGAAATCCCAATGGCGTCGTCGCATTCAATAATGCCGAAAATGTAGCTCTGTTCTCTTACTCTAGACTTGGACGAGAAGCTCATCAGATAATAGGGCTTCCTTCATGCTGATCTAGCGAACTTTTTCAACAAACACGTAAGACTCATTGCTATATTTTAGATATATTGCTACTAAAATACGTATAGAATCATTTCGAAGACAATTGCTGCGCATACGGAGAGGGTTACACTGGCACGCTCCGGCTACGAACCGCCATGTCGAATCACTTGAACTTGCACTTTCAGCCTGTGTGGCCAATAGATCCAGAGGACATCACCTTCACTGCCGGAGTGACTGATCTCAACGAGGTGTGCGCCTTGGTCACCTGCAATCCGGAGACGGATGCCATCATGCTGGGAGGACCAGTCTATGGGACCTTTTCCAAAGACTTGGCAATGAGAACTGGGTCCGTATAGTTGTCCCTCCATTTCAGTTTGCTCCAATTAATCATTGAGTCGTTTAGAATAAAGCTAGAGTGGGTGCCAGTGGGCACAGATCAATTCACACCAGACTGCGTAGCCGCGTTCGATGCTGGGTTCGAAGATGCCAAAGCCCGAGGGGTAAACGTTCGTGCGTTGATCATATGCAATCCGCATAATCCTCTAGGTAAGTACATGTAGTATCTACTCTCAAAGCTGAGTTGTTACATGGAAGACTCAAACAAAGTTCAACCAGGACGCTGTTATCCTCCAGAAACATTAAGGGCGTTGCTACAGTTTTGCGCCGCCAAAGGAATCCATCTCATCAGCGATGAGATTTACGCGCTCACGACTTATCCTCGAGACGATCAGCCATCCGAGAAATTTACTTCTATACGCGCCATAGACTACTCTGATATCATTGATCCGACCCAGGTCCATGTGCTCTATGGCATGTCAAAAGTAAGCACTTGTCACAGCTCTTGTTGAGTATGCTAATTGATGCCCTCGTAGGATTATGGAGCAGCTGGTCTGCGCTTGGGCTGCCTTGTATCACAGAATCGTGAATTCTGTAATGCCGTTAGAGCCATATGGTTAGCTTCCATTGTTTCCATCTAAATGTGTCGCGGCTGTTTGCTTACACCGCCAACCTTAGCCGCTTCTCCTCTCCTTCTCAGTTCTCCATGGACCTCGCCGCCAAGTTCCTCGAGGACCAAACTTTCGTCAAACAGCTATTGGACAAATCTCATCGCGTGTTATCCAGAATTCGATTGTTGACTGAGAAGCTGCTTGATGAAGCTGGACTCAAGTATGAAAAAAAGGGGTACGTCTTTCATCCGGATAAGCATCCATCATTACTAGCAGATGCGATCGCGCTGACAGGCATAGAAATGCTGGGCTTTTTATGTGGATAGACTTGTCCCCTCAACTCCCTCTCCGCGAAACAAACGGAGACGGCTGGGCTGCAGAAAAGCTACTGTCGGAACGATTCCTCAGAGCAGGTGTCAAAGTAGATCCAGGAGCAGAGTATCAATCTCCAGAGCCCGGGAGATTTCGTCTCATGTTTTGCGTCGAAGAAGACACATTGAGAGAAGGCGTCAGAAGGTAGGCACCTTTATTGGTATCTAGCTGTGTACAAGAATGCTGATCACTTGTAGGATTGTCGCGGCCCTAAAGGCTGAATAATTCATTTAGGACAAGGTTATTCAGCATCCCTAATTTTGTTATACAGCATTCCGGCATTCCAGCTACTGCTGTTACTGGTGCGATTACGTTCAAATGTATTTGGCAGTTGCATATGTATCCAGATGCGTGGACTGGCTTCCTTGTTGAGCGACAGCTAGGGTGCTGAATAGTGAAATTGAGGTGCTCGATAACATTTCCTTCTGTTAAGAATAAACAGTATAAAATGATTGTCATTGATGTTTTGTGGTATTTCACGATGCCAGGCTGACTTGTGATCCGTTGGGCATATTTAGTTAGAGCCTGAATGTACATCCAAGTGTTATGATTGGTCACTCTGCATGGCTGCCCTATAGGTATACAAGGTGGTATTGGATAAGGCACAATACATGCGATATCACGGCGGCATTAATAGTGTATGTACGTACCGCAAGGCTGCCTTACTTGGGTGCAATATATAAGGGCGTCCCGCGTTAGGTCTCAGCTCTCGCCTGTACATCTACACATTTGCCTACCCGATCAAACAGTGAAAACTGCCATTATCAAAATGTCCAACAATCACAACGTGTCGGAGAGTCAATTTGGACATAACGCGTTGGTTATTCAAGGCAACAATAGCGCACCAATTAATGCTGGTATGCTTCCCTTTTTTTCCCCCCCAAAGTTCCAATATTAAACATCCGTGACCTTGCTAACTAATGCTGTTGACAGGTTCTCCAGAGGAAGACAGCTCTTGGCTTGAGAAAATTAGTCAAGAGAATCCTGAATACCACAAAAGACGCATTTTTGAATCAAAGGGCCCATTCTTACATGAATCGTTTCACTGGATTCTTGACAATGCAGACTTCAACAAGTGGCGCAATGCTGAGAAAAGCGGCGTGTTCTGGATCAAAGGAGACCCTGGCAAAGGAAAGACAATGCTACTTGGCGGTCTGGTCGACAATTTCGAAGAAAGTCCCCAAATAGGTCTCAACCTTGCCTATTTCTTCTGCCAGGCTACAGACTCCAGGATCAATACCGCTGCTGCTGTTATTGGAGGCTTAACTGTCTCACTAATCAAGGAGCATCATGAACTTCGGTCATACATACACACCAAGTATAAACATGACTTGAACAAACTCAACGGGCCTGAAGGATGGTATATCTTGCACGATATTTTTGAAAAGGTCACGCGACACTCGACATTACCCAATCCCGTCTGTATTGTTGATGCTCTCGATGAGTGTGAACAAGAACACGGCTGCAAACAGCTCCTCAGGCTTATCATTGAAACAAGCAGCCGCGTTAAGTGGCTTGTTTCAAGCCGCAATATTACGGAAATAGAGAGAGAGCTCCAAGAAATTGACTCTAGTCGAATGCTAAGCCTGGAACTGAAAGAAAACGCCGAATATATCACCAACTCCGTTGACTTGTATATTGATAACTCTATTCGGAATATCATGGCATTACAAGGCGACGAGGAACTCCAGACCAGGGCGACCAGTGTATTGAAAAGCAAGGCAAATGGCACCTTCTTATGGGTAGCTCTCGTCATCGGGCAATTGCGTCATACAAAACATCGCGATATAGAAGACGTGCTCGAAGAAATGCCAGAAGGTCTGGAGAGTCTCTATAGCCTAATCTTAACCCGATTAACCAAGCAGAAAGACAAGGACGTCTACCAAATCCTACTCTCGACTGTCGCTGCAGCTGAACGACCTCTTCGTCTAGAAGAATTGCTTACATTCATAAGCTTCCGATGGAAAGATTACAAAACGACATATGGCTTGCGCGATGTACAAGATATTGTAAAAGATTGCGCATCCTTTTTATCTATACGGGATGACGATAAGTCTGTTAATTTTATCCACCAGTCGGTCAAAGACTACATGATGGGACCTGCTGTTAGAGTTATTTTCCCTTCAGGAATCGAATATCAGCACTATAGAATGTTTACAACTTCACTAGGCGCCATGTCTCGCATCCTCAAACATAACATATATGGCCTTCGAGATCCTGGAAGCGATATAAAAGCGATTTCTCCGCCTACTCCCGATCCATTAGCGCCTATAATATACTGTTGTATGTTTTGGGTCGAGCATTTATTCCGAAGCTGCGAGTCCGGGGCATCTCGAGATAAAATATACCTGAAGGACGGCAAAGCTCTTCACAATTTTCTCACAGACAAGTTTTTATGCTGGCTGGAAGCTCTGGCCCTCTTACGCTGCCTTGAGCCGCAAGGTGTGGATGCCATTCAAAAGCTAAGAATGCTCCTTCCCGGCTACTGCAAGAGGGGGACAAATAGGAGCCATAGCAGGCAAATGGCAAATTCCCGAAGAAAAGGAGAAAAGAGTCGCTACAGGTTCATTTATCGTTACAAAGACTTATATTTCGGAGCATATTTGATAAAGCATGCGTATACGGTCTTGAATTACTATGACGATTCGCAGCTCAGATCATTTATTGAGATGCGTATCACTTTTTCTATTGCCACAAGGATCTCGTGCGCAACCAGCCTTTACAACTATACTATTCTGCTATTCCATTTGAAGATACGCATAGCGCAATTTCAATGTCTTTTCGGCAGATTATACATACTGAATTCAAAGATGCCCCTACCTCCATAAGAGTGCCACAAAGGCGAGTTTCTCTTGTGCGAAACATAAAACTTAAAGGCCGAGGCTCCATTGTCGCACTTCTTTATTCACCAGACTCCTCCTTCCTATGTTCATTATCTGAGGGTGGCATCGTCTCGCTTTTCAGAACAGATATATACGCCCCAGAGCGGGTGATTAAGCTGGATCTAGATGGGTCCTTATCGAATATTGGTTACCAACTCTTATTCGATTCAAGAGATCTAAATCGCCATTTCCTTGCCTTTTCGATTAACTCGGAACTTCTAGTCTCAATATCTAACACTGGCATTGTGCAGGTATGGGCTGTCAATTGTGGGACCCAGATGCAAAAACTCACCTTAAACCTCAGTACGCGCTTGATAGGACCATCTTATGAGCCATTCCTCCAAGAAGAAGTGATTGCTATATCAAAATTTGGAGAACTCGCAGCATCAACCTGTCGCGCGCTGTCAGGTGCTCTGGGCTCAGTGAAAGTTTGGGAGATAAATGCTGGAAAATGTTCAATTGTGATTGATCGGTCGCAGATGCGCGACATTTCATATGCATTTTTCTCACCAAACTTAAGAATGATAGCCTTGATTGACAGCGAAGTTGCTCGAGTTTACTCTGTTCAGACAGGGAAAGAGATGCACCATATTACCTATGTTACACACCTTCCATGCTATCGGGCTAAGATAAAGATGGACCATATTCTCGGTGATACACTTTTTCAACTCGATCAGGATAAGATAGAGATGATACAGGCTCGATTTTCTACTGATTCAAAAATACTAGCATTGAAGTGCAACTTCGATACATATCTCTGGTGCACTGAGACATGGACAATGGGTCGCCAGATCAAATGCGGATTCGAAACAAGATTATCCGACTTCTTTTCTGATGCAGCTTTGTCCGTACGCAACGATTTAAACGAAATTTTTCTTGACAGCATGGATACAGGAGAGACTTTGCTCAGATTTGAGGCACATGTTAAGGGACAAAATCTCATATTTTCTCCTGATTGGACGCAGTCATCGCTGTTTGCATCTTCCAGTGATTATGAAATTCAAATATGGCTGGCTTTTATAGATACAAGGGCCAAGTCATCCGACGTGCAGAACACTGTCAAATATGGAGCCCGAATCGCTATATCACCCAAATCTAAATATGTGGCGGTGTGGGGTGATGGAGGAGGCAGTATCCAAATTTGGAGTGGAGAGAGCGGCGAATGTATTCAAGCCCTTCAAGGAGAGAAGAATGGACTATTCGAGTGCTCGTATCGTCCATTCTTCTCACCTGATTTGGAACATGTGGCCTGCGTCCAGGGATCAAAAGGCGTTATCCAGATCTGGCACGTTAGGACTTGGAAGCTCATTCACCTCCTTGAAGGCCCACGCCATCAGTTTAACGACGTAAACACGAATTTTTCGGACGATTCACGATACATCGTTGCAGGCTATCATGACGGTCTAGTGAGAGTCTGGTGTGTAGGATCTGGCAAATGTTTGTTCGAAAAGAGGTTATATGCTCGCATCGGAAATATGGCGTTTTCTCCCGGCTCAAAATATATTGCGACGGCACTTTGCACAGGTTTTTACAACTCTTGGACGGTCTGCATCTTGGACTGGCGCGCAGACCGGTGCATCTCCCGAATCCAGCTGGAAGGCGAGTTTCCAATTTCAACAGGAGTAACAATAATAAACCTGGCATTCTCGTCGGATGCAAAGGTTCTCATTGTCATCACCGAGCCTGAACTTTCATTCAATTTATATGGTTCATATGGTTCATATAGAGTAAGAATCTATGACGTGACTTCTTGTGTCTGCTTGGGTCATACCGATATCAGCAAGAGCTGCTGCGTTCCATTTTTTGACCCAGCAAAAGACCGTATAGTCACTGACGATTTCATATACTGTAAAGGGTCTTCATGGAAGGATTGGAATACAATTCCACTACCTGAAAAATACGGTGTTCCACCACCGTTTAGCGGAAGTACATTGATACATTTTGGCAAACGTGAGGTGTTTCAAATTCCGAAACACATTTTAGGTACTGATAAGATGTCATCTGTATCTATATCTAACTCCTTGCTCGTTTTCTTAAGTAATGCAGGAGAAGTATTTATTATCAAGCTTCCTGATCGGGACCATATAGAACAATAATTTATCCACTATATTGAACTTTATGATAATAATAATGCGCATTTTGAGAGAAGTTCAAAGGCATTTTTATGAAATGACTTTGAATACAAGATTACTTCATCTTTTGTTTTTCAGCCCATTATCTGACTGCAACTTCATTGTTTCAACGGGATTCGGCACAGATCTCTCGGATGTAATTTTCCCAGCTTCTTTACATCTCGTCTCCCTTTCAATATTGCTCAAAAATATGACGTCTTTAAGCATTTGAGAAACTCACAACGGCTACTACTCATTATGGAAACTCATTTTCACCATTAAGTAATTTGCTTGATCGACAGAACAAAGTTCCAAATTGCATGTCCGAGAGCCCATGGACAAACTATTCCACCTTGTTCCAGATCTCCTGCAACTGCGCCATACGCACCCAGTCATCCGGCGAATTTGAAGCCGAAAGTTCGCTCACGAAACTATTCCAATGCTGCTTCGACTGAACTCCATAGGTCGTATCAAACCACCCAAGGCTACTACTGCCATATCTGTAGTCGTCTGTCCTCCCAAACATGGTCGCCATTCCATCCATACCTTGATATTGAAGGCTGAGCAAGCTGTGGTTTAACGCGCTTTGCTTCTTTATTTCCTGCATGCCCTTGATGACTTCAATCTCCGAAATGGTTTTGCGGTATATTTGAAGTCTCTGCACGCAAAACGCCTTGAACTCTTGCAGGGCCGCGTCCGATTCTTCGGATCCTGCCTCGCCTGCCTCGCAGACTTCGAACCATAGACTGCGCATCCGCGGTGACCATATATGGCAGAGCGTTGTCTCTTCAATATATTCTCCGTTTAGAGGCAGCGAGCCCGCCAACGGCGTGTAGGCTACGATGTCGAGATAGCATTCCTGGCAGAACTGAGCCTCTGGGTATCCCCACCATGTGGATTTGCCGCGGCCTTTAATCTTGGGACACGCAGGTACGCCTGCAAACGTCCTGACGAAGCCTGAAAAACACGCAAAGACCCCGCGGTCAAGCATCTCTGCAAACATGTTAACGTACTGAACAAAGCGTGGGCTCGCAATGCAAAAGTCGCACACATAGGCATTGGAAGAGTCGCGCTCCGATAGCCGAAAGAAGTGATCCAAGCCTCTTGTTTGGCAGAAACCAGTGAAGCATGCCTCGCATATGTTGAACCTGTCGTCGCATCCCTCCAATGTCCACCAGTTGCCGTGGACGATACCGTTCGCTGTGCAAGGAACGATGCTGCAAATGGTTTGTGCAGCCTCTACAAACACCTCAAAGTCCTTTCTAACAGTGAGAGCCGTCTCCAGGGCCACTGCTGTTGAGATGTTTTGATCCGCCAACCCACAGCACCACATCTCTGGCTCCAATCCATCGGAAAAGCGCTGAAAGTTTCTCTTGAAAAGGGTCAATGCCAGTTTATCCAGGTAACACGTCTCGCAGACTTGAAAGCCTTCAAGCTTGTTGTCTTTAAGCAAGTACCACTCAATAGCGTCTGACCGGATCTGCTCGCCTGTGCACGCCGGAAGCTGATACCGTCGCCTTGCGCTACTTATAAAGCCGTTCCAGTTATTATGCTTGGCCGTTTGAGCAACTGACCCCAAAATGTATGGGGTGCCAAAATCGCAGCTCCATCTTGGAGACAACTCAGAATAAGTCCCGAAGTGAGGCTCAAAGCCAGTTCCAAATATGTAATCCTCAAAACAGGCTTCACATGCGGCAAAGCCCTCGATTTCACCGTCCATCAGGCCATAGACTGTCCTGTCTTCGACGTCTTCGGTGACCTTTTGCCCCGGACAAGGCTTGATCTGTAAGCGCCTGGTCATGTATTCGCGTAGTGCATTCACGTCGTTTGTCCGGATGGCTTCGGGCCAAAGAACTTCCTTTACGCGAGGGAGCCAAAATCGGCAGACGGCAATGTTGCCATCAGGCCACTTTATTTGCTTGAATTGGGTCTCAAGGGATGTTCCTTTGATGTGATCGGCGTGACATCTGGTGCATATCAAGTAATCTGCCGTATCTTCGACTGCGTCTGGGAGATAATACCAGTTGAGTGAGTAGTTGACTTTCCTGTCTTTGGGACATATTGCGAGGACTTCCAGCGGATCTCCAGTCTCTCGGATTATATGAGGTGATTGCAGGCCATCTTCATCTTCTTGAGGATTCGCAGCGTGTACAGGCGAGCCCTGCTCTCCTTGTTGTAGACTCAGGTCGCCCAACTCAGCAGTGAGATCGTCAAATGGGTTATGCGAACCTGATGCGTCTGCCATGGCCACACTATTATTATTCTCTTATTCTTTTCAGCGAAAGCCTATGCGTGGTATCGAACTTTTTGATGTGTTTATTGGTAGCATATAATGGGGGGGATGCGATATTTATTGGGTTGAGCGCTCAGCCTCAGATGCAAATGGAGTCGTGCGGCTGAACGCATCCGAATAGCGCAAGGCAGATTTAGTCGGGCAGTACAACTAGCCCGCTCAACCTCATGATGGTAAAATATTACATGTAGATAGACTCTGTCTTCATAGCCTTATCTTGTCGATGCTAAAAACAAAGTCGCAATTTATAAACAAGTATAGAGTTTACTCCATCGTCTGATGGGATACTACATCCATGTCTTAGTTCATGCGCGGCGTATACAAGCTCGGGATATATTGCTCTTCTTGTATATCTCCGCAATGTACTTTGTAAGACGCTAAAGTACACAACAAGGACCTCAATCATTTGCCGCTGCTGATTCATTTAGCCGAGAACCTATATTCAATAGTCCAAATCACTAATACTACAAAGCACCATAGTTTATAAACCTCATCATGCTAACCAGTAAAGGCATCTAAACCCCCAATTTACTCTCGACGAAAAAGCTTCTTAAACTTGCCAGATATCCGGCTCTTCTTCTTCGCATAGTCGATGCTATGAGGCTCTGAGTAAATCGTCGGCCGTCTTGAAAAACTTACTGATTCCTCCCTCGTTCTATCTTTCGTCTGTGCCGATAGGAGGCCAAGATGCCGACCCAGTCTCCAGTCGCTCTTCATATCATATTTCGTTTCCTTCTCATCAATCACAAAAGTGCCCTGCTGACGAACCCTAAACAACATCTTCCAATTTGGCGCAATCTCATTAAGCTTACTAGAGTTGTAATCGGGGTACTTTTGACTGATGTATAGGGCAAGATCACATCTGCAGGCCAGCTCCAGGAAGGATTCAATCTGCGGAATGCCAAACAGATATTCCATAGCATGAGAGAAACTCCACATCTTGAATTGCTCTGTTAAAATCTCCTCGAGCTCATCCAAGGCTTCAATTTCTGCGGTGTCGTCCCTTACTTCAATCGAGTGAGCATAGTATAAACTGCCCAGTATCCATTGCTGAAGATATGGCTTTATGTACATCAGCCGATGGAGGTGGATAAGAGACCTGATCTGACCTATATTCGCTTTGAAGAGAACTTTCACCGGATGGAAGCTTCTACCAGCAATGCTGGATAGCCTCTCGTTTATATCTGGCAAATGCAGAAAATTGAGAACCATGTTGTGTATAAACTCAACTTTTTCGGCAAAAAGCACTTCGCCCTCAACATCAGAGACAGTATGGATCAAGTCTTTGCATTGGGCAATCAGCTGCCTCTTCTTCACCTCCAAGACCTTTTCTTCTGCATTATCCACGATTGGCCATTCTCTCAAGAATGGCAGGGGCTCTCTTGAGAGGGGCGCATCACCAAAGTTCAAAAAATAGAACGTAATGATTGGCAGCGCCACTTTGGCAGAAGTCATGGTAAGAAACAGTCGAGACACCCTTTCTCTATACACATCCTCGATTATGCTGAGCATGTTGTCGAAGAATTTGTACAAGTCATCCGGCAGCTGACCCAGGCGTCGCTCAAGGTCCAAAATGTCATCTTCATTGCGCAGCCCGCGTAGTAGGGAGCGAACAACCAGAAAGACCCAAAGAAACACGCCATCTGCTTTTTCAGTGATGCTCAGCACAAGTCCATCAGCTGCAGCTCTGTCACGTTGACGAAGTTTGTTGAATCTATCGTGATTCTGCAGCTTGCCTCTGATGAAGCGTTGTATATCATCGCGCGTAAAATTTTGTAGTTCAAGTTTTGGCTGGTTGCCCCCAAACGCATCAGAAAACTCGATCCATGGTCGACTGGATATACAGATTTTAATCTTGTCTGATTCGCCAATCTTGTGAATAATGTCTATCACATCCGTAGGTTCGCCATCATACTCATCGAGACCATCGATGAAGAGGCATATTCTCCACCGAACGTTGTCAAGGCCGCCTAACCGTTGAAACGCTTCTGCCAGTTGTTTTATAGTCCACGGAAAAGACCGTTCATAATACGGAGCATTCCAACGATCGGCACATACTATAGGAATCAATTCTGGCCGCTGTCCCAAGATCTGATGAAGAAGTGCCCTGAAAAGCCCCTCTTGAGACTTCTGCATAGTAGTGCCTGGATTCCAGAAATAATGCTTGGCAACTATAAGATCATTGTCTTTTGCCCATTCCGTCAAGTATTGTAATGTCTGGGGGTGATCCGTGAGAAACTTCATGAGAGTCGATTTTCCAGATCCGGCTTTCCCCGTGATCCAGTACATGCCATTACTCTTCTGAAGCCATTTGACGAAATTGGTCGGCTTACTCTCATCAAAAATCCACGTCGCCGTGCCTTCATGCGCTTCTCCGACTGCAAGTTCTCGTTCGTGTAATTGGTCAAAGTTCAAAGTTTGTAAGATGGTCTCTCGTTTCTGTATGCCGCGCCTCTCTATATCGTCTAAGATGGCGTCAAATGGTCCTTGCATCACACTCATTGTTAAAACATCCTTGATCCTTGACTCCCTATCTTTTTGGATCGATTTGAGCTCCTTCTCGGAAGATCTGTGAGCGCCTTTCTTATCGCTCGGAGCTGCGGTAGATGCCATGTTCGATTGTGTCTGGTGTGTGATGGATTTGAGGTATCTCATAACTTCAGTGTATTTGTCGTTGATGTTTTGGAGCATGTCTTCATTTGAAGTTACGACAGTCTGCACAATCTCTCCAAGCTTTAGCTGTTCTTGCCTGTTGCTGGTTAGATGAATCATTTTGAGCAGCTATGATCTAAGCTCCTCTCACCTAATAAGCATTATCAGATGACTGGATACTTCACTACGTAGAATGAGTAGTCTGCTGCGAAGCTCCATCAACTCGGATTGCTTGGAGAGTCTTTGAGCAGTTTTACTAATAGCATGCAAGACACCCGGCGATTTGGCGCTGCTGCCATGAATAATGCCCTTGATTGCTTTGGCTATTGAAACACATTGCTCGATGAGGCTATCCAAAGTTTCATCTGAAACGGAAACCGCTTGGTTGGTATCCTCAGATGAGTTGATGCTTTTCAGAGAAGATTCAACACCGTTGGCAATTGATTCCAGCTCAGCATCTTCTTTTAATTTGCCATTCGGGCTGTGGTAGATCTGAGCAGCCTTTGTCGCCGCGATAATCGCATATTCAACAAACTGGACGGCATTTCCAGCTAGCGAAATGATATTTAGTGTGTCCATCAAGAAGCTTGATGAAGCTGCCGCAAGTGTAAGCAAGTCTCTCAGTACATCAGACCAGTTAGTCTTGCAAAGCTTGAGGTCATCGCCTAGAAACTAGAGTTGCTGGTTGAGGGGACAAAACAGACGGTCATCTGTTGCGACGAAGGAAGGCTGCGCAGCGGCCCAATCAGAAGCCCATGCATGTTGTACAAGGCACACTTCGCCACAGTCGATTCAGCCGCAGCAGATAAAGCACCCGCAGGGGTAGGCAACATGGCTGCCTAGCATTTCAGATGGTTATCGTGGGAAAAGAGGTCGCGAAAGAAATATGCGCGCAACTTTAGACAATATGAAAAGACACCATTACAGAGCAAATTTCCGCTGTAGGCGTATATCATTGAGTTCTGAGGGCTGCTTTCCAGAGGCCTCTCTTTTCCCTCTGGCTCCTAAGCAACGACAACGTGTCAGAAGCGGGGAACAGATTGCTGCTATACTAATCCATCCTGACATCTTATACTTTGATCGCAAAGTATTGTGTATAAGCGTATAATAGAGGCCTCCATGAAGCCAACGCAGAGTTGAGATCAACCTCTAAACTTTGTTGCAAGTTGGATTATGAGCTGAAATCGCCACGGCTGGTCTTTTAACGTTTGCCGATAAGCCTAGGCTAACTCCAAAGTCACGTCTTATTGACCGATTGTTTCCAGCTGACAATCTGATTGCTCCAAACTCATCTTTGCTTTGCCGAGAGGATAGCCGCGGTCGCTTATTCCTCTAATGGTAGCGATCGGTTAGACTTTGTGCACCGCGTTTAACAAGGTTGATGTTATACGAGGAGCTCCCTCGAAGTAGCTTTCTGATAGGAGCAGGTGAGCCGTCCATGATACACCCATTTCTCAATATGGCGCGGGCCATGGTAAGCTTAACGAGAGCTCCTCCTCGGTGCTCTGAGCAGCAACAGCGAGTTGAATCTCAGCAAAGACATCGCATCCTAATCCCAAAATAGTCAGAGTCTCACCCTTCTTATCCCCGCCAAGGCTAACCATCAGCCGGTATCTGCTATTTCCGGTGTCAATCTTCGGAAGTTAGACACCACCGCTCCGCAACAGCCGGCGCCAAATGACATTAGTCACAGGTTAAAGGGAGAAAAACGAGGTAAATCCGCGGCCGACACATAGGGCTGCTCAACTTCCGTCCCACCAACCGCAACCTTCTTGCCAGGAGCATTTGGAGGGGGTTCAGTAAGACCTAAGTCGCGGTCGCGGCGTTTAACCAGTACCGATGGGACGGTCAGTTGGGAGGCGGCATCGGGAGCCGAAGTGGACGAACTGCTTGTGCAGTCGGTTTGCACCCCCCTCCACTTTATTGATCGCGATAGGGCCCTGTGGCGATCGCAGAGGAGTGAGCCGAGATCAGGTGGTGATTGGTCTGTGAGCCCGAACGATAGTCGGAGACGGGTAAAACGTCGAATTAAGTGGACGAGACAAATCTATTGGAGGTCAAGTCGATATAGTTGACTCACAAGAGAGGCTCTGCCAGCGAAACCTCCCGTAGCTTAGTTTCTTGTTCCATGGATAGAATACCGTTTCTCCCGTGCCTTGGCTGTCTGGGTTTGTAAGCCAAGCTGGTAAAGGATGCACTCTTCACATTCCTTTAAGTCCAGCCACCCAGCCATTCAGCCATCCAGCCATCCAGCCACAGCCCTATAAGCCATGTGCGCTGCTAGAAACTCGTAAAGTCCGAGATCCAGCAAACAGCGTTATGCGGGGGAAGGAAGCCAAGCAAGCCGTGCTGACAGCCAGAGCAGAGCGAGCGCGAGGAACCCGAAGCTCCACGGACTTTGTGTAGGCGTGTGATTTGCCACTGCCGTTGGCCAATAGCCATAGCTCAACTTCACATTTGTTCGGTTTCGTCCGAAATAAACACCAATTGGAGCTTTTTGCTACCATGCATGCCAGCTTGTTTACTGACATGCTTCCAGCCCGCAAACCAACTTGTTTCGACTTCCGATGTTGCCCGTGCTATGGAGAAGCTCCATCCCGGCAACGGTGGGGCAGCCTCGGTCGTGTGATGGGCAATATGGAGCCCAGACGATAGATTCGCTGCCAGTCGATCATCCACGCCCTGCCCACCCTCACTGTTGATGTTCCTGAAAGTGGCAGACAAGGGGGGGAGTGTAGAGCAGAGAGCTCTGGTGAGAGCCGGCTGACCGAATCATGCAGGCACCGCAATCGGAGGGTGTATGCTTGAAGCCCCGGCATAGGCTAATCGGCGGATCGGATATCACGAAAACACCACGATTCAACATCCCTTCATCGTGATCAAGGCACACGGGACTGGCGGAAGCTGGAGTCACGAGAACTGGGTGTAACCGGATGTGGCCGTTTCATCGTCAAGAGAATTCCCCGGATGCTCTTCATTGGCACTGACAAGCATGCCTCGTGCCTTGGGCATGTGTAGCCGATGAGGACGGTAGCTTATTACAGCTTAGCAACTCTTGTTCAATCATTGAGTTTGATTTCTAAGATCAAACCCCAGGTTTTGGGTGCATGTTGCCGCCTCGGCTCAAGGTACGCTGAGTCTTGCTAAGTTCCTGGTGTGCGACTAGTAATCGAAGCAGTTGCTTAGTAGCAAGAAGCTTTTCTTGAGGTGTGCACGAACTAATCCCAGTAGGTCATCTAGAAACAGAAAAGGAACGGTAATAAGGGCTTATATGACAAATTGGAATAAACAGTCAATTAGTTTGAGAGTCATCAGCCAGCCAGCAGAATGCAAATACCTAATATAGTAGCGTTTCTATTCTTAAGCAAGGACAAGCCACTACCCACTTGCCAACTTATATAAGCGCTCCTCTCTAAACTCGTTTTGGACAAGACTGCTCTACATGAGCCTAATTCAGATCGAGTTTAGAGGTCTTGCTAGTTGCTCATCGCCTACATGAATTTGTGGCAGCCACCTTTGGCCTTTGGCATAATGAGAAAGTTATGCAAGTAGGCGTAATGGCCAGAGTCTTCAGTGAGAGACGACATATCACTACTCTTCACAACGGCTATGCGTTTTTTTGAGGGGCATAGACAACATGAATGGTGAAGCCATGACTTCAATAAGCAAAATTGCCTCAAGAGTTTCACTACAACTTGCTTGGATGATGCTATTAGCAAAGAGTCGAAACTACAGACATTGAATGCTGAACGAGACTGCACGCAAGATTTTGCAGTGACTACTTGAAGATAAGCAGAGAAAAGAGGTCTAAGACTACACAGTCTCAGATTTGCCAGATAGCGAACTTTGTATGCTGATTCATATGTCTCTAATCTAATCATTGCTCATCTGAATCAAATCATGTCTTTACGTTGTTTTACATTTGCCAGGCGCATTTGAGTCTTCGGGTGGAGCTTTTGCGATGCTGAGAGCCACAGCTCGCTGATGATTACCACTTCTGGAAAGGCGCCGGCACTCGCCCTGTCAAAGCTGGTGAGCATTGGGATCTCAAGCTGTCCACAGCAGTTGCTTAGTGTCTCCATATTTCGGTATGCAAACACCGACATTGTAAGAAGACGTGCATATGTTAAGAAAAGCGATGTTTTGAATGAAACATTTTAAATAACAAGCATTCGTTTGAGTTTTCAGTGAATTGTAGCCGTGTACATCTCTCATATATTCGCACGCTTCCATGTCGTTCATAAACACTATATAACAACTATATACACCCAGTTTTACAACACATCAAGTGCTGGAGGAGTATTGTCCCACCCCCAATGCTGTTGTAGTTTCGCAACTCTCTCTGCTGTTGAGTAACCCGTTTCTCGCTGTATGGAAGCGAGGAGTTGAGCTAATGCTGTCCTCTGCTCGTGAGTCTCGAAGCACAGTCCAGCCAGATACAAAGGCTGTACCATATGCTGTCGAACAGGGTCATCGGGTCGGCCCAAGGATATTGCGCATATCTCATTGGCGTGCCCTTCGATTTGCGCTGAAAGCTGACGATAAGCATTGAGTCGTTTGGCCACAAACTCGAGATGTGACTCCGTAGGCTTTTGATCTAGAGGTTTGTGAAGCAGATGAAGCAGTTGGACAAAGTGGTATAAAACTGCAGCCGTTGCACACATGGCGTTGGCATAAAACAACTCTTGAAACGCGCTTTGAAATTCCGACATAGATGCCATGTTGTCTGAAGGCGTGGGTATATTGTTATACCGCTGTGCTATTCTTGCACAGGGTTCAAACGTATCAGGCAGCGCTGCACACCAGTTTTCGAGATGCTGGGACACATCATCCCAACTATGAGACGCAATAGATGAGTTCTGGCAGGTGCCGTCGTTTTCTGGCAGGCCATTGTTTGCTGTCTTATTGCTACTTTTTTCAAGAGCAATGAGTGTCAGTGTCTTGAGAATTATCCATATTAGACTTCTGCAGGCCAATGTCTCCGTCATCTGCAGCTGAAAGCCTGAATCTCCATTGTTGCAGAGCGCATTTGGCATAGTAATTCCGTCGACAACGCAGATTGGTAGACCTGCAGCTTTCCACAGCTCAGCATTCTCTACGTCGAGACCTGGTGCGGTCTGCTCAGTGTAAGAAGTAATCCAATCGATACAAACAATGTTCCAAAAAGATGCTTGCCAAGCTCTTCGAGCATGCAGTCCGAATGTTCCGTTGCGACGATTGATTTCCGTACTTTCGTAGAGCTGTTTGAGGTTGTAGGTGAGCAGATACTGTGCACCAGACATGTGTCTATGTCGCAAGGTCATTAGCTGTTTGTTTGAAAATAAACGCAAAAAAAAAACGAATCATACCTAGAGACTTCTGCAAAGCGATTATCAAGTGACTCATAGAGCAGGAATACAGATATTGCCGAGAGGAGATCATCCACGATAGTGTGAGATCCCTGGCTACCTTCCACTCGCCGCCGCTTGAACGAAGGAGATACTGCTGAGTGCAAGCCCAGACCTGCATCAATAGAAGATGTAGACCCGGGTGATGAAGCCGGACTGCCGTCACGCAGCGTTTGCAGCAGCCTCATCATATGGCCTATAGCTTTGTCATAGAAGCTGGCCGCTTTATAGAACCAATCGACATGGGCCGCATTAGAGTACAGCTCCAGCATCGATCGGCCCGGGGTCTGATGACTCGCCATGTATGTCTCTCGCTTCGTCTTCCCAAACTGCTTGGCCGCAATAGCAGCCAGAGCATTTTGTAGAAGTGGGCTTCGAATAGCCTTGATGGGAACAATGTGTCCAAAGAATCGCTCAATATCAAAAACGTCCAGACACGGGCTAATGCGTTCCGCGAAATACCTTATCAGATATGCGGTCTCCTGGTCGGCTTCACTAGATGAGTCGGGCATTGGCGAAGAGGCTTCTGTCTCCAGCTTCTCTGATGTTTGCGATTTATCTGCCTCGGGATCGTATCCGGATGTTGAATATCCCTCCAGGTCGACGTCGCTAAGCCAAGAAAGAGATGGCCCTTGCAACCCACTAGCATCACTTATCAGTGAGAGGGAAGGAATAAATCCACAGCAGTTATTGCCCTCAGCAAAGTATTCATTGGGGTCAATGTCGAAAAACCTGGCGTCAAAGTCTTCATCCGAAAAGCTATCAGTCAAGATGAAGGGCGCATCAGTAAACTCTTGGTTAGCAGACAGGCCGTCATGGTTGGGCCTCCCCAGGCCAATGTCATGCAAAACATTGTCTGGAGCCTTGGCTTGAGTCTCGGCCTGGGCTCCGGGTTGGGTGAGAGGTTGAACTGGTGACTCAGGCTGAGGCTGGTTGCGAGTAGCCTCAGTGCTGTTTGGGATTGTCGTGGGCAATGGAGCCGAGTCTAGTGAGGCAGAGAATGACGGCACTGAAGATGAAGCCTGAGCTGCCAGAGGTACCTTTATAGAGTCGACAGAGCCGCTTCCTTGCGGGCTGGCATTGGCTGAAGAGAACTTCTTCCGGAGGTTCTGGCTCTCATCGAGAAACTTTCGAAGATGATTGTAGCCAGGACACGACCGGGACGACTTTTCACAGCGCGCACAGCCGGGTAGTCGTTTATCGCACTGAGAAGATGTGAGAAGGCCGCGCCATCCGACTCCAACTGTCTGCTGTGGACACTGTACTCACTTTGACCCGCCGCTTTCTGCAGAGCGTGCAAGGCACAGTGGAAACCTCCATCGTCCCAGATCCGTAAATGACACACGCAACAGCGACTCTCGATGCTCGCTCCTGTGATCCTAATGCAGATGAGGGCGGTCGTCGAGTGACTGATGAAAATCTCGGGGAGCAACACCGAGCAGCCCCGCGTCAGTGGCTCTATAGCAGAGTTTCAGTCCAGCTCGACGTTTGCTTATCAAAGAAGAGGTTCAGCGAAGCACCGCTTTGGTCGAGGTGAAGGTTAAGCGGAACGCCGAGACTTGCCTTGTTCGGAATAGCGGGATTCGAGCGCTGCTACCACCCCAGAAAAGGCAAGACGTCAGAAATGCCTTGCAGCGGCACGAAATGCGACAGTTAGAAGTTGGGCGCAACACATTACTTCATTCAATAACGTGGACGTCACCGTAAATTCCAGCTCTCTTTGCTGCAGCTGCCGTTACTACTCAGGACTGGCGACGCTTTCTCCGACGCCTTTCTCTCTCATTCATCTTATTTGCGCTCATTTTCCTTGCTGCGTATTCTCTTTTACGACGCCCAAGCATCACTGCCATCAGCTTTCAGTGGGCGGAGAACCTACAAAACAGCGGATGGTGACGGCCTCGACGCTACCCCCAAATAGTGGTGATGAGACCGAGCACCGAGTGACGCTGAGCGCAACACTGGATGAGGCAACTCTGACCGGCAACAATCAGGCAGCACAATGAAGATCCAAAGGGTACCGAGCTCGCTCCATTTTCCATCTCATCCCATCTCATCTCGTCCTTTCTCAGGGTCCAGAGTTGACCCGCACTTCCTCAGCCACAAGACGCTTGCTAACAGCATCGCCCATTAGCTATTTATCTATCCGGTCAAATCGCTCCTCCCTATTGAGGTGCAAATCGCAGAGATTACGAGTGAAGGGTTTCGATTTGACCGGCAGTATATTGTGGTCAGGGATCCGCGATGCCATCCGACAATCAGGCCGCAGCTGGCCGAGCACCTCACCATCAAACGGGTGTACAAACTGGCCCTCTTCCAGCCGTCAATCAACGATGATTGGTCCGAGCTGACTATCAAGCACACGCTGGCTCAACCAGAGTCTTCAATTACTCTCCCACTCACGCCTTCACCGCTATCATGTCTGGACGCGCAGACGTATCAAGTGAGCATTTTCGGCACTGAGGCTTCATGCGTAGACATGGGAGATGGCCCGGCGGAGTTCTTCAGCAAGCACCTCGACATCCCCGCGAGGCTACTCTTCATCTCTGGCTCAGGCAGTCGGGAAATCCCTGGAGCAGCGTATATACCCAAACACCGCCTGCCGCTGACAATACGGGCGGCCGGCGAGCATTTCCAACCGCAGCGGATCCGCTTCGCCGACGCGGCCCCATTCCTAGTCACATCTACGGCGTCTGAGGAGGACGTCCGGGCTCGGCTACCAAGAGACAGCCAACGAGAGGACGTTTTGCTTCGCTTCCGCACCAACATCCACGTCGACGTGGGATCTACCGCCCCGTTCGATGAGGATAGTTGGAGAGAGCTTACTGTGTTTTCGGAAGACACAACTACACCAAAGGCAGTCGTTCGCTGTGTCTTCAAAGCCCCTCGCTGCTTGAGTGTCAACGTAGACATTGAGAGAGGGACAGGTTCTCCACGAAACAGACAGGTCTATGGCTTGATAGCTAAAGATAGACGCATTAACAAGGCCTATCCTCGTAAGTACACTTGACTGCCTCATATACGGAAAGCAAAAGCTAACCAATACATCAAGTCAAGCCAGTCTTTGGGAATTGGTCTTTTGCGGGCCCAAACGGAGCTCTGCTTAGAGTCGGTGATGAAATACGTGTCACTGAGAGAGGATTAAGCGATAACCTGAAGGAACAGGTAAATATGACATGAATACAAGGTTAACCCCTGATCTAATATATATATCAAGGTCGCTCGGATCTAGGTCAGGAAGTGTAGGAGGAAATTGGAGATGTACATAGCGAAAGATAGCGGGCGGTATCATGATTGAATGTATATATCAACGACTCAATATCAAAAGTTTGAATGGTCAAATTTACCAAATATGTATAAACAAATGTGTCTACAACCAGGGTGCAATCGCATAAGGCTGGCTAATCAATGATTCAGGGCATAACGTACGGCAGTCAGTAAGCCATCAATTCTTAACTCGGAGTAACTAGGTGACGATTGACATCTAGATGACTTCAGTAAAATATTCGCTTCTCCATTAACCGCCGTAATGACATCAATTTTCGTCCCCTTACAGCTGTAGCAGGGCGACAGAGGGCGATCCCGAGAGAGCGGTGCTAGTCCCAGATAGGCAATCACCAGCGAGCATGCCGGAGATGTGGTATCATGATGTGGATAGATGTACCCAAAACACTACGATAAGCCATATTTGACGGAAAGGGGGAAAGAAAAATACAAGATCAGGGTTTTTATCTTCTAGCGGGCCGCAGATACAACACGCCGCCGATAGAGATTTCCGACTGCAATCCGATGAGGCTAACTTTAATAAGTACATGCAGACATACAGGTACAGGGAGATATAATAAGGCTGCGCAAGTATGATAGAAATGGACACTAGAGATACAAACATCGACATCAAGTCTTTTCATCTTGATTAAATATTCACAACTTCTTAATCTTCTCCGCAACAACACCAAGTACTTTATTTCTTCTACTCATCAATCAACAAACGACCTGCCAGCGAACAATGACGGCTGTGCAAAATCTTTCCAGTGACGACGAGATAAAGGATGTCGAAAATCCAATCGAGGGTCCCAATTCAGAAGCATCAGCCGAAGATGTCAATCAACTACAGCAACTGCCAGAGGATGAACAAGATGGCGGATATGGCTGGGTATGCGTCGTATGTCAATTGATGATTACGGCGAGCACATGGGGCGTTAACGGTGTAAGTCCACCTCTTTTTAATCAAATATACTTTTGCCAGGTTATATAACCAAACCACTAACATGTTTAATGGCAGGCTTTTGGTGTCTACCTCACTCACTACATCTCCACAAACGAATTCCCCGGCACGTCCGAAATCGCCTACTCTTTCATCGGCGGTCTATCTCAGTCCCAAATCCTCCTCATAGCTCCCCTCGTCACGCACGCCACTAAGCTTCTCGGTACCAAACCTCCGCTATTCATCGGAGCCGCGATGGAAGCCGGAGCTCTGGTAGGCGCAAGTTTCGCTACACAATCTTGGCAACTCTTCCTATCTCAGGGCTTGTTATTCGGCTGGGGCTGCTCATTCTTATACATTGGCACCATTGGCCTTATCCCACAGTGGTTTGCTCGAAGAAAGGGTATTGCGACCGGAATTGCAGCTGCGGGAAGTGGCCTCGGAGGTCTTATATACAGTTTATCCACCGAGGCAATGATTTCCAACTTGAGCGTTGCCTGGGCCTTTCGCATCACGGCCATCTGCACCGCTGTCACAAACGTCGTTTGCATCATATTGATCAAGGATAGAAACAAGCATATTCAGCCGTTTCAGAATGCGTTTGATTTCCGCCTCTTGAAGCGGCCCGCGCTGCTCCTCATCATTGCGTGGATGTTCCTCAGCGTCATTGGATACACGTGCGTTCTGTTCTCGCTTCCTGATAATGCTACTCGGATCGGGCTTACTGCCCACCAAGGAGCAATTTTGGGTGCTTTGGCCAACCTTGGAATGGTCATTGGTAGACCCGCAGTGGGCTTTCTCAGTGACCGTTATGGGAGGTTGAACATTGTCATCTCAGCGACCTTTTTGGCAGGAATATGGTGTTTGTGTCTCTGGACGTCAGGCACCTCATATTCCACCTTGATTGCATTTTCTATTCTAGGAGGAACAGTTATGGGTATATGCTGGCCGGTAAGTCTTTACCTCATATTTCACAACTAGTGGCAACTAACGCTAAGACACTCTAGATGGCCGGGCCGATGCTAGCAGATGCCTTTGGAATGAAGCTTCTCCCATCCACACTGTCTATTCTCTGGACCAGTTCTGCTATCCCTTCAGCATGTAAGTTACTGATGTGTCATATCATTCGAACTGTAGCCACTGATGCTAACGGCTTGTAGTTGCTGAGGCCATGGCCTTGGGTCTTCGACGCACGCACAAACCAGTCTATCTCGACGTTCAAGTATTTTCCGGATGTATGTTCATTGGTGCTGCACTTTTCTTGTTGCCTTTGAGGTTCAAGAAGAACATCAAGAGCCTCACTTCATCAGAGAAAAACTGAGATCACCAGAACTCGATGCATACGAACAACACAAATTCTGTTTACAACTTATGTGCCCAAGAAAATTTTATGAAATAAAAGAGACGATAGAAGACATCTCGAAATAGAGAACAATAGAATGAGAGAAGGAAAAGTATAGAGCAACAGGTGTCACGTATTACGTACACACCGAACATATAATGTGTTGTCAATTAGAAGAAGAAGAGGGATTTCATAATTCATGTATCATATAGACTAGTATCAATTCCAGATTCTCAGTAATAATCAGAGTTCAACTCATTCGAAACTACGAATATTCACATTATCCACGAAAGCTTCAACAGCTCAATGTGCCAAAGCCTCAATGTTGCATAAATCCAATATATGCAACAAAGCACTGCAAGTCGCCCCATCCACAGCCTGTGGCTTGCCCCGTAAAAGCAGCGCAAATGTGGCGCATCACCAGATCTGACAGCAGCCCCGCCATATGTCTCACTGCAACTCGATCCGCAACAGAAAGCAGCGGGCAGCTTCCGTGGGCGGGAAAGGAAATCCACAGCGGACTCCGCCAATTGCTCTTGGGAGAGTGATCTCCGTTTTGGCAGCTTTCCACAAAACCCCTAAACTGAAGCTCTCAGAAAGGGCGTGAATGCAGAAGACCTAGAAAGAGGGGAACCAGAAATCTTCCCGTGCTTATTTTGTATATCAAGCTTCAAGCCTCGTAGGGCTCCCTCGTGCTTCTCCAGTCCCAAAAACGCAAATGCTGTCGGACAAAAGACGACCTCTGATAGGTAGAACAGGCGAGGAGGCAGTCCGGTTGGCAGCTAAGATATTATTTCGTCCGAAACTTTCGCTCGCAAAACGGCACAAATCAGCCAATAAGAGCTATTGAGGCGTTTGCTCTTGGCGAAGTAAGCGCGAAACGGCCCAAACACATGGCTTCATTTACCTCGGAATAGGCGCTTATCTCTGTGCTTTTTTTGGTGGCTCTGAGAGTAAAACCTAGGTATAACTGCCCAATTCGGACGCCGATAAGGAGAAACGCAAAAGATATCGAACCATAATCTCATTCTCTCTACCCGCGGAGTGGCACCAGATGAACGTCCGCCTCCGCAATTGTTTTACTACTACTATTCTTCTGTCTGCCTGTCAGCCTGCCTTGCCCAAAAGGTGGGGAGAGGAAAGGGGGAGGCGGCGAAAGGCAGCCACATGGTTTACTGCCTGATGGAGCACAAGGGATAAAGTCCACAGCCAAGTCCACAGCCAAAACATGACTGCAATATGACTGCTTATAGACGACATGTGATGAGCTTCGAATAATTGCGAGGGATATGCCAAGTCCGTAGCAATTGCGGAGTACAGGTAGTCATCGCATTTTACCCTTTTGGGATATCCGCAGAGGTACACGCGCACTGAAACAGCAGATCTTGGGTTACAAGGCAGAGACAAGAGGGGAAACACAATTAATAACTAGCGCCTTGCTTATTTACTTTCTCCAGCTTCCATAATCTGTAGTAATAACAGAATCCAAAGTATCGCGGAAATATATAAAACAAGCGATACCAATTGGGGAGGTAGAGGAGGGGCGTGGCCGCCGTTGATTGCCTTACAAAGATCACCCATATACCTAAGCTGATGGGGAAGTATCTCTTAAGGCTCCATCTATTTCCTTGATATATCCATTTCCGGGCGTCTAAATTCTTTTCTTGACCTCCTCCCATCCATCTCCCTATTCTCAGCATAAGATGTCTAACGTGGGGTGTATAAGGAATCGGAATTACTTCTTGGAGGGGGATCCAAATCGAGTCACCGGTGCCCTTGCAAATAAAACAAGTGTCATTCTGCATCAGTATTCTTTGCCCTTTTGCCCTAACCTACTCTTCTCATCTTGTATTCCAAACTCGTTTGCTTAATTCCGCCTGGTGCGCGACCCTGTCATGCTACAGCTTTGGGGCGAAAACAAAGGAAAGGCACGGAAGCAAAAGGCGTGCAGCTGGCTTACAAACGCTGAACAGATATTCTGGACAAATGTCTTCCTCTAGCTTCTCCGCCTAGCGGCCTGCTAGTCAGTCATGCCCTCAAGGTGTGCAAAAAGGTTCCCAGTCATTTTAAAAAAAAAAATTAATTACCAGCGATACCGTATTCAGTAGAAAACGTGAAGATGTAAAAGCGTAAAGAAGTTTGGAAGCAGTGCTCTGTCGGCATGAACCGTGAGGAGGTGTAATGATAATCAAAATCTTGTATACCATCGTTATTAATGCCGGGTGTGTGTGCCGGAGATCTCACCGCACCCTCTTTAGCGATCGATCGATAATATGTCCTACTTACAGTACAGTCCTACAGGCCCGCGCTGACGAATCAACTATCTTTGCCAGCAATAACCCAAGAAGCCAATATCAATGCATCTCTTCAATTTTTTGATTTGTGAACAAGTGACCATGAAATTAGACATCTGCTAGATGCCTAATGAAATCCAAAATACTACCTTAAGTCCGTGTATAGGCAGGGAGAAAAAGCAATATGCAGAAAAAACCTGCTATTGCTACAGTAGCACTACAGTACACAGCTGCACATAAACAAAAACTGCCAGCTCATCTCACACACCCCCCATCTAAGCTCGAAAAGGCTGCTGGTCATTTCCAATCAGAAACCACAAGCTAAGTTGCTATAGCAAGAAAGAAATAAATCCTCTTTCTTTCACTGTCTCGAATCGCGTAGTACTTTCCATCGAATTTTTTTCTGATGGGGCCTCTTTTATGCGGATCTCCAGCGGGCCTGAAATCACAGCACTGCCGCTGCTAGAACATCGTGAAAAGTACGGTAAGGAATTGGAAATCTCGTCTGGTTGGATTTTTCTTTCTCCTCCCAGTGGGGCCCTTATCTCCTTCCGGCAATTCTTCAATTATTAAGGTAGATCGGCTAGCGCAACCAGCATTGAGTACGTACCTTGACTCCCCGCTTTTCCAGAGGGGACCATCTGACCTTTCAAAATGCATTTCAAATGCAAATAATCGGTACGTACCGAGCTAAAAGGCTTTTTTTTTTCTATGGCGGCGCCTGCTCATCGGGTCTCTGGCAAGGTGCCGACGCCGCCTAGTCCGAGCGGCAGAAAGGAATTCCGCTCGGTCTACACCCCCAAAGCCCATCCCGCCATTGCCGCGGGTCTTCGGAGTTGTCAAGTGCCCCCAATGTCAAGATTGTTGATTTGCGATCAAGAATAACAAAGTTTAGCTAGTTTTTTTTGGCACGAGGGAGGCTTACTGGCGTTTTCTTTTTTGATGGATGCTCACACACATTCACGATTGTAATTTGAAATAGGCAATTAGAAATGAGTTTGTAACGTTTTGTGTATTTGGTAATCGAGAGGTGAAATCGCTATTCGATTTCCTCTCTTTGAGTTGCTACTACTCTTGGTAAGGCGGTCCACTCGACCAAAGGAAGACCAGTTCCAGGGAGCGGCCCACCAATGCTCATCCAATCCCCCTCGCATTGCCATGATTGTAATGAAAAGACGTTGAGTTGTGAATCTCTAATGGTGTATAATGATTGAACAAAGGAAAGAAAAGAGTGCTAAATGTAGAAAAAAAACGCCGAATGCTTTTTATATTTTCCCTCTCGGGGTATCATGATGTAGAGATATCCAGAAAGCGCCGTGCCAAGCCATGCCAATTCGCTAATGCAGATCAAAAAAGGTCGTAAGAATCAATTAAAAATGTTATACAAGAAAGAGGTTGTTGTTTGCTGCTTTAATAGACTGAGATAGCAGACACCAGGCCGGCAGGTGATCGCCGGCCCAGGTAAAAGTCCTCTTCTTGGTAAAATGATTCTTCGCTTTCTTGTTCTGACTTCTCGGGAAGAGGCAGCTCGGCATCGACAGGTGATGGAGGCATGGCCTCGTCGTCAGAAGACTCATCGGATTCGTGGTCAACCAGCTCCGGAGGGGAGTTGGAGTGAGATGGAGTTCGAACAAGGCCGAGGTGAGCGTAGTCCTCCTCGAGATCGTCGTCAGCCATGACCTCGTCCTCGACAACCTTGATTGTGGAGGCGGGGGTGATTGTGGTGCGGGTGTTCTCCTCCATCTCGTCGTAGTCGGATTCGTCGTCAGAGTCGACTGAAGAGTCGGAGTCGTATTCCTCCTCATCGACAGCCTCCTCTTCGATCCGATCGGCCCACTGGATGTGTCGCTTGTTGTTGGCGGCGGATGTGGCCTTTGAGTTGCGGACAGACTGGTTGAACCATCGCTCCTGCTCTCGCTCGGCTTCGGCAAGTTCGAGCATCAGAGAGTCGAGGAGGTTAGCGTGTCCAACCAGGAGTCGGAGATCGTGATCGGGTTGAGCAGCCTCGCGAGAGAGCTTTGCTCGGGCCTTGTGGGCCAGGTAGTAGGTCTGAGTGATAGACATGTTCTTCTGGGTAGCTTGTCGCAACAGTGATGGAGCAGACATTGTGATTTGTGTGGAGGAGGAGGATATATATATATATAGTGGATGTGTGACTCAAGGCAGCCAGATCGGTTGCAGGGATGATTGAGATGCCTAGATGATAGTGGGTATTGTTCTTGTGTGCTTGTTTGTTTGAAGCGGAGGAGTCGAGGCTGTTATTATATTTGTTTGGTGTTCTTGTAATGATGCTCGCTGAATGCTCTGTTCTGATGGATGATATCGAGGCTCAAGGTCGGGGGAGTCGGCATTCTTTTAACTCGGGAGCCTCCAGCCGGGTCCAGCCATGGGGTCCAGTAAAAAAAAAAAGTCATCGGTGCTGTTTGCCGGGCACGCCTGCAGTCCGGGCTAAGCGGACTTTGTGTACGCGGGCCCGAACAGAAGCACGACGAATGCGAGGGATGGGGGGGGTGTATCCGACAAGGTCCATGGACGTAAGAGTAAGAGCGAGGGGGAGGGGTGCAGCAAAAGGGCGGCGTGCTCTGGCGCTGACTAAATCCGAAGGTTCAGGTTCTCCGGACGGAGGTAGCAGCGTGTCGCTCGTCTGCCCCTGGTACCCGACTGCCTGGCCACCGCACCGCCATCGCCCAGGTACCCTCGCGGGTCGAGCTACACGCCAGACTCACTGCGGCGTGCGCCACGGACGGCTTCGGCATTTTGGGTGACTCCTGCCAGCGCTGTTGCTGCCAATTCTGCTGGCCGCGCTACGCCCAAACAGGGTCTCGCACTCGCATCGCCGATTAGTCACAGCCGAACAGAATTTGCTGCTGCTTAGGTTCGTTTACCTCGTTAAGCCCGTCCCTCGAGCCCTATAGGCTATAGGGACCCCTCTAATGAGCTGGAAGCTTCCGCTCTACGGCACCTGGCACAGGCTATTCGGTACGGCTTTGGCAGCACCCCTTCCCATTGCCGATGCCCATTGGCCAAAATGGCCGTGAGCGCCAGCCGAAAGTGGATTATGAATCACCAAAGCAGAGCCCCACCGCTCGCTATCTCCCGCCCTGACGGCACCGCTTATTAACACCTAGCACACAATGTCCGACAAACTGACAATTGCTTCTGATGCTGCAATGCTGCATTTCTCAGCACCCAGCGCCATTGCGTAGTAATGGACGGTCCAGCACAGTCATCCAAGCCCATCAGACTTTGCGCTAATCTGGAATCACACTCCCCCGTCACAGCATGCCGTTTTCTTTGTAACTAGCGCCGCCTAGCGCAAGCAAAGCCAGGCGTTCGCTCTCGACATTTGTCAGGCCCAGAAATGGTGTTTTGTTCTGTTTCTTCTTTGCTGCTTTGGGCAATGCGAGTGCGAGGGACTCATTGCCGATTCGAGCACCCGCCCTGTCGTTATCGCCAACGCAAGCCTCTCAGCCCTTGGGGGCGCTGCACAGCTTAGGCACGCAAAAGTTAATTAATGCAAATTAAGAATGCAAATTAAGGTCAGGCCAGGTCTCAGCCGGTGGCATTGCCGTGATCTGGCCTCTCTGGCTGTCGCAGCCTTATTAGGGGCGCTGTCAAAGTCAGCACGACCCCAGGTTTCCAATCCCGCTGCGCGCATTCAGTCCAGATGCGGATATCAATCTCGGGAACCCAAGCCCCGAGCGTACGAATCTCCCTGCAGGCCGCGACAGCATCTAGATTGCTAGATTGCACAGCCCTACATGAGCATTGCGAGTCCGACGGTCTTGTTGTCTCAGACACTTGGTATAATTGGTTTCCGTTCCCACGTAATGTCTCGCGAGCCCCAGACGCCGCGTTGCGCTTGCGCTTGCGTCTCCCTGCTTCAGCTTAACGGTGCCATGCGATCGCCGTTCATTTCGCTTCAGTGCCTTGTCCGTAATACTAGTTGCCCGCAACAGAGTCTGACCGTTTCGGAGCCCGTTGCTGCCAATGTTGAGACAAAGAGGCGGCAACACTTTACTAGCACTGCTATAATTAGTTCTGTCAATTGAAGTCGAGCCCGATGCTGCGGAACCCCGAGACTGTCTCTTTCTCTCTGCCTATTGTAGGCAACTACAAAACGCCAGGAAACTAACGGCAACGATGTGCACTGCCTAATGTCCTAAATCCGCAAGCCTATGCCACACGGCTATCCAAATTTCAAATCCCAATCCCAACCTAAGCCAAGCCAATTAGGCTAACGAATTGGCTGTCGTAAGTAATTTACGTGTTCTTAGCAGTTGCTAACGAATTAATAGGGCTGAGTCGATGGGTGTGACTCTTACTGTCTGCCAAAGTGGGTATCACGGCCTCGGTGGGTACGTACTCAACACCTTAATCGGAGGGGCGCGCGGCACAGACCATCCCAACCAAACAAGAAGAAAAAACTTCGGTTTGATCCATCGAGCAAGGCTAAAGGTGCACAAAGATCTAAGGATCTCTTGTTGTGGAAGAGAGAACACGAAAGGAGGGGTGTCGAAGCACAGGCCGCGAACATGGCGCAGGGAAGGAATGCGCAGTGCAGAGTACGATCCGTCCAATGAAGAGCCGCAGAGGCAGAACATTGGCATCCTGCTGAGACAACCTTGAAAGACAGCAGCACTCAGATTCGCTGCTTTTCCCACTCCAACGCCGATAGCCTGGCAGCCGCCCCTTGTCCTCATTTGGACTAGCGTTTTTTTTGCTGACAGAGGCCGAGCTATACGCGCAAAGCTCGCGCCCGAATGCCGAGTTGGGCCTAACCCTGCAGTGCAAAAGAGCGAGCAACACCAAACCCCCACATAGAAGACGTGACGTACGATAGCTCTGCAGGCTCGTATGTCGCTGCGTTTCGCTGCTTGCCGTTTTGGGAGAATCCATCAGTCTGAGATGCATTGCCGTTAATGTCAATGGATCTCCCGCCCGAATTCGGGAGCAATGCAGGCATGCACGGCTACACGGACAGCACTGCCGAGGAGATGCAAAGACACACAAACAAAGGAAGCTCTGGCGCGACTGCTATAGGTAGGTATGCCGCGGGGGCAGCTATTGTCTGCTCAGCTCTGCCGATGCCATCGACCGATCTGAATTACATGCTCAGCTTGCAGCGATAGTGGCTCAATAGTCGCAACATAGGTATTTCCTTTTTTTTCCAGCTCCAATTGCCTCCTACCCTTTTCGCTCAATTCATACCAATGCTCGAGCTGCACCCCTCCCTCAGCCCTCCAGTTTGCGCCGTCATGATCTAAACGGGAAGAAAAGGCTGCGATGCTCGCGAGAAGATCTAATTAGCGTCATCTTGAGCCTTGTTTCATGGGATGCCAGGGTTCTCAGGCACAAGGCATGAACGAGGTCATCGCAAGAGCAGCGCTATCCCTCATGCGGTGCTTCATCGCGCTGCAAAGCTGAATAACCGTTGATTGACGCGACAGGCCGGGGTATCGGGGTGGGGGAGATGAATGGATGATGGAGATGGCTGAGGAAAGAAAGGGCAATGATGAATAATGAGGGGCCTGTCATCGTAAGCAACAGCCTCACTATGGCATTGGGCATTTCAAATCGCTTTTTGAGCTTTTGCCGCATTGGGAGTAGCGTGGAACCTTGAAGACATGGAGTTACGCCCAGACGCTCTCCCGTTTCTTTGGGTCTGAAAGGTTCCACCAGGGCACATGGCGTGTGCCGGGAATCCACAAAGGGTCGTCTTTTGCTGGATTAGGTCAGCCAGTGATCGACCGTCAATGGTCAAGATAGCCGGCAGTCGTCGAGATGGCCGCCGGCAGCGGCATGACCGTGGCTATTGCGGCTTGTGCTCGTATCTCGCAGCCACGGCGTCGAAGCCTCAAAGGTAAGGGACATGGGCGTTTCGCACGTGCAACACTGCACGTGTTCTCTTCGAGATTGACTTTCATAACTCCGAAAGCTGAGAAATAGGGTTCTATCAGAAAATACTCCTCGTGCCTGTATGCCAATTCACGTGTCCCCCCGGATTGCGAGTAATTCTACGATTATTTGAGTCAAGACTAGCCCCCGTGACGATAAACGGTTATGAACGGGGGGAAGTGAAAGGCAGTGCTCATCACGGCTCTGTTCATGAGTCGGAAAACTTCAAATAACCGCCACAATTGCTTCATCAATCGCGACGCCCAATGCGTGATTGAAGAAATCATTCACCGTATTTTTCATCCATCAATCCGATCGACCTGCCGCATGCCTTCTTTCTTCAATCACGATTCCCGTTTCGGTTGTTGCTTTTGAAGTTCATACATCGAGATTACCTGCAGTTCAGGGTAGCGAGGATAGCGAGCTACGTCATGGCACGATAGCGGAACGCATTGTGACATTCAGTTAATAGTGGGGCTTGCGCGGCTTCTGCCGTATGCCGCCACACATTGCCGAGTAAACGGATTTTTCCACACTCCTCTTCGCTGGCCTCGCATCATTGGCAATCTCACAGCTCGGCTCCAATGCCGTCACAATCTGCCTAAAGAGCAATTGAGATTCGGCGCTAGAAGGAAGACAGAGTTGCATCTTGCAGAAAAAGAATATGCAGAGAAGAATTTTCTCTTCGTGCTGACGTGGGGGATATCCTCAATCAACCAATCCCACGTCGATTGTATGCGCCACGGTTTCTGCTACGCCCGACCACAAGGGCAGGATACAGCACGCAGAATGCCGACTAACGCTTTCATATCGCTTTCCCCCCTCTCGATCTCGATCTCGCGAGGTGATGACTGACCGATTGACTTACCGATTGAACTTGCCTGATGTAAAGGGGGTTGCTTTACGAACGACGTGATCGAGGCACGTTCCCTTCTTTCCACGGGGCAAGAAGTGGAAGCTTGTTTTCGTTCTCGTTCTCGCCCTTCTCTGAATCTTCGATAAAGGTTCCATGCATGCCCGACCATTCCGCTTTCGATTGACAATGCTCGACTCGCAGCTCGCACGCCTACCCCCGTGACTTTGCGGCGATTTGATAATCTCCGTTACCGCGGACATACTCGAACGCCTATGCTCCGTTATCCCCCTCTTCCGCAGCTTCCTCTGCAGCTAGGCAATTCCTCTGCAGCTAAGCAAGGCTCGCCAATAGG